AACATTGCTCAAAGGAAGTGAATGTTTCTCCCATGTGCCAGTTCTGAGTGGTATTTGCTCTCAGTGCCATTCCATATTCTACGCAGATCATGAGAGCTATAAAGAACCTGGATTTACTGGAAGAATGTCATTTTACTTAAACAATGCTAAGTATTTGAAGATTGGGCAAAAAGTCTGGGTTGATCGAGTTGTCTCCAATGCTATTGTCAATGCAACATATAGTTTTCATGCCTCTACTGCAGCAATCACAGAGTTTTGGAATGAAAGCTTCAACACTCAGCAATCAGTCTTTCAAATCACTAGACGGCATATTTGGAAAGCGTTTGTACTTGAGATGAGTAGGCAAATGGCCAAGCATTCTGGCACCAATCTGATTCTGGAGGATGGGATATCCATTGACACAGTTACTAGCAAGGCATTTGAGGAGCTGGGTCAAAGTGGTATCATTGATGCTGCAAGGACCCATTCTTGCTCAGAATGTACTCATGAATATAAAAATGTGGCAGATACTATTCCCAGACAGGCCACTGATCCTGCTGGTGTAGTTGGTGTTGATGAGAATAGTGCTGTTCCTGAGTACTCCGGTCCTGGCATTGAGCAATATCACCATGCTCAAGATGATGATGATGATGATGATGATGCTATGGATGTTGATTCAACATCTTCTAACTTGGGAAACTCTGATTCTGGTGAAGTAGAGTTGGTTAAAATGGTTGTAATGGATGGCATTGTGATGGGGCCAAGACACTGTGCTATTGATGGTTGCATAGAACCCCTTGCAAATGCTCACACAGGTGTCTTCTGTGTAGGTCATGAAGACAAAAGAATGGGGCAGTGTTGTGTAAAGGGTTGTGAGGCAAATCTTGTAGAAGGAACGAAAGCTTGTCAAATTCATCAGCAACAGTGGAACACCCATCGTGGAAGATATGGAAATCAATCCATGCTTGGAATGAGAAGAGCTCTAAGAAGAGCAGAGGCAGAGACTCAAGATTGGTTGCCTGCTCAAACACGAGCCAGATTGCAGCATGATGATGATGATGCTCAAGAAAATAGTGGCACTTCCTATAAAAACTATTTTTCTGCACCACGATTTTACTGTGTTGAGACACTGTGTGCACCATGTGGAGTGGTCATAGCATGGAAGAAATTTGCCAAGTCAGAATCTCCTACCAAAATTGTCAAATTTCTGGAGGAAGTCTATCCTACTCCAGAGAGTAAACCAAGCTATGTCTGCATTGACAAAGCATGTGTTGTACTTAGACATATTGTCAAGCAAGGAGACTGGCCAAAGTGGGAAGACACTACAAGATTTATTGTTGACTCCTACCATTACATCAACCATCGGACCACTGACTATATCTGTCGTACTTGGTGTAATCCAGCGCCTCTGAATGGCTCTGCTCCCAATCTTGTAACTGTTGAGCAAGACAACAGTGGTAACTTCTATTACAAAAGAGCTTTCAATACTCAAGTAAGTGCTTACTGAATTGACTCTGTATTAGCTAGCTAAATAATGATTATTCAGGCTTGTGAGCAACTAAATGCTTGGCTGGGTGGCTTTCAGACAGTCTTGAACAAGATGTCTGTTAGCAACTTTGACTTTACCATCCATGCTTTATTGTTTTTGCATACTCAACGGGTAATTGCAAAGCAACAGAAGAAGAAGCAAAGGAATGTAGAAGAGAGCAGTGATGATAGTGATGATGAGGCAGGGGTTGATATTGAAAGAGATGATGAGGTATAAAGCTTTTTACTTTAGATATTATTCAGATGTTGTTTATGTGTAGTTCAGATGATATTCAGGTGAAGTCCAGATAAAGTTTGGCAAATGTTCAGCTAACGTTCAGCTAACGTTCGACTAAAGTTCAGGTGATGTTTGGCCGATGTTCAGATGATGTTCGGGTGATGTTCGCCTGATGTTCAGATGTCGTTCAGGTAGTGCTCAGGTGGCATTCGGGAGATGTTCAGATGACATTCATCTGGCATTCGGATAAAGTTTGTGTTATGGTCTGGTCTGTTCCGAACAATTATCTTTTCCAATATCTTATCTAAACGCGCAAGACGCGTCTATTACTAATTATCATTACAACACCTTAGTAAGATCCTCATGTCTAACGCATGTCCGCAGTACATTACCAAGCCCCTCATGGAATCGGTGCACGTTCTATGGAAAGACGGCTGCAGTAGGCATGTAGTAGTACACGCAGGATATGCATGTATTTTAGTATTTAAGTACCAATAACATACCCGAGAACGCTAGCTCGTTCTCTTGGGATTTCCGCTAGTAATAGTGAGACCTAAGTCAATAAGCCCTTCATCTTTCCTTTGAGTTTTAGTATTCTTGTAGGAGCCACGTTAGTCCTAGACTAGTGTCGCCCTAACAGTTTGGGTGATATTTGTTCACCTGAACATCACCCGAACATCATCTGAACATTATCTGAACCTGAACAAAGGCTACAAACAGAACCTGAACATTACCTGAACATTCGGTGAAATTCACCTGAACAATATCTGAACAATACCTGAATACCCGAACGTCACCTGAACGTCAGGTGAACATGTGGTGGACTGCAACATACACCCGGCGAAGATGTCAACCAAACTCTTGCAAGTGAAGATGCCGCTGCCGTGGAAACCCCACTGGACACTGTTGCAAGCACGAAGACCACAAAATTGAAGGCCAAGCCACCATGCAAAAGGAAGGTGTTAGACCGAGTGAATTGAGGAGGAACAAGATCTAATCAATAGATCTCAGTATACGGTAGAATACTAAATGTATTATAGCTATACCTAATCAATAGCTACTACATGATGAGTAAATGAATGCATGAGGGTAGACATACTGTAAGTACTCACATCTCAGTATTCTACCGTATACTGAGATGCAATGATGAAAATACACATTGGATGTTTACGGTTTCAGGGTCATAGGCTAGCGCCTATACGGCGTCTGCTTGATATCTCAACAGAAGGCACCCGGCACTAAGCAGAAGGAGCAGCCCACAAGCGCGGCTCAAGAGGGGAACAAAGGTGTAGCAATGTCACCGGACACTTGTGCAAGGACAAACACCATGGTACTGCCAGCCAAGCCACGACGCAAGAGGAAAGAAGCCGACGACTCTCACTTAATTGTGAATACCAAACGCAAGCGAACGAAGCAGTCGTGTACAGAAATAACCATGTTGACGGACTCGCTTATTGGCAGGGACAATCATCAGTATGGTGTCTTTTCATCCTTCTTACACTGTTCTCAAAGAACTCCCCAGACCCTTGTTGTGAGCATTGTGTACGCAATATTGTAGCTAGAGTACAAATATATATACTGCTGCTCTTGTCAGCCGCTCAATGAATAGAATTGTGTGCGTCGACAATGTAGAAATGTGAAGAGCTTGAGTACAAACTGTTTAGCACTCGAACTTGTGAGCGGAAGATATTCGAAGTCGTAAGCACTCAGACTTGTCGTATCTTGCCCTACAGGCGATAAGCACACTTGGACTTGGTGATGTGTGTGGCGGGTCCAATCACAATACTGAGTTATTGATGAGTCTGCCGGTACGGAGAAATAATGTCGGAAAAACCCTAGGCGCCTTTTAAGGGCCGTCCATTTTAAGTACCTTGTAAGGGTCCTTGCAATGTACATACAATACGAACCAATGAGAGACAATCGATCATGAGATAATCTTAACCCATATGAGGTGCTTGAGATCATTGCTCGACCCTTGTAATTGTAAGGGCAACCTCAAGATGGCCGCACAGTGCAAGCCTAGCAGAGGGAGAATCCAAAGATATGAATAGGACTAACTACAGTACATGAGAGAGCTGCTCACCTAGCAGAGGGAGAATCCAAAGAGAACAGGATAAGGATTCTCCATGTGTATATCTGGCGGTCCACCACATGTCCACGTGACGTGGCACCATGTGGTCAAGTGATTGTCACTTTTTTGCCACATGGATACCACGTGGATACCACTTTTGCCACTCAATTCCACTTCTGTTCACTTTATTCCACTATTTTACCACCTGGCGACCACTTCAAGACCACTTTATATAATATGAAACTAAGTAGACTTGTCAATGTGGTCTCCATGTGGTCACCAGGTGACATCCAGGTGGTGAAAAAGTGGCAGGGTAGACTAGACAGTACAAGACCATTAAGCTCTTAGCCAGGTGGTGTTCAGGTGGTGCTCAGGTGGTATTCAGGTGGTAGAATGGTGACATAGTCAGATGGTGACCATGTGGTGTCCAAGTGGAGACCATGTGGTATAAAAGTGACTAGAGTACTACACATACCCTTACAGCCATAGAGTAGAAGCTCAGCTGGTACCAGGTGGTGACCAGGCGGTGTATATGTGGTATTAATGTGACTCGCAGATTTCTCAAAAAATATACAAGTCCAAACTGATACTCAGGTGACTACCATGTGGCATTTGTGGATGTTTTGTGGTAGTCACCTGGGTACCACCTGAACATCATGTAGGACTTATGTGGTAATGCAGTAGATGTCCTAGTAAAAGCAGTGAAATCCATCAAGTGTTCAGGTGGTTTTCATATGGTCACCACCTGGTGTTCAAGTGATGAAAATGTGATATTCAGATGGTTGCCAGGTGATATCCAGGTGGCACATATGCGGGCATTGTGTGGTCATCCCTTGAATACCATCTGAATATCATGTGATACTCAAGTGGTAACAGAGTGATGTGTTGGCAAAAATATACACAAGTCCACACAGATAGTTAGCCTTTTTTCCTGCTCATGTGTCATATTTGTGGCATTCATGTGGTGTACATGTGGATATCAGGTGGGTGCCAGGAGGTAACCAGATGGGCTCCAAGTGATATATATGTGGTATTTATCTGGATATCAAGTGGTGCCCAGGTGGTAAAAAAGTGGTTGCTGGTATTTTATCACTGCACACTTATACATGGTGCTCAATGTCAGAGTCATGTCATCAGGTAGACACCAGGTGAATGCCACCTATACTACAGGTGAAGTCCATTTATCTAATACTCAATCATATCCTCATCATCACTTTCCTCACTCTCAACCACCTCTTCTATTCCTGCTGCCTTCTTAATGTTCCTCTCCTCCTGCCTGGCAATGACTCGCTGGGTATGCAAGAATAGCAACACATGCATGGTGAAGTCAAAGTTGCTGACAGTCATCCGGTTGAGGACTGTCTGGAACCCACCCAGCCATGCATTGAGTTGTTCACAAGCCTAAGTACAACAAATTAGACAAGTACATACAAGTGGCTGACTAGTAGAATCACTTACCTGAGTGTTGAAGGCCCTCTTGTAGTATGAGTTGCCTTGTTTGTCTTCATCAACCACTACCAAGTTGGGGGCATCTCCATTGAGAGGTGCAGGATTGCACCAAGTTCGACAGAGGTGGTCAGTGACCCGGTGATTGATGTAGTGGTAAGAGTCGACAATGATTCGGGTGGTGGGTTCCCAAGCAGGCCAGTGCTCTTGCCTGACAATGTGCTTGAGCAAGGCACACCCCTTGTCAATGGCAATGTAGATGGGGCGTGAGGCAGGATCAGGATAGACATCTTCAAGTAACTGAAGAATCTTGGCCACCCCTTCCGACTTGGCAAACTTGCGCCAGGCAATCACCACACCACATGGAGCACAGATGGTCTCCACACAGTAGAACCTAGGAGCAGAGAAGTAGTTGTTATACTTGCTGCCACTGACCTGTTCAGCCTCCTGCTCTGCAAGGTCATCATGTTCTGGCGCCTCTGCTCTTCCACCAACAGGCAACCACTCCTGCCTCTCCTCCTGAGCCCTCCTCAACATCCTCTGAACTCCCAAGAGTGAGGAGTTGGCATAGCGTCCACGGAAGGTCCTCCACTGCTCCTGATGATCTTCACATGCCTGAGTGAGACCAACCTTATTCTTGTTGCAGTTCTTCATCCAGCAACAACCCTCCATCTCCTCCTCATGCTCTTTGCAAAACACCCCAGTCTGAGCATTAAGCAGCCCAGCCTCACACCCAGCAATGGCACAGTGACGTGGCCCCATGACAATGCCATCAATGACAATCATGCGGATATCTGCATTTGTGTGAAGTGCAACACCTCCAGCAGGTTCAGGTGCATCATTGGCTGGGACATTGTCAACATCCATGGCCTCAGCATCTGCAACAGCTGCTGCCACAGCAGGTCCTGCATACTCAGGCACATCACGATTTTCATCATGACCAGCAAGAGCAGCGGGATTGTCATCCTGGTTGGGAATGACGTCAGCCACATCTTTGAATGCATGACAGCACTCGTCGCATGAATGGCCAACTGCGCTGCGGATGATTCCCCCATCTCCAAGGTACAAGTAGGCAGCGGCCACAAGCTCACTGATCTTCAGATTGTCCATGAAGATCATGGTTGAGTTGCTGAAACCTGCAAGTAGGCGGATGGACTCCAAGACAAAGGCTTTCCAGACTTGTCTGTGAGTGAGGGTGAATGAAGCTCCACTGGGCTGGACAAATGAATAGTTCCAGAACTCCGTTATTGCTGCTGTCGAAGCATGGAAGCTGTAGTTGGCATTCATGACAGCCTTGGAGACAATGCGATCCACCCAGACCTGCTTGCCAACTTTGAGGTACTTGGCATTGGGAAGATAGAGTGCGAGTTGTCGATTGTCGTCAATGAAGCTCTCATGGTCTGCCCAGAACATGGTGGAGCACTTGGGACATCTACCAGCCAATACCGGAACCTTCTCAAAGCACTCACTTCCATGAAGCAAGGTGACTTTGGAGATATCACGTTCACGGAGGTATTGAGTGAGACCATGGCCATGACAGCCAGCAGTAGAGCAGCCCATGACAGGAGGGGTGATGATGATGATAGGCTGAATGGAGGAAGTGGAAATGGGAAGGAGTTTGCGACGTAGCTGGCGTTTATCGTTATGCGTGTAGAGATCCAGAGAGTGGCAGAGAGAGTCAATTTTTTTACCAAGTATGGTGGTCTGGCCTTTTGCAGAACACGATTTGTGGTTGTCGCTGGCCAGAAAGAGAGTATCAAAGACAGTCTCAGCATTTACAGAAGTGTCAGAGGAGCCAGAGCTAGAAGAGCCAGAGGAGTCCATGTCTTCATCAGATCCAGAGTTGGAATTATTGTCAGAGGCATCCATATTGTCCTCAGAGGACCCAGAGTCTGAATCGACATTGCCAGCACCAGCATCATCATCATCAGAGTCGCCAGGGACGTCAGAGACATCAACCTGAAGCTTGTCTTTGATGGCACGAACAAAGGCTGCCATCCAGCTAGTGACGACCTGGTTGTTACTACTCACAGCCCTCTGCTGGCCATGCAAGTTGAGAATGTCGGTGTTGGTGGTAATGCTGAAGAGGAGCATCAGGACTGTGGCCAGACTGATGTTCTCACCAAAGGTCAGCTTGATGACTTTGGCAAAGTCAGCAAACCGGATGTCGGGAAACGGGTCCTCCAGAGGAGCTGCAGCGGCACATGGAAGGAGTCCTAGCAAGAAAAGGACGGATAGCACCATCCAAAGACCCTGTAAACAGAAACTGGGCAAGTCAGTATTTGTTGAAATGCATTGAAGTTCAAACAAAAAAGAACAAGTGAAATGACTGTTGCATTTACACTAATACAAAGAGTAAGCTACCTACTTTGTAGCCTTCTTAGCTGCAGACTTCTTCTTTGCCTCTTTGGCCTTCTTGGCCTTCTCAGCGACGACTTTTGCCTCCTCTGCTGCAAGCTCTGCCTCCAACTCATCCAGAACCTTCCCCAGAGTCATCCTGCCAACTTCACGACCTCCCCAGACCTTCGTATGAGCCTCAGACGTAAAGTCGTAGTTGGGGTTCTGCAACATGTCCATGAGCATGGGGAACTTGAGACAGTGTTTGAAGAGGGCTCCATAGGTGCCGAAGTTTGTCCTCTTGATGAAAATGGAGCGAAGGACAGCCTCCTCAACAGGAGCTCCATCCCATGGAGTGGTGAGCCTGTTCCACTTGGCCATGGCGCCTACAGCAAGCTGATAGCGGGCATACATGTTGACCAGACCACCATTACCCTTGCCACTGTTTGTCATATGGAGTGGCACCTCCATACGAGTAGCAATTCATAGAAGAAGAGGGTCGTTGGGGAAGGCGGTGATGAGGCTGTTGACGGGAGTGGTGGAGGTGCCAGCAACAGAGATGGAAGCGGAGGGGGCGATGGAGGAGACTGCTGAGGAAGCAGAAGTGGAGTTGATGGAGGGGGAGGGAGGCAGAAGGTAGGAGAGGTTAACCTCAGATGGTTGCTGAAATGGTGTCAGAATTTTTTCAAGTCAAGTCGGAATTTACGTACAATTCCAATTCTGAGTATATTCTCATCATCCCAAATGGCAGCCTCATCGTCGTCGACAGCAATGGCGTAGGGGCCCTTTACTTCCCACATGAGGGTCTTAGCATCCCAGAGAAGGATGTCAGAGCCTGTTGGCAAGCAATAAGTCAAAAACGCGAAGTAGAAAGAAGAAACTTACTAATAAGGGCCACCATCTTCTTGGCAGCAGCGGTGAGGACAGGCCCCAGAGTGTTCTTGATGGGGACTTTCACCACAAGAGGTGTGGGACCCTCCAGAGGCGATGCCCCATTCTTGAAGACGTGAACCATGCCCATGACAGGTGGGGCATCAGACTCCATGTTGGTGTCTGAATATCAAGTCAGAATTGAACTTGATAGCAAAAGAGAGAACTCACCAAAGTCAGCCATGTTGAGGGCAACACCCATGGCCTTGCCTCTAGCGACACCACCCATGGTGCGGGATGCGCCTTGCAAATCCTCAAGGTCGTCAGACGTGGGAGAGGGAGAAGCTCGACGGGAAGAAGCACTGGCATGGGTGATGCCCTTGCGCAAACCCTTACCCATCTGACGAGTGGTGGTGGGCGAAGTGCTGGCCCTGCGCTTGGAAGCAGTGGTGGGTTTGGCGGGGGTGGCAGGGCGCTTGGGAGTGGTGGGGTCAACCTCCATGGTGTCGTCGTCGTTGTCTGACAAGTCAGCATGCATGGGCACCTCAGCGGAATCGTCCTCATCGTCGTCCTCGTTGTCAGTCTTCTTCGGCTCACCATCTTCATCGCCATTGCTACCAGCATCAGCATCTTTCTCCTTGTTGCCCTCTTCATCAGACTTCTCAGCCTCGTCGTCTTCTCCTTCATCTATCTCCTCTGTGTCTGATGAGCCCAAGTTAGTGAGGTCTCTACCTTTGCCTTTATCTTTGCTGGCGATCTGGGGTATGTCCTCTGGCTCTTCACGCCTGATGCAAGACGTGGTGATACTCGGAGTGATTGGAGCCAAGGTGACTCCAGTCCCAACTCGACGAGCAGGTGGTGCAAGCGGAGCACCACTCTCCTGAAGCGTCCTAGCAGTACTGGTGCGAAAAGATGAGTTGTACAATCACAAATAATGACAAGCAAAGACTTACGCAGTCAAATTCTCTACCATAGTCTCATTAGCTTCTTCATCAGCTGCATCACAGTCGGCAGAGGTGCTACGGACAACGAGCATAAGCAAACAGAGGGATACAGGCAGTAACTCACATGTTCTTCTTTTTCTTTGCCTTGGTTGGTTTTTTGGTTACAGGGATCTCCACACTATCAGACAATATTTGTTAATTGATTGTTAATTTATTTGAGATTTAAAAGGATTTATTTATATTTATTCTATCTACTACTCATGATGTATGACTACTGACTACTGGTACACTACTGGCAATGACAAACTCACATGAGCTCCCGCTGCATGGCCTTGGTTGCAGACCTGGTGGACCTGGACTTGGTAGAAGCCCTGTGGATGGGGGCCAAGGGGGGATCAGGGGTACATGTTGATGACCAGGGGCCAGGGGTAGACAGGGGGTAGGGGTGAGGTGTAAGGGTGCGGGTGTGCGTCGTCATCGAGAACGGGGTGTGGGGATACGTGGGGGGTGTCGTCGTTGAGAATGGGGTGCGGGTGTGCGTGGGGTGCGTCGTCGTTGAGAACGGGGTGCGGGGGTGCGTCGTCGTTGGCGACGTCGAGAACGGGGGGTGTGGAGATGTGTGGGGGGCATCGTCGTTGTCGTCGTTGAAAACGGGGGTGTGGGGATGCGTGGGGGGCGTTGAGAGCGCGGGCGAGGGCGAGGGTGTGGGTGTTGGAAATGGGAACATGGGGGACGTGAGCATAGGGCATGGGATAAGGAGTGGCAGTGTCAGTGAAAAAAAAGGAAAAGTGGGTGGCACACTCACGTTGTGGTCCCCTCCTTGTTGTTCTTGCGCTGCGTCAAAGCGGGCTTGCGTGGGGGCATATTGCTGTAGTGGGGCGTTGGGGGGAAGGCAGAAGAAGGGGGGATGGTGGTGGTTGAGAAGATAGAGGCGTTGTGTGCCAGCGTGGCACGGCAGTCACATGCGCGTGGTGTTGCGCTGATTGCCGAAAATAGGCGCCTGTCCAAAAGAAAAGAAAAAGAAAAAGAATATTAATATTCGCAGACAAGCGCCCAATAAGCGCCCATCCGAGGAAAATGACTTATCATTAGGATAACTGTTGCTAATCCATTTCTGGCTGTCCCAAAGCCAAAATTACACCAGAAAATGCCAAGAAACCTCAAATAAATTGCCAGAAAATCATAGAAAATCATAGAAAATGCAATAAAATGAGATAAAATCATAACAACACTACAAAATAACATATTGTCCATGACATTCCCATATGATGTCTACATGAATGCCAGATGAACCCCACCTCAATACTAGCACTTTGTCTACCTGGTATATGGGTGGCATTCATGTGGTGTTCAGGTGGAAATTCAAGTAAATACCACATGGACATCACATGGATACCACTCATCCAGTATGGCTCACCTGGTGTCCACCTGGTAAAAAAGTGGCCAAAAGTGGTAAAAAAGTGGCATTTCTGGGCCATTACAGCCAAACCAAAATCCACCTTTTTGCCACTTGAATGCCAGGTGAGTCCAGGTGAACACCAGGTGAATGCCACCCACCCACCTGGTTCCACCTGGGGTCCAACCAAAGATGTGGTGGATCGTCAGGTGCTCATAGAAGATCATAAAAAATAATAGGAGTATTTATATACTCCATAAAATCAGTTAAACTACTAAAATCCACATTTTGCCCATATGGCAACCACATTTATACCAGATGAATACCACTATTTGCCATATGTGGCACCCACATGGTATTAAAGTGGTATCCACATGGAAATTCATATAAGTACCACATGGCTACCACATGAATATCACTTGCCCACTTTTGTCCTCTGGTGTTCACGTGGTAAAATAGTGGCAAAAAGTGGTCAAAAAGTGGGATTTTCCAGCCATTTCTGCCAAACCAAAATCCACTTTTTGATCACATAAATACCACGTGAAGACCACGTGACAACCACTTGACCACGTGGCACCACGTGGGCGTCACATGGAGACGTGGTGAACCGTCAGGTGCTCCTCCATGCTAGGGAGCGAAGTATATACTGTAGTAGCGTGAGAGGAATGAAGGGTAACTGTACAGTACACCAGCCACAGGTACGAACGAATATCACAAGGTACGAGGGGGCATGTGATAATGAAGTGGAAGGGGAATGTACAGGAGTCGTGCCAGCGACCTGGGGAAGTGGGGACAAGGAGTAATGAAGTGGGAAAGGAGGATAGAGGTAGCCCGGACGAGCCCCGAAGTGTATCTACGAGTCCGAGCGAGTCCGAAGCGTCCGAAGTGTCTGAGCGAGTCAGAGGCGAGTCCGAAGTGCGGGAAGACTTCGGAGTCACCGGACAAAGCTCAGATGCGAAAGGAGTGAGTGGAAAGGAAGTGGAAAGGAAAGGGGACAAAGGGGATGTATGTAAGAGTCCGTGGGATGAAGGAAGGGAGAAAGGAATGAGGAGGAAGGGAGGGGGACAGGGGAATAGGAGAAAATAGGAGTGTCCCTTTACAGTAATGCCTCAAGAGACTTCCCCACGTTTGAGTTCGAGTTTGCCCCCAGCGCCGTTGTAGCAGCACTTGAAAGAAGATAGGTAAATCACCGTTACACCTTGTAGCATAACCCACATGAGCCTAATCCTCTTCCAGATCCCCCTTCTGTATTTGTCCATAATATCCCAACATCAACGTTGATCAACGCAGCCGTCCTGTCCTCTGGAATCCCAACGTTCAGCCTTTAGGTGCGGGAAATTGTAGTGAGGGACAAAAAGCAAAGCCCTGTATATTGGTCAGTCCTCGTTTAGAGATACTCATTGATACTGATGGCTTACACACGTAGCTAGCATCAGTAATACCACCACACTTGCGCCGCCTTACTGTGGCGGCCTCTCCCAGCAACTTGCCACCTTTGATTCGGTGGTAAGTTACATATTCATTCCCCTACATCCCTCACACACAAACCCCTTGCCACGTTCCGCCCCTTCGGCCATAAACCAAAGTTTGACAACACTTGATACCTGTGCTCAAAATTCGGCTCGACATCAATCCCAAGTCCCTTCATTTATCCGCCCGTACTCCCCCACATACTAAGGACAGAAAAATTGGTTCCTCACTCTTCTCCACCAGTGATCTATTGCCATCTGTGTGCGTTGGTCGCAAACCGGTTCTCCAAACTCTTTCCGACTCGATCCCACCTCCCGGACCCATCCCTACTACCAGTGACAAATGCCAGTGAAGTGCAAGCACACTGGTACATCCTCCGTACTGCAGACATGCATGATCTGCAGCCATGACATCCACGCGAGAGGAATGTCGGCTCATCGCAAGAAATGCGAGAGGGATCGAGCGAATGCACTACACATACTTTTGATAATGGGCTCTTTGAAGATCACTTGTTTCAACAAGTTATTACCCGCATTCAAGCACTCGGCAGTCAGATGGTTGGCAAGTTTGATTCACAGTAAAAGATTTTCTTTCATGCTGTGGATATGTCTCATTATAATTTAGGTTTGACATGATACCACGATGGTGTAATCTCCATCATTTTGAAAGTGTGAGCAACATCGCTTTCAATGATGGATCCAAAAACCAGGATATTAGCAAAGTATGTTATAATTTGTTTCATCCCCCTGAATTGGATTGATAGTTACTTGAAAATAGCTGATACTTTTCACATCCTATAACATTCTTACTAAGAATGTTGACGCAACAGGATATCTCCTGCTATGCTGCCTTCGGGCTTATATCAACATGTGCATGTATGCTGGATTGCAGGTGCATACTGATGATACAATCACTGCTGGACGGCTTGCAGTGCAAACATTCTCATCTTTAATCAAAGTGAGTTTCATGATTTGTTGTTGATGTCACAAACTCACTTACAACCATGATAAGGAATATGCCGAAGAGTCGAACAAAGATGCAGAAGTACCGAAGAACTGGAACTTTCCCAAAAACCATTTATATGTCCATCTCTTTGATGACATTGTTGCAAAAGGTGTCACTCGCAATTATAATACAAAACCAAGCGAGCAAATGCACCACGGAATCCAGAAAACATACTTTACAACCAACTTCAAGGATATTGCTCCACAGGTAAATGTCATTGTTTTGTGTAGTCATTGACTTATACTTGGTTTGGAAGATCCTTGGAAAGATTCATTGCGTGTTGGTGGCAGAATACATGTGGCAAGATATCAATGAGTATGATGAAGAGCTTGCAGCAGCAGCTACAGAGCTGGCAGAGGACAATGCTACTCATGAAGAAGATCGTACACCTCACACTCAAACAAGTTACCAAACTCCACATCTCTCACTTACTGTTGCCCAGCCTCCAATTTCATTCAAGGAGCTTGCAATAATGCACATCAATGATTCAGCACCGAAACTCTTCCATCAATTCCACACTCACCTCGCCGACTTTCTTTTGCAAAGGTTACCTATTGAGGACCTTCCAAATGGGAGATACCTTAGGTTGAGTCCAAATGACAAGGTAAAGAACAAGTCTATCACATCTGTTTAAGATAACTGAGTTGAAGTAGATCATGGAATTCCGCTATCTCAAAGTCAATTATGAATCGTGTGTCACTTGGACAACAGCCACTGATCACTTACGGTGCAGTCCAAGGTTCCATGGTTGCCCACGGTATGACCATGTGATTATCAAAACAGAAGAGCCGCTTGGAGCATTCACACCATTCCTCATTGGCAAAATTGTCTTTATGTTTCGGTGCACCATTCAAGAGAAGAACTATCATCTTGCCTTTATTGATCCATTTGACGCTCTCATTGGCCCTCGCCGCATCATTGATGTTGAGCTTGGCCTTATCCGACTTTGCACTAAGACACACCGAACAGGCAAATTCATATTTGTTGAATCAATTGTACGTGGAGCTGTGGCCATTGCAGCATTTGATGCTCCTGGCGATTACTTGCTTGTTGATACATTAGATGATGATATGTTCCTTCGTTACAAACAAGCAGGCCTTTAATACAATATGGTTAACTTCTAGATTTGAATTAACGGACATTGTTGGGCACTCTGAAGGTAAGTGGGGGGCAGTGAATGATGAATAAGGACCCCTGAGTCATGTGTGTCAATAACCACGAGTCCTCAACAAGACTCAGGGGTAGAGCACAAACGCTCGACAGAACGCGAGGCAGCAAGGGTAAACCATCTGGTGCCATCAACATAAGTAGGTAAAACACAAACTGCATGCACTCTTTTGTGCCACAACTCATGTTATAGCTGTAGCATGTATGCAGCATCGGTGCCGCAACCGCAAGAAATAAATAGATGAAAGAAACTGATATTGGGGACTCAGTGCCATACCTCCCCTTGATCTTTCCAGCCACCGCCAATAACCAGTGACCCACAATGTCGTCGCAATTTTCTTCGTCAACCCCTGGTATGCCGTTGACCACTGTTGCGCAGATGGGCGGACTAGTAAAGGTCAGCTGTGATTTCACCGCTTGATATCTGGTTGGTAACACTTTCTAGGCCTTGCAAGATGCGCAGCTTGAGAACAGTGAGCTCAAGCAGCGATTGGCAGAGCTTCAGGATAAGATCGCAGCCTTGGAAGCTTCGAAGCCTCAAAGAGGGAAACGGGGATCTCACGTTTCCGGCACTACAAATGCAGAAGGCAATGCTGACGAGGATAAATTGGGCCCCACCGCTAAACGATACACAATTATGCACCAACTGTGGGTCCCCAACGACGTATTTCCGGTCTCACGTCCATCAAAACCGTCCAACAATCCCAGCTACTTTGGCACGCAGGACAATTGGAAGTTATGCATCGCTGCAGAGCTTTACAAGGTCGTCCCAACAGCAATGCATGGGATGCTTAAGCTGGCAAGCACAGGTGTCGAGGCAAGTACTATCCTTTTCAATATTGTAAGCTACTTATTCTATCTAGTTTCACTCTTTGATGGGGATGCAACGACAAGCCATGGCCCATACGCTCAGGAACTGTACCGGGCACATCTTCGCCGCCATTGATGTTCCCAGCCAAGCGTTCGAGACCAAAGACTTGCGCCGCACGTCTCCTGAGCTCATTGCTCTCCTGAAGCCCAGCAAGAACAGTTTGTACCCCCCGTTACCACCTTTGCTTTACCCACTGGGAAACACCACTGATGTATTCCAGAATCCTGTCCTCCCCCTCGTAAGGCCATCTGTCATCTGCTTTCATATTGCTCATGTTGCTTACTGTATTATGTTTAAGATTCTATGTGTTGCACTATTTGGCAAGACGTCACTCTCCTCTACGCCGGCAGCCAATTCCTCGGGACGCAAATGGGCAGTCACCCAAGTCACAACAGGTGGCATCTGTCTATCAGCCATCATGGTTAGTTCACGCCGCACCGCCTAATTCACACGAAGTCTCACATGTTCAATACGACAGGCACGATTCTTAGTGTCACCCGACTCCGAGCTCTCACCAATCGGCGCTCAGACCAAGATCAATTACGAGCAAGATTTCCACAGCTACTATGAACTCATTGAGTCGACGAAGAACACACGAAAAGGGCGCCGGCTCCGCGCCTTCTTCCAGTGGGTAGTTTTCAAGGAAGCGCCGTCAAGTTTGGATGCTAGCGGCGATGACAAAGACTCAGAGCAAGATGGTGCCTCCGAGTTTGCTCGCGTAAAGGCAGCAATGCTAGAAGCCGCCGACGACGACGACGAAGAAGATCCTGACGATGCCAATCACAATGACACCAACGACGACGACGACGATGACATCCACGCTCACTCGCAACACCGCATTAACGCCGCCAACAGGCACGAACCCACGGATTCCTTCGATCCACCATTGAGTCCCAGCCCCACACCTTCTCCTCCTCTTTCGTACATCACCGCTGTCTCTCCGTTGTGTAAGGGGACACTCCTATTTTCTCTCCTTTCCTTCATCCCATGGACTCTTACCTACATTCCCTTTGTTCCCCTTTGTTCCTTTTTGCTCCCTTTCCTTTCCATTTCCTTTCCACCCACTCCTTTTGCATCCAAGCCGTGTCCGGTGACTCAGGAGTCCCCCTGCACTTCGGACACTTCGGACTCGCTCGGACTCGTCTATACTCTTCGGAGCTTGTCCGGGCTACCTCTATCCTTTTCCCCCACTTCATTACTCTTCGCCCTTACTCCCCCAAGTCGCTGGCACGACTCCTGTCCATTTACCCTCCACTTCATTATCACATGTTCCCTTGTACCTTGTGATATTCGCTCGGACTTGTGGCTGGTGTACTGTACAGTTATCCTGCATTCCTCTCATGCTACTACAGTATATACTTCGCTTCCTAGCATGGAGAATCCTTATCCTGTTCTCTTTGGATTCTCCCTCTGCTAGGTGAGCAGCTCTCTCATGTATTGTAGTTAGTCCTATTCATATCGTTGGATTCTCCCTCTGCTAGGCCTGCGCTGTCGGCCATCTTGAGGTTGCCCTTACACGTTGCCCCAGGACCCTCATCTAAGGAACGGCCCCAGCACTCGTTATCGAGTCGATACAGCACTACCCTTGGAAGATGGCCGATGGCTCGCCTTTGAGCAAGCCACTGCTTTGACCTCCCGTGCTCAACCCACGACGATATCTCAGGCCATACAACCCGAACCAACGGCGCTGGAAGACAACCCATCGAAAGGGAAAGGGAGAGGTCGTGGAGTGAAAAGGCCTCGGGGAAAGGCCGTCGCCGCTATCAGCGTTCGAGACGAACAACCATGCCGCACTAGCCAGCGCAAGGCGAGCGCAACGGTGCGCACATAGCTCCTCTCACTTTACGTAGCCCGTCCCATGTATTACCTTGGCCAGTGCCCCCTCCCTGCCAATATATTGAGACATTTTTTCTACAGCTTATTATGAATAGCTAAGATGACAAAATTGCTATCATACTTCAGCGAGTTTCAGTACTATTATATGGGAGTTTGGCCTAACGGTAGCTCTCGTCAAGAAGTATAGTATGGTTTTGATATTACAAGGTTGTAAGTTCGATTCCCAAAGGTTCCAATGCCATTTAATTTCACTCGCTAATCATAATCATAGATAGACTGATAAGATCCTGATAAGATAGTAAATAAGATAATAACATAATATTGATCCTTAGATTAGCCTGATTAGATACGTGAAGTGAAAACAAGATAAGATACAAGATAATAAGTAATAATCAATCTTTTTAGGCTCCGCTAGCCCATCCAATCGTTTGTGTGCATTATAAGCGGGTCTTTCCTTAAAAGGCGCACCTTCCCTCATAAGTTTGGGTGTCTTATTGTAAGAATTATTTCTGCCACAAAATCCTACGCCTTCCTTATAAGGCCTCATGAGGTTTGGCTTAAATTATGGCCTCAAAGCCCCTTACAAGTGCTTAAATGTTGGCTAGGATTTTTCCGACAAAAGCTGTATGTGTATGGGATATCGTTACCACACTAGCGTCATCCGGGAATGTAATTATTTTCTAATGGTTGATGTTTTCTGACATAGACATTTGAGATATTGTCCTCTAACTATAGTCTGGAGTGCGTGAAAAAACGGGTCCTGCAACTGGAAATTCAGGCGAGCAAATATGCTTGCTTCCTATGTTTTTGAACATTTGTTGTGTCTTTTTTCTGGCTTTTTCCATATTTTGATATGTACAACATGTGTTATTGGTGAGTCTACAGGTACGGAGAAATAATGCGGTACATGTACGGGATATTGTTACTACGCTGGCATCATCCTGGCGTTTTGTACCGCTTTTCCTGGTAGATTTCGTGGTTCAAACATGTCAGATCTTTTGAGATCGATCACTTTCATTTGGCTGCGTGGCGTGTGCGTGGAGTGGCAGTGCCATGTGCAATAGTGATTGAAAAGAAGCCAGGCGCTGCTGTCCAAAAGAGGGGGGTGGCAAGAAGGGCGGCGGGAGCCAACGAGCGGCGGAATGGCCAGCAGCAGCTGGGGCGGGATTCAGGGGCCCTAGTCACATGAATGGACATCTTGTTGGATTTGCTGTTGCACGTTTCAAGTGTTCTCCGAATCGCACCATGTGTTTAGATAATCACACTGTCCTTATATGTAGATACATTTGATTGTTCACACGTAGATAAATAGGTAGTTTGAATTATGTAGTCCCTCGCGCGTTTGCGAGGGTCAACTGCTATTCTACATGCCCGAGTAACCGCGAAGAAACGGTTATTTCTACACATCTGACTTTTGATGTATCAGGGCCCGTCGCCTTTACTATGGGGTTTGATGAATCACGCCAGGGCACTAACTATGGGTGTTTGATACATCAGAGGAGCACCTACGCCTGGTCTTGATTCATGGCGGACCTTTTTACATGGAACCTTCGGCGCTAGATTGGTCAAAGCAGTTCTTCACGTCGCGGGGATGGGCATAGTATGTTTCCGGCATCTACGCCTTTACTTATTGCACTGACTTCATGCGCTGCCTCTAGCCTTGATGTCAACTACGGCGGATCCACTGGCTTCGGTCGCGCATACCGGTTCGTAGTCACGTCTGCCTTTTACCTATGCTTTCTCACGTCCTCGTGCATATAGAGAAAGTCTTCACGGTAAATGGGGCATCCTGGACATCCAGGATGCCTATCATAGCGTGCTCCAGCTAGATGAGATGGGTTTGTTGGACAAGAGCCGTGCGGTTGTTCACGGTGGCTCCGCCGGTGGCTACTCCGTCCTTCAAATTGCTACTACTCTTCCGACCGAGTTCGCCGCCGGAGCCCCTCAGTATGGCATCTCGGACATGAGGAAGCTCGACGAGATATTGCACAAGTTAGAGTACTACTTGTGTGATCGTCTGATGGGCGGAACGTACGAAGAGATCACTGAAGTCTGGCATGAACGTTCGCCGATTTATCACGTCGACAAAATCAAGATGCCTCTCTTGGTTAGAGTCACAGTTGTTTTCAGTCGACTTACGTTACTGACGCTTTCTTGTAGGTCCTTCAGGGTGCGAAAGACACCGTAGTCCCTGCCGAACAGATGATCAACATGGTTAAGACCATCCAAGGTGCGGGAGGGAAAGCGGAACTTGTGTTGTTCCCCGACGAAGGCCACGGATGGAGGCAGGCAAAATCAATCCAGACCACTCTTGAACGAGAGCTTTCGTTCTTCAGCGAGGTTCTTGGTCTCGAAAATGGCGCTTGAACAGTCTATAAACGTACAAATACGATATTCCTATTTGTCCCTCTAAACTATATTCTCTACCTTCTCGTTTTATTCACCTCCTCCATGACCTTCGAAGGATCCAACCCTCAGCTCTGTGCAGCAAGGTACTACTCAGTGAACGCTCTGTACATGACCAAGTCGTCGATTGCATCAAACATGACTTCGGTTCCGGTACCGATGAAGAACACATCGCCGACTTTGACATCCTCGCTCCCTCCGTCCCACTTCACGCCCCCGATTCCCTTGGTGGTAATAGCAATACTCGGACCGCCGACCGCCCGATGACTCTCCGACTTCCCGCCGCCCAAGGCTAGCTGAACGACCGAGAACTCCGGAATCGGGGGGTCATACTGCGTACTACTTATAGAGGAACCCCCGAACGGCATGGGCCTGACAAGGTGCTTTTCAGGCGGCGCGGCGGTGTATGTGAGCCCTGCGACGAGATTCGGTATGTCTCGAAGCTTAGGCGTCAGGCCCGCGCGGATGACGTTGTCCGAATTGGCCATGCACTCCATGATGTCTGTGTGAATCTGAGCTCGTGAAGATAATTAACGGCGGGGACCGCTTACCTCCTTCGACGTATGCATGGGGCTCGCCTGCGCCGAGGAAAATAGCCTCTCCGGATTGGAGTTTGATCTGATTCAACAGGAAGGCGCAGAAGATGCCAATATCGCCGGGGAACTGAGTGTTTAATCGTAGGACGAGGTCAACTACCTCTGCCTTCTCCCCAGCGTTGAGGTCCTGTGCTTCGTATCGGGCGATGAGCTTCCCGAGTTGGTCTTGGACGACGGAGTCGCTGGCAGTCATCACGGCGGAAAACACGTCCTTCAAAGCCTGCTTCTCTGTAGGTTCGCTGGGGGTCGACGAGGAGGCGATGGCTTGGAACGCAGACAGGGTCGAGGGTGGGATTAGCGCTGCTACCTCTGGTGTGGAGGTAATATTCGATGCGATATTAGGGAGAGGCATGAAGCCACACAAAGCTAAGAACGGAGTGAGGGCCAAAGCCATCTCTGGTTTATGATTAGGATCTAGGTAGAGGTTAAGGCGCAGATCAAGCAACTTGATGATAGATCAACCTTTGTAGATGTCTCCCTGCGTGCGATGGAGCTCCTTGGCTGTGGGTTCGTCTGGGTGTGTCTGGATGCTGAGCGCTTTGTGGATCGAAAGAACTTTGAAGAGAAAGGGCAGATTCCCCTTGTCGGTTCCGTAGGCGCCTCGAAACTTCTCAGTAACCGACTCCCCAAGCAATTCTGGGTGGGCAGCCAGGGCTTCGGAGAGTGGTTGCGAGGTAGCTTGGACTGTAGATGGTGATTTAACATGTGTGCCCATCCATAACTATACAGATAATTTATGAATAAACCGAAACGATGATCAAGATCCAAGGACCCACCTCCGCGTACGGCGCATCCTCATCTATTGAGACATCTGACGGTGCAAGCTGCGCAACCTTGGAATCCCGGCCAATCTTGCCCCAGTCGTATTGCTGCGTAGTGGGGATGATCTTGAAGACGGGGGCCATAGTGGCGAATCGGTGGGAAGTTGAATATCCATCTACGGGGCAAGATATTAGAAACTTAGTAGAATTCAGAAGGCGCGGTGTGTCGTCCAGTTCGCACGATCAGGTGCATTCCCCTCAGCCCCTGTGTAGACGGTCACAGACGATATTCAGAGGAAATTACTTACTCGGTAAGTTTACTAGACGGTATAAGGACCACACTTTGAGATTGAAGGTAGTGAGTATATTGAGCTATGTAGATTCCGTGGCTTTGTATAGTACAAACTGAGAGAAACATACAAAAACGGGTATATCACTAGCGTAAATATCATATTCAGTGTCATATGCATAAGAAAGAGTGTGCAGCTCAATAGGGTGCAACAGCGAGAAGAAGGCATCGTCAGCTGCCCCCCTCCCATAAACCTGGTCTTTTTCACTTCGGGGGACCTAGCTTTCGAGCAAGGTAACTCGCGTAAGTTGGTGTAAGGGGTCCGTCTGAGGATCTTTCCGCGGTCGATCCTTACGGATTGCCCTTGCGCGGTCAGCTGTACACACGTTCATGCTTTAGAGGCTCGAAGCGAATGAGTCCGTGACAGTTGTCTTGATACAAAGATACTTGCCCTTTCTCCGTAGTAATGTGCCTGCGACGTTGGTAGGAAATTTACGTCATTAAAATCAGAGTGTAGGAATTCACTGGAAGGAGACCGAGGGCGATGGTCGCAACACAATGCACACTCGCTGAAGGATAAATCGACTCACAAACAAGTCGGTACCTCGATTCTTCCGTGAGTAGCTTGCGGCGCTAGTGAGGTTGACAACACGAAATCATACTCTTGTTCGCGTCCAACACTGAATTGCGCGAGTGATCATAACCAAAAACACAGGGCTTAGGCTCTTCTATGCCTCATATGACACGCATCGGCTCCCAGGTTCATCGGGGAAGCTGCGGGGAAGTGTCAAAGTGTCTCTGCAGCAACTACACGTTGTTTGAAAGAATTGTCAGAAGTCGTGGCAAGAGTGCCTTACTTACCAAAGGTCAGCACAACTAAAGCGAAGAGAAGAGAGATATTCTTAAGTCGGGCGAAGGGTCTTGGATGGCGAGAGGTATAAAATGTGCTCCTGCCTCCCACTACTCCTCAACCAACCCAACGACTGGATCACAGAATTCAACGGACTTGAAAAATCATCTCTTCACCAGCATGGGTATTTTCTACGTCTATTTCTCTCAGGTTAGGATTCCTCGTGTCCAGTATGATAAGTTGCTCACCTCGTTCTGCCAGGTCAGCACCGATGTCACTTGGCGTATTGTGGGCACCTTCAGCGACGCCGCCACCGCCGACGAATGGTGGCGTGCCGTGTCAAGGGCCCAGTTGCCAGGAGCGAATGCCAACCTGCTGGCCGACATCAAGCGCATCAACCCCCAGTTCTACAACCATAACGCTGCGGTCTTCAACGTGCTCAATTTCTTCAGCGACGCGCGCGTGAACACTATTTCAGAATCCTTCCGTGGTCGTGCGTTCCTCACGCTTCAGAACGACCGCGGCGCGAGAGGGGTGGATATCATCCCTGATCAGGGTGTCACCGACCTCATTAGCGGAGACTGGTAAGCGTGCAGTGGATCCAGCTGGATAAGAATAACGACGGCCACAGGTTCTACATTCGTTCCAGTGTCGATCCAACCAGTTACTGGTTCTACGACTCTGGCAGATCTAGGGTGGTCGTATCCACGACCAGGCGCACCATGTTCCGTGTGGTCGCGAAGAATGTGCCAGATAGAACGGTCATGATTCGCTCCGACACAGTTGCTTTGTTTGCGTGGCCACAGAGTAGGCCGATCTACATTGATTCCCAAGGAAACCTCATTGGAGGAGGCAGTAGCGATTGGACCTTCGACTTTGAAGACTTCGGCACCGGTCGCTTTGTCGATTCTGACAGCGGCATTGTGTATGGGAACATTGCCGACAACGCGCCGAAGAAGCCAGGATGGGAGCTCGTGAATTAGCGGAATTGTTTTGACGGGTGTTGTAGATGTTCAAAGCGTGCGATAGTAATGTACTATAGCCTGTAGCGAAGGAGGATTTTATGTGTATGAAGACTGGTCGAGTACAACTGGATTTTCTCACCTGGGCCCGATAGCCTCGCAAGTGTTGAGGTTTGTGCGACATTAAATAATTCACAATGCCGGTTCCCCAAGGTCCGTAACGCGCCACTTGTAGTTCAGATTAGTTATCCCATATGCGTATTTATTTTTCCAGCGGTAGGGACGACTTCTGAAATCTGCAAAGAGGTCCTATCATTGCGGGCGATCCGTAGAGTTTCAGCAGGAATTAGCGCCCACTACTGTACCAAGCGCTTACGAGGTCAGGGGTACGAATATCAACGTTTAACAGCACGCGAAATCTGTGCTCAAAGATCCTTTGCATACTCAGCTTGCACGTATATTCACTTTACTTACTTTATGAGACCAAGGTTTACCCCCATGTATCGGGCATTGAACGCGTAGGAACGCGACTTAGGCCGATAGGGAACTGACAGGGACTGACAGGGGTGCACCAGCGCCAACACGTGCTGCGCAAACAGGGGCCCTAATCAAGCAATCGAACTGGTAACCAGCCATCTACCACTCTCACTTAACGACCAACATGTCGCGCTTCGTCCGAGCATCGAAATACAGGTCAGTATCGCGTGAATCTGTTGCTTCTATTGACTGGATTGCCTCAGCAATACAGGCATGTGTTCGGGCAGCCAGCTAAGAAGGAATACAACATCGAGAACATCAAGGTCACGAACAGTGCATGGGACACGAATGTCATTTCAGTTTCGGCGGTGAGTAGACTTCGTGTCCTGCGATGGGAAATCCATGCTGACTGTACTTCAGAAATACCTCAGCGTGAACTGGAATGCTTCTGGCGGAGGCGCGTTTGCTATCTTGCCGTTGCCGACACCATTCGCGCCGATCTCGGGCTCATTCCCTTCCAAGCTTCCGGACACATTACCTATTGCTAGGTCACATACAGCGCCGGTACTAGATACCGACTGGTCGCCACACAATGATTCCATCGTCGCATCAGCTGGAGAGGACGGAAACGTTTTCATCTGGAAAGTCGAGTCGAGCGAGTTTGACGGCTGGGGTGAGGAAGGGTGGGCACCGCAGGACTTTGATCCCGTAGCGAAGATCGTGGCATCGCCCAGGAAGATTGGCCAGGTCGTCTTCCACCCGACTGCCAACATGGTGCTAGCAAGTGCGAGCGGAGAGCACACCGTCAAGCTCTGGGATTTGGATAACACCGATAGCCCAAAGTCGACGCTGGTTGGCCACAATGACACGATCCAAAGCATCGCGTTCAACCCAACGGGTACGTTATTGGCAACTACATGTCGCGACCGCAAACTGCGCTTGTTCGATCCACGTGCTGGAAGTGAAGCAGTACGCGTCGCTGACGGGCATGGCGGCGTCAAAGGCAGCAGAGTGACTTTCATGGGCGATCACGACCGTATTGCTACCACTGGGTTCAGCAAGATGAGTGATCGACAAGTCGGCATCTGGGACTCCGGAAGTCTTAACAGTATCAAAATGACGGTGCTTGACCAGAGTGCAGGTGTTGTCATGCCGTTTTGGAGTGATAACAATATTTTGTTCCTGGGTATGCATTTTTCTTCTTTCATGTCGTGCAGGCATCTCATCTCGTACGTTTCTAGCGGGCAAGGGTGATGGTAATATTCGGTACTACGAATACGAGTCAGACGCCCTTTTCGCTCTGGACGAGCACAAATCTACCGATCCTCAGCGCGGAATGTGCTTCCTCCCTCGCCGCGCCCTCAACGTCAGCGAGTGCGAGATCGCGCGCGCGTACAAGATTTTCGGCAACACTATTGAAAGCATTGCCTTCAAGGTTCCAAGACGCGTAAGCACGCTTTCAGTGTGCTTTATCATCACTCACGCCTCCGCTTCTTTGATTCCAGGCTGATTCATTCCAATCTGACATCTTTCCTCCGGCGCCATCCTATGAGCCCAGTCTCTCAGCCTCCGAATTCTTCTCAGGCAAGGAGATCAAGAGGAAGTTGGTCAGTCTCGACAGCGGGGAAACGACGACCTCGTCAACTGCGGCAGCTGCTCCTCCGAGCGCGCTCAGTTCTCCGGTCCCTCCCGCTACAGTACCCGCCGCCGCCGTTTCCGCTGCCCCCGCGCCTTCTCCTCTTTCACCGCCACCATTTACGCCCACTCCGGCGGCGATCTCTACACCGACCAGTGCTAACCCCATTTCGCGATCAGTGAGCGAGAGCGTCGCCCACACCCCGATCAGGTCGCAAACTGTGCCATCTTCTGCTAGCGGGGTTCGTCTTTATTTACATTTTGATTTCTTCGACTTCCATACTTATCGACCTTGCAGAGCGGTGATGACGCGGCTCTGAAGCGCGAGAACGACAAGCTCAAATCGGAGAACGCGAAGCTGACGGAGGAGCTGCGCGATGCTAGAGAGAAGATGAGGAACTTGGAGCTCCAAGTAGAGAGCGTGCGAGCCAACGCAAGGAAAGCGGCGCAAGCGCTCCTCGATGGCTGATCATGAAGTTCCATGTGGAAAATACCTACTTTCTTTCCCTCGGATTTTCGACATCTTTCTCAGTTCAGGCATAGTCACTAGGAAACGAAATCTGTAGCATCCCTTGATTGAATCTCACATTCTGCATTCTTGCGTCTAATTCAACCCCTTTCCCCCTCTTTTAGCTCCTATTTCCGAGGTTGAAAGAGATAATAGATAACGCTCAGTACTTCCTTTCCGCTCGTGAGACGGCTTGTTATAAGTACAGTGCCCTTCGCTCAGCCGTTGACCAACAACCGTTCAGACAATTCTAACCAGTGTCTAGGTGGAATATCCTCCCGTATTTGCGCCCTATCTTGAAAGGATATGTTGCTAGTAGAGTCCGACATAGACCTAATCAATGGTATTAACAAGATAAACAACCAATACACCCTATGTCTATACTATCACATGTATGTAAGCGCGACGAAAGATCTGACCTCGGTACCTCTATTGCTGTTCATATCACGTCTTCCCCTGGGGATATCCATAAGGCGGGGGGGCTTCCTCGTCCTGAACGGAAGATGGAGCAGCAGGGCGGGATGGCGGTCCTTCGTACACAAAAGGTGTTGTAATGTATGACTGACTAGGAGTAGAGCGTCCTCCGGATGCAGTGATGAATGTCTGAGTATGAGATGCCCTGTGGGATCGGTGCCGATGGCAGAGGAGGTACAGAAGAATAATGAGGGCCACCCCACCAGTGCTCCCTATCACAGCCGCTATTATGACAGTCCCAGATGTTGACGATGATTCGGTAGAAGCGCGTATTGTGGCGGTTGGGCCAACCTTTGGATCCACGCTTATTGATGAAGCCTCCGACTTCCCATCATCTTGGCTTGTTAATTTGTGATGAGCAACAGTCCTAGGATTCCCTGAAGCCTGGTGTACTCACGTGTATATTATTGCATCCAAAAGCATCAATGTCCGCGGCCCGTCGACATATCCATTTTGAATCGTGAGATTGTGCTCCGTGGAAGGAAGATTTGTTCGGACAAAAACCGCGACATTGTAGTCGAAGCCAGCGTTTCCGGGAGCCTCCTGAGTGAAATTCCCTGCAAGGCGACCGTCGATGAAGAAGGTCATATTAGAGCTACCAAAAGGTCTGGCTTTTGAGTGGGAAAGTGCGCATAGAACGTATACGGCCGTGCCTAAGATGTAGAAATGACTGTAGCTTGGGAAGTGGTTACGTGTCTTCGAGACGCACCAGTAAATGTCACTGAGGCTGAGGGTACTTCCAGCTTTGGATCATAGGTAGAATCCTTCCATGTATGCTGTAAATCTTGGTTTCAGCACCTTCCTACGATGTACAAATGGTATGGCTTCACCATGTATAAGAAATTTGCGTCCGGGTGTGCATTGCAGTGATCGCAATTTGGACCATCATTCCAAGCTGAAACTGGGTGGTACGCTATAACACGCCCGGTGGGGTCCCCAAATGTATCGTCTATCGTGGTGTTTATGAGAACAGCATCTATACGCTTGCAGAGATGGAGCAGAGCAGAGCAGAACGTCCATGCGTGGTTTGGCTTCATGACGGTCGTTCACAGTCGTCGTTGAAGGGACGCCGTAGTTTTTGGGGACGTTGGGATAGACAGAACAGAACTTGCGTGCAATGTTCGTGGCAACGAGGCATTAAATTTCATATCAGAAATCAGGATGAGAACCGGATATCAATCAATGTCGAAGACAGCCATTGTACGGAATTGATGGATTGACGGCAGTCCATACATAGTCGCAGGTGTGAGAAGCCCGAACAGTATAGAGTGGCGTCTCCCTATATGTCGCATTTATCAGATAGACCACAAAATGGCTGAAACATACATCAAAGCCGAAGACCTGTTGGCGTAAAAGGCAGATCACTGGCGCTTGGTATGCCGCAGGACTTGAGCTCGAGTGTTGAAAGGGAATTGAGCTTCAGCGGAATCTCTAATCAAGGGAAAGCACAGAAGTTGCTTGTAGATTTAGTATAGTACCAGGTCATCTTACAGCAGCCCGTGCCCCCTTTTCTCCGTACGCTACTAAGTATGTGCAGTACGGGGAAGTAGAAGTAGTAGATACTCGTCAGTAGACATACGGCACAATGCGGTATGGCACCAACTTTGTATACCGCTCCCAATCCTTCCCGTACCTGTGGATGATGAACAAAAATCCATCAGTATCAATTTCATGAGGGAACTGAGGGTAGGAGGGAAGAACACCATAACTCACTTCTGTGCACAGTGTTCGTTGTCCCGGCGCTCGCGGTGAAGAAGGAGGATGGAGAAATATATGACGTAGAAGTAGGTGATTGGGGTGTTAAAGCCGGTGGGGAGAGACCATGCCAGCGCCATGATCACGTCCCCACTACGTGCACGTGTGAGTGTTGGGTAATTGATGAGGGGAGGTGACTTACAGATAGTTCGGATGCCTCGAACGACCCCACCAGCCAGTGATGAGCAGCTTAGACCCTCGCTCCGTTTTCATGTACTTGAGGTCTATATTATGAGAACCGTCACAATTTGAGCCCGCAGTCCCTACTTGCAGTCGGTATACCGAACGCACTCTTAGGATTCTTCCCGTTCCGGAAGTCGTTCTTCTCGCCATTCGCGGCCCGGAATATGTAATATCCTATCCCGTTGACGAGAAGCACGAGCGCCACATTGAGTGCACCCATTTCGAGCTGTTGGAATACCAGGTATCGGGCTTGGAGGGAGTATACAAAAGGTATCCAGCAGAGACACCCGAATACGAGCATGAAGCCGAGGCCATCGGTCGTGATATCCATGACCGTGAACACGGCGGTCTGTCCAGGAGATCGTCAGGACTTCAACCTAAGGAACGATAAAAATGAACGCGCCTCATTGTAGAGGGAATCGGCAATGTAGAATAAGTGGAACGCGAGGACTAGCCACATGGAGTCGGTGACTTTGATGAGGCCGCCGCGGCGAACCGCCTGCTCGCATACCATGCTGATATCGACCAATCCCCACAGGATCATACTGGGACGTAGCTCGTTGAAATACTTGAGATCCAGGGATCCTATAGTTGGGTTGAGTTCGCGTCCCATGAAGAACTATTCATTCCTAAACATTAGGGGTGGCAACAAGCAATTGGATATGGCATACATCGTAAATTGGGTTTCCAGTGTTTCCTCCAAGGCTGAGCAGTTTCCCCGGTTGAAATGACGCGAGGTAGACGTATACGGCTTGGATTACCGACAGGAGGAGAGATGCTGTGACGAAACCGACCCATTTCCGGTAGAGGAACGTGAAGGATTCTACACCCTGATATACAATCATCGCAACAGCAATGCCTATTGCGCAAATGAAAGTCACAAAGCCTATAAACAAACAACGACATTGAGTATGACTGCGAGTATATAGCGAAGAGAGGATAGAATATACCGTTGACTTTGTAGGTCTTCTTTTGCCCATTGCGCATGAGCACGCCTTGGAAGTCGTTGCCAGGGAGGATCGCCCACGCCACGACGCAGAACAGATACCAAGCAAGATAAATGACAGTCGCCTCGGAATCCCACAGACTCATCCACCAATCGAGCCTGGTAGTACTCGATGTCACTGAGGGGATCCAGGCAGCGAAATTCCCCGGGGGACATCCACCACTCTCTTCAGAGCACCCAAAATATAGCGCATAGGCGATGAGCGGCGAGGAGATCGTGACGAGCAACGCGCCAGGTGGACCGAAGAATTGGTATTCCTTCGTTCGGGGGTTAAGAGCGTCCGCTTTGGTGGCCATCGTCGAGCGGGGTAAGTAGAGGACTATAATGATGCGTCTGAAGCATATTTAGATCAGTAGAGACTAGGAGCACCTTACGATTTACGATCGTCAGATTTAATTTCAAGCAGAATGTGGCGCCATTTAGGACACTGCTTGAACTTGGCATCCGCAGCCATGATACCAACTACATCGGTTGTTTACTTGTTGATTTACTTCCTAGATAATTCGAGGTGTTCTGGCCCGAAGCTATCGGGTAGTAATTCACCCAGGGTGGTTTCCTTAACGCCACCTTCTGTTGTACCTTCGGCAGACTCTGCCTGTGGATAGTCCGCCGGAACGAGCAAGATGGGCATATTCAGCACACAAAACTCGCGTATGACTTGACGACACATCCCACATGGCGAAATGGGTGCCTTGACATCCCTTGTAGATGGGCGTAAGGCGGATGTTGGTAGAGCACGGATGTACTTACGTGACCACCGCGAGACCGATGAAAGAACGGATCCCTTCGCTCTGAGATAATGCAGTCAAGCATCTGCAATCATGCTGCACGAGCAACAGAGGGAGCTAACCACTGCCTTGACGAGCGCCGTACGCTCAGCACATATCGTGCCACCTTCGGACAATCGTTTCAAGGCAAAGCCGTGTGGGATAGAAACAACTCACCATATGAAGCATTCTCAATGTTTGCACCCTTTATTATCTGACCATCCACCGATAGCAGCGCAGCGCCGACAGGGAACTTCGAGTACGGGCTATATGTACCCTTCTTGGCTAGAAATCAATATCAAAAGAGATCGCGAAGTAAGCCGGGATATTGACCCTCAAATGCTCCTTCGATCAGCCTCTGGCGATCTGGAACGGACAGGGTCAACGCTCTGGCGGACATGGTAGTAGAAAGGAAAAACGGAGTGCGTCGGGCTTCGGCGAATGTCTTACTCTCCCCGACGCCCACGTGATGTCCGCTCGTCTTGACTTCGAACCTCTTCCTCGTCGTCGCGAACGTCGAGCTCAATGTTTTCTCCCTTGCGCTGTCGTTGCCAAATTAACCTATGGTCCAAATACCAGTTCTTGAATCCCCGATCTTTATCGTCTTCCTGTTCATCTCCGCCTGGCGAGACCCCATATCCTTTCCCATCCCATAATCGTCCGACCCCGCACCAGATATTTCATCTACCTCATGGGGCGTCGCAAACTGATATAAAGGCTCGATGTACGCCAAATTACTTGCTTACGTGCCCGAATTCACAGAAATATCCACCTTGTTGCAAGATTACGAACTGGTGCGCATACACCACCCTGATTCTATCCACGGTCGGTCTATATCACCCAGGTTGCGGCATGCGCGCTTTCAATCTATAACTGCGGCATACGATGCTCTTCGTGGAAAGAGAGCGCATGCCAATGTTGACCCCTATACCGAGGAGATATTGAGGCGAAAGCGAGCATATTACGCCCACTACGGGCACAGGCCTCGAGCAGAACACGCATATTACCGAGGCAGACATAACTGGCACGCCAGCGCGGATGACCGCTGGAAGGACAGAATCATCCTCGCCGTCGGAATAACAGTATGTACATTTCTCTACTCGCTGCCATAGGAGGGCGTGAAAGTGTGTCCGCAGGCCCTTGTCGCGGGGATTGCCCCAGGCTTGTATATGTTCCCTGCGAGCATGGAAAGAAAACATCTGGCTGCCGTTGCAGGTCTTGCTCAAGCGCGGAGTGAGGCTCGTGAAATAGGCGACGAGCGTATGAGAGAGCTCCACAAACGAGCAAAGGAGATAAGGTCGTCAAGGACAGAACGTTGAGCTTCATACAACGGTATGCATTCACTTTTTGCTCCGATTACGAACTGCTAACTTTCAGGTGCAGAGAACTATCCATCGACTCAGCGTATCCAGTATACTGCCCAAATGTTGCCATTATTTCCAGCCACTCAGGCAGCACTTTCTTTCAGACTTGGTAGATAACTTGTGTCGCACTTGCGAGGAAACATCGACAATGAGTCAGTGTAAATTATATTATCGCCCACTTCCGTTGGCGAGATGATGGTGCTGCGCAAGGAAGGGACTCCATGAGGCATCAATTTCCCCCGGCATTCGATTACCTTGCTTGGAAAGCTGGGTCCCCCTCCCTGGAACTCGCCCAATTCGTCTGGAATCTCAATAGGCGCAGTCCTACGCTTCCGCCATGACTGCCTCTGCCTGATACCAATGGCAATACGGGACCCCCGACCTTGAAGGTTTGTAGTTGTACTTGCGTCAATACTAAATTCTCGTCCCTCTTGCAATGAGCTCGACCGTAGGTCGAGCGACGAGGTGCTCTTGCTCACTCGGTGCTCTTGCTGTAAATTCCCACATACAGGCAAGGTATTTTTCAGCACCGCCAGGCGATTCTAGTCATATAATATCCCTTCAAGCTGTCGAGCGATTTTGCCTGATCAAACAAGCTAAACTCGGAGAATACCCACGATCGTAAAGCACTACTCGATCCCAAGCGAACGCGACCAAAGCCCGGCGGCACGGGATTTATCTCTACATACAACACAAAGCTGCACAATGAAGTCCATGAAGAAAGTAAAACAAAATGGGGTATCAAATTCATCGCCTGCCGCCTGCCGCCTGCCACCTGCCGTTTACTATTGCTGCTTCTGGCTTCTCAGCGCTGCAATTTGTCGTGACCGCACAAACCACGAGGTGAGCGGAATAGTGATACAGGAAACGGCGATCCACGCAATGAGGACGCCGAAGTTCAACCCCACTGTTGGCGCGAAGTCAGATGGACAGACATGGTCCTAGATCACAAGTAACACTTACGCATGTTGCGGGTACTGAACACGATAGTGCGAATGCCCCGGGAGACGTTGTAAAATGGTGATGCGTAGCCGTATCGGTAGAATGCCGGCAAGGTTTCCAGAGGATAGAAACAAGTTGAGACGTTACCTAGTAAGACGGGGAAACGAAGTAAGCAAGTGCCACCCTACGTCAAACGCTCGCTCACTTATTATCCACAACACCAAGAAGAATGGGATGAAGCGTGGAGTAAGCAACGTGAACATGGCCTCTACAGCTAATCCACTACATTCGATGGGGAATACACATCAATAGCGATAAGAAGATATGAGGTGAGCGTCACGTACAGTGCTGTCATCCCAAACCACATGAGCATCCAGAATACGAGGAACCCAGGGTGACCGAAACTGCTGGATGTTCATCTCTCAAAGCGATGGCGATTGAAGTTTTACGTACCGACGATGGAATGGTAACTGGAACGCTAGACTCTGTAGCGAGTAGAATAGCTGGTAGACCAGGATGTCAGACATATCTACCGAAGGTGGACCCAGGGGACGGAGCGTACCGAGAGAATAAAGTACATTGAGATCGAAGTCACGATCCTTGTAGAGATCAAAGATGGTAAGGAAAGGCGCTGCTCGAAGCCGGCAGCAAGTCGAGCGCCATTGGCAATACCCTAACAAGGCTGTGAGTAGACAGCTTTCAGTCCAGTGCATTTGAAGCGTACCGCGGCGATGAACTAGACAGTTATCGCGTGTTAGTTAGCTTGATGTGTACGTGTTGCGCGGACTCACAGAGATGATCAAAAGGTATATCAAGCCCACAAACGTGACTGCACTAGCTCTACGATGCAGGACGAATGCATCAGTTATATGTTCAAAAGGAGAGACGAAGATAACACTCACACTGGGATATCGAAAGGCCGCAGATTGCGAAGGGTGAAATATGCCGGGCGTGTGATAAGTTGAGGAGCAGTAGAAAGAACAGTACTGATATCAATTTGTCTGCTGATGAGTGTACGAGCAAACTGGTTTGCAAAGTTCAAGGAAAGTTGATCCATGGGAATATCAATCTAATCACATTGCAGTGAGTCAAAGTACCATTCGCAAGCAAGAATTCAGCGAACATTTGGTTTAAGAAGAACGCGGCTATACAGTAGAACCTTTCGTTATCATTTCGTGAGTTATGCACTGAAGAAACGTACTATGCATCTTCGTTGCGGGCTTCTACGCCGAACGCAGTCACAGCGCTGGTGCCATCATAGTTCGCGTCCAACGAGGCTACTGCGGCGTTGAGTCTCGCAGTAGCGTTTGGATTGACTGAATGCCACTTAGTCACGTAGTACGGTAGACGGAGGATGTGCCTACTCGAAAGTGCAACCCAGCAACGCTCGCCGATGACTGCCTGAGCAAGATCATCGACACCGTTAGGGAAGTCGCTTGCTGGTCTGACCTCCCATGAGATTTTCATGGGCTCGCCACGAACGCCTAGGAAATTCTGCACAACGGCGGCGCCGATATCACCACCATCGAAGTCCTATCGTACCAAGAGCGGGTTTCAATATGTCTTTTAGGGGTTATGTAAGAATAAATGTCGCGTACCACAATCCAACCGTTCAAGTTATGAATGAAACGGTCGGTGCGCCACAATGCACCCCAATATATACTGAGGACGGCAAAGATTGTAATTGTGAGCAGAACTAATCCGCCGGCGAGGACTTTGAAGTATGCTGCCCTTGCTCTAGCAGCGTCCGGAGTCCGGTCAAAAAATGCTCCGGTGAATACAGGAGCAGCAGGCGGTGGAGACCGACTATGGATTGTTGCGTCGGATGTTCTGGATGATTGAAGGCCAAGGGGGCCCTGGCGCGATGACATTGTGGTGAAAGGGCAAGGAAATCAGCGTTTGAGAACAGGACAGAGGGATGGAAGTTGTGTGTTTTAATAGATAGCGCCTCGCTGATGTTGGCTGGTTGGCACATTGTGCGGCGATGTATTATCCTTAAATTGTCAGGACCCTCTTCAACACATACTGATTGCCGTGGGTACCATGACAAGTAAGCTGCGCCGTCGTTCGACCTCGGGGCGCAACGTGGATCGTATGTGTAATATCAGTCGCCGGAGTAGGTGGGTGAGATGCGATCAACACATCCTATTGACCGACCCTTCACGGCATACTTCACGGAATATCGTATAAGGTTTCAACGGCGCGATCTATCCCCGTATCACAACACCGGCGGTCTATTCGAATATCGTGTTGTTGTGCAACGCGTACGCCTCGACGCGGAAGGGACATTAAATCGGTACGATGAAGGCGCTCCGACACCCACCACCTTCCGCGGAGTAGTTGGAGTTACACAAAGAGAGAGTGTGTGTCGTTGGAGTAATATTCTCGGCATCTTCCAGAATGGACGCCGGCGTCAACCGTAACTTTGGGGTCTAGTGTTCGACTGCGACAAATGGATGCATCTTAGACCGTTGTCTGTAGCCGATGCGTTCCGGATGTTGATGCCCAGCCCACAATGTTCATGCGTCTTTGAGTGCTGCCAGTGTGGGTTTAAAAGTGTGTCGAGGTGCCAACTTACTACGAAGAGGTCAAGTCCCCCCGAGCTGTGGTATCGGTAGCCTGTGCGGTAGTCAGGATCAGGATGCAGTCAAAGCGAAGCTGACGAAATAAGCATGCCTAAACGAGTGTTAATAGATTAAAGGGGTTTATGAGTCTTCGAGCCGGCTTATTGCCTGAATGAAACCCACACATCCAGATGGCTTTACATCAGACTGACAGCGGTGAAAGGGGGGCATTGCATCGTGAGTACGTGCCACTTGATCAATAACAATGCGACTCAGACTTTCTTCAATGAGTCCATCATTACTAACTGCCCGATTAGACCGGACCACTTAACTTATATATATTGAACGCCGCTCCGAAATGGACCAGCGGGTCCATCAAGCATGAGCAAGTCTCGCAACTGCACCTCCCGGAACCTCGGATAGATGGCAGCTGCACATTGACATGGTTCATTCACCCCGAAGGCACATGCCGCCGGTAGAGAGGACCCTTCATCGGATACGAGGGGCCTCACGTCGACACATGCGGCCGAACGCAGGCACACGCGTTTATAGTGTTTATGGCCCACGAGGACTTACAGTACGACCCCTTCCACAGCTAAACAATTCCCCAGCGCTCCGCGACGATATACACAGGTGCTGCTGTGGGCTAAAGGCACATGTGGCTACCGAGAATCGTATCCAGCCAACCACACAGCACGTTCAGCGACAATCAAATCGACTCAACAATAACAGTCGCATTGACAACGCGGACTCCTTTCGCCCTCAGATGAGGGTCCGTGGCGCCCCAGCGCGATCCCCGTGGCGACATCGACTTGAAACCAACGCGATAGTCCTAGGAATGCATGGGCTTGGATTTATCGGGCCGTGGTCTTTGGTGGGGGAGGAACTTGGGAGGAACAGAGAAGTGGCAGATCTGAGACGCCCGTAACTGAGCACGTGACCGCGGCCCGAAGGTTCACTAATCTAATCTGTCTCGGCGGCCTTCCTGTACTTTCCTGCATCGACACGACGTGAGGACTCTGCAGTTCATGCTGTTAAACAACGACGTTGCAAGTCATCAAGAGACTCACAGTACGACATGATGCAGCCTGGAACATTTGCTTTCGGTGCGATATTGAACATGGATACATACATTAGGGTGAGTTGTGTATGTTCATGATCTAGCTTGAATGGACTACTAAAGAAGTTATTATCTCAACCCCCCATAGGAGAGGATTTTGGTCATATGGGTATCTTCCATATCCCTTGTCTGGATACCCCACAACTCATGGAGACCTCTTAGGTGGAAATATTTGCTTACGGTGAATCTGCTTTTCGGTCACTGCTGCGGAGCTGCATCGTTTAATTCATACTGTTGCCCTAGGGGTATATGCCGTTTTGTTTTCTATATGTCTCCATCTCTTCAGGAATCGTACAAAGCCTCATCCTTGGGTTATCGTCGCGACCGTCCTGCTCTTCGTACTCTCGACCATCAAACTCGGATTAGACCAAGCATCCGTTGTTCAGGCCTTCGCTTCAATTGGGAGCGACTCCTCGTTCAATCGGTCGCTCGACAAAGCGGCAGTATATATATATGTCTCCGCAAAGTGAGTTCGCTGCGACTTGTCAGGCCTCAAGGTTGCCCCTGTACCGTGATCCGTTGCGCGCTCGCTGACTTCATGGCTTTACTTCGTCAAGTGCTGTCTCCGACGCGCTTCTCGTAGGTCTTCAACCTAGCCGTCTTGTCTAGTTGTGCCTATACATCTCGACCCTAGATATATCGATGTGCCATAGTTTGGGAATCCAGGAAGTTCGTGCTTGCTCTGCCACTCCTCCTATCTTTCGCTTCAGCCAGTGCGTGTATTCTCTGCACTTTACGCTGGTGCCCGGGTGTCAACTCTATGTCAACAGTTGCCGGCTACTCCTCGCAATATACGGGGTCATTGTTTATCATTCTCTCGATGATCACCAACACACTTGTCACCGCCTTGATAGGTGAACTAGTTCGATTACCCTCGGCCATAGCCACACCTGATGATTGATGGCTCTAGCCGGACGAATCTGGTGGATCAGCAGGCGCCTTCGTGCATTCCTAGGCTCTACGTACACCGAATATACAGCGGCAATCGCAATCATGTAAGGATCCCATGCGTCGACCGTCATTGGGTATCGAGATAACAGGAGCTATTCAGCGTCGAATCTGGGCTAATGTGCACGATCTCAACGGTCGTATTCACAGTAACATACAATGAGCAATCCGCACGATGGGCGGCTTATTACTTCAGCTCACAAGCGATTGTGAGCACTCTTTTGTAGGGAGATCATTGTCTTGAAGGTTGATTCTGTTGGTCAATAGGGAATTGCACCAACGCTGATACTTGTCCGAGTTGGGCTTGGGACGGGGACGTACGAGGAGAGTCTGAAAACACTGGAGTTGACCTCGAAGAGACAGTCTACTGTATAGATTAGAAAAGGTATTTGTGTGTCGACAAAAATGTATTTACAAGACAGCATCGCAGAAGAGTGTTATTAGAGCCAAGGATCAGCAATCTCCCGAGCCACGTTGAGGATAAATGTACATATGTAAGGGAGGAAAGCGAGCAACGGTGGATGTTACTATGTGGGACGAGGGCCCGTAGACATGCTGGAGCTGTTTGATAAGGGGGACATAGACGGGACTGCGTCGGCGGCGAGTTACAATCCCGACTCCCTCGGCTCATCACCGTGTGTAGCTGCCAACGAGCGGGTTCGTACTTGCCCAGTACGGTAAGTCGTACGGTGTCAATTCGTCAACTCCTGTATTCGTCGTCAACAGCGACACATCGTCCGAACCTGATGATCCTTCAAACGTTACATGCATGGCACGACATGTGGGGTTGAAACTATTGTGAAGATGTCTTATCGGTGGCTTGGGGTACCTGACCTGTAGCACTTGGACGTAGTGGTATGACGGTGTCTACTGGCCAACAGCTCCAACGCCAGGCCGGGTCCGCCATACCCTGGGCTGAGAACTGGACTTGTTGTATATTATGATTACTGGCTAGGCACCTTTCTCTTGGGGTACGGTATTATCTGGCTATAACCTAGATTTACGACTCAGTATAATGGGATGGGAGTGACCCGCGCTTCACTTCTAGCGGTGTCTTCTTTTCTGTCTGAGCAGAGCAGTCGTCAGCGGACAACTACAGTCTTTTACGGTGATAGTTGAATTTGGACAAGCAGCAGGGGATATTAGTACTCACTCATGGATCCGATTGCCTCGTCTTCGCAAACTCCAGTGTTTTGATAGTCTCCTCGTAAGTTCCCGTTCCAAGCCCTACCCGAACGAGTATGAGCGTAGGAGCGATCCCCTGTTCACACAGCAGTTTTAGTAGTAGGACAACACACAGAGTAGTTACGTACAATGGCCTGCGAACTAAAATAATAAGCCGCCCACCGTGCAACTTGGACATTGTATGTCGCTGTGAATACGGCCGTAGAAACTGTGCAAAGTAGGCCAGATTCGATGCTGTCACACGCCACGTCCTGTGTTATTCCATGCCAACCGGTAGGAGGGGGAAAGACCTTACATGATTGCCATTGCCGCCGTATATTCGGTGTACGTAGTGCCTAGAAATTCACGGAGACGCCTGCTGATCCACCAGATTCGTCCGGCTGCGAGGGGACATAAGTGCAATTCTGGGAGAGCATAGTCGAATGAGAGGCTTGCCTATCAAAGAAGTGACTGTGATGTTGGTGATCATAGAGAGGATGACAAACACGGATCCCGAAAGCTGTGAGGTATAGCCTGTGACTGGAAGTATGTGTAAACGACAATGATAGTTGGTGTTGGAAGGGGGAGATAGCTCACGGGCCGACGTAACAGCAAGAAGGAGCGGCAGGGCAAGCACTGATTTCCTAGCTTCCCATATTATACTGCACCGATATATCTGTAGATTGTCGAGTAATAAGCATAAGCAAGGGTACGAGTTATCTGAGCTGGATACTTACTAGGAGTGCATCAGAGACGGCACTTGAGAAGCGGAAATTCAGTGATCCTAAGTATAGTATGAATCGAATGTGCATGCTCACCTTGCCGAAACGTATATATAGACCCCTGCCCTGTCGAGAGAACTGTCGAAAATGGAGCTCACATCATCCGTATATGCTACTACGACGGAGGCAAGGTCCAACGCTAGCTTAACCGTCGAGAGAAAGAATAGAAGTACAGTCGCAATGATAACCCAAGGGTGTGGCTTTCTTCTTGGATTCCTAAAGAGATGGATACATATGCCGAACAGAACGAAATACACGCCTGCATAACGAATTCGCGTCGGTCAAAATATCTGCATTCTTAGCAGGAAAGCAGACTCACCGTATGCAAAGATTTGAATCTAGTCTTTCATCAGTCATAAATACAAGCAGCAGACGACGATGGTGCAAATACCCATATTAACAGAAATCTTTCCTAAGGAATCAGGTCACGTCGGTACGAATTTGGAGATAATTCGGCCACGACTCACCTGAATATATGTGTCCATATCCATTATTGCCTGGAAGGCATCGGTGCTCATATTTCGTTCTGATGCTGTCGCTGTCGGCGGCGTCCTGTCGATAAAGTCGCTTCGGCGGCGCGCGAGCACTTTGGGCTTGTTCGCGTCCTTCACGACGAAGAATCAGCTGGACGCGTCCTGTCGCGTTTTCTGTAGATAGTTACTGAGTAGACTGCAAACTGAATAGGAAAGTTCAAGGACTGGACGGTCACTATCATCGAAAATCACAAGGCAATTGAAGTTACATAGTAGTCGCCCTGCGAATTGGGGTTTTAGCGCCCGAGTTCAAACTTCAACATGATTCTTTTCATGATCGTTACCTGGCGTCCTTCGTCCTCATCACGTTGAATATGCCACTGGTGTTGGACGTTCTTCTGTCAACATTCTGGCGAGCTTTATCAAAGTTTGTGGCCTCTATCAAAAGTCAGCGCCACGGATTGAGCTGTATGTAATTAAGACGTACGAGGTGATGGAGACTCACCGCCACAGTGCCACCATCCCAAAAGTTCCCTCGTCCTCTGTTAAATCATTGATACCGGGGTTCACAGCAAGTCAGGCCGCGGGAAAGGGTTTCTAGTACCCAGGTCAGACGTTGCTCAAGTGGAGACGAAATACCGCCGTTGCCGATGAATGCGATGGTTGTGAAGGAACGCAGTGCATTATATCATGGTAAGAGTGAGGGATATGAAAGGCTTGTTCCGTACTGAATCTGTTTTCAGGGACTGTCGGTCGACGATTGGCCTCTCATCATAAGTCTCAGGGGAGACCGGAGCCGCAATCCACCGGAGGCAACTCCCTATTGCGCATTCGTCCGCAACAAGATCACGAGTGAAATTGATCCCGTAAGATGAGCATTGATCTGAACTTAACGGCTTGTATCCTCTAGCCTACAGCTACGCTTCAAGAGTAGGTGATGGTTAGTTCTTGTCGAAGCTCTGAGGCCTGAACTGGATTTGTTTCTCTCTTCAGTGGAATATACTCTGCAGCGATATTGATACCCTTACCGGGGCCATTCATAAAGCGATCGCCGGTGGCGAGCGGAGCATTGACGAGATAGTGGTCGTGAGATCAGGGATGGATCATGAATCATGATGCCCCCATATTGATTCATGTACTCTATATGTACCTGATTTTAGGTGAGTGCCGCCTCCTAAACTTGTACCTCTTTGGTTGATCTGCGTTGACTATTATTCTATCGTCTGACATGTCACGACTCTACTTGGCCATCCGCAAAGATTAATCTATGGCCACGCGCTGGATATATCAGAAAGTGCACTAGATAAGTTAAATGGGCCTCGTATAGAGCCTCGGGCTGTAGGCACACAGTAGGTACCCCAGGTGTCCCCTCCTCCTCGTCCTCCTTGTGTCACGGCAGCATCCGCGACTCTTGGAACGTATTGAACAGACGAGCGCTTATATGTGACCTATTGTCGCAGTCAAGAGGCACGAACTTACCACTTAGATACCCAAGAATCCCCATGACGTGCGTCAGTACATGGCCACCGGAAATTACCGTCCTGTACCTCAATCCTCCCCAAGATGGGTCTCGGTAGGCCCTGTTGCCCGAAAATTCTATCACGATGAATGTCGCAGGTGTCGTCGAGAGGAGTCTAACCTTCTTGACCCCAGACCAAGCTGTCGAAAAACGTGCCACAGGTAGGTCCAAGGATGCTCAGCCACGGGACCGCTCAAATCCAATGGACTGATAGTCTGCGATAACGGTGCGATCGGCGTGCCAGATTAGATGGTAAGGGTAAAACAAGTCAGACAGCAGGTTAGAGACTGTCAGACAGGCATGATTTAAAAAATCCGCCGCCCCCGTGGTGATAGGCGCCACCAGGGTTTTTTGATGGCGGTGCATCCAGAGTCTGCACCGATGTTGACTTGCTGCAGAAAACAGCTCTTATGCAGAACTACTTATGAGAGCAGACATTCGAATGGTCTTCTCCGCCATCCCTCTTCCCTAAACGTTTCCCGAGGACCCGATTCACCATGACGTTCGAGTTCACTCATGAGATGGGCGTTATCTCGTAAGTAGATTGATTGCTTAGGAGTGAGCAATCTCCTTATTTCTGCAGGAACCGGCTTTGGGCCGTCCCCTCAGCTGTTGGCGCAGGTCTTTGCTTTCTTGTCCTCTTGGTTATTGCCGCTGTGGGGATACACCCTCGGTCCCGATCATACCTCGATCGTGTTAGCTTCCGGATCGTTGTATACGCTCTCTTCGCCAAGTACGTCAATAGCTCATCTGGTTTCAACTGCACGCATGCTGATGACGATCCAAATAGCATGATATTCGGGATTGCGAGTGCGGTTGGCGGTACGGAGACAGGTCCAGGCTTTACTTGCGGATTCTCGATCTTCGTTCTGCAGGTAAGCCAAATCACTTGGTTGCCAGTTTATAAGTATTGATCTATTGTCATAAGTTAACTCTGCAGTTCTCGAGTTGTCTCCTATTTTTCATCGCCCTCAATCTGCAGTAAGCAACACCCTCCCTCAATCTCTCTGTTCGCCCTAAAGAGGATTATAGACTTGTCGTTGTCCACGGATGGAATGGTCAGACAATGGAGAAATACTACCTCATGGTCTCTGCCTTTATATCAGTCGCCCTGACGGTCCCACCCTATGCTGCCCATCAATACGGGTGAGTCCAGCGTGTATCCTTTCGATCATTCTACCTATTGACCATAAATCTTGTAGTTGGGACCCTCTAGAACGGGTTTGCTGGTACACGAACGCCGACTTGCACGAGCGAGTCATCTGGCAGGTTCGTGGCCCGCGGCGTATCAATATCTCTGTGTGCTCATCAATAACTTCCAGATGACGACGCAAATGGGATGGACGGCATTCACAGTCATTGGTGAAGTCGTCTGCTCGGCCGTCGTCCTTATATATATGATGAGGCATAACGTCAGTTCGGGCCTCCCTTCAACGATCTTCGACTTATCAAATATTTATCTAGGCTCGCAGTCGGAGAGTATTTGTCCCTGTTCAGACGATTTCCGACACATCATCTTCGCCAGCCGTCCTGCATGCCAACAGACACAGACATATCATTTTCCGCATTTGTAGATCCATTTCTTTGGTAATCTCCGATACAGTTGTTGACTTCTCTTCCGTAGCACTCTACCCCGTTGCATCGTGTTGTGTTAACCTAATGAGTGTCGTCACGGCGTTGCACTCGACCTTGTCCGGCGGGATTCATGATCAAACGGTAAGCCATGCCAAGTCAGTGTTCTCAGCGTTCAGGCCCTAATGCACCCTTCTCGTCCTTTAGGACTATAACGTTCTTCTGCTGAGCGATATCTTGTATGGAGGTCGTGCTATCGTATACGCGTTGCTTGCCATCACTGATCCAGTATGTGATTGTCCCTCGAATGTTCTTCCGTCCGGTGTACTAATGGTCTATACCAGGCTCTTGTCCGTGGGATGCGGGCACTGTTCTCTTATGTCATGTACGGTTCCGACGCGACGACGAGCTCGGGGACGAAAACTGAAGGTTCCACATTCTCAAGACCTGGGCAAGTCAAACGGCCAGAAGTATTTGTAGAACTATCGACGATCCTCTCTCCGCCAGAGGCAACCGGAAAGGGGGAATCTGACGAAGCGAACCCCACCGGCACCATGACAGATAGCAAAGCTGACCATCCCGACCGTCAACAAAGATTCGCCTCTGACGTCGATCTATCGTCAAATAGCGAAGACAAAGAAGCACCTAGCAACTACGATGAAGAAGCTGCAAGGCGGGACACTGGTCCAGGTCTTCAAAGCCGAATGAGAGAGGCTCGGAGGAAGGACAAGGCGGAGCAAGATGCATTTACGAAGCAGATATAACGGGGATCCCTTTCGTTCTTTTGTACTCGATTGTATGTATATTTATACCCTGTTCTTCTACTAGATATTAGGGAAACGTGATGTCGAGGGGTAGAACAAGCGCTTTATGTCGCGCCCTGTTGTAACTTAAGTGATGTTGTAGTGATTCGTACTTAATGTTATAATTACACTCGCTGTTTACTAGGAGACTCCACTGTCTTTCTCTCTCCTAGCCCCTACTCCCAGAGGCGCTTCAAGTTCCTCACATGATCAATCAAACTTTCACCTCAGCGCCTCAACTTCGAAATCGTCCATGTGTTGTTCTTTCTCGAACATAATTCATTCCATCTGTCAGGTAGCTCACCATAAAATGTCGGCCTAACGCTGAATATATATAATGTCGTCTTGGCAGAACGTTCAGTCCAGTCGACCTACTAGAGGTGACCTTGACGCCAGTTTGGTTGAAGCTTGCAACTTAGCTGACCTTCCATATATTTTGAAAGTGCAGTGCAGCCCCCAGGCAGTTTTCACCACGGGCGCAATGGGGGGTGGCCATGGCCTCACTCAAGGTCGTACTAAAAGCTTAGAGGCCGGTGTACTAGGTTTCGACTCACTGACAAACAATAACACCGGATGCTCAAAGCCTTTGAAATCGTACCACTGTCTTCCGCTAGCAATCTGGACTCAACTATCGGGTCTGCGCGGACGTTAGTGACCTAGGCGCCAGTCTCGCCTGGGATATTGGACGGCATTTCTCCCCTGATGCATGAACGCCTGGCGGGCGGAAGGTACCCAATATGTACAATGAACACCAACACCCTGACACTCTCAGCATGCCCCCTTTACTCCCCCGTTCGCTGTCGATAGGCAATTTGCATTCGTCCATACACCAATCACATCGTCGTTCGCCACTCTTTCCAGAGAACCAACACAAGCGATGTGCTAGCAGCTAGACCCTCGTACTGACTTAGAATACACTCAGGGGTCTTCAAGGAGTGCTAGTGCTTGGGTGTATCACGAAGGTGAATTGCGGTTGCGATCGTGAACAAGTCCAAGACTCCGAACTTCAGGTCCTCTATCTCTGATCAACACCATCGCCTGGATTGTCGCGGATGCACAACACGTCCCTCCTATCTTCCCTCATGTGGATGTTGCAAAGGACCGACCTAGAATGCGAAAGGAGACGCAACCGTAGAGGTCGACACTGAAGAAGTTATAAAACGCGCTTTGTCCTCGATGCAATACTCCAATCCTCTCGCCCCAGTGCCTTATCCCAGACACCTGTACAGTCATGCCCACCACTCTCCTCTCGAGCTCGCGCTTGAAATCATCACAAATAATCATGTCTGTTGACCAGACGTCCCCTGTAAACGCCGTAATTCCAGTTGCAGTCGGCGACCCCGCACATGGACAGCCTCCTTCCTACAAGCACAAATACCAAGAGCTCGACGAATTCATCAGTCGCCTCCACTCCCACGCCCTATCAGCATGCACCTCCCCACAACATAAACAAGTCCACATCGGCGCGTACGACGATTCGTACTTCCCCTGCGGTCCGCGCGTATCATTTGACTCCAAATTCCTGCCGTTTCCCTCTCAGCCATGGGAATTGCAGACCAACGACATCTGTCTCGAGTACGGTGTTAAATGTAGCATAGCGGAGGACGAGAGGCTTGTCAGGGGCCTCCCGCTAAAGCTTGTAGGGAGCTGGTTCGTCTTCGCAAGCTTGCTGTTCCTCACGGTCATGTTCGTGGGCGCAGGAGGCGAGAAAATCAAGATTATGAGTTAGGCAATATCGGGGGGTCACCGGTCATCGACGACTAATGAGTACTAGGGGGTTAGAAGATATATAATCGTCTTTCTAAGCGTAGCCATCTATAATTGGGGTCTGTATTTTTAGTTCCGAATCCAGGGATTTTACTTTGTACATATTGCGAACTATAGAATGCTTATTGTCGTATACCGTCAATAGTTTGCGTGTTACACTGTGTATCGATTTTAGGGGTATGTATTTGAACACTTTGTACATAATCACGCAACTTGTTCAACTTGCTACCTTCCTCCCAGGTCGAATCCTTTAGCTGCAATCTTGGCCATGTATATCTTGGTTTCTGCCAAAATAACGAGCCGCCCCTTCCCAGCAAACACCATGTTCGGAGCCGTGCTGCCCAGGAAGAATTTCCCGAGAAGTGTTCCCTCGGAGTCCCATGTCTATATCAGAGTGTGAGAGTCAGCAATAGTGTTATCGTCTAAAGCAGAGAAGGAGAGCGTACATGCACCCCATCGCCAGCACCAGAGTATACGTTGCCGTTGGTGTCTAGCTGGATACCATCGGGGATTCCGGCATCAACGTAGGCGAAGACGCGGCGGTTCTTGAAGGCGTGTGTAGTGGAGTCGACGTCAAACGCGTACCTAGTTGTAAAATGAATTGAGTCGAGAGGTGGTGGTTAGCGGACATGTCTTACAAAGTCGTGGGTTGCATCTGCGTAGCATCACCGCCAATTGCACCGCTATCAGAACTTGGAAGGATAATAGAATCAGGGTTCGCTATCGAAATTGAGCGGCCTCAAATGCTCACATAAAGGCCGTTTTCCCGTCGCGGGAGAAGGCAAGTCCGTTGCACTTGTCGAAGCCATCAGCCACGACGCGGACCACTCCGGTATTTGGGTCGAAGCGGTACACTTGATTAGGCATCAAAGATGTGGGGCGGAACCCGCCTAAGAAACCATAGCTAAAACCAAGGTGAATACACTTAAAGGTAGGCAGTGGAATCGTGGCAGTAACATACTTCACGTCGGTGAAGAATATCTTTCCGCTTGGATGGACTTTGACGTCGTTCAGTGAGTTGAACTGGCGGCCAAAGAAATTGTCCAGCAGTATGGTCGAGTTGTATGGTGGCTTAGGATTCACGAGTGCGATGGATGGCGGGAGTGGTCCCCGGCCTGAATTGGCTAGTAACAGCTGAGATCGGAAAGGTCCAGTTCCTCCGTTCGTCATTTGGATGGTGTCCGATAACTCGAGCTAATTTAATCCCTAAGTCCCTGATTGAATGCGGAACGTATTGTGGACTAACGGGAGTCACCGTAACGTTGAAGGCACCGGTGCTGTTCTTTTTCAAGGCAGCCTCTACTTCTGCCATACTGATCTTGCTCACGCGATTGTTTCCCCCTTCGCCTATATGACCATCCTTGCTCGCGAAGAAGAGCTCGTCAGTCTCAGGTACGTATATCGGAGCTTCGTGGGCGAAGTTGAACCCGGGAGTCGATGCGATTTCAGAGAAAGACGGCGAAGAGCCCAACACCTTGATGAATCCCTTGTCAAATATTTGGAAGAAAGGTGGCGCCGTAGAAGTGGGGTTAAATGTGGTCTCGAACGTCGAAGAGCGGAATGTCCCGTTCTTCCCTATCACCGTGAATGAACGAGTATCTATAAACTGGGGCCCCAGAGTAGTACTTAGTGTTTGGCTTGTGCGTAAGAAAGAATTGGAGAGACTGACTACTGATTGAGGGGGCAAGGATGGGCTGAAGTTACTGGCTGCAGCGACTTCGAAGGTCACGAAAGCTACAAAGCTCGCGAAAAGGGCGGCCATTGCTGGTGTGCAGTGAGGGAATGGGGTCCTTGTACATCGTCGTTGAACTTCGAAAGCATTTTATAGTCCTAGCTCGTTTGACGTGGTGCCTTCTTTTTTAGTCTCTGTTTGCTACCCTGTGTAGTGTCAATGGCTCCTTCAGCATCGCGAAAATCTATCCTGCAGGTTGCTTGATGGTTGTACCTGTCGTGAACCAACGTGAGCTTGATTTTTGTACCGAGGGATCATGTGATTCGGAGATCTCAAGTTGAGAAGGTTAATTGACAAGGTAAAGGGACTCCTTGCTGCCCGACAAAAACAGTGAAGATGTCTGTGTCGGTCCATACGGTGCGTAGGCCGAGGGCTAATGCTAGTTGCATTGTGACAAGCTCCTCAGCAGTCGGGATTGCATGGCTAGCTCGGGCATCATCTCGTGATTGAAGCTTCATGCGTAAGGGCCATGGAGTTACATAGAGTTGCTATGTATCAGGATTCAGAACAGCATCAAGCCTCCATCCGTGAAGGTCTTCGCATGTCTTACCTTCGGGCCGAGTGCAAAGGGAGAGCTCCCACGGCCACCACATCTCACTGCTCTTTCTTCCGTCTTCACAGTTGAACGAATGGAACCCTTCCTTGGGAAAGATCTTGACGTGTACCCCCAAGTGAGCGGTTCAGAATCCGCCCGTAGATTGTTGACATGACCTCTATGTTTCCAGCAAAGGCTATTGGTGATTTGGGTACGAGCGCTCAGCTTTGTATGATGCTGTTCAGCTCGAGCTAACGTGTGTTCCCTTCTTAGATTGAGATTTTCGCATATGGTGATAGCCGCTCTTTTCTCCAACCGTCCCAATAATCTCAAACTCTCCAGGCGTATATTTCGTACTGTTTTGCATTTGTATCTACTTGTTCAGATGCCGGAGAAAGCCTCATCCTTGGGTCGGCGTCGCGACTGTCCTCCTTTTCTTGCTCGCTACCCTCAAGCTAGCTTTGGATCTTGCAGTAATTGTGAAGGGATTCGTGCCTGTGCAGTCGTCCGCCCCATTCTACCCCTTCAACACACGTCTTGACCCAGTGGCTGCGTATGTTTATGTGACTGCAAGGTACGTTCATCCACTTGTGGTGGGTTGCCTACGTCACTGAAGAATATTTGCTTAGTGCTGTTTCCGACGCTCTTCTAGTGCGTATCGATGTTGAATCTGCATCCCTCTCATAACAGTCAATCCCCTTTAGATATACAGGTGTAGCGTTGTCTGGGATTCCAAGAAACTGGTGCTCATCGTCCCAATTTTACTCGCTCTAGCATCGGCTGGTAGGTATTCCTCGCTTCAAGCACGCATCTATTTTACTTACTCTCACCTTCTAGTGACAGGCTACCTTTCGCAATATGTCGGGCTGATGTTCATCGTCCTGTCTATGTCCACCAATTTGACGGTAACTTGTCTGATAGGTAAGTCACTAGATCTCCTCCTTTTTATCTCACTTTAAGGAATTAGTTGGGCGAATCTTTTGGATGGCTAGGCGTATCCGCGCCTTTCTAGGGCCTGCGCATAGTCAGTACACGGGGGCCGTCGCAATAATGTACGTTCCATTCATATCTATCTCTCACTCTCGCTCTTGTTCGATTCTACAATATTCCAGTGTCGAGTCCGGTCTGGTGTCGACAGTGTCTATGGCGTTCATTGCCGGGACGTTTCAATGCGATACTGCTCGCTGGGCAGCTTACTACTTGGGGTCGCAAGCGATAGTGAGCACCCTCGCTCTTTTCATCAACGTCCCGCTAACTAGGTATTCGCCGAAAGGGAATCGCGCCAACACTGATACTAGTGCGGGTTGGCCTTGGTGCAGGAACTTACGAGGAGAGCATGAAAACATTAGAGTTTGCCGCGAAAACAGAACAATCCGCTACTCAGTGAGTGGCCTGTCCCCCGGTACCCGACATGGTCTTCGCTTAGCTCATTCAAATTACTTGTAAAGGCCGAACACTACTGAAGTGTAAAACGTATTTCTACGTTTGCCGCGGAGTGAAACACGGTAACCACTCATCCAAAGCGAGCTGGAAGAGGCCTAAGCCTGTAAAGAACTGCTCTTGCGATATCGGGCTGTAGAAGCCAACCGTCTGGAAGTTGGTGTGATTGGCGTCGGGAGTGAGCAGAACTCTCATATCGGAGACGTGTACCATATTCGCGTATGTCAGACCGAAGAAGGACGAGTTTGGCGGTGCGATGTTGCATCTGAAATTCGGGGTGACATTAGTTATTAAAAGAGGTGGGCTGTAGAGCAAGGTGGGCGGGGCGTACTTGGGGATGGCTACGGAAGGCGTTCGGTGGGGGGAGTTGACTTCGATAGATGCAAGCCCCTGGGTCCTCCAGGGGTCGACTAGGGCACGCATCACTCATCCATCTCAGGCAATGGGGCGACGCGACTTACATTCACCGTTTGTGAAAAGTACGTTGGATGGGTTCATATCCCATCCGCCGTACTTGTTCACATTTTCCACCTGTGGGGACGCCGGGAGACCTTGAGGGAACGCCGAATTGCACTGCTCTTGGAATAAGCCCAAGGATTGCAGAGACGTCTGAATAGACAGAGGATTCGTGGTGTCCCCTCTTTGGTAGAACCCTTCAAACATCGCGTTCCGCCTCAGCTTTCGCATTTCACAACGACATCATGGTAGACAACCGACCGTATTCAGAGCAATACTGCCACATCCACGAGCGATCTGTGACAGGATCGTCCGCACCCCTGGGGATGGAATCGTAATCAAGTTGGGTAATTGCCACCAAGAATGCCCGGAAGGCAGTTTCGACGCCGAACCGGGAAGCTAGGCCCCCTTCGAGAGGATCGGTGGTGTAGTTCCTTGTTTCGAGTAGGTTGCAAAAGGGAAGCAGCGTTGCGGCGAATCCGTAGTACTGAAGTTGAAACGTAAAGGTTTACACTACAGGTCAACTGAAATTGAGGGCAATACCTGATAGAAATCGAGGGGATCCATCAAGATGGACGCTGCGCTGAGGTCACTGATCTGGGTGATACCCTCAAGTGATTTGGAGGCACTCCTTCCTGCTGGACCGCTTTGCCTTGCGCTCAAGAGGCCCTGCCTTATTGTGTCTTTCAATCTCTGGTCATTACCCTTCAGTGCGCCGTCGACATATCTTCAAAAACGAATTGAATGATCATGAGGTTTCCTAAGTGAGTCTACGTACTTTGTAACCGCCACCCAATCCGCTGAGCAGTTCCTTGTCAGACTCCGCTCCGCGGCCATGTAGTAGCTGGCCATATCGACTTGCGCGTGAACCGGGGCTGACGATGCCCATGACGCGAAGATCGTCTCAGGGTTGCGTATTCGCAGGAAAGCAGCGCGGATGCCGGGGTACGACCCGCCAAGGAACACCCATGGCGTCGTCGAGGGATGGACGGGGAGCGCGAGCGGTCCGGCGGAGGGATCGTTCCGGTGCGAACTGCTACCGCCGAAGGAGTTGGCGAAGAAGATCACGTCTTCAAGAGCTTGTTCCGTGTTCAGAAATTTCCATTGGTCTGCGGTTGTATTTCTCTGTGGATAATGCGTGCGTTACTGTTGGAATAAAGGTGAGTATATTGGTGTCCGTACGTTTACTGGGAAAGGTAGGGAATCCCCGTAGAAGCGGTGCTCCCACAGGATTGCGAGACCTTTGTACCGTTTCGCGAGCCGTATAACGGCAGAGAGCCCATGGTATTCCTTCCAGGGCTTTTAGCCACACGATGGGCATGAGAGATGATTCACCGACCTGAAGGTAATACGGATGGAGCGGCGCAGCATCCTGTTCCCCGGAGTCAAACACTGCAATCGAGTCAACGAAAGCCTCCTCTCACTAGGAGAGTTCACCTACGAAATACAGGCCCTCCGGGCTCAAAATAGGTGTCGTTGACCCAGAATCGATTTTTGAACGTTTGAGTCGAGTTGGAGAAGTGATCGAGAGGGATCTATAAAAGATTGTGTCAGTTTATCGATGGTAACTTGAGCCAAAAATGTTTCTCACGTCAATGAAATGGCTCTCTCCTGAGGCGGTACCCACTCTTGGTAGTATTTCCTGAAAGCCCAGCCTTGGAGCGGTAAACTTGGCCAGAGAACATAATGTCAATGCCACCAAGGCGAAGCATGCTGCAAGGTGGGGGAGCCGCGCCATATGGAAGCGAGGGTGACTCCCATTCTTCCAACGTATTTATCTCATCATGAGTGCTTCATGAGCTGTTCTAAAGTTACGTCGAAGACAGACCATAGTGTGTTGGAAGAATATCTAAAGACGGAGAGAAGATAGATAAGAGTCATAAGACCATATGGCTTTAGGAGAACGTGTTGTGGGTGGAACTGTAAGGCATGAATTCTCTAAGAAAACACACTGTATCACATAAGGGTCACTGGAAACCACGTCCACCCTTGGTAGAAGGTCGAAAATTCTGGGAGGGTTATTCAGGGGCTAGGGGATGCTCCCCCCTGATTTGTGTTCCCCTCCAATCATCTTGATGCAATGTATACTTCCCTTTGTTTGGAAGGCACGCTCACAATGTCAATCTTTACCACAAAAGTGTCTTCTCGAAGTGATTGTAGGCAAGGATATTTAAAAGGAGACTTACCACGAACTCACGCCCTATCTACGCCCACACAACCACAAGAGCGGGGCTACCAAGGGTAACTAACCCAAAACTCAGTCCACGGCAGCAACATTCAGTAATATAAGCTGAGAATGAGAGGTGAAGTTGAGTGCTCATGCACACGAAGCAAGGCTTAGCGAAGCGTCTATTCAGGGTTTCATCATGGGCAAAAGCAATTAGTTGAGGAGCACTGGAAGGTACATGGACAGTTCCCAGACCAAAATTCCTTACGTTGCAAAATCCCATGAAGCGTTCCGCCACAAGAACTGACGGGCTACGCAGCGGCGGCAGGGGCGCAGGCGGGGGCGGCAGGGTTGCTTGGGGCAGGATCAGGAGCAGGGGTATCTGGAGTAGTTGGCTCAGGCGCCGGAGTATCGGGAGTATCGGGAGTATCGGGAGTGGGGGCAGGCGGGGGTGCAGGTTGAACTGGACCTGGACCGTGGAAGTGCCCCCCGTGATGGGAATGCAAGAGGTGCTTCAGAGCGTGGACAACCCTCCTGATAGCGTGCCTGAGTCTGCGACTGTCTGCGTTATCACTTTCGTCGGTGATTGACATGTCGCGGTGGAATAGCACGTTCGATGCGCCCTTGGATAGGCCTTTGCCAGCCAGGACCGCGATGTCCCGCGAGAACGAGGCGTCTTCCACGGGCCGGGCCACGGTCAAGGTAGCGGCCAAGGCCAAGGCAACAAAGGACGGACGCATTTTGTTACGACCTAGATGGGCCGCACACTTGATCAGTACCCAAGTTTAACTGGTTTCAGAGAGATGAGGAAGAAGACTCTTACGTGAAGCTGAGGCGGTGGCCGTGAGCTGGAGGTGCCAAGGGAGACTTCGTCGTTTAAATACGCGCGGAAGGGTGTATAAATGGTGGGCACAATGTCTCGCATGTCGATAAACCTTGGCTCTAGGTCGGCCTTCTAACGACATTCATAGCGTAAACTTGCCAAAGAAGTTGGGTAGCACTCACTTGTCGTGTTATTAGCTCTACGCCGCCACAGCACTTTCACTTTCATGAAACGAATGCCCACACGGGCAGTCGGCATTGAAAATGCTCACAGTTCCTTCCAACCTGTTTGCGACTTAGTCCGTTGACAGCGTGAGTTGAGCCGTGGAAGACGAGTTCTGGCGCCGGAATAGATAAATATAATCGCTAGAATACAGGAGAACAAAAAACATTACACACTATTTGCTGAGCAAGGGCGGCAGTGGCGCTCGTTGGTTAGCATGGGTTTCCATGATAGAGCGATCAAAATGTTGGTCCTTCCAAGCTTCACTTGCACCAGAAACATAGGAAGCGCTAGAGCCCACTGATTGCACACAGATGTCAGTTATAATCAATCAATCAACACATAGATCACGCTACCTCGACCGGGCAATTGATATCTGCGGCGATACATACAAGTCCTGTGCTTACCGGCGTTGGGCTAAATCCATATGACATACTTACGCGCTTCGATCCATGGTGGGTGAAGTTGTTGATGAGGCCGAGATACGCAGAGCTAACCCGATTCCTACCTCGAAACCTGTTAATAGCTATCTCATTGCGCGGCGCACGTCAACACCTTTCTCGATTCGCCTCCTTACCGTACATGGGAGACTCGACATGAGGATTTTGTGTCTCTCCGAGATGGCCTTCTTCCCGTCGCCTTCGCGCCACAAGTATCTTAGACGCTCGAGTTTCTGAGACGCTGGACTCGGATGAATGCACGAGGTCCTATAAAGCACACCTAGAGAGTCCTCCGACTCTCCTCGACCATATCTGGAGCACTTTGTGCAATGATATACGCGAGAGCTTGTGGATGCGCTGACGGCATACGCAGCTCTGGGCGGTCAACGGGGCGAGTGGCAACCGAGTGAGAAAGACTCACCAATAACAAAGGCGTCTATAGCACGTATCTCGCGTACTAGTCTCATCTTCAAGTCGGGATGCGTCACACCCCAGCGCGCCTTCGGGTGACATTGACGCTCAACCAACAGGATGAAGTCCTGCGAGTACAATAGCTCGAAGGGATGTATCGAGTTGCTCGTCGTTACTGCTATCCATCGATGCGAGGAATTCGGACGGTTCGAGTATGTGGTCCTCCCACCCTGAGGAAGCGACGAATCTGAAAGCAAGTCGAACGTCTTCTTGCGAAGCAAAGCGATCAAACTCGCGCACCAAGAAAAGGTGCGAATACCTTCCTACAGCAAGTTTCATAACGATAGGCGTACCCAAGTATCCATTATTTGGTCCTGGAGCGACCATTTTCCTGCTACCGGGCTGCTGCCGCCTTTGCCGTCCTCGATGCGGCCGATCATCGTCAAGAATTCTAACTCGGCCTTGGAAATATTCAGCTTCTGGCGTGAACAAATGAAAGCGGTGGACGCCTATCGTTATGAAACTTGCTGTAATGTAGTATTAGGGTCGGTCCCAGCCATCCTTCATCCCCAGTGACATTGGTGGTCAGATCTCAGTGTTCCACCGAACCTCTCGTGTACACCATCCCATCTATCGGTGCGGGAGTCAGCATACTAATGAACAACACCTTACTACTTATCAAACTCACTTATCGACGAGGAGCCTCCCAAGCTGTGCCCGTCGAGAGTGAAATGTAACTGCGAACACACCACCGGGGCCACAAAGTCATATCTCGTCGCGACTTCTGACGCTGACGATGAAGTTTTGAAGCTGAAGCCTGGGCTTGAATATTGAATATTGATATTGAATGGCCAAGGAGGACCACGTGCGGTTGATGGAAATGCGATTAGAATGGATAACTATACTCGTCGCCATTAATGTTCGTTTGCGACACTTGTATATCTAGTATCTCATCTATGAATCTATGCGATAAATATGAATAACCGTAATTATGATAGAAGATGACCGGCCTGCCACGAATACGCCATACCAGCGACCGATAAAAGCACAAGCAGACTACTCGAATTCAAAAACGATGGCGAGGGTGGTGAGTCAGTTCTCATGCTCGAAGGAGCCCACCAACGGATTTCCGACCACAGCAGCGGGCCGAAGACGACGCACGCGGTCCAGAACTGCAACACAAACATATAAGAATCTCATTTGGGCTTTTAGAAGAGGGGGTGAACGCACCACGCAAACGCTCTTCCAGAGTAGATGAGGATACTCGTCGATGGTTGCGGTAGCGTAGACCGTCTTCCCGTCAGCGCGTTTGACCGGTCGAGGGTGCGTGAATTGCACCCATATTGCGTAGAGAGCGACTGAGAAGAAGTGACGCGCGAGGAGGAGCGGTGATTCGGCGATACTACACAGGCAGATAATGAGCACCGATTACCTACGGGAGAATAATGCGCTCACCCAGCTAAAAGTGACACCGGGCCATTGACACATTCACCGCCGAGTTCGAAGTATTTGAAACAGCCGACTTGGAGCACTGCGAGACGCGGATCTGTGGCACTACGTCAGTGTCAAGACAAGACGTACTTCGTAGGCACTTACCATCAGCACTGAATAAGTCGTAGAGGGCAAAGCTGAGAATATTGACCGTCGACGCCAGAGATTTCCGCTGCCAATGCCACGTGCTGAGCTTAGGACGAACTTCATTCCAATCACCCAAATTCTTTGTCTGCGCGAGCATGTCACGAAGCAGGACGACATCGTGAAGCGCAACAGTCATTCCTCCTCCGGTCAAAGGATGTCGCATGTTCCACGCGTCGCCTATCAAAACGACCCCCGCTTTGCTGGACGGCTGGCCTTGCTTTATTGGCGGCAGGAATGAATTTGGCATGCGTCGTAGACGATCGTTATTCAGTGCGTTCTGAACGGGTATATGAAGTGCACTCGGTAGTTCAGGTAGTATATTCGTGAGCAAGTGCGCCTGTGAAATGGTCAGCGACTAGCAAGCAGCGCATAAGAAGTTGAAACGCGCCTTGAGGTCGGAGGGAAGGGGCATCTTGACATCAACGAGCATGCGGGTATCGTGTTCAGAAATTTGGTATAGGAGTGCGGGGCCAAACCCTTTCTTAAGCAAGGCCACGGTACCGTGCTGGGGGAGAGGTAATGTCGCGTCCTTTAGAATGAGACCGACGAATTGACTCTTCGTCACCGGCTTCGCACCAGTGGGGCCCATGACTTGATTCCGGAAATTTGATGAACCGCCGTCTGCAATAATTACCAGGTCCCCCAATATCTCGGATATGTCTTCGTCGCCCTTCACCCTTGCTCGCACTCCCACAACCTTGTTCCCATCCTCCACGAGCTCGGTCACGGTAGCCTCAAGTACATCGACGCCTGATGCCCGTTTTGCCGCTGCGCGTAATGTCATGACGAAGCCTCCATGGTGAAAACTCCTTCCCTCATGGCCGTCTGGGTAAGGTATCCGCACGGACTTGCCGTTCTCGAAAACGCAGTAGCCATGAACCGGTATCGCGTCGATTCCCTGCAGGCACGATTCTAATCCCAGCGATTTCAAAGCAAGCACGCCCCCAGGTTGCAATAATTCGCCAACTATACGGTCGGGCTCGGCGAGTGAGCGTTCGAGGAGGGCTATCCGGAGAGGTTTCTGACGGGGAATGGTCGACAATGCATGGGCCAACGCCGAGCCCGCTATTCCTGCACCGACAATCACGACGTCGTATTGAGTTTGAGGCATGGTGAGTGGTTGAAAGAAAGGAACATTCAGTCTCACTTCTTTATGGGCGGACGTGATTTAGAAATGGGACCACTGAGATCGGCAAGCGCCGAGAGACGTCCGCCTGGACCGGCCGAGCAGCCATTCCAGGCCAATTCGCGGCCTTTACTTCCTGAAATGGTGCCACCCCATATATCTTCATGGAGTCACTGAGTGTTTCGGTTTAGCTTCGAGTCTGAATGGCGTAGAATCCACGCTCCACAAACTAGGCCATTCGGATCGATTACATGCAGCGACGAGACTTGCGTGTGGCTCGTTACAGTCTGTCTGTCCTTTCTCGCGGTGCATTTGGCTTAGAAACAAAAGAAAAATTCGGATACGGGGAATCGAACCCCGAGCTGCCGCGATCTACAAAGTAGTGAGAGGCGGCAATGTTAGCCGTTACACCATATCCGACGGTGTTGAGTAATTTGCACTGAAGACCTATGAGACACGCACGGCTCCCATTTGGAGCCTCTTGGAGACATTGATCAACGGATGACTGATTGAGCTTGAGCATAATATGAATGCCTTACTTGAACGGGTGCCGTGTGACGCAAGAAACTCGCAACGACCTTCCAAGGGCCATAGCGTGAGCTTGAGGGGAAGAGGCCGGTGATATGAACGGGATGATGGTGGATGGAAAGATGTATGAAGTCGAGCGCGAACGACTGATAATTCAAATACTCATGTATTCTTCCATGCACGATCGGGTGGACTGAAGGCCAGCCTAGGATAGGATCGGTGTATAGCCAAAAGGGCGCGTGTATGTTAAAGAGACGGCCACCGATAAGAGCGCTAATCCGACCCCAAATTACTACTAGGTTTGCTGACGCCCTTCTCCCTCCTTTCATCATGTTATCTTCACTCAACGCATCAGAGAGTTTAGAAAGTCCATACATAGCACCGTCAATACTTACAACATAGAAATTAGAATCGAGAGCATATCTACTAGGTACTGGTCTAACAAAAAACTGCACAATCCGCAGAACATATAGGTAACGTCGAATCATTTTTATATTTTAGTCTTCATCCTCAAATCGCAGAACTTGGGCGTCCTCGTCGATGGGGATGTTTCGATACCCTCGGCGATTCCTGAGATTGGTGGCGGTCGACTCGAATCGCGACGACACCCATTCCCATGCAATCCCCACGAGGCCAAGGACGAACCAAGGAACGGACGCCAGAGTATCCAACACGCCAGACTCCCGGCCTCGATAGGCTCCATCTCCGGGAAGCCGGATGGTCCTACACAATACAACCCGATCAATAACTTGAGCAAAGGCCACACAATAAACACACGTACCCTCGAGCAAGCCCACTTCTACGGTAATAATAGTAGGCCACCAAGGCAGTGAATCCGAACGGTAGGGTCAGCATGAAGAGCCAGAAGAACCAGCTGTGGCCGCTGAATCCTGGACAGATATGTTCTGTGCCGCGGTCAAGGCGTTGGCCGCCCTCGCAGGTGGAGTACGGAATCTTGCGGTACGCCGTGCGATCGTACCAATAACCTGAATCATCATTACAGGACTCATCGTTTGGCAAAGGCTCTGTCCCGGGCACCAGGACACAATTGTCATTTGCGTCCTTGATATGATTGAACTCGCTAAGTCGCAATGTCAGCGATATTGCTCTGAGATTTAATCCAGGAGGCTCACCATTCGAAGTCACTTCTAGTGCATTCACAATTCTTGACGACACGACTAGCAACCTTAGGCTGCTTGCCCACGACACAGTTTACATCCCTCACTCTTCGGTGATAAAGGGTCTACAGACACAAAGGATTGAGACCACGTTAGAAAACATATGCTACCAATACTCACCTGTCTCCCGAACAGGCATCGTTCCTGACGTTCCTCACTAGGACTCCAAAGCTCAAAGTCGTCCTTGCCGGGGTCTTCGACGTTGAGCACACCTATAAAGCGTCATGTCAACGATCTGTCACACTGGGAGTTGACGGGAGTAAGATACATACACTGCTTGAGCGTCAACGAAGAGAAATCAATCTGCACAGCGACGGAGTTGGACGATCGAGGGAGTTGTCCGAAGAGGATGAACTTGCGACTTGTATCCGAAGGCACAGTCACTATGGCTCTGACCCTCATCTTATCGTCCGTGAACTTGTACTCTCGCCAGTTCAGACCTTCATCGGTACTGAAGAGTACGTGATCGGTCGGCTCTTCGTCATTGGCCATGATCAAGACCGAGCCCGAGTCGCCGAACTCCCATAGGTGAGCATCCTTATGGACTTCCTCCCAGGTGAAACCAGCGTCTCGGCTGAGGAAGGTATCACTTTCAGTGTAAGTTTCTAGGTGTTCTCCGACGTTTCCGACAGCCATCAGGAGCCCGACTGTAGACGGGGTGCTGTATGTTGCACGAGGGTCCGCTCGCTCGGTGTATCCGTGGATATGCAAAGCGCATTTCTACCTCACATGAGTACGAAGCACGGTACTTCGTTCGAACCACTCACAGTAGTGTCGCATTCGTAAGGTCTACCCAGGGAATCCTTCACAGGGGGCACCAAAGGTTTCCATGTGCCGCCTATAGTCATGGTTTCAAAGGTCATACTCCGCGGGCGAGGATTTGATAACTCACCATCATTGTGGGTAATTCTCGACTGGAGCGACTTTCTGCCTGACACTGGAGCTTCCTTCGCGTTACCAACAACGTTGATGAGCGCAATGCCATCCAAGCCGATCATTTTCTCGAAGTCAACATAACCTCTATCATCGCGATTTACGTTCTCTATGGCCAAGCCGAAGTAGGTACCGTTGGAGTTCGACTTGAGGATGCTTCCCCAGTAAGGGCTCGGGGGCTCTGACATAGTCATATGGAGGAAAAGAGAGTTTGTGGAGGATTCAAGTACGGTGTAAGCCTACGGGCGAATAGTTAGACTACAACTCGCAGGCCTGAACATAGTAGCTTACGTGTGTGTCGGGGTGCATGTTCGACGGGAAGCGACCGGTTGCGAACCTGACGCCATCTAGCGATACTTGGAGCTCGAGGGTGTTCTTGCCTTCCATTAACTGAGAAGCCCTTGATTAGACAATCCAACTAAACAACCTACACCGAACGGACTGACCTCAGCGACAACCAGGAACTCGGAGAATTTGGCGAAGCCAACAACATGCTCGAACAAGACTTTCCTGTCCTTATAGAACCGCGCGCCGCCGACTAGCTGCAAAGGGTTCTCCTGGTTGAAGAATCGTTGCGAACCTTTCTTGTCTTTGTAGCTTTCGCATAGGATTTGGTTGGGGTCGGTATGAAGAGCTGCGTCCGTGGCCCACGCACAATTCCGGACGTATTCATCGACATAGTTCCACTTGCGTCCGTTGTCTATCGAGTACTGTGCTTGAGCCCGACACTTGGGACCATCACAATCAACGTCCCCAGTCCATATCAAGTAGTCGCTTTTTGGCTGGAAGCGAAGGACCTGGGCATGAAAAGTATTGGGTGAAGTCGGTGCAGTAAGGACGTTCCAGGTTCGTCCCGTGTCAGTGGTGTAGAAGAATTTGTTAGTATTGGTGATCAAGTATGCACGATCGTTGGAGTATGTGTGGTGGTAGAAGGCGAGGAAGCGTTCGTTCTCAAAAAGGCGTGTCCATGTATACCCCTCGTTGCTAGATTGCCAGATGGAGTGATCCGAAAGTCTGACTAGAATCGTCTATAAATCACTTTAGTAAGAAGAACGGCCTAAGGCACTTCGAGACGCCTTACCGTCGAATCCTTGAAATACGCATGCTGAACAATGGCGGCGGAGAACTCAAACTGAAGCATCGTCAGAATTACGAATTACGCATCCGGGGCGCGCACTCACTGTTTGATGGGTAATATCACCCTCAGGCGGTTGAGCTGTGAAGATATTGGTGAATAAATATTAACACCCGAGCACCACGCGCAATGTGTAACACGCACCCTGAGCGCATTTCTTCTCGACTTTCTCATCCTTCTTGCTACCACCAACACATGTGTTTCCTGGAATCTTCCTCCAGCCCGACGAACCCCAATATGTTTGATCTGGATCTCCAGTTGTACAAACACCAGCGGGTATTGGTTCGGGACCCGCAGGTTCACATGAGTCCCCATTTCGAATATAGTTGTAGTCACTGTTCGTAATAATGGATTCAGCACAGGAACAGTAACGAAGGAGGGATTCGCGCCCACCACTCGAAATCGTCGTTTCCACATTCACAATTCTCCTCGTGTTCAACAGGGTCGTTGAACTTATCCCCAACGTAACAGTCCGCGTCGGGCTTGCGTCGCTTGTACCATTGCTAGATTCGTACCATCCCATCAGGTCAAGAGTTCCCTGACGCAGGCCAAGTTACGCACCTTATGGCCCATGATGCACTCATTGTCCTTCGACGTCCTGGCATACCACTTCTCGAAATCGCGTTCTTCACACTTACGTTTGCGAGTATCTGCAAAGTCGAGGAAGATAACAGCAAAACGACCAGTCTCGGGGGTCTGATCTTTCTTGGCTATTTGGGCGAGGAGGATGAATTTTTGAGAGGTAGAATCGGGAGCAGTGGTAAGGGCACGAGCACGGAATCGAAGCCCCAGGTCGTAATCTTGCCTGAAACAAAGTGAGCATTTCATCATATAAGTCATATAGGGAAATATGAACATACCAGGACTTCCCGAGGTCGGTGGAGTATGTCACTTTATCTACTCCTTCCTCGTCGTTGACTGCAACCAAGATGCTACCCGAGTCCCCAATCTCATATTTGTGTGCATCCTTCCGAACCATTTTCCACGAAACACCAGCATCCGTACTAACGAACGTATCGCATTCCTCGTATGACAGCAGGCGCGGGCCAATCGAACCAACACCCATGACTATACCAGGGGCGGGGGAGGAGAAGACACGCCCGAAGTTATGAGGGTTGGTGACCGAATGGAAGTGAATCGAGCACTCATCCGAATTTGAAGGATCGCACTTAATTCGATTGCCTTCGTCATCGGATCGTGGCGCGCGAATGGGCTGCCATGTTCGCCCGTCGTCGAATGTGATGACTGATTTGATTTCCTTGTGTGCGTTTCGTCCTTCTACCTCTTGAGCGTTGACGACTACGTTCGAGATCCCCACTCCGTCTACGCCATAGATTTTTTCGTAGTCCACGAAGCCCATGTCGTTTCGGTTGGTGTTTTTCAGGCTTTCGATAAAGAAAGTACCGTTCGAATTGCTGACGAACAGCGTTCCTATGGCGCCTTTGTCTTGAAGAACCACATCGACGGCTAACGAATGCGTAGTCGACTCGAGCATCGTGTACGCATTCTCTCGAAGCTGCGCAGACGAAGCATGAGGGAAGCGCGCCTTTGCCCATGTCTTCGTATCGACAGTCACGTACAAATGCATCTCACCTCCATTGCCACCAGACAGATCACGGAGGGCGACCACAGCGTACTTTGAAACGATGGCAAACGCTATCACGCCCTTGGCCTCCCGCCCTATTCCTAGATCCTCCATCTTCGGTGCGGTAGCACCAAAGTCCGTAGTGGAGAATAGGCGCGACGAAGAAAGAGAGTGGCCATGGCCGTGGGCGCTGGTATCGAATGCGACGCAATAGACCAGGTCCGAGTGGGCTTCGTGTTTGAAGTCCTTGCTGCTGTGCGCAAATTGACATTGGCTGGTCTCCTTGAGTAGGAGTTTAGCTTCCGAGGAGAAAGCGTCTGTGGTGTAGAAGGTCTATACCACGTCCGTCTTAATAATGCAATGAGAAGCACTGGTAATCATACTCACCTCGTCATGACACTTGGCCGCCCATCCCTTGCGTTCGCATACAACTCCCTGATAAAGTATATACCCATACTTGGCGGGGTCTGAGTGAAATGACAATGGTTTGGACACAAGTGCAAGTTCGGCAGGCATCTCAAACGATTGCCAAGACTTGCCCCGGTCGGCGGTTCGGTAATGTTTCTTGTCGTTGGTTAGAATGAAGGCCTGAGCGAGTGATATTGTTCAGAGTTCGATATCCCAACATGCAAAGTACTCACATAGTGGTTATTGAATGGATGGGGTACTATCATCTTAGCGACACCCTTCGGAACGCCCTGCGCTTGCTCCCATCCCTTCCCCTCGTCCGAAGACACATATACGATCCCGTCTATCGCGTCGAAGTATAGAACAGCCTATTCCATTCCGTTGAGTGACGTCCATATACTCGTGTGCTTGCACATGGTGCACTTACTTGCGTATCTTCGAAGAAGAACAAGCCACCTGGAAGATTGCGGAATGGGGTTATCGTGTGGGACGGCTTCTGTGCCAAAGCGAAGCAGAAGCACCAAAGCAGCGCCAGCGACGACACCCAGTGTCTGGTTATCATGGTTGTTGAGGACACGTAGTCCGACGCGCGCTGCGCCTGGCGAATAGGTGGAGAAGTGGCAGTCCCTAATCCGGCACCTTCCCACGTTCAGACAGGAGCCTCTTAGGAGCTTCCCTTAAATTGACCTATAAATCGCGCGCTGTAACCAAGTACCAAGAGGATTGAAGTTTCTGAGAAGATCGTCGTACAGACAAGTATAGTTGTAGGTGTCTATACGTAGCTATCTAAGACTAATCGCTCTCGCTCTGTTACCTAGGTAGATGGGCTCGGGACTTCGATCCACAGCGGCGGCGGAGTCGTTGATGAGGTCGAAGTGCACAGAAATGTACAGGATTTGCGTCTCCGAAACATACTTTCTCATGTACGACGTTCGTCACTACCCCCTTCTACCTCTACCTTACCTCGCCGTACATGGAATGTCGCAAGGCCCAGCATGAGAATTCTGCGCCTCCCTAAGATGCTCGCATAAAGAGTCGCCGCGCAGATTTACATATATATATACATACATTCAATTGTTGAGATATTCCGGGCCCTCGGGCCTCCTAGACACGGAATAGATCCACGACGTCGGTGGCGTGCGAGGATATAGAATACACACTTAGCGAGTCCCCCAACTCTCCTTGATCAAGTCTGCAGCTCTTTCCGCAATGATATACACGGCAGTTTGCGTATGCGCTGACGGTATATGAGGCTATGGACGGTCAGCGCGCTGGGCGGCAACTAAAGGAAAGGTACTCAACAATAACAGAAGCATCTACAACACGTATCCCGCGTACTCCTTTCAACCTCAAGTCGGGATCCGTAACTCCCCAGCGCGCTCCTCTCGGTGACATTGACGCTGAACCAACAGAATGAAATCCCGCGAGTACACTGGCTCGGAGGAATGCATCGAGCTGCCCGTCGTCACTGATATCCAGTGATGAGAGGGATCCGGACGGTTCGAGTATGTAGTCCTCCCAGCCAGGGGAAGCGACGAATCTGAGAGCAAGTCGAATGGCTTCTCGCAAAGCAAAGCGATCAAACTCGTGCATTAGCAGGGCGGGATCTATCAGGGGTTGATCCAAGGGGTCGGAGGTGTTCAGCGAAATGGAGCCACCTGATCTCGAGGGATGAGCGAATGTTCCATGAGCGAGGAAGCTTCGTATTTACGCGACATTGGAGTAACAAGGAAGAGAATTACACCTAACCCCCCGCCCGTAGGCACAGGAAATATGAAACCATTCTGGAGAACGTCACTGGAGCTATGTGGTAGAAGAAGAATCGGAAGGACATACTGAGAAAGAGAGCTCAATATGGGGCGTGTTTACACCGGCCGAGGGATCGGCGACGATATCGAATACGGTTGAATTACCAGGTAGTCGTAGGTACCCGAGATGGGTTGTCGTCGAGGACGTTAATGGGCCGGACCTATTGAATTTCCACTCATCTAGGAACTCTGCCATGAGCGTGGCATTTCGTGTGAACTGATCCGTAGTATTGTTGTCGTCTACAGGCCACTGTACAATCGTAATGGGTTGTTCAGTGAAGTTTTGGCCGACGCTTGGTAGGTGGTGGGTGGTTTTGATCCCGAGTGCAGATAGAGTACTGTCATCTCCGATGCCTGAATGAAGTAAGATGTGAGGGGTCCCTACGGACCCGGCCGAGAGTATAATCTCCTTGGCTGCCACAACAATCTGACGAGAACTAACTGCGCCTGTGTCAGAAGCAAGCTTCAGTAACGTTAAAACCCGGAAGACATATCACACCATACCATCGACGATCTCCCCGTATTCGACGGCATTGAAGTGCACACCCGGTCCGCTGGGAGCAGGAAGCAGGCGAAGCACTCTATGGTTCAATAGAACATGGAGATTAGCTCGCCGTATAAACCTTGCGCCAAGGTACGATGTTGCAGAGCTATCGCGGCGGCCACTCGAAGTAATTGTTGATTGCGCCCAACCTGATATTAATATTGATTAGCCGCAGCGGCGATGTGGAAATAGCACTCGGGTTGCACCAAAGCCCAGAGGCTGTCCAGAGTTATAGTCAGTGTTGAAGGGGAATTCACTACTCTCTTCAGTGGCCTTGAGCATCCTGTCATCAATAGAATGTCGAGTCTTGCTTAGGGTGACTGAGGTCATCCCGCGAAAGCCATGGACCTCAGGCCTAAACAAATGCAAGGAATTGTTGACGGGGCTGGACCATCGCTCATGCTGCCGTCAGAGATGAGCACGAGCGATCCGTACGAGGGGCAGGACATGTAGATACCTTCTTAACGTAGTGCTGGAGTCGGTCCCAGGACCATCCTTCATCCCCACTAATATTGGCGATCAGGTCATAGTCTTCAGCCGAACCTCTGGTGTAAACCATCCCATCTAGCAATGTAGAATTCAGCATAGCAAGCAAAACAGCTAATTCAAACCCACTTATCGAAGAAGAGCCTCCCAAGATGTGTCCCCTGTTATAGATGACAGACCTACCCTCAAGGCCTACTTGGGGTATAGTCGTGAAGTTCCAAGTGTATTTGATAGGAATTTGGGGCATCAAAAAGGGCACCTGTAGTTCTAGTACGTCTTCGTTCCTGTCCAACGATCACACATATGTAGCCACCATTTATATTGCAAGTACTACTCACAATCCTCCAGATTCAACGACTAGTACCCGGATATCGGGGTCCTCCGTCAAACGATTTGCAATTACATTTCCGGCTGTTCCACCTAGCGGTATCATCAGCAGGATTGTACACGTCAAACGAAGGGCGCAAAAGGAAACGACACACGCACCACCGACAATAACGAAGTCGTAGTTTCTCGAGACCTCCGAGGCCGACATCAAGATTTCGCCAAGGGCAGAGCTCCCAAGGAGGAATATCATGAAAACATCCCAAGGCAGCATTTTCTAGATAAATTGAGAGGTGGTGAAAAGGTAGTCACGGTAGACTTAGGTGCTCACCCGGAAGCAGGTGGGAAGCTGCAGCATAGTGAGCGCCAAAACATGGTTTGATGTGTAGCAGCGCTCTCCTCCATCCGCCTCAAATCCGTCATAAATCCGCCTCGTCTCTTTGTATCCGTTTGTCCGAAGCAATGCGGGAGGCCTGAACCTTTAGTAGCTTTAGTACTTGGAGGTAGGAAACGTCGGAGGCTCAAATAAATGACTTAGGGGTCCTTCCCTGAGGGGTGTGCGCAATACTAACCTATAATAACCCATAATTCTGTCTTTTTTTACTCAGCTTCACTCACATCCTTACGGTGGGAACAGGCTGCAGCACTGGCCAGCTGATCAATTCCCGTTACCTAGCATTACCAATCCCTGGTACCTTATCTTACTCATCCTTCACATCATCCCTTCGCATAATGGCGCACCACAAGGTCGTTTAAGTACGGGGCCTCAGGATGAGAGCGGCCACATTCCCAGACCATGCCAGAGACATTGACCTTGTACACAGCCAAGGTATGTGCTAGCATGATTCGGCCCAGTATCAATCGACTAACCGAAACCCTATTTAGATCTGCCCGTACGCTCACAGAGTACGTAACTGGAGAGATCAGCAGCAATCGTCATACTCACGTACAGTATTGTAGACGGAGTTGGCGCTTGAGGAGGCTCACGCCGATTATACTCGATATGAAATCGATCTCTCCAACAAACCGGAGTGGTACGCTCCTCGAGTGAACCCAGCTAGCAAGGTATGTGGACCATGTCATAATCCTACTAACTGACATATTCTCACCTACATATGTGGTAGGTTCCAGCCATCGCCTATGGGGGTCCCAAGACCGCCCCCGATCAACCATCCCCTGAATCCGAAAAGATTGCGGAATCTCTCGTCCTGCTCGAATTCATCGCCGACCTTTACCCCGACTCCAACCTTCTCCCCAAGGACCCCGTCCTCCGTGCCAAGGCACGATTCTTCATCGATGCCTTCTCGACTAAGGTGTCTCCTTTCTACATGGCATTCGTCGCCCGCGGAGAACCGTTCGAAAACTTACTAAAGGGTATCGAAGCCCTGCAAAGCCTACTTCCTCCTGAAGACAAGGGGCCGTTCGCCCTGGGAAGCCAGTTCTCTATCGCAGATGCTGCCGTTCTGCCATTCATCGCTCGGTTGTACGTCATACTGAAAAATGACATCGGCGGGTTCGCCAAGGGGGTCGGCCCCGCGAGCTTCAAGATCCTCCAGGAGGATGAGAAATATAAGCGATTCAAGTCGTATGTCGAAGCGTTGTTCGAGAGGGAAAGCTTCAAGAAGACGTTCCATGAGGTATGTAATCGACTCGTTCTGTGGCCAACCCTTGCTCATTCGTAAATAATCCAACAGGATGTCATCGCCGAGGTGTACCAGAAAAGATTTGGGAGACAAGAGTAGTTTCATATTGGTGTCATGTATAATCTATCTGAATTCTACCACTCCTGAGCCGTGAGAACTACCTTGTGAAGGGACAATTACCGTTCTGAAGTTAGATCTGAAGCCACAGTCTTGTCGCGCGAGCCCTAAGCAACTCGTATTCAACAACGCTCGACGGGCTCAACTCACAGATATAGAAGGAGTCGCAAGCTACGTATGTCAGTCCGAGATGATGGACACTGGGGCGATCAGCACCGTGGTATCCCCTTCATCGTGAAGCGGCCGGTTCTCCCCATCGAACTCATTCAATGCATCGTTGATTGCCTTGATGTCACCGACGGGGAACGTACAGAGGACAAGCTGAACCATACCGCACTGTCTTCCTGCTCCCTTGTGTCCCACGTATGGCATGACATCTGCTGCCCACGCATCTTCCGCTCCATCACCATACGCTCCAGCACTGCCTCATTTATATCTCGGTTCTCTTACCTCCACTCAACAGCTCCTCACCTGAGGAAGTATGTGCAGGTACTTCGTCTCGTATTCTCCGATAAACACGCCTCGATTGCGCCCCCAGCCTGGCTCAAGGAGTGTCTCGGCGGATTCGAAAACCTGCGTACGTTGCAGCTTGATCGCAAATTGATGTCAGTTAGCTACAGTCCCTCGGGCGAAGATCACTGGATGCAGTGGATCACGGACCTACTCGCCACCGCCCCTCGGGTACTCGCCATGGATAACTGGGCGTTCGACTCTCCTGATCGCCTCCTTCACATACTTGCAGCTTCTTCTACTCTCCTAGAAGACTTATCACTGAGACGTATCAATGTCTCTACCCCAATCCAGTCACCAGAAGCCGAGCCTGTGTCCATTGCCCCCACAGTCACCCGTCTGGATGCCCTCCGCAATCTCACGCTTTGCTGCGTAGAACCCTCTATACTCGCTGAGCGCGCTATAGAATGCCCAAATCTAAATTCCTTTTTCACCGACAATTCTAGTACAACTGGGTCCTTTCCTCCGTGGATACCGAAAGAGCTGTCTAAGTTTACCCTGCATGGTAGGCATCACTTCCCCCCCTGCAGCCTCTTTCTTCCTGACTCTTTCATGGGTTCAGTCCGGCAGAACCTTGACCCCACATTTTGCTTCCCGAAGACAACGCGCCTGTCTGAAATGATGCTACATATATCAGGGACTGCATCATCTCCTGAGACCTACTCTACTTGGATCGAAAACTGCATAAATCATTCTTCGTTTCCAAGGTATCTACGCCGACTCTCACTCAACATACATCTGCAAATGAATTGGCACTACAACTCAGATTATCCACGATTATCACGCGTTCTTCAAGGCCTATTTACAAGCGGAAGATTAGAGTTCGCCGCAATCAGCATTGCAGTCACTGCATACGGCAATATAGAAACTGGAGACTTTCGAGTAGATCGAACGACGGAAGTAGCAAAGCTGGAAGATGGATTTGCTCCGTTGTTGAAAGATGGTATACTACACGTTGAATTGGTTTTCCAACATTTGATTTCCGAAAGTAGATGTAGAACGTACGTACATTATAGCGTATAGGTCGTAGGGTCCCTATTCTTATGCCTTCTATCCTGTCTATCGCGTCAGATAAGTACCTCTGGTTCTCGAGAATCATATTGTGTAACAGCGAAATATATTACTTATGTTTCTTTCTCATCTCCAACCCCAGTTACAGCTTAGGGGCGCCATCTCTACGGCGAAGGAAGTCGAATAATCGGAGGACGGGAGACGGAGGGAAGCATTGCCGGTGAGCACGAACATCGTCAAATACTGGTGTAGACTCACCAGTCACGTCAACCACGCTTGTTGAACTAGGTATACTCCGTTTCACAGTATTTGTGAGCGTCTCGGAAGCTAGGGGGGCAGCGATATCACGGTCATAAGCTGCAGGACACGACACTTGAAGAGAGTCTCCAGTCAGAGTGGCGTCGATCCTGTATGTAAACCTCGAAGGAAGGAGTCTGTCAGCGCGTGCGTATAAAACCAGGCTGCCACTAGCAAGTACGTACCAAATCAATATATTTGCTTGAACGACATGTTGCGCTTCAAAGTAAGGGAAAGAGACAGCGACCCATTCCAAAATCCTTAAGGGATACGCACTTCGCCAGACATCAACCCTAATGAGGGAAGCCTCGGCAGTTGGAGCTGTCCAAGCGAAGCCCATGAACGGCATTAGTAGGATATTCACCATCTCTGTGTAATACTCATAACCATTCCTCCACGACTTCGCGATCGTAGGCACGAAGTGTGACCGGTGAAGGGTGAGGTATTCCAACATCGGCGCGAGGGGTCGTAGAAAATAGCGTGCGCCAGACGGGATGTTCGCTGATGGTGCGGAGCGTAGGTACAGCAGCAAACAACTTCCTTCAGGTCACAGAATTGAAAGGTAGGGAGCATCAGATGTAATTTATCGATAGTCGACCAAAATTTCAGTGTTCGTAGGGACCGAAAACGGTAGCATAGGAGCTCAATATCGAGCGCGAGGTCGCAATGCCAGGGGCATAGATTTCCTATTCCTCGAAGCGCCTCATTCCTGCAGCAGCGTCTAGAAGGACTGCAGATAAAGCTTCGGCGTCCAGAGTTGTAAGTTCGTGCTGTTCTTGTTCTTGGGGTCCTTCTTTCGCGGCCTCAGCGGCAGGTTGGCAATCAACACCGCCTTGGGTTCGAGTTCGAGCTCGGCCTTGTTGGCAATTGCAATTGACCCATGGGACTCCCGTCGCGTCGGTCGAGACACAAACGTGATTCATGAAGTGCCTTGACTCGTTTGGCCAGCCAAGATCCTGTATTGCAACTCAAATCAACATCGTTCGGTTCAATCAAGAGTCGTAGGGACCAATCTCTTGCTCGACGGCGTTCGTGTCGATAATCCACAGCAACATCGTGGAGCAAACGGTTCACCCGATGGATTTGGAGGATTTGAGGATCCCAAAGAAAGGACAGGATGTACCGCCAAATTTCAGGAGGGAGATCGGGCTGAGATATGGATATCTAGATCGTTGGTCTGCGCAGCTTTATTTTACCTCTGCACAATGCACACTCCTGAGAGTTGTGGGTCGCGGCGATGGTCAACTCGATCACGGTGGCCGCTGGAGGGCGCGCGTGATCACGTCACGTCCAGCAGTGTGAAACTGAACCACCCTCGCCGGTCAGTCTGACGGGCCAAGGCCAACTCCCCTCTGAAATACTCAGAACGACTTCTGCTTGTCGATCTATCGAAACACGGCGTCGCTGTTGTGGTTATTTTCGAACCAAACCAAGAGAACTTGAGGGCTGGGCGGTGCCTTCCAAGTTTCGCTTGGGTGATAACCCTAAAACTACAACGGCGGCCGTACGTGAACTTCAGCGCCCTGGCGATTCATCGGTAAGGACTATACACGCGTTTGGTGGGCTTGAGGGCGCGAATGCTCTGATAGTGGGGAAGAGGTTCTGTGGGCGCGCCAGCCTCAAATCGTTTTTCGAACGTCTCCTACAGGGCTCTCGGCGACGTCGATAACTCTGAAGGTTTGCTCAACGTGTATACAAGGTGTATATGTTGCCGCCAGCCGACATATCTTTAGGAAGATTTGACTCTGTTGCCTTCGTTTGCACCTCATTATCATGAATTTAGATGTCATTGAATACTATTAACAGTTCGAGGGAATAAAAGTAAGTAACACTGACAAAAGGAACGAATACTCGACAAGCGTAAAGTAGGAGATACCAAATAACCTAAACAAGGTGGCCTCTAGAATCGAAGTTGAATTGCAAAACAGCCACTCCGGCTACGACATCGTCATCCGTTGTCGAGTTTGCGCTCTTGGAGACAACCCCGTAAACAGTTCCAAGGAGGTCGGATGGGATGGTCACTTCCTTGTTCTCGATCTTGACGAACTTCTTCGCCAGACCAGTAAAGAACGCCATGTATAGGTCACCGGAATCGCTAGGGGAGTCGAATTTGAGAGTGGCTTTCGAGCCTGGCTTGAGGTTGGGTGTAACGACGGTGAGAGTGGGGAACGCTTTCACCCGTAGGTTCGGGTTAGAGTCGGGGCATGAGGTGATGAACGGTGCGGCTAAACTGAAGATTTCATTCAATCCCAGAGGAATCTGCAATACGGTAGACTGTCAGCGTGAAACGGTATAATTGGCAAACGGAGCCGCCCACGTCGAAGGCTCCGGACCACCCCGCGAACTTGTTCACGGCGGATTGAACATAGGCGGCGTGTCGTGCCTCGGTGGACAAGATACTTGCTGCAACAGTAAGGTAATCTTTGTTCTCGATGAACGCGGCAGCACCAGTGTATGCCGACACGCCTATTTCAGACCGTGTTTCGTGAGCACCTTGTTTACATCATGCACTGCAGCGGATACTTACCAACACCTTCCAGAATTTGGCTCAAGGCGGCGAATGACTTGGGATCGCTGTACGGACTGGATACTCCGGTGTCAGCTGCGGTACAAACGGTTGGAAAAAATATTACAAGTTGTAAGTGCACGGCTTCGTCGCTTTGTCCCCAAGGACATTACTGAGAAGGCGAACGTGGGCCTTCTCGTGTTCGGAGACCTCGACAAAGCGTCCGCGAGCAAATGGGGGCAGGCCGGCGTCGGTGAAGGCCTTCTCATCGAATTTCGCAAGGGCACCCGAGTAGAACTCGTTCTCAAGGTGCTCGAGCGTAAGCGCGAAATTTAGTACGGCGACATCTGCAAACGACAAAGTCCGGGTCAGATTAAGTTGTTGGGTGAACGACGTCAGCTTCGGCTTACCGTCTAATTCTGCGCGCCTCTCGAGTTGCGGAGCAGCGTGCACACTGCTGGTGGCGACGGCGGCGAAGATGGCGAGGACGAAGACAGATTTCATGGTGAGCGTTGGAAAGTGGGGATAAATCTTCATCTATTGAAATCCTTGACCTTTATATACCTATTAGGCAGTACTCGATGCAAGGCCTCCTCGGGGAGGATCGACCCCCAGGACCAAATGATACGAGTTCTGGGTACTGCATCTTCGAATAAAGACTAGAGAACGTCATGGATGGGACCATCCATTCAAAGCTCTCGGTCATTTCGGACTCACTGCTGTGACCGTGAGATATCTCTCACAGGGGCGCACAATTGGAACATGTACACCTACACACACAGAGTTATTCCAGTGCCTTCCCAAACGATGGCCGAAACTCGCTAAAAGCATTATCAGTACAGCGGTGAACTTGGTCAATTTCTCGAAAGGTAGTGGAGGTGACGTCCAGGAAAAGAACTGATGAGGCAAACTGAAGCGAGCTGTCATCAGAAGTATAAAATAGTTGATCAATTTCTGGCTCGTATCGCTGCCGCTCATAGGAGCTATTTCTCGCCAGATAATGGGTGTCAAGTGTGCTGTAATATATGAGTCTTATTACAACTGAGAAAATGTGTTCAAACACTTCCATCTAAATCAGACCCCTATCTAATTTAGGAGAGCGGCACATTCATCACGTGATGGCGACCGCCTCCTTGTCTTGAGCAGGTCCTGAGTCTACCAAAGTTCAAACTGAATTTCACCATCTCCTCCTCGTACTTTCAGCAATGAAGCCGTATCGCTCAGAAGCCCTCCTACGAATCCGAATCAACATACTGGCCATTGGCTTCTTGGCGGTTACCACGTATTTGCTCCCCATACCATCAATTTTTGCTGCTTCACGCGTTACATGGCGAGAACTGCGGGGAAATGGACTCATGGCCCTTCTAGGTGGGGGCTTATATGAGTTCATCTGCTTATTTGGTATGGAACTACCGTGATCATTTGAATATCTCACTCAGTTTGTCGTCTTTCAGAATCTCTCGTGGTGGTCATAGTGCTATTCAACATCGTTCAAGCAGCGTTTGCCCTACGTTTCCCTCGGAAGCCATTGCCTCCGAAATCAGTTCCACCTACTCCGAAAATCAATGCGGCTTCACCAATGACACAAAAGAAAAAGCTGTCCGAAGCACTTTCACCTTCAGTGAGAACCTGAGATGCGATTCAGCGGAGACTGTCTGACGGCGGCCTAGGCTGCTTCTCCTCAGCCACAAAGGCCGTTTCCCACCCCAAACACAACAAACTCTTTCAACCTCTCACTAGCGTCGCCATCTCCTCGCAATGGGCTAGGAGACAGCCCAAGCGGAAACCCGAACTCATCAACGTTTACGTTTGGGTCCTCATTTGGATCCCCCTCACCTGTATTATCGGCGTATAGGGGTAAACATAGTAGTGGGGCTGGTCGTGAGTCGATCGTTTTATTTGTTTCGAACTATCCTGAAATTCGTGTTTGAAGGTGCGCTGGATGCACCATTCCTCAATCGGCTCTTAGCTGCGCAACAAGGCGATGACGACGACGAAGACGAACTTTCACAACGATAATATACGAGTCAAATGGTACCACGGATCCCGTTGAGATAGCTCACTTCTCACTAATTAACGTGATGTCTAGTCTATTATGTTCTTATGCTTTGTTTTCGACGATCATGAATATCAACTCGTTGACTGGAAATTCATTTACTTCAGCTTGTCAGGGCATACCTGCGATCACCTTATTTTCGAAACGCTTGTCTGTCGATCAATAGTTGCATTCGTTCTTAGCACCCCCTTTCTGGGCTTCTTTATATATGACATGCGATCCCGCCTCTTCTCCTCTCACCCCTTTACCCTCCTCCTCCTCCTTTCACGTCGCCGTCATGACTTCATTTTCGTTTACCAGTTGGCTTACATGCGCCGTGGTCATCATCAATTTCTTGACGCTTGCGGAGGCCGCCAACTGCGCGCCTGGCACCTACTTGTCCGGAACCGCTTGTCTGCAGTGTGAAGCGGGATCCTACACCAAAGGTACGCGTTGTCTCATTCTCATGAAAGGTGTCTCACCGGAAATCTAGAGTATAATCAGCGGTCTTGCACCAAAGCGAGAGCGGTATGTCCTCGTTTTCTATGCGTACCACTTATCTCATTCAGTTCAGGGGTATTACATCCCCAACGCCGGGGCAACCACTGAAACACCTTGTATCAGAGGCACCTACAGTGCGACCCAGGGCTCCACTTCATGCCTGAGCTGTCCGGCAGGGTCTATGTGTCCGTCCGACGCTCTCGCGAATCCACAGAAATGTTCGCCAGGTCGCTACTCCACTGGTGGCGCTGTGGAATGCACATGGTGCTCACCAGGCACCTTCAACTCCGTACAAGGTGCTACTGGATGTTGTGCCTGCTGCGCTGGCTGGTTCAACGTAAGTCTACCTTTGACGCTTTGTCTGATATCACTAATGATCCCCGTCGTTCAGAACAACCCTTCATTGACAAATTGTCAAAAGTTTGTCAGATTTGTTTGAGTTGATGTTCATGGCCTGATCTTTTTCTCAGGTGTTCGAATCAGTATCCATACTCTACGCCCGGAGCAACGTCGTGCACCGCTTCAATGGGCCTATATGCACCCGTTTCTAGTTGTTCCATGAGCGGGAGAAATTGTCGTAAGTACGACTTGTCCTCCAGCCGTTCAGACTATTAATACCATTTTCAGCCATCACTTTTGTTGACGATGCTAGCCAAGTACCCGTTCGACGATCAGAACCAGGCATACCGACATGCCACACATCCAGAGAACGCGCGTGCCCGGTATATAAGATCAACAACGGCGTCCGTACGCAAGTTGGGTACAAGTGTCAATTCGTTCTCAATGACCTTTGGTACGTCTCTTGTTCCATTTTGTAACCTGTGCTCCGCTGGTGTATGATGGCTGATGCTCTGCGGTAATAGGTCTTGCGGTGGGTGCCCGTCGGACGACAGCGACGGCTTTTCGGGCAAAGATTGTACGGAAATCCCCAACGTGGACTCGGTCGAGTGCATCAAAGGCCAGTGTGTCGTACGTGAGTGCACTCTTCTATTAATGTGTTTACAAGCGGGGCGCTGACGGCGTTGCTTTATCCCTGAAGGATCGTGCGTATACGGATATAGGAGTTCCGATAACCATACTGTCTGCATTCCAGCCAACTCGTCTGCAGCTGAGGGGTTGGTAGCGCAGGGTTTCCATGCTTTCCATGTGAAGAGTTGGCGCCATTAAGGCTAAGGCCTTTCTATCAATGTGTGAGTCCCTTGCCACGGATCAATCTCGCGGTACTCACATTCCGGTTAGTATAAATAATATTCTCTGGCTTTGTTTTCGGAATCGAAGGACGTAGACGTCCGTAGAAGTATACCCTATCAGTTGGGAGGGTCTACATTCTTGAGGCCACTGTCTCGGCTGCACGCGGTCTTTACCACTAGGTGATTGATCGGACTTTATGGCAATAGTATTGTATTAAGTAGCGCTATTGTATCCACAGAATGATCCCCAGTTACGACAATATCCAATACACTAGGATACCCGAATTAAAGTGCGAGCGCGACGCGGAGACCCCATGGGGGCAACGACTGGCCCCACTACAGCGGATCAGCGCGAGTATATATGAGAAAGGTTTTGAGGCTGATTTTGTCCAGAGCCATAAATGTCTGCGATCAAAACCCTTCTCGGTGTCGTTTGTTTCGGCCATCTTACATCTGCTGTGCTGTACAGCAGCCCTACTGAATTCGTGCCCAGGGACTACGACTATATCATTGTGGGCGGTATGCTTGATTGCACCTGATAGTATATGACCCGAATGACTCTGGGTTAGGTGGAACGGCTGGCAGTGTTGTAGCTAGTCGGTTGACAGAGATCCCCGATGTCTCTGTCTTAGTCTTGGAAGCGGGCATATCGTGAGCCAAAATCTACTTTGAGTCTAACTAATATCCATGCATTTAACACCCACCCTAGCCACGAAGGGATTATAAACTCACAAATCCCTCTCTTTTGCACGACGTTGACTCCGAATACACCGTATGATTGGAACTATACTACAACGCCCCAGGCAGGATACAATAATCGTTCCGTCCCTTACGCGCGAGGACGAATGTTGGGAGGGAGTAGCAGCGTTAGTATGTACTCCACGACAATGTCGTGTGAGAACGCACCACTTACCTGAACACCGTTCAGACTATCAAGTATTCATGCGAGGCTCGGCCGATGACTGGAATCGTTATGCAGCTGTCTCCGAAGATGACGGGTGGAATTGGAACAACATGCAGCAGTACATCGCGAGGGTAAGGGACAAAATAGAATAATAACAAGACAATGACGACTCATCTTGTGCAGAACGAAAGGGTGACGCCGCCAGCGGACAGTGCGTACTGAATAGCGATCCGTCACGGCTAACATGGCGCTGACACCGCACGATAGATCACAACACCACTGGCGAATTCATTCCTTCGCACCACGGCTTTAGCAATGGCTCGGCGATATCCATCTCGTTGCCGGGCCGCAGTACTCCCATTGACGACAGAGTGTTGCAAACGTTGCAAGAGCAATCAGACGAGTTTCCATTCAATCCCGATATGGGCGGAGGCGATGTCCTTGGAATAGGTATGCGCTCGTCGTCTCGGCTAATCGAACTACCGATTTGATGGACATATAGGCTGGATGATTGCTTCTATTGGCCATGGCCAGAGAAGTAGTGCGGCGACAGGATTCCTCGAACCCGCGCTACCACGGGATACTTTAGATGTTGTGGTCAACTCGCATGTCACAAAACTGGTCCAGACAGGAACGGAAGACGGCGTACCTTCGTTCCACTGTGTCGAGTTTGCCGAAGCAGCGGGTGGTCAGTGATTTACTCACTTTTTGTACATCTAGGACTGATAACCAACTTCATTAGCTGAGACAAAGAGAGTCTGCGCGTCGGAAGAAATCATATTGTCGGCGGGGAGCATAGGAACCCCCGTTCTTTTGCAAGTTTCTGGAATTGGCAACCGCGACGAGTTGACTTCCTTGGGGATTGAAACCATAGTCCACAACCCCTCAGTTGGGAAGAACTTGACGGACCACCCTCTACTTGCGGGAGTCTGGACAACTAAAGGCAACGACACTCTCGACAGCATGTTCCGAGATGCGTCCTTATTGGATAGTTATGTAACCGAATGGACTGATAATCGCACTGGACCTCTTGTCTCGCCGATTGCCAACCATTTGGGGTGGTTGAGGCTTGCCAATAACGCCAGCATCTTCGAAACCGTTGAAGACCCCGCTTCGGGTCCAAATTCATCTCACTGGGAGATCATCATCAGTGTAATTCCTACATGAATCATCATACGGGTTGGCCAGCTCACGTATGGTATAGAACTTTTGGGCCGTACCAGGAATCCCGATGCCTGCAGAGGGAAATTTCGTCACTATCACCACAGCTTTGATTTCACCCACATCTCGTACGTTGAGAGGGGGGTCCTATGTTTGGAGAGAATCACTAACTGGCCTACGTGTAGGTGGTGAACTTCAGCTCGTGTCGTCGGATCCATTCGAGCCTCCACTAATCAACCCCAACTTTTTATCTACCGATTTCGACATTTTCGCACTGAAAGAAGCTATCAAAGCAATAAAGCGATTCATGAGCGGGAGTGCCTGGGAGGACTACATAGATGCGCCTTACGGGGATTTCGCGAATGCTAATACTGACGACGAGATAGAGGCGTTCGTACGCAATTCGGCCGCATCGATATACCACCCATTATCCACGGCTGCCATGTCGCCCAGGGGAGCTGGATGGGGCGTTGTTGACCCCGATTTGAAGGTGAAGGGAGTCGAGGGTTTGCGAATTGTAGACGCATCTGTCATAGTAAGCCTCGTCTCTCTTCGCATCGCCCCGGCCTACTGACTCTGCTTGCAGCCATACATGCCCAACGCACCGACGCAGGGACCAGTGTATCTAATATCAGAGCGAGGGGCGGACCTGATTATTGCAGACCTTGACGATTCCATAGAATTATGTTAGTAAGTGTCGTAATGATAATGAGATCAAGGTCCGTCCTTTATACAATTGACACGCACAAACATATGCATTCAAGAGATCATTAGGATTCAGTACATGTCCTCTTGACCTTTTACAAGCCCTCCAAAATAACAGGTCAATGCTTTGAGCTTTGAACCCATCCACTCTTCTTCTACCTCAACGAATTCTGCCTGTCCTTCGGCTGGCACTAAGGCGCTGACTTCTTGTAGATTTGTATTGCGAGGGAGGTAGTAGGCGATATTTTGAGTGAGCCTTTGCGTGATCTTGTACAATTCTGCGCCATCGATGGGCTGGATGGAAGAAAGGGAGTATTCATCCTCGGCCGCTTGATCTTGCCCCTTCCGAGGAGATGATTGCTGGTAAGACGGGCCACCCCAAGGAGGACTCAGGAACACGATGTCTATCCTACGAGTTTCGTTTGTTGACGTGGCCCTCGACCACTGCGTGGGGTAGGTCTTTGCGAACGAAATGTAGTCCATCAGAATAAATTCGATACGATCAGCCACGCCGTATATCTGGGCATTGTGTCTGGCAAGGGCCAGTCTGGTTGGATTTATATCCATTGCAATGACTGAGAAATGAGTACCATCAGGCCTCGTAAGTCATAGGTGAAACTGACCTCTCTGGCATGTTTTCGCAAACGCGATCGCGTTGCCTCCGACTCCACAAAATGCATCCAAGATGGTATCGCACCGACACCGGTCTGCTATCTGATCTGCTATCCGTTCCGGTGTTATACTATACCAGCCCTCCGCATCAAGAAGGCAGCCCGGCGGTGAAGAATACAATGAAAAATAGCGGTTTCGCTGCCAAAAGTCTAAGCTCACGTCAGTAAACCTATGTCAGGGCGCGGTTTCGAGCCACGTACATTTCGAAAGTTCTTCTGGTATCTGACTTGGGTCAGTAACATGTTCTACAAGATGGCTTGCATCGTATTTTTTAACCCAACCAGCAGGGAAGTTTGCGGACACATCCACTTTGCGTTTCTTTGATGGTCGATTATCTTCCTGGTCGGGCTCTTCGGCTTGAGTGAACGCCGCCATCGCATACCGGGAGACGCCCCCGACGCGCCGTGCTCGAGCACCCATCGGATTTCAGTGAGAGTTGTATAAGTTTGGGAGTCTGACAATTGAATATCAATTGATATTGATCACGTGCATAAGTGATAGGAGCCATAGGAGTACACTAATTTGTGAAGCGAAGCTTTGGATTCTCCCAGAAATAATCAAATGAAACAGAAACAAAGACTCATATCAAGGCAGAAAGCAGTGACTACTGGAGCTCAAGACCAGCTGTAGACAAGGAGTGAGTGATCGACTTGAGAAGGACACAAATCATGGAAATCACTTACACAGGGGGGCCAGGAATTGGATATGCTCCGGTGTCTACTTGACGTTGAGAAGCGTAAGATCGTATGATAAGTATTGTACTCACTTGTATATACATCATATACCTTAAAGCGTCATGTTAGCTGGCAATGATGCGCGTACTAATAGGAAACTCACTATTCCAGGCGTAGATCCTGTATAAGCACCAGGGAATGGAACGAAGCTAGTCGGGAAGCCGGTTCCGCTGCCAGCTACCTGTACTTGTGAGCAGGATGGATAGACCTGCATAATGTGAGGTCATAATTCAGCCGAAGCAGACGGTCATCGACACATACCTGCGCTCCGGGATAAGACCATGCTGCGTTCAAAAAAAATTTAGACTGGGGGCAAATTGAACCTGATTATGGCTTACCAGCGTGCAGAGCAATGCTTCATTATCCCCGTGAGTTAAGTCATAAGCCGGAGAAAAAAAACGGAAACATACATCTCATGTCGGATGATGTACTGTCCAGGTCGCAGCCTTGCAGGGATAGTGAAAGTGTAAATATGGTTATTGGCATATAAGCCATCGGTGGCCGCCCATTTTCCGTCGGCGGTCTTGCCAGACTCGGCGACCTTGAACCAAACGGCTCTAAAACAGGATTGTGTGAGCTCCTTATCGTCGCCTTGACTAACACTCATACGAGTTGCCTGGGCTCCATTGGGTGATATCAGAAGGGGCACGAGCCAAGTAAGTAATTATAGGACCCTGGACAATACAACTCAGTATATCAGTGTGCATATGCACGAATGAAAGCACGTACGACGTGCGAGTCGGGCCATTGTGTCCAGTTGAACTTAACTTGAGAGCCTGCGGCGACGGTCCCAACGAGTGGTGCTGGGGCCGTTGCTATTCCTCCCGCGCTCCATCCGTTGCATTGGACACTAGCAAGGGTGAATACCAGATCAGCGAACCTGGTAGCATCACTGCTTACTCGATGAGCGATAAGTCTTCGACTGGACCTGCGGCAACCCAAGATAAGTTTGGATTCTACTGTGAAGGACATGTCGATGCGTACCATTTCCAGGAACTTTGCGGACAATGCGTGGAATGGGAGGGTCGTAATATGGATCAGAGTAAGGAAGATAGCCCGTGTAGGATGTTGAGCCCAGTTTTAGCTCCTGCACATATCCATGAGCGTTCACCAAGGTAAGAGCGCTCAGGACTGTAGTCGTGAATACCAGTGCGAGTTTCAGCATTGTGTCTGATGTCGCAGGAAGCCCCCATCTCTTCGCTCTCTTTATACCGTTGGAGCAAACTTTCGTAACTACTCGTAAGTGATACTCACCGCCTTCAAACCCATTCCAAGGGATCGTTATTAAGGGCTTGGCGTGATCAGGAGGTCGACGCACATGAGGCATTTCAGCGTTGACCATAGCTGGATGTTCCTCGTCATCTTGGATGCATCGAATGGCGTACTAAGATATTCCGCGTTTACACGCGTAGGCTGTCAGCATGTATAGCGGAATTGCAGGCGAAGATCCTCGCAACACCATTCTGGACTACATTTCGGAAGAATATTGGCCCGAAGATATAGTCGTAATTGGCGTGTATAAGGCAAATGCGTGCTAATTGTCGCGTGTGACGCATCTTGTATAGACCTGACTAGACACCTATCCATTCAACTTGGGCGGCGACAAGGCGGCGACCATTTGTGTGTTGGGACATAGCTCATTGATAGTAAGTCTCGGATCAACCTTTCCAGTTCTTAATACTCAGCTGAGATTAGCGGATGGAATGAGTGCCTTGGGTGAATACTCACATCTGAGTTTGGATAGTGTACGGACCGTGCAAGGGCCGGGGGCTAGTCAGATGTGAGAGCGGGCGTTGAGTTATGCTCCAAAAACAAAAACAAAAACTGTAATATTTTCATAACAGTTTGATCGAGGTTCAAACGTTCATGTCATGAACTTTTATGTAGCCACGTCCAGTTACAACTTGAGCTACAGGGTGAGTGCGGTCACATCTAGACACCAGAAGACAGCGGCCTCAGAACGTGACAGTCACGTTGCCAATTGATAGGTGATTAATTTTATGGTGGTAGCGTACCATAAGTATTATGCAATCTACTGGAAACACCTCTCACAAGCGAAAGCGAAGCTCCCCTGAGCTTGGCTCAGCCCAGCGTGGACAGGAAAGAGGAAATACCGACTCACAACCGCACCCCAAGAAACAGGACTGTAGGGTGAATAAGTCCGAAGATGCCTTCCAACATGAAGACATACCCAGTAGGCGACTGACTTCTTCAACTAGTTTGTAATCATGCCGTTCTGCGGGGATCCTCTTGACAAGACAGCGCAGAATTCTTACCAATTGTACTCGTCGGGCCACATTGGCATGCGCGAGGGTCGCTTCAAAATCTTGTCGTCTTGTAAGCCCCTATTTATTGTTCATTAGGGCGACCAATTTCATCCTTTCCATCAATAGCGGCGATTCCTACAGTAAGTCGAATGAAGGCACAACTTGGGTTCGTGAACAGTTACGAATCCGTCTTTCTTGGATTTGACGTCAACGCCTCTAGGTCGACGTCGCCCAACGACGATTGCGAAGTGATACCCTCAAGGTTTCCAATTTTGCATTCCCCGGCGCCACCGCTGAAACCGACTTTCCGAAGCAACTATCTCGCTTCCTTGAAAAGACTGATGGCAAGGTCGATCAACCCCGGAGAGCATCCTTGGATCCGGGCGAGGCAACCTATGGTTTGTTGCTGCTCTTGTAGAGTCGGGGTTCGCCACTAACCTTCAAGCACTAGTGATTTTTCTGGGAATCAACGATTGTGGAGCTATGGGATCTGAAGACTTGGAAAGCATCGTTGAGAGCATCTTCGACGTTCTTCACCGCCTTTATCTGAAATGCAACGCTCGAAACTTCATCCTCTTCGACGTTCCTCCGACGGATCGCTCACCACAAGGTATTGGCGTGCGTTCGCATCCTAGATGTCCGTTTAAAGTTGATTGGCAATTGCAGCCGTAGACCGTGACCTCTCTGCGGTGTTAGAAGACAACATCACGACCTGGAACGACGCCCTGCGGGCTCAAGCGATTGAATTCGGGTCATCAAACAAGGATGTGACGGTGTTTCTCTTTTCGGCGCATCAAGTACTCACCGATGTGCTTGACGACCCGCTAGAATATGATTTTGGAGAAGACGATCCGGGCATTGAGGGGGGCCGTATCTGGGAGGATGGATTGCACCTCACATCCGACATACACGATATATTATGCAAGCAGCTGCTCACATCTATCCTTGTAGACCAACTGTAATTGGGGTGGTATCGTCCATCGAGTTAGAAAGAGCCCCATGATAACCTATACCCTTCGATGCATTGTGTCCTCCGTAAGTGATATCTTGTATCTTGATAATACACAAGGCTCGTTTCAGCGTCGAGTCGAAGTTTACAGCCCCTCGTCCTCCATTCCAGGGTGCAGGGAGCCCCCAGGCTGAACCATGTGCATGAGGGGCGTAGAGATGTAATTCAGTGTAATTCGATGTCATGGTCGTTTTGTGAGTGGTCGGAACCTGAGGTTTAATTACAGGGGCCGGAATCAGCACCGTTCGTAGTAGTGGCCCGAGTTATTTCTCTTTCTAGGTTGTAGATGAAGAGGCATGCGGCGCATGAACTTTTCGACACATAGAAGAAACTAGTAGTTGCATTCACTTACCTAATAAAACTTCACCCCGAGTGGTCACGGCTGGTCACGGTCACGAGGTGTTCGACTTCAATTACTTCCAAGTTCTACGAGTCGTTGGCGGATGAGCATGGTCATCACTTTGGTTCGCTATCCTAGTGGATGATTTACGATTGGCAACAACGCTAGATGAAATTGGAAGACTCGTACTTGAAGATACCCACGCTGAAGCTGGATAAGAACAACCAAGAATAGCATTTGCCAATTTCCCAAGTATACTCTTGATTCTTCATATGATACATATGTTTACACTTTCAAACATCCACAGTAGGAGGATGAGAACTCAGCAACATCCCATTACAAGGTTTAGTCGAACAAGATGTCGTGCCAATACGAGTTCGCTTCTAACTTTGAAGTCATGTTCCTCTGGATCGCATTGTGGATCGCCAGCTTCAAGACGTTTCCATCGAACCTACTCAGAAGTTCTTCTTCGTCTACCCGGGCCATCTTGCACGGAGGTTCATCTTCTTCGTCTCCAGGGCTTGGTGTCCGAGCCCTCTTGCGAGGATTTGTCGTCGCCGACGGGTCGTTTTCAGTGGGGCTTTCGTGGTCTTGATCTGCTCCTCTCGCATCCTGTTCTAGTGCATCTTCTTCCTCCAGCTCGAGCGTTCCATTAATTGGAGAAGACCAAAAGAGTTCATCTCCGGAATCGCTTTCATCGCTGTCGGACTCGCCGGACTCGGCATCGGCATCGGTATCGTCTGACTCTGACTCTGACTTGGTGCTTTCCGTCGTAGCGGAGACGGGGTCGATATTGTCGCCAGCCTCTTCAAGAAGGTCGTCGTCGTCCGATTTTGGCAGTGGTATATTCGCTGGGTCCGTAGGAATCTCGTGTGCAATGTCGCTGTCGCTGTCTTTGGACTCAGGTTCTTCTTCGTCTGGGAGAAATCTGTTATCTACGACTTCAACCTCCTGTTCCTCGTCATCTGCGTCGTAAACCACATGTGGTTCGGCTAATGTGGCTCTATCGCCTGCGCCGGTTTCGTTAGATTCGTCTTCAGATTCGATGACTCGCTCCCTTGCGTCAGCGTTGTCGTCGTCGTCGTCGTCGGATACCCCATCCTGTTCCTCCGCACGAAACTGCTCCGCCAAGTCGAACATTCCCAGGTATTGGAGCACCCGCATTCTCCCCATTAATCCTAGGGCACCAAATACTGGATCGTGCAAGGATGTGGGCGCTCCTTTCCAGTGAATATTCGCTGCGGCGCATAAGACTTCTTTCGACTCTACGGTATCGAATTCGTGTTGTCTGTGTGCGAGCGTAGCTATCGAGATGCGGGCGGCAGCCATGATTGCGTATTCTCCCAACGGTGCAGAGATGGTAGAAGTTCAAGAGTGTGGTTCTACCACCGTTTCTTTATATTGACGTCGTTCAGGATGGACCACCGGCGTCCCTGGTACTTAGGGTGGCACAAGTGCGTTCCACACGTGGAAAACATCCATTGTCTCTGAATAATTGCCAGTTATGGACATATGTACAGAAATCCCCGTCTTACACAATCCCAGACAATAGGTTCTGAAATCACTCGTTAATGTCCACCGCCACCGCGTTGTCCAACCCTTCGCCTCTATCGTTCCTGTGGGTGGCAAACTTCAAGCCGGAGGAACAAGGAGCGTATTTCTGGTCCGAAGCTTGCTGGTCTACGAACCCCTCGTCACCCTTGCATCCATTCATGGCGGCCGCGTCTCTGAAGTGAGTCCCCGTAGTGAGAAATCCACCGTCCTTGTCCTTGTTCCTCTCCTGCTCTGTCATCGCTGTAGCCACCTCCTCATCCTCATCCTCATCCGACTCGGAGTCTTCTGAAGGATCGTATTCGTACTTGACGACGGTTGTCGGTGCGCTCGGGTCATCGGTGATGTTGAACTCGGCGAGTATTGGATTTAACGGAGCCACCGCTGAGGAGAAAGCCAGTCTAGAATGCCTTTCATTCTTTCGGTCGGACGGAAGAAACGTCTCGCCGTTATTAAAGGTGATCGTTTTTGTAGTCATCACTGTGATGGAGGATGCAGTCTTCTGTATGAGCGAGTTGGGGTTGCTTTGAACGGTTGGGCCTCTGACATCTCCTCTCTATTTATACAGCCTGTGGGCGCAGTGCCACTATTTCTGCCATTGTTCAATCCGAGGAATGTGTCCATATCCGCACGATTGACCGCTGAAAACTTGCCACTAGACGGCCACTACGCAAACCCCTATCCAGTCTTTTGGAGATACCTGCAGCATGGACACTCTGAACGAAACGCCACGGGAGTGCAAATCAAACAATGGATTTAGGTATGCCCCTACCCAAGTCCTTTCAACGAATTCGAGGGAAGATTGATACGTTCTGGATATCTGAATTGGTACTAACCAACTCTGGAATACATGTAGCGAGCTTCACTGACCAAGATTGCTATTTGGGTGTAGCTACACGCGTTGTTCTTGCTTTACCGTACATGTGTTCTCATAATTTAGCCCCCCTTACTGCTCCGAATTCCTGCTGGATATCAGCACAAAGTCGGAGGAACGCCTGGCCCAAAACGTCGAAGTCACTAAGCTGATAGAGCCAACGTTCGATATGAGTTGGACACTCTCTTAACCTCGGCAAGCGGACGAGAAAGTCGCAGACACACCTCATTATATACCTGCGCGCTGCACCTGGTCCACCACTTCCCGTTATGATAGAAATGCGCGGCGTAGACATTATGGTCCTTAAGTAGTGTTTTTTGCATCTTAACATTGAGCTCAGGAGTCCATTGAATCGATCCGGACAACGGCAGCTCGACGTTCACCTCAATGGGTAAAAGAAGGCCTCAGTAACAATCCTAGCTGGGGGTACCTTGGAGAACATAGCGGGACGTACCATATTCAGGGTAAGAGAACCATCTGGATCCATGACACGCGTTCCTAGCATTTCGGCCAGCCGCTTTCCGCCAGCGATTGCTAACCCATGGCAATATCTGTTAATCTTTTCCTCGCCACCGAGCCATGCGCGGAAACGAAGTGCTGATAAACAGACATGTATAAATGAAGATCAGCTCTAGGAGAATAGCTCACCGTGAACAACGCTGTAAAACGAGACGAAATCCGCAGTTCCATTCCCTATTGTCAGCATTTAGCATATTCGTGCGTCCTTCTAGAAGAGGGAAGTACATACAGTCAAATTGCTCTATAAAGGTCGGTGGACTGCCTGGAGAAGCGTACGCATGAGATGTTGGAATGCTAGATTTGATGAAACGTTGGTTTCTAGATAGCGTATCAAGCAATTACCCCCTAGTCGTATTATTTCCGATGAGCCTCACCGCTTAGGCACATAAAGCACGGCGCAGCCCCGTTGTGAAAATAACCATTTGTGGCAGTTCTGCGGTGCCGTGCAATAACACGCTCAAGGACATAAAAGTATCACATACGGATATCCAGAAGTCGGGCTGAGATTCGCCAAGGTTGATATTTAATTCCTGGCCGATCGAATGTGCAGCGTCAATAACGCTAAGAACGCCCGCCGCTTTACAGATCTTCACGAGTTCCTGCCATGGCTGAAGGACTCCCGGGTTAGATACAATACTATCTATGACCGCGACGACTTTCTTCCCAGGAGGCTTTGAGGCTACGACCGACTTGACGTGCGCACGGAACGCCGAGATAATGTCTCCATGCGTGGTAGGGAAATTGACGGTTAGTACGGATACAGATGGATGGGGCGGTTTGTCGGCGAGGTACTGCACCGCCCGGGAGACAGCCCCATACGTTGTGTTGACTGGGAGGATGATCAAAGGGGTATGCAGCGATCGAGACCGTAGACATACAATCAATGATGATATCCCCTTTCTCCCATTCGATATTTCGAAGCACCGTGTTGACCCCGTGGGATGCGTTGGGAACGATAACACATTCGTCGGGTTGCGCACCGATCAATGGTGCGATGAGTTCCCTGACTTGAGCCTGGATGTCGTAGTGCGTAAACCGAAGGAAGAGATCCGGATTACGCTCAATCTGACGCGCTAACTTATCGCATTCTGCCTGGACTGGAGTTGGAACTGACCCAAAGGAACCTATAGAGGCTCCGTGAGGTGGATCCGACAGTGGAGACGTGTATACTACTGGCGCACCATTGTTGAGATTAACATATTGCGAGTCGAAGCCAAAATACTTCAACATTGGACGACCAAAGGGTGGGGGCGGGGCCTTGCAGATCTCATCCAGCTCGAAATCGCTCATTGTTGGCATGAACGAAGCAGCTGAAGTGCTGACTAGCTATGCTCCGAGCCTGTGAGTCAGAAATGAGTAACATGAGAGAAACTTAGAGCTCTCTTCACGTGCCCAATGGTACTTTCAGAGGGCGCCAGCTGAGGGCGCCTATTATACTCGCGAAGTCTATGCGCGTCGCGTTGTCTACCCTTCACTTACCTCAAATATAAACATCATTTCAACGCAAATACTCTCGATCAGCGAGCCCGCGACATGAAACTATAGTCGGCTGCTGCCAATTCAGACCAAGTTCAGATACCTGGTACGCATCAATACTTGCTCCCTCAAATTGCAACGCCTTGGAGTACCAGCGTGGGGTAGGGCATGCGTAAATGCCTTGTCTGATCTATACTCGCTTAGCGTTTCGCAGCGCTGGTGCAGGGACAAAGGCCAGGGGGCTCCTATAATGGTTTCTCACGGTCACTGACAATGCATTAAGTTTCTGGCGATTCCGAAGACTGCGACCCGTTCCGGAACCATTTCTAGTGTTTTCGGGGATGTTCTAAACTTGAGTCCAAACGATATAACTTGAAGCTCAGCGTGGACTTGGTGCCGGTATACCAACGCTAAATTATGCAACTTGCCGTCTCAAGAAACATCCTGCAGTCTGCGTACCGAAGAACCACCATCATCCGGAACCCCGCATGGGCATTTTGCAATGTTTCGCGTTCACGAATAATTCCGGGATTGTCGTCTGTGAGGCGCTATGCCTCTCAGCCGCCACCACCAGGAAGGGGGAGTGGGGGAAGTGGGTTTCCGGGCTTCATGATGCAGCAACAGCATCAGAAAGGGGATGCGTTGAAGGAATACGTGTGTAGTCAACTTGCGGTTCAATAAATGACGCTTAGGCTCATATGTTTGACAGAGCGTCGACCTGACAGAGCTAGCAAGGAACGGGAAGTTGGACCCTACCATTGGTAGAGATGAAGGCAAGTTACCTTCAGTTGCGGTCACGCTTGCTGCTCATGCTGACACCAACTACAGAGATACGCCGCACAATTCAAAGTAAGCGACGTCGGTGAAGGTCTTGCTACAACCATGGTATTGACAATTGAACGTGAACAGTATTGTCACGTAGAACCAAGTCGAACCCTGTCGTAAGTAATACGACTATATTGTGGGCCACGCTATATGTTTACTTCCGTCTATCAGTTAATCGGACCACCCGGTGTTGGGAAGACCGCCATCCTCGAGGGACTCGCAAGCCGAATCGTCGCAAAGGAAGTACCAGAGGTAATGTTGTCCAAGATGTCGACGTGTCCTTCGCACACTCAATCAGTATCAGTCACTTCAAAACAAGCGCGTCCTGTCGATAGACTTGGCTGCTATCATGGCAGGTTCTGGGATACGCGGACAGTTCGAGGAGAAATTCAAGAACCTAATCCGTGATATTGAGGAGGAAGCCGGCAATGTTATTTGTTTCATTGATGAACTCCGTGAGTTTACTTCAAGCATGGAACCTACGCGATTGCCCACTTATGTACATCTTCTTAGACACGCTCTTCAATCTTGGTAAAACGGAAGGAAGCATTGACGCTGGGCAGATGATTAAACCTGCGTTAGCAAGAGGTCTCCAATTGGTGGGTGCAACGACGCGTACGTCTTGTTAATTTCTATGAGCCTCCCAATTGTGACCCATCACCCATGTAGCCGATGAATATAGAAAGACCATTGGCAAAGACGCGGCGTTGGAGCGGCGCTTTCAGCCCGTAACAATTGAGGAGCCGACTGTAGAGTCCACTATTTCCATACTTCGTGGACTGAAGCCTCGCTATGAAGTGCATCACGGCGTGGAGATTTCTGATAGCGCGTTGGTAACTGGTACGTGCATGACTGCTTCCGCTCCGTTTCTTTCTCTTATACCATTCATATGTAGCCGCCGTGTATAGCTCTCGATACGTCTCGGACCGTTTCCTTCCTGATAAAGCGATTGACTTGGTGGATGAGGCTGCGTCTGCCCTTCGTCTTGCTCAAGAATCTAAACCGGACGAACTCGAAGCTCTCGACCGGGAGATCATGACACTGCAGATCGAACTCGAAAGTCTGAAGAACGAATCTGACGTTTTCTCTGTAGAGCGTCGGGATAAAGTAGAGGCTCAGTTGAAGGACAAGAGGGAGCAGGCATCTGAATTGACTACCATTTGGCAAGCCGGTGAGTCGTCCCCGAATGCATTCTATGCAAGCCGGCGCCCAGACTCATGCATTTTATAGAGCGCTCGCGCTTGGATCGCATCAAAGACCTCAAGAAACGCTTGGAGGAAACTAAATATGATCTCGAAGTTGCACAGCGGCAGGGGAATTACGAACTTGCGAGTAGACTTCGCTTCTCCACTATCCCGGAGCTCGAGCGGCAGCTGCCTAGCGAGGAAGAACAGAGCGAAGAAAAGGAATCGCCGTTGGCTATGCTCCATGATCGGGTTACATCCAGCGATATCGCTCGTGTGGTGGCGAAAGCTACCGGCATTCCCGTGCAGAACCTGTTGAAGGGCGAGCGGGATAAACTTGTACATGCAAGTCCAAACCTTTGACTAATATTTTGACACAAAACCGACCTTTATTTTGCACAGATGGAAGATACGCTCCGAAAGAGGGTTGTAGGGCAGGATCACGTCTTGGCTGCTGTGAGCGACGCTGTGCGCATGTCCCGCGCTGGACTACAGGCGCCCAATCGTCCTGTTGCGTCGTTCTTGTTCCTCGGCCCGACCGGAGTAGGAAAGGTGCGTTCGACGATACAAAGGTGCCAAAGTGAACATATCTGACCGGGCTGTGTAGACGGAGTTATGCAAAGCTCTGGCTGGATTCTTGTTCAATGATGAACAACGCGGATTGTATGCGTCGATTTGACTTTGATGCAGCTTACAAACATGCTGACAGTGTGTCATAGGATCAACATCAATATGTCGGAGGTATGGAAGCGTGTCTGTTGCCTAGGCAGTTGCATTGAGTTTCTTTTTCCTACAGTACCATGATCGGCACACGATGTCCCGCCTCATCGGCGCCGCCCCAGGATATGTCGGCTTCGAAGAAGGCGGTAAGTCTACTTCTACCTATATTGAGTCGTTATCTAAGTCATTACCACCCAGGCCAACTCACCGAGGCCGTCAGGCGTAAACCATATGGTAAGACTTCCTGTAGATATGTCTATCCATTTCCAATATATTGACTGGGACGGATAGCTGTCATTCTTCTGGACGAGCTCGAGAAGGCACACAAGGACGTGGCTATGATTTTGCTGCAAATCTTGGATGAAGGTAGCATCACCGATAGTCAAGGCCGTAAGGTAGACTTCAAGGTAAGTCGGAAAGATTCACTGATCGAGCCCGTCACAACTGACACTATTGTAGAACACCATTATCTGCTTGACAAGCAATCTTGGTAGGTTTAGTTGGTTCGTCTACTACACGCACAGCTGATTTCGATCGCTTTCAGGGAGCGATATACTTGCACACCATACTGCCTCCGACGATAATGGTGTCGTTACTGCAGAGGCTAGAAGCGAAGTACTCGAACGAACATCGGAATATTTCCCTCCCGAACTTCTCAATCGACTCGACTCCATGCTCGTATTTAACAAACTTTCGAAATCAGCGATCCTTGATGTCGTGTCTCTGCGACTGAACGACGTCGCCGAGAGACTCAAAAACCGTCGCATCACGCTTGACGTTGACGACAAAGCTAGAAATTGGCTGGCTCAGCATGGATACTCGGATGTTTATGGTGCCCGGGCTATCGCCCGGATCGTGAGGACGGATGTACTCTTCCCCCTGGCACAGAAGCTCTTGAAAGGTACGATCAGGTATGTATGAACGTAATCCCCCTGTGAAGGATGTTTTCTTACTGTTGTTAGGGATGGCGACATCGTATCGATTCGCGTTGAAGGCGATGCGTTGGCGATCCAAGACAACCATGAGCCTGACCCCACGGCTCTGACCTCTAAACCGGACAATCAGCTTTGATTTTATTATGCGCCTCTGAACCTCATTGACCCTGTTATAACCCCAACTCATCACTAGATCATAGAACTTTGCAAGATCACATTGTAGCCATAAATTTAATGTATTATAGCGTGGCCATCCAAGTGGTTACTCCCATCATGACACAGCGAACGGTGCGGCTTGCTGTGATACTGATCTTCGGCGGCGGTAACATGAAATTTCCCTTCTTATCACTTCTTATGCCCGCCATATGTAGTCAGGAAGATAGACGTGATAATCCCCTGATCTTTACCAGTGCCAATATCGTATGAGTGCTATATTCTGCCCTCATCTTAGTTTTGACTTTGGACAACTACATGAGCGAAGACAGGGCCTTTCGGACAAGCTTTGGGTCTAGGATAATTTATTTGTCTTAGTGTAAGGCAATTTGAAGTTGGAGAGTCCGAAACTGAGCATCTGGCGCGGAACAATAAATCCGAGACATGAGGGGATAACTCTATCCAGTATAAATATGATATGATACCACATCTGGTTTTCTTCTCATCGGACCACCCCGTGTATCGATTCTCCCTGCTACATCTCTCCCTTTCTTGCCACTGCCATCATCTTCAGGTTTGAGAATGACGACGGATCCCAAAGCGAATGCCAAAGCTCTGCGTAGGCAACGATTCGAAGGCGCTTGGAAAGTCATTCGCGATGAGCTCGTCGAGCATCTTGCTTCAGAGGGAATGCCTAGCGATGCCATAGAGTGGTTCGGAAAGGTGAGTGCCCACGACGATCCCCTTTAACTCTGTCAGAATCGCGAAATAAGCGAATGCGGGACTGCCATTTTGCCATATACATTTGGAACGTCGCCTCAACCTTGTCTTTATGCTGTAGAACCTCGATTACAATGTCCCCGGCGGCAAGCTCAATCGCGGAATGTCCGTCGTCGATAGCGTCGAGATCCTGAAAGCTCGGGAGTTGACCGAGGAAGAGTACTTCCAGGCAGCCGTCCTAGGATGGTGCATCGAGCTTCTCCAAGCGTACTTCTTGGTTTCGGACGACATGATGGACGGATCGATCACTCGAAGAGATCAACCATGCTGGTATCGCGTTCAATCCGTAGGCAACATCGCCATCAACGATTCCTTCATGCTTGAGGCGGCGATCTACTGGCTACTCAAAAAGCACTTCCGCCAATCACCGTGCTACGTTGACCTCCTCGAAGTGTTCCATGAGGTACTGTCCCCCCGTCTTTCCGTTCAAATCTACATTGTTCTTAATGTACCCACAGACAACCTACCAGACGGAGATGGGCCAGTTAATTGACTTGATCACGGCCCCTGAAGACCACGTTGATCTGTCCAAGTTCTCCTTGAAGAAGTGCGTTTTATCCGCGCCTGCTTAAGATCGACTTCATCTAATCTCGGTCGAATAGACACCGTTTGATCGTCGTTTATAAGACGGCGTTTTACTCCTTCTACCTGCCAGTCGCATGCGCGATGTACCTTTGCGGCGTGCCCCCGTCTTACATCCCATCAACTGAGCCATTCTCCTCCACGAAGCCCGTTCATCCCTACGACGTCGCAAAAGCCATCCTCGTACCCCTTGGGGAGTACTTCCAGGTGCAGGATGACTTTCTCGACTACTCGGCTCCCCCCGAAGTTCTCGGCAAGATCGGAACGGACATCATCGACAACAAGTGCTCCTGGGTTATCAACACGGCGCTTTCACTCGTCACCCCAGAGCAACGCAAGGTTCTGGACGAGAACTACGGCAAGAAGGGCAAGGAAGAGGAGCAGAGAGTTAAGGACGTGTTTAAAGCGGTCGGAATCGAGCAAAAATATGCCGAATACGAGCAGAACGCGTACGAAACGTTGACCAAACTCATCTCGGAGGTCCCTGAGGGTACGAAGGAAACGGAGCTGAAGCAAGAAGTGTTTACGAGTTTCTTGAACAAAATTTACAAGAGAACGAAATGAGGGTTCAATAGTAGCAAATAGCAATTTCATCTGGACTGTGTAGATGTAGTACGTTTCCCCCAAATTACCAGAAGATCTTCCCAAGAGATCTTCCTTAGAGCTCACGCTGAAAAGTGCTGCATTCTGTGAATGTATCTCGAAGCCAAGTGCTTACTAGTTGCAAACGCTAAGCTATGTGATTGCCGGAGCACTTCGACCTGACGGTTAGACTTTGCACAGTTGACAGAGGTTGTGACAGACAGAAGCCATTTCCCTCCTGGTTCTCGCCGGAGTCACCGCTCAATAGTCAGCACTCGGCTACCTTGTCCAACGTTGAGCCGTACTCCACTCTTTCCAAGGTGGACGTTCTCATTTCGCATCGGATATGAAGCCCGGTATCAACAGCCCCTTGGGCTGGTGCATCCCTCAGCGTACCTACTTTCCGCGTAGACGAGTTGTTTGGTCACTAAGGCGTTGAACCCGTCTACTTTGTATTTGGAAGCCAATTTACCCATAAGGATCGTCCGGGGTTCGGGAATCCTGTCTACTTCCTCGATTATTGCTTCCTGGTTGAACTTGAAAGGGGACCCTCACAACTGTCTTCCGAAGAATGGAGACCCGCCGCAAAGTCATACAGTCCATCGAGCCTAGGGTTCACCCATATCAGCAGTGAAATTTACAACCCCGCAATCCGAACTTGAACCCCACAAATCCAGCCGGGACTCAGATACACAGTAGTTCGGAGGGTGATTGACACTGTTCTTACCTAAAGCGACTCGGGTTTACGGCCCTATCCTCGCTATTGTCGTGGAAGGGGCTCGTACAATAGAGTATCGGAGTGCCTCATTTACCCAAATACGGGTTTGGCTCTCAACACAGAGGTACCTATTGAGGGGAAATCCGTGTAGTTGAACGTAGATCGGGCGCTGGCGCTGGGCCCTGGAAAGCCCTGACTATGGACTAGAGTACAAACAGACAGGGTACAGAATGATCATGGAAAGTCAACATTACAAGCTCGTTCGAATAGTATCCTAGGTTACGAGCAGCATATGGTAGGACAATGAAGGGGACAACATAACAGGGATGAATGGGGTATGGATGCGGATATTGCGACGTGTAGGTGAACATGATGTGATCTGTGAGTTTGACAAGATGTTAGCGGTAAGGGGTCCATTATACAGTACAGATAGTTGATACAGAGAGCGACGATGTGATCCTGAATTGATAGACTACAGTGCACTGAGGGTCCTAAAGGCAGGCTATTATGGGGGTGAAAAAGAATGTAGGAATACTGGGGTATCGAAATGAGAAATCGGGGGTATTCTTGGCCATCCGTGATGCGCAAGAAGTGATCGGAGGGTTGCTCAAATCAAGTTGTAGGACTCTCGCACTCTCGTTAACTGGTAACCTGAAAGCGTTAAGAGAGTATGGTTAACTATGTGCTTAGGGTGACTCACTGATCAAGGCACTGTCGTTGGCAAACATCGACAAAGTGGTCATGCCGTCGCGCAGGTTCGTCAGAAGTGCATCTTCACCACTGATGGTGGCAGTTGGTGTTAGGCTGCCCTCGCCGGTCCGTAAGCGGGATATTTCATCGATGAAGACGTGGCATGCAATGGACCACAATGTCTGTAAAATTTACCGATCATCAGCCATACGACGGAAACAATTAGAGAAATCACTTACCCCCATTATAGGATTCATATAGGTTAACTGAGTTAGACTCGCCTTCCCCAAGCTAACGATGGCCCGAGCAGCGCTTAAGCACTTGTGCTTTGACGAAGTGTCCGAGTAGGAAAAGTTACTGTGAAGCTTGATGGCAGCGGCTTCCACAAGTGCACGCGTGATAATATGGGTTCGGACCTCAGAAGATGGCAATGAGTCTCCGGTGTCCGGCGTGGGTGGGAGATCTTCTCGAAACCGTTGGATCAAACGATCAAGTGAGTAGAAGGCATTTGAGAAGGCGGTAGCTTCGTGGGGATACATATCTTGAAAAAAACCGAACCTTAGTGGGCGTCATAAATCGTGGATGAAATGTCTTACGAGGTCGCCATTGGCCTGCAAGATAAGCTGCGCGGTGAAACAATACAGCACTCTTCACGTGCATTGCAATTGCTGTGAATTCGCCCGGTGCAATCCTGGGTACTTCACTCAGGAAGTCCCGCACCGTGAAGCTGCTTTGAGCATCTTGAGGCGGCAAATATCCCTGGATTATTGTTGAGTCGTCGGCTTCGCGAGTTATGAAGTGCGAGATTACCTCTCTGTAAGTATCCATTTCGAGTGGCCAAGGCGTATCGATTAAAACGCCAGAGGCTTCCAAAGCACCACAGAGCCTCGTCGGAGGATCAAGCGCTACAGCTAACGTCTTGTGAAGTGTGAAGACAGCCCAGAACCCGTTGATCCTTTCACCCTCATCGACTTCATCTTGCGGTGGATGTGGCAATACAGGCAAATTGAGCAGTACGCCGATGGTGGGCGGTGACAGGCCAAAATTACTGCGGATCCGATGGAAGTTGCACCCAAGAGCCAGTGAAACCGCGATACTAGTATGACATTTGGCTTCTAAGAACCGCCCATTACGAAAGAAGTAGTTTGCAAGAAGCACTTCGGCCTGCATCAAGTGTAAGACCCGATGGGGATGGGTCGTGGTGTTCGCAAGATCGGTGCCAGCATACTGCAAAGCACGAGAGAGGAATACTGGCAAGTGGGTATAGTACGGACTTGCTGGTGAAAGGTGAACACCCCAAAGGTAAACTGTGCTGAGGAGCGCAGGTGAAGGTCGAGAAACGTGACCGAAAGGGAATTGAGATAAGGCATTGAGACGAAAGCGAGTGGGGTGAAGGAAGAAACCAAATTGGGAGGCGTGGGGGAGGAAATTGTCGAGTCTAGGAACGCTGGTGTCAGTTGGTGCGCGAGCGACGCATGTTAAGCAAATGACTCACAACGTTGTGATGACCACCATCGGCGGCTCCTACATGATGTAATCAATGATCCACTCTAAAGCCTCGACTCAAAATGTAACACGTACATCGGTGCCCAGAAATGAGAGACTGGAATCAGAAGCTGAGGTTGAAGACGAACCGCGACCACCCTGACCTATACCACGGTGGTAAGTTCCACCGTTGTGGCAACAAACTGGCTGCAACGTACCAAAGGAGTGACTTGAAGTCGACGAAACAGGTGAAAACGGAGACAAAGAAGTGTAAGGAGAGGCGGGCGAGGGTTGTAGCTGTATCTGGTTGTTGTATGGGTCGTGGAGGGATACAGACGGCGTGAAGTCTTGGGGCCGCTCGAGTTCCTTTATTCGGGTTTCGAGTCGAGCAATGGTGTCCTCCAGAGCTCTCGTCCGCGAACGACCTTGGACATCGGTATAGTCGCATTCGTCCTCCTTCGGATTGCGCTCGCACGGTCCACATATGGGTTTAACACCATCGCATTTCTGTTCGCCCCGACTTAGTAACAATGGAAAATAAGAAGAATGAGTTGGCGTACAATTTTGAGGAATCTGCGACAGACATGAAACGTCGACGGATGCAGCATTGGGGTAGGTTGAAACACTTACCTGCAATTAACGCATGCCTTCCCTCGCCGCAAAGGCCTTGATGATGTCTGGATGGCTGGCGGCTTCTTCGACACTTGAGGATGCATGTAGTGATCGAAAAGTTGCGGACTTCAACGTAGTCGCACATACGCGTTCATGCAGAAACCGGAGAGCTCCTTTATATAGTGGCCGAGTCAGTCCTCCAGCAATCGAGCGCAGCTTCTGAGCGAGATCCCGATCTGAGATAAGGCTGTGGACCTCTCCACGTGCGCCTAGGTCGGTGGTTGGATTCAGCCATTACTTACGTGCTGTTCACCGCCTCAGCCTGCACCAATGTCTGCCAAACATAACACCCGCTCACCCGCCTCATCGTAGGATCAAAAATCGCCGGTATTTTCGCCAGGTTCAGGGAATTCATGCGCTAGAATCGAATCGGGCTTGAAGCTTCGTTCCGAGTCCTCGATGTTCATCGTTCGCGGTGCTGAGTCCCTTCGGGAGCAGTGGGAAGGGGTCGTTGTATCTACGGGCACCGTAGGGTTACCGAGAATTGTGGGTTGACCGCCTTCATCTCCGGGCACCTTCAGCCCTGCTGACTATTTACTTGGGAATTATTTTAGTCACAATGGCGCACCTCAAGGCAAAAGGAATTTGATAAGGATAATAATCCAATAGCGATATAGCAAGGTTCCCGACGTACCGCCAATTAACGCACCGTCTACCATCGCCTTCGACACCAGGTCCGTACGGTAAGGCTTTCGTAGGGCGTTTCTGATCCCCGAGAGAGATCGTTCGAAGAGAGGCGAAAGGTGGGATATGGATGATGTGGTAGTCGCAGAAAGACGTCCTGGCCAAGAATCGTCGTCTGCACCTATGGGAAGGAATCTGATTTGATCCACGAGGCAAACGCATGCTGGAAGGCAGGCCTCCGCATTTTCTGTCACCATGGACCTTGGACTACGCTGGGATTTACGACTGAAACAAAGTTAATGACAGACGTCCCGCAACATGGTCAGAGGTCAAGAAAATATGCCGCCAAGCGCCCACCGACGATTTCCAAAACCGGTAATGGCGACAGGCGCTTGGCGCTTAACTGCGCTCTTCTACTGCACCCGCCCTGAATGGACCCGGTATAGCGACGATACATTTCCCTTGCTTATGGCCGTCGCTACGAACGAAGAAAGACAAAATATTTTTTTCGTATCCAAAGCTCGGTTAGTGAACTATTTCCAATTCCATTTGTTGTTTAGTTCCTCCCATGAATTCATTTCTAACACACTTTTCTCCCATTGTTCAGCGTCCGGCTGTCGCCGTCCGCAGGGGAAAATACAATCAAAAGTACTCATCCTGACTCACGGAGACAAACTCGGCGTCCACTTTGCGCCATAGTTCCCCATGATCTCCATTTCAAGTTTGTACGAACAGCTTGTGCCCTTGCGCCATGCCCCCTCTGGGGATCGGGAACCCAAGATCAACCTCGCTCCGTTGGACCAGTCCATGGGGCCTCGCCTGATGCCGGTCCATGCCATTAATCCAATTTCATCTGCCTGCCTCGAGGCAGACCCACGAGGCATGGCGCACCATTCATTCTGTTCGTCTTCACAGCCTTTTACTCCTCTACTATGGCGTACCTCTCCCACCTCGAGCAAATACTCGCCTTCAGTTCATATGGACTCCGCAGAGTCGGTCTCGTCCTCCCACCGAACACAGGTCGCGTAGGGGACGTTAGTCAGGCCTTGTCATTTCGGCTAAAGTCTGCCGTTTAAACACAAGTCCATCGGACCATTCGGATTGTTTGGATCAATGACCTCACTAAGTCTAGCCAAGCAGGGAATCCCCCGAGGTGCGGTGGTACTAAGCCTCTGGATCCACCTCAGATTCCTACTTACGAGTGGCTTCAAGATTGACCAGCGCCGTTGACCCTTCAAGCCTCAGGTACCCCACGACAAAATGAACCGGATATTTCAACGCGCGCGTACAGCCATGGCTTGACGAGTGGTTCACGCATACGTTCTGGTGGTGATCGTTCGATTGTCGCGATCTACTGCCTAGTGTGCCTCTTGAACGCTCTGGGCTCCTTGGAACTTTTGCCTTCTTAGAGTGTGCACTGCTGTCGGACGTCGTGATGACTACACACTTGTTTAACTGACTTAGACACCGCACATTGGTTAATAAATCATACCCCACCGTGGCATCGCTGCGTCTTGCTCCCAGTAAGGACAAAATGTACATGGCGTGTTGGGGACAATATCATTTCACAGTTAGCAAATTTCCTTGTGTCATTACAGGACTCACCCTAGTTCGTGTCGTGCAAGATGTCTTATCCTCTTCCGTGCTTCTAGCAGGCAACAATCATAAGCAATTTGGGGATTTCGCCACAGCCAATATCACATTAAGTTATTCGCGTGTTCAAGACGCTCAATGCCCAACCAATGCCATTGCAGTATTTTTGCTTCCACATTCGCTTGGATCTATTTATATCGCTGAGGTTGCCCGCTTACTTCCATGGTTGTTGCCCAGGAAGGAACACGTGCCGCGACTTGGAGATGCGGCGGCCCGGTATCTATAGGCCAGTAAACTTGAGGTGTACCACATGGTCTAATCGACATCAGCGTCTACAACAGATTCGCAACGGTGCACTCCTGGCTTCAATGTCGCGTACAAATGAAGACTGGGCGGAAGCAATTGAGGCCCACGTAGCTCAAGTAAACAAGCTAACCTCCGAACCCATCGCTTCCAGTATTCTTCTCCCCGACAGTAGCTTCGCCCAGTTCATCGATCACACACTACTGAAATCGAACGCAACACTATCGCAAATAGATCAGCTGTGCAATGAAGCTATCAAATATAAATTCAAGGTAGTTCTTATTGTATCGATTCATGTAAGATCATCCCGATCAAAACGAAACTAGTCATGCTGCGTAAACGGGGTCAATATCGCCCAAGTGGCCCAACGTTTACAGGATTCCGCAAGTGTACCTTGTGCCGTCGTTGGATTTCCCTTGGGCGCCTCAAAGTCCTGCATTAAAGCTTCGTAGGTGCCCGCCGGATTTCCGGAGTGATAAACTCAACTAAACGCCGATCTAGGGAGACTAAAGAAGCTATTCAGGATGGCGCCCAAGAAATCGATATGGTTATCAACATCGGAGCACTACAGTCTGGGAACTACATCCTGGTCTACGAAGACATCCAGGAAGTCGTCGCGGCTGCTTCCGGGGTCATCGTCAAAGTTATCCTTGAAACCATCTTCTTGACAGATGCTGAGAAGATTGCAGCATGCTTCCTTGCGGCAGAAGCTGGTGCTGCGTTCGTGAAGACGTGCACCGGGTTTTGCGGAGGGGGAGCTACCGTCGAGGATGTTTCACTGACGCGGAGGTCAGTCGCCTACAAAGGCGGCAGTGTCAAGGTCAAGGCTTCTGCTGGGATCAGGAGCTTCGACAAATGTATGGACATGATAAGGGCGGGCGCCGATAGACTGGGAACGTAAGTATCTCTCTTCCGACATACATTGCGTTGAACACTCCGCAACACGAGGATATGTTTCGCATAGCGGAGGGAGTTGCCCGAATGCTGACAGCATATCATCTCTTAGATCCTCTGGTGCTTCTATCATGGAGAGAAGCCCAACTGGCGAAGGCAGCTACTAAAGACGAAGAAGGATTCCATGCTTGAATGATGGCAGCTCGTGTGGAGCTGAACTTGTTCTGCACTGTGGATTTCAACGGTTATCTGATTGTTTGTGCCTCCAAGTTCATCGGTCTGGTGGCGATTTGGGCCCTGCCGAATAGCAACAGAGGACTCACTCGTGTAGGTAACATGTTTTAGTTGCATTTATACTGCCCTCCATCAAATTTGCTATTTCGAGGTGATATATCTCTTCCATGTCAAGTACCGTTCAGGGAACCAATTTGGCCGAACCCATTCATTTCCCATGACTTTTGCCATAACCATCTGCGAAACGGCTTCCGCACTAAGTGCACCGCAAAATAGTCGACAGCGATAAACCACTATATCAGTATGTCGTCACATATTACGGACGTGAAAGCATACCAGGCGAAGGCACGAGGCATGCCGTGGCCAGTATACCCTGCTGCGATATACTGTCCCTCGAATTCATCATTGTTTCCGCCTGGTCTTAATACAGGTCCAACCTAATTGCTGTGAGCAAGTGCGACTAACTGACATGCTGAATGTACTCACGAAGGGATCGCGCATGCTTGTATAGCCCATGATTCCCGTCTGTCCGAGGTTGTGTCAGACAGATGTATCCGTATATTAACCTCTTTGACGTACCCATTCCATCTCAGGGTCTTTGCCTCGAGTATACAGCTTAGGGAACACACTGGGGAGAAACCCCCTGAGAGCCTGGCCGACGGCTTCGTTTACACTGGAGTCGTCGGTTTCGTAATACTCAAACTTTGATCCGGCTTCTCGCCCACCGCCGAGGATAACCAATGGGGTTTCGTCAGCGCTGGATACCGGTCTCGGGAACCAGTATTCGAACCCTTCATTTCCATCCCACGAGGCCTTTGAAAGTTTGGAACTCGGCGCGTCTGCACGAATGGCCACAATTTGCCCCCGAGTCGGCACAATGCCTTCAGGGCCACTCATGTGCGGAAGAAGGTGACTAGCGTATGCATTGGTGGCGTGGATCACATATGAACAAGCCACCTTTCCCCGTCCGGTATGAAGTGACCATCGACGAAATGCCCGAGATCCATTCGCTGGGATCGAGGTGATCTTCTCAACAGGCGTATTCGTGTGAAGGTGGAGAGAGGTAAGCTTTGATGCTTTGCGATATAGTTCAGTGACGAGCTTGAGGGGCCAGAGGTTATAGCTTGGGAAGTGGAATCCCGGGAAGGAAGCACCAAACCGCTAGGGCGTCCGCATGGTCAGTCCTGCCGTCCGCATTGCGCTAGTAAATTAAGGCTCACTGTCTCCATTTCCTCCCGAGATATCCATTCAACATCGCTCAAGTCGACACCGGCATTCTTTGCCGCTTCGAAATCGCGTTTAGCCTGTTCCAGCTCTGCATCCGTAAATAACATCGTCGTATGGCCACCCGCAACCAAGTCAACGGCTTCAGCCACATCTTTCTCTTCTAGAATCTTCACGATCTCCGCCACCGTGTACTGTTCAAGACCGAGTGAACGAATGGCCTCATCGGTTCCGTGAGCAGCCTGAGCCAGAGTGAAGTCAAGGAAGGCTGCCGGTGTCAAGTGTCCACCGTTTCTTCCTGCGTTTGAGATCAATCAGTCTCCCGCGAAGCATTACCTAAGTTAAGTAATTGTATGACCTGTCGCTCCAGAACCTGTCATCATAGTAAGCAATCTAATGAAGACATATCGTAAGTGTACTAGAGGGTCTCACAGAAGTCGCGTGCCTCCAAGATGACGACCTTCAAACCGGAATTACTATCCGATGCATTTGTCGCCTTCGCCAAATGGTAGGCAGCTGAGACGCCGGTTATGCCAGAGCCTATAATGCAGACATCGGCGTCGGGAGTCAGATCGCCTGCGCTGCCCTCCTTGGCTAGGGGATTGGCACCCGAAGTGTCAATCCAGAATGACTTGGTTGGGTTCTGGACAGGAAGGCTTGCTGGCCGATGGCCATCGGGGAGGGGCGATTCCAACACAAGCTGCGCCTCGTCGAAACGGTTCAATGGGACGGACAGGATACCCATGATAAGAAGCGTCCACAACCAATATACCCTAGATGAGCCATGAGACGACGATACTTGGTATCAAAAGCCATATGGAGACCTACTTGAGCAAATGGATGTCCCCAGGAGAGTAGATAGTCGAAGCGCTCATCATAGTACTGTTTTGGAAATTGGGCGCGTCGTGGCACGCGACCGGTTGACACAGGGGGTGGCCCGGTATCACAAATTCTTGCCACTGGCCACCCATAATTCTAGAGGCTCGTGCACGAAAAATAAAAGGACAATGTGGCTGGTACAATATACACCTCAAATTGTAACCATCACACCCACCCCACTCAGTTCTCAGAACGCAAGCTCAGAACATGTCCTTCACCCCCTGGCAACCTCAACGCCCTTTTGTCAACTTGCCAACGACGGCTCGGACTGTAAGGAGTGTTTCTAAATCCAATGACACCAAAGAGGACAAACATGATAGTTCCACCATGGTTGACTCTGAAGGGCGGCCATGCAAGCCGAGCAAACACGACACTACACTCATGGGGAGGACCTTGAACGTATTACCGAAAAAGCACTCACGACTAGGGCAACCCAAGGATATACCGGTTCAAGGATTACAAGAGTGTCTTGCGTACGGGCAGCAACCATTTGGGACGGCACTGGTACAACCCGTCTACAAGTTCAATGGCGTCGACGGGTATCAGCTCCATGCATATACAACAGTCTACTACTTGAATGGGACTTGGCAACTGTGGCTCGTATGCAAACCAAATACGGAAGACATAGCATTCATGACGAGGGGACTAAACAAATGGGGTACACCATACGATTTGCAGGCTGCTCCGGACGACGCTGCAGTCATGGATAATTCGGAAACAGCAGGATTGAGAGGACGAACCGAGGATCCCGTCATCGTACCGGCTCGAGAAGTACAAGCGCATCTGCAGGTCGGGCACGGGCGGCAACTCGAGTCTCCGAGGCTTGATTCGACAACGACTGACAAATCGAGTGGCGGCAGGAGGAAACTACGTTATACCGAAGCGAGCGACTTGAATGGGGCCAGGTTAATACGTGGGCCAGTCGGGAAGGGATTAGACGCGCTGGTTGATAATTTTCGAGGTGATTCTCAAGATCCTGTAGCAGACGACTTGCAAAGCGACGCGGACTCTGATGCCACCACGAAGATAGCTTACGAAGACCCTCTAAGGCTGACCAAGGACTTCACACCGGACCTCATACCAACTAGGATGGATAACGAGGACTCACTGGCGATTTGTAGCGAATATGACTCGGACGCTACAGCGAAGCCAGATCGAGCTCGAAGAGATTTACCTCGGTATCCGAGTTATGAAGACTTGGACAACCATGAGTTCTTTGGACGGCGCATGATCACGAACGGAAGCATTGACGAAGTTTGCAGTGACGCAGGGTCTAGCAGCTCGAGCGAAGACGAGGACTACGATGATGACGGCTCATCTAATGGCATGCACGCAGAGGAACCCGTCGATAACATTGGCGACGACGAATCGGCCTCAGACGACGATGCGCCCCCTCACGAGTTCTCGTACGAAGAGCTACTGCCGTATCGCAATACAGGGTGGCTCCACGTAGCGCCGTACCTCCGATATCCCGACTACGAGTTGCAGTCTGATATCCGCAACGTGCGCGGGCGACTGCCTGAATCGTCAGTTCGAGGCCTTGAACGCTAGGACTGGTGCTTGGGGACGGAGTTGACGATCTGCCTATTAGGGTACATAGTTATCTCGATGAATATCTCGATTAATGAGCACATTGCACAGGAATGAAAACACCTCACCGATGCTTGTTATGTTTCTTTGTGATGAGGACAGCGGCGCAACGCTGTACTGGCAGTCTGGCACTTATGCCTCGTGTCTAGGGACACTAACAGGCGATTCAACGGCCGACGGCACTTGCAATCCGACTGTGTCGACAGGTCCGTCGGTGCTGTGGCGCTCGAATTGATAAGAACAGCCCATCTGTCGCTGACTCACGATATCATGCTGCAAGTGGCCCTTAGAACTTGGCAGCATCTGTCGACGGAGGGCAAGAGAAGGCAAGGCCCGGATCAATATCGATCTACACCAAAGCAGCCTAGTGTATAGTGGAAATGGACAACCCAAGCTTGGGACTCGCAATATACCGGTCGATGTACATTATACTCTGGGCCTCGTCTGTATGTATGGACACGACGTAGGGATCGAAGTAAGGCGGATCAAGCGAAGGGGAGCGAGGGAAGTGGGAGCAATAGCAAGGAGCTGCGCAGCCGGCGTAAAAATCCAAAAAGCGTAAAGCAAAAACACGACTCTGCACGAGGCCGACTGAAGCAGTGCGCGCTGCCGATCACCTCGTCTCACCGTCCTATTGAGAAAAAATGAAGTCAGCAACGATGACAGGAGTCGTGCTACACTCACTGGCACTGACATTAAGCAGATTTCTCTGATCTCTTCCGTTGTCGCTCCTCGTAAAGTGCCGTGCTCAATTTGTCGAGTTGTACGACAAGAGCGGTATCAGCAGCTTTGGCACCGATGCTGCGAGCCTGATAGTCCTCCAAGAAGCTCTCTATCTGCGCCCTGGCAGCTTTCGACGAGATCGGTGTTGACGAGAGCGCGTGCAGGCGAGGCGGAGGCGACAACGTAGAATCCATGACCTGTGGTTGACAAACTTGGAAAAATATCGAAGAGATTTGCAAGTTCCCACGATCAGAAAGCCACAATTAACCGTGCAATGACCGAAGCAGGTCCTGTCTGGCTCGCAGTTTAGACGGTATTACATGCGTGCAATGTAAAACCATGGTTGTAAGTAAAATTTCGATCAGTGTCCTTCAGTGCGAACACTACATTTTCGTGAACCAGACTTCCGTCCGCTCTCTGACGGTGCTGCCCACTGGCTCAGGCACACCATCCCCAGACCCCCAAACGCCAACCATCCCAAACCCAAGTGTGCCATTGTCCAGCACGAACTCAGCTATCGGGCCAGAGACAACGACGGGAGATGTCCAAAACGGAGCCGTAATATTCCCCGTGGGCTAGTAGCAAAAGCCCCGGTCAGCAACGTGTTTCGTGGGCTCCCAAACAGGGTCCTTCTACTCACATAACTGTTGAAGATGGACAACCCGAAGACGCTTTGATCAAGATGCGTCAGACGAACATACGCGCCGAATGGTCGATCCCATTTCGCCAGCAAGGTTGGAATGGTGCTGTTCAGGTCTACCGTACCAGGGAGGACGGTGGTGATATTAGACAACAACACTTCGCAGGCGGGGGAGTTCACAATCGTTGTGGTAGGGGCAGAGGCTAAGCAAAGCTCGATGCGACCATACGCCGGATCGTCATACACACCCACTATATTCTCTACGCCATTGGGCGGGAGCGTGGCGTTTTCAGGACGTTGTGCGGGAGGGGGTGAAGACTGGAATGCCGTGATGAGGGAATCGCCAACACTATGCCAACACCAATGAGATACGGAAGGCGATGAAATTCAAGTTCCTACATGGTCTTGGAGTCAAGAGGGGACAACCCTAGCGCCTGATCTGCTAGACGGTATTTAATGGCGAGACTGATGGAAGAGCCAAGTTGGTCGTCGTTGGTCAGCACGGCAATGCCGACTCCGTCGAAGGGGAAACGAGAAAGGAACGAATTAAAGCCTAGTGATGTCGTGATCAATGATGTTATTCGCTTAGGGCGGGAACAAGAAAGTACCTGGGACATTGCCATCGTGCTGAGGTACCGTGATTAGCATTGCTTTATGGGATAACTCAAGTGGAACTAACCTCTACGACAACTAGAGTGAAAGAATGTCAGCCAGTGTTACTGCATTCGACTTCGGGAGAATCGCACCGTGTCCTCTGTACGTGCTTTGAAATTGACCACCTCCATAAACGACAGGAGATAAAAACGGTTGTTGGCTAGATACCCGTCAGCCAATAAACACAAAGCCCGCGGAGGGAACGTACGCTGAAGGAGTGAATATAGTTACACCTGACGATACTGTTTGTATCACCTCGGCGGGTATGACCGATTCTCTAGTGACGGGGTGCTGGCCGTCTGAGAGAAGGACTTGAAGCCACAACGCCTGATTAGAAGACAGGTTAGCGCGAGTGCTCGCAAATATTTATCAGGAAGTGCCTACCATATCGACAGCGTTGCTAATAATGCCTCCAGGTCCAGATCCCGCTGTTGATCAATAGTGAGCGAATTGCGCAGGGACAGCGGATGAAGCAGGACAAGACTACTGACAGTTCCCATCCTCTCCGCCTACTTGCGCCCAGAAAGGTAGGGCTCTAGGAATTCCAGCATCGAAGGGGGAAGCCGATGAGTTGAGTTGCTGTTTTTTGAAACCGTCCGCGAGATTCCCCGTTGCGTGCGCCACATTAAATGAATATGTCGTGGAGCTCATTCCAAGGGGCTCGAATATGTTCGCTCCGACGTAACGAGTAAACGAAGGTTTGGAGGGGAGGATAGAGGTCGGGATGTATGAGAGGAGGGTATACATGATGTTTGTGTATTGGAACGTCTGTCGAAACTCTGCCGAAGGCTTGAGGAAGTGGAACTTCTGGATCTGATATAGTGGTCAGCACGGATTGTAGGCGAATAAAGGTGTAGTTTCAACTTACAACGTCTGTCATGTTGGCCGCTAGTGAAGCTACGAAGTCGTGACGAGGCATGCCAGTACGATGACTCATTAAATCGATGATGGTCGCTTCTTCGCTAGCAACTGGATCCGTAAGACCCCATCCTGGAATGATGTTCTTAATCTTGGTATCCCATGAGATGGGTGGCTCGAGGGATTGGTTAGCGATTAGTAGTCCTGTAGCTAAAGCAGTGAACAGCTGCAACGGTTCGTAAGTCAGTTAAGCGGCACTCAAAGACGCCTATGGGCATACCTTGGAATTCGAGCCGATGGAGAAAAGCGTGCGCTCCGAGACATTGGTCCCGTCAGCTTTCGCCAACCCATACCCTTTGGTTTCGACGTTCCAAGTGCCGTTGTCAGCCTTCCTGACTACAGCGACCGAGAGACCACCAGGGGAATTCCAATCGGATAATAAGCCGTTGATGAACGCGTCGATTTCTGGCGTAAGCACGGGGCTCCCAGGCGGTGGGGATTGCGCGAGAACAGTGACCAGAGGAGAAGCGAAGATAAAGCACGAGTATAAGGTTGCGAGTAGGACGAAATGCATGGTAGTTCTGTGCAGTGAAAAGATTCACTCTCACTCCATTTATAAGACATAAGCTGAACTGCGATCAACGGACTGCACATCCTAGCCCATGGCGTAGAGTAAGGCGAACGCTGCGTAGACATAGTTCCTGCACCGCCAACCACCAAAGGATGAGGGATTTATGTAACGCGTCGTATTGGCGCTGAAGTTGGAGATGTTTCATGTCTTTCGCATCAAGCTGCGCCGGAGATGTCGCATCCGACACAGAACGTGCACGTAGTTGAGCTTTGATGATGGATATTCTGGGTTTACTCTGTTAGATGCGATACAGAGTCGGCTTTGCCCTAAGTCCGTGATGTATCATGGTCAGAAGAAGAAAAGAAATCGATTCGGCTGCACAGTCTAGGACTCGGGAGACAGCCGGGCCGGCAGTCGGACTGTCGTCCGCTTTTGGCAGCATCACATATGTGTGACTCTTCTGAGTCTTATCGTCAAACTTAGACCTGTACCATCACCTTCTCCTGTAAATTATCTTTATTTTGGCCAGGACTTCTGTACCACCACTCAGTGAACTCGAATCAGGCGTATAGCGACCTCGGAACGGTTGCAATCTCGAAGGCAGACCACCTGCCTCCTGGTTGCGCGGCCCAGCCCGAATCCCTGTACATGACCCAGCTTCATGCGTACTACCACCTCCGAAACCAGCAGGCATTCCAGCGCCTCATCGATGCAAGCTCTGACTCTACTAAGGCATCTCAGGGCGCCCTCAGCAGCAGCGGGGGCCGGTCGTGGAGTAAGCCTAGTCCTTTGGCAGCCGCGCCGGTGTGCGACGTGAACGCGCGCGATTGGCTTGGGATGACCGTGCTCCATCATGTGTGCGCGAATACAGACCATTCAGACCTCCCTTACCTCCGAGCGCTGCTCGCTCACCCTGCCATCAACGTCAACATATGCGACCTGGAGAGCCATTGGACACCCTTGCATCGAGCGTTGTATAACGGGAATCTCACTGCTGCGTACGCCTGCGTTTCTGTTGCAGTCGGCGTTCGCTGACTGTCACTCTCGCTAGATTGTTTCTCTTGCGTCGGCAGGATATAGACGTCCATGTGAAGGATTTCGAAGGTTACACGGCCTTCGATGTCTACAATTCCACGGTGGAATACACGAAGCCACTATTCGACGCACCCCGCGCAGAGCTGTATACCTGGGGCACCAACCGAAACGCCACGTTGGGCCAAGGGGACAGCAATGACCGCGCGTCGCCGGACCAGGCGGTCATCCACCCCAAGGACGCTGTCAGCGTCGAGCTTCCCCTCGAAACGCGCTTTGCTCCGATACACGTGCGTCAGATAGGGATGTCGAGGCTGCACACCGGTGAGGCGCAGCACGAACGTTTCTGGAACGCGTGCTCACGTGTGTGCCAGTGATCGTGACGGCTGAGAGCAAAGGCAATCTGCGGCTGTGTGGGTTTGGCAGCGGTGGCCGGTATGTGTGTTCCTCGCAGTGACACGGGGTTGTGTATTGACGGCGGGCCAAGGCTTGGGCCAGGACAGCCGGCGCAGCAGTATTCTATGAAGCCATTGACGGAGCTCAACCCGTTCACCATCGTGTCTGTCGCACTGGGTCAGGACCACACCCTTGCGCTGACGAACACTGGGGAGGTTCTTAGCTGGGGGCTGAATCGGTTTGCTCAATTAGGGTATGTCATCGACCCGCCTTCGGGCTCGGATATGTCTGGGTTCGCGCGGAAAGATGAACCGATCCAAGCTACGCCGAGGAAGATCCCCGGTTCCTTGAAGAAGGCGTACGTGCTCGGTGTGGCCGCCTGCAAGACCGCCTCTGCATGTTGGACGTCGAAGGAGGTCTTCACCTGGGGCACGAATAACGGCCAACTTGGTGAGTAGCATCGCAGCGTGCGGGATAGTAAGGTTAGTGGAGCTAATGCTGGCGCAGGATATGACAAGGCCGCTCAGCCAGTGCAAGTGCACCCGAGGGTCGTCACGAAGCTCCCGTACCCTGCTGAAGACATCGCGTTATCAGTTCGTCGATTCTCTGGCTTCCGCGCGAGCTTGTCTGATTGATGTGCAGGACAATGCCATGGTCTGCCTGCTGAAGATGGACAACGGGACGTGCAATGTGTACTACATCCACAACGACATCTGCAGCAAGCTTAGGTCTGCCCATTCATGCTTACATATATATGTATTTCCCATTGACAAACCTGTTTTGATTATAGCTTTCCTCCCCATGCCTTCCCCGCGCAGATATACCCGTACCGACCGCCGCAGGCTGCGACAAACGCAGATATTCACAAGGTCACCTGCTGCGAAGATAATTTCGCTGCACTGTCCGCGAACGGCGAAGTCTTCATGTTTTCCTTCAATAGCCCAAGCTCGGATGGCAGTGGGCGGACGAGTGTCAAGCCCCAGCGAGTGTGGGCGCTCAGGAAGCAGTTCAGTGCTGTAAAGGCAAGTAATGACAATGTTCATTTGTTGGCAAATAGAGGACTGATCATGGCTCGCTATTAGGATGTAGCGCTCGGCTCTGACGGATCCCTTATCGTGTGTACCGAGTCGGGGCACGTCTATCTGCGCACGCGGTCTGCGCAGTTCAAAGCCTCCTCTGCTGCGGGTGCTCAGGGCGCGGGGGGCAATAAGCCATTCAAGTTCCAGCGCGTGTCGCACCTGCAACGCGTCGTCCGGGTATGCGCGAACAGTACCGGCGCCTTTGGCGCGCTGCGCATGGAGTTCCAGCCGAGGCGGATATCTGTGGAAGGAAATAGGATGGAGCAGGACTTGAGGAGCATTTTCCCGAGCGAGGTACCAGTCGCTGAGCCGAACACATTGAGCATCCGAGAACGGGAAAGGGGAAGAGGAAGAGATGAGGCACGGGTTTGGCGAGCGGACGAGGTGGAGGATGGGCGGGGGGAGGACTATGGGGAGGACGACGCTGCGATTCTGGGTGATAGGGAGGAGTTGGAGGGGCTTTGTGTTTATCTCGAGGCGTGTGTCGCGTCGGAGAGGCCTGCGCGTCCGCTCAAGATTGATGTCGACCATGGCGCTGACCTTGTCCTTCACGTGGCACCGTCCAAGAAGCCTTCTACGCCGTCATTCATGACTACCGCTCATAGGGTCATCCTCGCAGCTCGCTCGCGCCCGCTTCTGAGAATTCTTTCGACGCCTGGCATTCTGACCCTCAAGGACACAGGCGTTGTCATACGCTTTGGGTCTTTCAAGGCTGCTGATAAAGCCGCATCGGGGAATGTTATAAACGCACTCCAGTTCGAAGGCTGTCATCCACTCGCTGTGCTCATCTTGCTGGTGTATATTTACTCTGACCAGCTCGTACCCATCTGGGACAGCCGGTTAGCATCTACTCTTCGATCGTCCTCGGGCCACGTACCTTGCCCGCCCACCCGCATCAAAGCCGATCTGCAAGGGCTCGCTAAGCTCCTCGAGCTGCCACATCTCTCTGTGGCCCTCGAATCACCCGCTAAACGCGACCCCGCGCCCTCCCTCTGCAACGATCTCACCGCGCTGCACGAAGACGCGCAGGCGTTTCCTTCTGTCCGCTCAGGCAAGTGGTCCCGCAGGTCGTCCCCGCTGGCCCCGGATGTGGTCTTGCTGCTGGGCGACAGGAGCGTGTGGTGCCACTCTGCGATCATGCGCGCGAGATCGCCGTTCTTCGCGAGTATGTTCGGCGAGGAGGATTGGACTGCGCGGCGGTGGAGCGGGGACGGGGTGATAGAGGTTAATCTCAGGCATTTGACGTGGCGCGCGATGCAGTTCGTGGTCAGGTACTTGTGCTGCGGTGCGGATGAGGAGATGTTCGCTGTCATGGGTGAGCACCATTTGCGTTTGCAACACGGACGCAATCTAACCTTAATACGATCTCGTAGCTAGTATCCAATCGCCAGATGAACTCCTCGATCTCATGTACGAGGTCATGGGTGCCGCAGTAAGATCAAGATCATCGTATCTCGTCGAATCACCCGCGCTTACGTTGTTTTTACCTTTCGTTTGTAGAATGAACTCCTGCTCGATCGGCTCGTGCTTATTTGTTCTTCGGTCATCCTCAAGTTCGCCAACATTACGAACGCGTGTTATATTTTGAACGACGCGACATACTACCATTCTCTGCCGTTGATTTCGAGTATACAGGAGTACATGGCGGTCAATATGGAGACGCTACTGGAGGGCGGGGTGCTGGATGGGCTGTCGCCTGATCTCGTGCAGCAGTTGGGTCAGTTCATCCGCATCAAGCAGGCGGAGAAGCTCCCCATCACGAAATCCGGGACCCTCGTTGATAATGCTATGAAGGAGTACAAGGACTGGCTGGCGCTCCAGGATATCCCTGTCCCGATCATCGCCAGGAATGCGAACCCGAATCGGGTAATCACTCGTCGTGCGTCGGCGAAGTTGTCCCCTCCGATCCCGACGAAGCTTCCGCCGCTCTCGCGGACGCCGAGTTCGTCTAACATTTTGAGTGTGCCGCCCCAGCATTGTACGCCAGCGCAGGTTGATGATATTTTCTCGATGGATGAGGCGGAGGAGCCGGTTAAACCAAGTGGACCGTCGACGCCTGTGTGGAAAGCCCGTTCCGTGCCTCGGTGTGTACTAGTTCTGCCGAACCCGCATTTGTGCTAATAGCACGATGGTGATAGTGTTGATATGAAGGCGCTTATGGCCGAGGAAGCCAACGTGGGGAGTAGCAGTCGGGCTCCTCAGTTACCCGTCAGCACCCCGAAATCCGCGCAGCGAACACCGCAACGTGATAGCGTCCCTTTGCCTCGGGGCGTACCTACTAACCTCCCGGCTCCGGGGCCATCAAATACGAGTATCGCGTCTTTTCCCGCTCTAGGCGCAGCTCCAAGCAAACCCGACGCCTCGCCTAGACGTAGTACGACGCACAATTCGCCGTCTGCTTCTGGTCTCGGACCCGTGTTTGCGCCAACGCGCCAACCGACGCCATCCACTCCTACGCCGCGCCGAGTCTCGTACGTGTCTGCTACTGGTGCTTCTCTTTGTTACTGATGCAAAACTGTGACTGTGTGTTTAGGTCGGGCAAGGCCTGGTCGTCCCCGGCTCCGCAGGCTCCTTTGCCAGCATCTGGCATGACGCTCGTCGCGATCCAGCAGCTGGAAATTGACAACGCGAGACCGGTGGCGAAAGAACGGCGCTCGCTGGTTACTATACAGCAGGAGGAGGAAGAACGGCGCGTGGAGGAGGATTTCCTGAGGTGGTGGGCGGAAGAAGAGCAGCGGATGAAGGTCCAGTCGGAGGGACCTTCGGTGCCCAAGCGGAATCGCAATAAAGATGGGAAGCCGAAGAAGCCATCTGGGAAGCGTGGATCGCAGAAAATGGCGAGGTCTACATCAAAACCTGCTGCTTCATAGAAGTTTAGAGTTCCTGGACAATTTATGATCCTGATAATGCTAGTATTACCTTGCTCAAAAAGCAAGTCGAATTTCGCCTAATCATTTTCTTGGGGGCCACCTAGGGGTCATGGAGTCGTCGCGCCATGTCCTATGTCTATACTGCAGATATTTAGACTTCGTGGTTGGAATGCTGACGTTTCAAAGTTGCGCCCTGCGAGCCGCTAGCGTAGTCATCGTGCTTTTGATTTTAGATAGCAATGTGTTACATTCATGCGAGGTAAATTCAATAGGTTGACTTACAATGAACTTAGTATGGATCCACTCAGTCCATTGCCGGTGTAACTACTAGTCAAATGGCGTTCGTGACTGGCACTAGGCTCAGACGCAAGCAGCGACGACAAACCAGTCACCGTTCCTGACAAACGAGGGATGCCACTTATCTGCCTTAACGACACGGATTTCAAGAGGTTATGAAGTGACTGTTGACATCTGTACACCTTGCCTTATTGTACCCATGATCTCATAGTTTCGCCGCCTTCACCACTCTAAACTCTTGCTGTATATCAGCACAAAGTCGGAGGAACGCCTGTCCCAAGACTTCGAAGTCACTGAGCTAATAAACCCGATGCAGAGGGTCAGTGGGGATCCCCTCGAATTAACAACAAAGTTATAAACAGACCTCGTTATATACCTGTGCGCTGCACCTAGCCCACCATCTCCCATTGTGGTAGAAATGCGCCGCGTAGACGTTATAGTCTTTGAGCAGTTTCTCTTGCATCTTGATATCAAGTTCACGAGTCCATTGAATCGATCCAGACAACGGTAGTTCGACGTTCACCTTGAGAGGAAGAGAAGTTAAGAGTATTCTGCCTTGAGGTGACTTGGGGAAGCGGCGTGACGTACCATATTCAAGGTAAGAGAGCCGTCTGGATCCATGACTCGCGTTCCTAGGACTTTGGCTAGCCGCTTCCCACCCGCGATGGCTAACCCGTGGCAATAATCGTTAATCTTCTCCTCGCCTCCTAGCCATGAGCGGAACCGAAGGGCTATTATACAGACGTGAATGCATAAATCAACTTCAGACAAATAACGCACCGTGCACAACACTGTAGAATGGTACGAAGTCCGCAGTGCCGTTCCCTGTCGCCAGCGTTCCGTACAGTCGTTCCTACGTTACGTCGAATGAAGAGGTACATACAGTCAAATTGTTCTATGAAGGCTGGTGGGCTGCCTGGTGAAGCATACGCGTGGGGTGTTGGGATGCTCGATCTGATGAGATGCTGGTTCCTGAATGATAGATGAAGCAATCTAGCGACAAGTAATATCCATTGCAATAAACCTCACCGCTTAGGAACATAAAGCACAGCGCAGCCACGTTGTGTAAATAGCCATTTGTGGCAATTCTATGCTACCGTTCAGTAATGCCTTCAAGGGGATGATAATTTGACATACGGAAATCCAAAAGTCAGGTTGCGATCTTCCGAGGTTGATATTCAACTCATGGCCGATGGAATGTGCAGCGTCAACAATGCTTATAACGCCTGCCGCCCTGCAGACTTTTACGAGCTCCTGCCAAGGCTGAAGGACTCCCGGATTGGATACGATGCTATCGATGAGCGCGACGACTTTCTTTCCAGGAGGCTTCGAGGCCACGACCGACTTGACGTGCGCACGGAATGTCGAGATTATGTCTGCATGGGTGGTGGGGTAGGTGATGGCCAGGGCGGATACAGATGGATGAGGCGGTGTGTCTGCGAGGTATTGTACTGCACGAGAGACACCATCGTACGTTGTATTGACTATAAGGTTGATCAGAGGCGTATTCAATGATCGATGCCGTAAACCTACACTCAATGATGATATCGCCCCTCTCCCATTCGATATTTCGAAGCACCGTGTTCACTCCGAGGGTTGCATTGGGAACGATAACACATTCGTCCGCTTGGGCACCAATTAATGGTGCGATGAGCTCTCTGACTTGAGCCTGGATATTGTAGTGCGTAAAACGATGGAAGAGATCTGGATTGCGCTCAATCTCGCGCGCCACTCTATCGCATTCTGCTTGCACTGGGATTGGAACTGACCCAAAAGAACCTAGAAAGGCTCCGTGAGTGGATCCGACAGTGGAGGCGCGAATACTACTGGCGCACCATTGTTGAGATTCACATATTGCGGGTCGAAACCAAAATACTTTAACATCGGATGCCCGAAGGGTGGAGGCAGGGTCTTGCAGACCTCATCTAGCTCGAAACTGCTCATTGATGGTACGAAGGAAGTAGCTGAAGTGCTTACCCGCCTCATATATCTATACGCTCCGGAGCTGTGAGTCAGAAATGAGTATCATGAGAGGAACTTAGACCTTCACGTGGTGCAGGGCGCTTGGTGTTGGTTTTCCATCGAAATGATCAATGTTGCGCAGTACTATACCCCTTCACACTTATCTCCAAAGGTGAATGGCAGCAAGAAGCCGTTATTTACGCCTCAAGACTCTTGATCAGCCGCAGCGGCACCCTAGTGCCGGTTCAGACGTCCAGTAAGTACGCTCCTCCGAATTTCAAGGCTTAGGATGGACTTGGTGGTAAATCCGAGCTATTTATAATAAAAGAAAGCCAGAGTCAGAGCAAGACGACGATGCTCGCAACCTTGAGAACGATGCAGCCGACTCTGGAGATGAGCTCTTCTGGTAATCTCCGATCAATAGGACGCTTGAATTGGGGGAGGAAAAATACGATAGAGCCAATCAAATCGATCCAGGCGGATGAAGACCACGGCCACAACAGTGAAAACGACAGAATGTTTTTGTCTCTTTTCAAAATCAAAATTCTTCTTCAGTGGGGTCATCTTCATGTGCAAGTCTGGCGATTCAAATGTGTGCTGATGACTACTAGTAATGAGAATCATCCGCACGGAATATTGAATTGTAAATCACGACGATGCTCACCTACCAGCGGCTCCTAGAACTTGGAAGTAAACCTAAAGTTTGAGGCCGCGTGCCTAGATTCGTGTCCGGTCGCCTAAGGGTACCCTATGCGATACTTCGTAACTTACGATTCATATGAGGGAGGCGGCAGAGTGGGGTCTCGGGGATTCAAAAGTGGGATATTGATACTCCCTAAGTAGTATTGCCCTACTCCTAGAACGCTGGTTTCGAGCCTACCCCGTGGCCGCTGCAAAATCTTTGGAGTCTTAGTATGGGATCACTATAAGACCCACTTGTTCTCCCCGGACTTCCGAAGTTCTTAGCGAATTCCCAAACTAGAATGATGGGTCTAGAACCATCCCATTCTCTTGTGTCCTTGACCTTCTCGACCAATGAATCTGCCGTCACGCTGCTTAATTCTAATACCTAATCAACATTCAGTGGATTAGCAGAGCAGGTTCGCGAGATGGTACAAACGTACCATGAGTGCCTGCCTGGGGTCGACGGAGCCTACATTATGATTTATTTCGGTAGTTTATTACACCAAAATTTATAGCGTGTAAAACTTGAAGGGCAGTGAGGAAACCCCAGGGAATGGTGCGTAGGACGGTCAATGTAGATCATGTCTGCCATAGCTCTTGTGTCCTCCATGGTACCAAGTGAATATTAAGATTTTTGTCGAGATTTAGGGGCGCCACTTGTCTTTGTGATGGAAGAAGGGATCGGCGGCCGAGCATGAGCGGCAATTCCCTCCTTTGTTCCGGCCAGCTGAATTCCAATGACCGACGAGTCTGCAACAGCGTCCAATGAACCCGAGTGGGGTCGAGGTGACTACGCGCCCATGCAATATCTGCTCTGAAATATGCTGATATGATTCCCAAGTCCTGATTTGTGGGGGCACCGATTGGTGGGTAAAGTTCAAATGCAACCGTCGAACCAACCCAGTGGCTGAGGTCCTGTCAGGTCAAAATTAGGTCGCAAGGCAGCCGGAAAGGGCGATACCGAACAAGCGTAGGTCTCTGGCGCTGTACCCGCCGTTGCTCAATATCCTGAGATGCAATTTGGAACAGGAAACCAGACCTTCTCGAACCTCATATACTTCGATCATTAAGCAACGTGAAGGCAGTTTCGGTTCACACCTCGTGCTGTGGTTGTCATTGTGTAGTTTTGGACACTGAAGGTGATGCGTGGTTGTTTGGGAGAAATGGGTTCTCAGCGTTGGGCGTCACGGGGGTGGACGCGGTGTCGGAGAGCGCGCCGCGGCGAGTGAAGGCGAGTGAACTGGGCGGTACGAAGGAGACCAAGTTTGTCCACGCTGCATGTGGCAGGAACCATACGTTGCTGGTGGGAAGCGAAGGTCAAGTTTGGAGCGCAGGCGCAAACAACGTTGGGCAGGTGAGTGCAATGCACAAGTCTCAACGAATTCAAGTAGACGCCGCTGCATTTACCAGTGCGGGCAGACTCCATGTCCCGAAATTCAGGCATTCAAGTTGGTGAGTGGATTCCCCGCAGGGGAGCAGATAGTACAAGCTTCGGCGGGCATCAACTTCTCCATTGCATTGGCGAAATCGGGCAAAGGTATGTATACATTGTGCTGCAACCACTGCTGGGCTTTACGAACGGAAAATCCGTAGTTTTCGCGTTTGGAAGTGCCGAGAAGGGTCAGCTTGGAAATGGGACTACAGGGGAACGAATCATGACTGGGAACAAGACGGTGTTTGATGTGCACTCCGATCCAAGTGGGCATTCATTCTACTTCCTCCGCGCACCGTCAATACTGACACGTCCATTCGATAAGTTGTGATCAAGGAACTATTGGGGAAGGAGATTGTGCAGATATCCAGTGGCCAGCAGCATACCATCGCACTTGACTCGAAGGGGTAGGTACTCCTTGTTTGTGATGGACGCCCTATTGACCTGCTCATAGTGCTGTTTACGTCTGGGGTTACAATGGCTACTGTCGACTCGGACTGGGAAACCAAGTGGATGCGCTCAAGCCGAAACCTGTTCCGCAGGTAAGTATCCCTTCTACTGCTCGCTTTCGGTGTTTCGTATTCAGACATGCATCCTCCTAGTTCGCTGGACCGAACGAGGCAACTATGGGCGCTTTCGTTGCGGCTGGTCCGTCTAACTCGGTGGTCGTCGATAAGCAATCAATGTATTGGATGGCAGGAAAGGTACGCCGGACTTCGTAAACCCATGCGCGACTCATGGCTTTCGCATAGTGGAAAAACAGCGGCGATGGTAGGGTGCTGTATGTTTCGATTGGGCCGAAGCTAACTAAGTGTAGGTTCAAGCGGGTCACCTTACTCCTCCTTCCGATTTATGCAAGACATCATGTGAGACCTGTTCTATCCTTCCCGACCCGTGTTGGATTAATGATGAGTACCGCTCTAGGGGGTGTAAAATTAGCCGTGCAACATGTGGTGGTGTCACACATTGGGCACTGTGTCCAGACGACGACGGCAGTACGATGACGATTGCCTGGGGTCAGAACGCCAGCAATGGTACGTTAACAGCTCCTCGGCCCCACATCTTGAATTAATTATGTCTCGCAGGCGAACTAGGCCTTGGCCCGGATGAACCAAAGAGCGCCACGAAGCCCACTCGAAACAACACTTTGAATGGGATCGACATCTTTGAGTATGTTCTATGTTTTCACCGGGTTTCATTCTTCGAATTAAGTTTCTCCGTCTAGTATCGCTGCTGGCCAAAACACGACACTCTTCCTCGCTAAGCCAAATGAGAAGCTTTCCGACCTTCCTCGCCACCCCATTGATGTGGAGCCTCCGGAGGTCTGCATCGAATGTAACAAAGATAACGGAGATGACGATCCTCCACTTGAATGTGACAAGGTTTGCTCTTTTCCCCTTTCTCACCACATCCCCTGTCCTTTCGTTAGCTAACGTTAAGCCGTGGTCACCTTATGGCGAAATGGCAATCTGTTATCAAGTGTGATGGACCATACCACCTCAAATGTCTTGATCCCCCTCTAGAGTCCGTACCAGATGGAGAATGGTTCTGCCCCGAATGTATCGATGATCCGGGCGCGCCGATGGTTCCCCATCCACAGAGGAAAGCCAAGAAGGGCAGGTCGAAGGCCAAAGCGAAAGCTAAACCACCGTCCAAAACCATCGAAACCGAGGATGTAGACGAAGCCGAGGACGATGGAGAAACGGGGGGCAAAAGAAAGGCTTCTGCGAAAGCTAAGGGTGGAGGTATGTCTTGCTCTAGCGAGTTGTGGAGCGTCTTCTCAACGCTAAGTCTGATGTTGCCCCTTTAGCTGCCAAAAAGAAGAGGAACTAGTATTTATCTCGACAATCGCACTCTATGTTTTTCTCGCAACTGTGATACTCGATATGTATTATCTGTTTGTATCCCGTCGTATTCTGGTCTACATCTGTAACATTTCATGTACAGGCGATGGCCCTGGGTTGGATATACACTTAGAGGATCCGCAGCAACCGGTTTGTTATGATGAAAGGAACCATCTTCGCAGTCCATCGTTTCGAATGTGGCTGTCTCGCACATACCGAGCGGATCCGTGGAACACGGCGTACCTGCCCCTATTCACAAAGGGGCTCTCCTGTGAGCCCCGTCTCCCACCTCTCCTCAAACAACATTACATCAAGTAAAAAATATGGTATTTTCTTCATTCGAATCTTCTTTACGCACGACGCAGGCTCTATGAATTTTGGAGCCTACTAGAGCTTTCCTCGCACACAAAACTTGGGTTTACGTAATATAAATTCCCAAGGGTGACCCTAATCGTACGACTTGCCAAATGGCGGCGAAATCAGGTCAAGCCCTTTAAATCTAAGCCACCACCATCTCCTTCTCCAAACGGGCTAGCGTTGAGCCAATTTGCGCGCTGACACTCCCATAAATCCCCTTTGACCGCGAAAATCACCAGAACTTACCGCCAATCATGGGGTTCACGTCGATGCTCACTCTGCTCTTGACCCATCCTTTGGAGTTCAAGACTTTGGTTCAATTTTACTTATACCATGAACAAAAACGAGATATCACGTCCATGCAAGAGTACCCGACGTCTGGATGGGATAGGAAGTCGATGAGGCGTTGCTGGGAATTTTTGGATAAGACGAGTCGAAGTTTTTCTGCTGTGGTCAAGGAGTTGGAAGGTGACCTGGCCAGAATTGTATGTGGACGCTTTTGAGTCGAGGAATGTAGCGACTAACGCAACGTATCAGGTATGCTTATTCTACCTTGTGCTACGGGCACTAGATACCATTGAGGACGACATGACGATACCCGACGAAGTCAAGCAACCAATATTACGCTCATTTCACGCAAAGACTGTTACGACTGGATGGAAATTCGACGGAAACGGGCCGGACGAGAAAGACCGTCAGCTCCTTGTCGAGTACGACACGGTGATTGAGGAGGTCAACCGTCTGCCAACAGAGTAGGTGTCAGGCGTAGCTTTTCAGACGAAGGTTCTTAATCCCCGTACAGATATAGAGCTGTTATTCTTTCTATCACGGAAAAGATGGCTACTGGAATGGCAGACTACGCCCACAAAGCAGCGACGACCGGTTCAATCTACCTGGAGACGATCGAAGAATACGATCTCTATTGCCACTACGTCGCCGGTCTCGTAGGCGAAGGTCTTTCTGGTCTCTTCTCAGCGTCGAAGAAGGAAGCACCATGGTTGAAGGACCAGCTTGAGCTGTCGAACTCGACTGGACTGCTCTTGCAAAAGACAAATATCATTCGTGACTACCGCGAAGACGTTGAGCAGCAACGGTATTTCTGGCCGAGGGAAATATGGGGGAAGAAGGAATATGGGTTCAAGGAGATGAAAGAGATGTACGTGTGGGATGGACCTGATGGGCAGAGCGTGAAGAATCGGGCGATGTGGGCGCAGAGCGGCATGGTTGTTGATGCCCTTCGACACGCTATTGATTCCCTTGACTATCTACGGGTTCTCAAGAGTCAAAGCATCTTCAACTTCTGCGCTATACCCCAAACAATGGCGATGGCGACTCTGGAGCTCTGTTTCATGAACCCAGCCATGTTCCAACGAAACATCAAGATTCGCAAAGCTGAAGCTGCGTCTGTGAGTACACCCCTACAATGCCGCCTCCGAATCTTTAGCTTACCATTTGCTAGCTCATCATGCGCTCTACGAACCCAAGAGAAGTTGCGTACCTCTTCCGCGACTACGCACGTAGAATCCACGCGAAAGCCGTGCCTGAAGACCCGAACTTCCTTCGCATTTCTATCGCCTGTGGAAAGATCGAGCAGTGGTGTGAACACCACTACCCATCCTTCGTCAGCATCGTCCAATCCACCGCGGGCTCCGGTCCATCCCCTGTCTTCAACGAAAGCGATGCCCGCACACGCATTGTCCACCTCACAGACGCGCAGGACCAAGCGCTCTCGAGGAAGAAACGCGAAGAGGATATCCGCAATGGGCTCAAACCCGATGCAGTTGCGCGCCACGCTGAACAGGGTAGCCCATGGGAGTTGTATTTGTACGTTGGCGCCGCGTTGGGCATGATGGGTCTGCTTTCCCTTGGTGTGGTCTACACCGTCTTGTACTTCTCATGAGGTGGTGTGATGCAGCGTCCTCTTCATCCCTTTGTTCTGCCATGCGATGGATGACATCTTTAATTCGTTATATCATTATATACTGGCATACTGATTTACATTATACATAGACGGAACAGCTTTGGCTAGTTGATTTACAAAATGAAGTTATTTCACAGACGACGTCAAACACACCTGTGCCCAGTGCGCTTTGCACTTGTCGTTACTGACCTCAAGCGTCTTCGGGACAACGTCGGTGACAGACAACACTAAACCAACCCAGACATCGAGGACATCGCAGCCTTGGTTGAATAACCGAGAGACTTTTGGCATGGTGTTGTCACTGACAGTAGCGTCTACCGAGTCCTCTGTCTACCAATGCCTGATGGTTATGCCGTTTATGCTTAGAATCCTTGCGAGGGGCCTCGATTGGCACCATAGTATGAACGAGTTCATGCCACCACTATCATTTAAGTGATAGTTTCGAACTTAGCTACTCCAGTAATCCGTGCCACAAATCCTTGACAGGAACGCTAGGTGCTTGCTCGCTTCGAACATAACAATGCCAGCAAGTCGATTGAGATCGCTGTCTACAGCACTCGTTAGTGCGAATGACGCCAGTTAAAAGTAGCATCGCGTCTTCACTCGATCTCCAGTGCACTCACATCAGTCACCTCGCTTCATCAGTAAGCAGCTTACAAGAGAACCAGTCTAAAAGTTCGCAACTAACTGAAGCGTGCTATAGGTCTTCATCAACCATGCAATTCATCCAGACTGTTGCCTTCGCCGTTGCCTTTGTCGCAGCCATTGCCTCCGCCTCCTCGCTCACTGAGGACGGCAAGCCTTGCCCCAAGGCAGGCAGCTTGTGCACGGTGTCCAACCCGAAGGGCTGCTGCCCGGGCCTGACATGCACTCCCAGCGGAACCAGCGTCGCGGTACGTGTCGATCATCATCTTAGTTGTCAATAGCTGAATCTTGATAACTTTTAGACCTGCGAGTAAATTACTAAACTATATACTCATATAATCGGCACGCACTAATTGACCACAAAATGGGCATTCCTCTTGAATAAATGGTGATCACTGATCATGAGCTTCAGGCCGTTCCGGCATTCAGTCCTGTCTACTGTAGCACAGGGGTTGCATGGTAATAAATGCCGATTCATTTTTACATACATTGTTGCAGTTTTGGTTGGCGCCGACGAGCACGAAGCTACCTATATGTCTGAGTTCAACGTTGATACAATGAAGCCCGAACGGCGAACCGGAGGTCAATTCGTACACCCAAATCTAGCATCCCATTTCCATCTAGACTTACGTACTGGGGTCCTTATACCGTCGCCACACTGTCCACTCCAAACTCTTGCTGAATCTCAGGGCAGATTTGCAAGAAAGCCGTGCCGAGGAACTCAAAGTCACTGAGCTACGAGGACGCAAGCCATCATTCACGTCAGTCATAACATCGTAGGAGCGGAATATAGACGTTCGGACACCCACCTCGTTATATATCTGTGCGCTGCACCTAGCCCACCACTTCCCATTGTGATAGAAAGTCGCAGCGAAGACGTTATGCTCTTTGAGGAGTTTCTCTGAGAATCGATTCTTGATCTCGGGCGTCCATTTTATTTCGCCGGATAGTGGTATCTCGACATTTACCTTCAAGATGATGGATCAATCAGGTGTTCAGTTGCGATTCGACTAGGTCTGAAAAGGCAGATTCAGACATACCATGTTGAAGGTCAGAGACCCGTCGGGATCCAGGACTTGGGTCCCTAAGACTTCCGCAAGTCGCTTGCCACCAGCGATGGCAAGGTCGTGGCAATACGCGTTTATCTTGTCCTCTCCGCCAAGCCATTCGCGAAACCGAAGGGCTAGTAGATAGGCATGAAGACGAACACGCATCCCTCGTATAATTAACTCACCAGGCAATACGCTGTAAAAGGGAACAAAGTCCATAGTACCATTCCCTGTATTCATCGCTTAAGCAACATTGCAACTACGGCAAGTGAGCGAGGAACATACAGTTGAATTGTTCGATAAAGGTCGGTGGGTTTCCCGGGGAAACATACGAGTGGGATGTCGGGATGCTGGTTTTGATGAGATGTTGGTTCCTATATACACGTCATTGGCTTTATTTCTATCTTCACCCAGTAGCAGAAGACGTGAACTTACCGTCTGGGAACATACAACACGGCACAGCCGCGTTTCGAAAACAACCACTTGTGGCAGTTCTAGAATAGTTTAACTAATGATGAGACCAGCGCGCGGAGTACCACGCACGGAGACCCAGAAATCGGGTTGGGCTTCTCCCAGGTTAATATTTAACTCCTGACCAATGGCATGTGCAGCGTCAATAACGCTGAGAACGCCTGCCTCCTTGCATATTTTGACAAGTTCCTGCCACGGCAGGCGGACGCCTGGGTTAGCTACAATGGCGTCTATGAGCGCGACGGCCCTCTTTCCCGGAGGTTTTGAGTCCACGACCGATTTCACGTGGGCACGAAATTTGGAAATCATGTCGGCATGAGTATCGGGGAAGTTGATGGTTAACGTCGAGATGGACGGATGTGGTGGCCTGTCGGACAGGTACTGCGCCGTGCGAGAAACAGCACCATATGTCGTATTGACTGTTAAATTTGGTCAGAGCACGCCTTAATCAATGCAAATGACAATACAATCGATAATAATATCCCCATTCTCCCACTCAATATTTCGAAGTACCGTGTTGATGCCGTGAGTCGCGTTGGGTACGATAACACATTCGTCCGCCCGCGCACCGATAAGTGGTGCAACTCGTTGCCTGACTTGAGCTTGCATGTCGTAGTGAGTGAACCGATGATGGAAATCTGGATTGCGTTCAACGTCCAGTGTTAATTTGTTGCACTCTGCGTGAACCGGCAGCGGAACGGACCCGTAAGATCCTGGGCACACATCTATGAGTCGATCTCGAACTTGCGGTGGTTTGCCGCCTTACCGTTGTTGAGATTGACATATTTCGGGTCGAAGCCAAAGTACTTTAGCATCGCATGGCCGAATGGCGGGGGAGATGTCCGGCAGACCTCGTCTAGCTCGAAGTTATTCATTGTTGGTAGGAAGGAAGGTGTTGCTTGCTGACTCATTTCCAGGCATGAGAGATTTTGAAGAATTTGAAACCTGGAGCAAATCCTTCACGTGGCCGGCAGCGAAGTTGCACGCGAGAGGATGTCTCAAGATCTAGATACCATGCTATGAAACCCGGACGAGGTTTCTGTAACAAGGGGCCCAGTACGTCGGTCAGGCTCTGGTCACTCGGAACTGGTTCCCTGAGCTAAACACTAGGCGATATGAGGTCAAAAAGTTTTGGACAAAAGGAGCTGGAATAACTCACGCAGAGTACACATCAAAATGCCGACAGGACTTTGCTTTTGACGACTCTAGTACTCATAATCAGTACTCAGGCCTTCAAGCTTCAAGCTTCAGAGCCCTGAACCACAGACGATATTGGCTTATCGGAGCATTTCTGACGGTGAGAATTATACTAGGAGCCCCCTTTCCACGAAATAACCGTTTAAACATTCCTTGTCGACTGACCACTTTGTGCAACCGGGCAATTTCTGATCTTGCGAGCAGTCTATCATTCTTGTTGTCCCTGTGACATGTCTCAGGACCTCGTAGGTACCACCATGCGGCCCATGGCGAATCACAACTTCCATCACACCGACCAAGCGTCTTCTCAAGGATTAAGGATTGCCTCCACCGTTTACCCTTTCACAACGAATTTCGTCGTCTCAACGTCAACGCCAAAATAATGGGCATTTTCTGGTCGCTGGCGATTGACCCTCGCACGGGAGTCTTCGATGCTCACTACTGTAATGTTAGGTATTGATCTGTGGACTTTCTACACCATCGCCTATAGAACCATCCGCGGTTTGATATGTTGAAGAAATCCTGGATTGCCTATCTCTCCTTTCGAGGGCGCTCATGTATCTATAAACTCTAACGTCTTGATGATAGCGAATTGCTCAAATGTCAGTTGATTATACCCTCTGATTTCTACGACTCGGGCACCGTCGCGCTGAAGATAGCAATGATCGGGTCCCCTTACGCTATATGCGAAAGCGAAAGGCAACTACCACTGAGCAGTGTAGACATTTGACTCCAAGTCAACGTAGGGGCCAAAGCTAAGCGCTAAAGCCTGAGACACGCGCAAGAGTGGCGAGTGCGCCATCAAGTCAAAGCAAAGAGCTCGACACGTTCTCCCGAATGTCAAAGCTATCGCTGTGGCAAAAGGAGGCCCTACGTTTGCGGGCTGCATAAATAGAGGGGAGATGCCAGAGGTATGATCATCAACTCACCACTACTAGCCCACTACCACTTATACAACAATCCGCCTCCTTCATCACTATGATGGCTACCCAAACTGTTTCCTTCAACGACGGACAGATGCTGCTCCCCTCTGACAGGAACATGGCTGACGTACAACCTTCCAACACTCTTCCTAGTGCCGACGGAATGGCTTGCGCTTTGGGTTTATTCTCAGCACCGGCGCCGTTGAACCCAGTTCTCGCTGAGTTCGGCATCGCCGACGACCTAAACGCGCTGACAACCGTCACAGAGTACAAATACGGCGCCTCGGAGGACTGCGACATCGACTGCGACGAAATCCATTGTGCTTCGGGTTCCTTCTCAACATGGGGGGCTTCTATGGACGTAGTGACCACAGAGTTCAGCATCACAGAGGACTTAAACACGCCGATGTCCGTCAGAAAATACGAATACGACTCTTCAGAGGGCAGCGACGACGACTCCAAGATGGATTCGGATGACGGAGAGGGCTGGGCTACAGTAATGTCAGAGGAGGACACCGGCGGAGAGGATGGGGGATGGTTCACTGCAGTATCGCACTTCAGCGACGCAGGCGACATGGAGGTCTACGAGATTGACGAAGGATACTTCGCAAGACAGCAGACTTCCGTCCAACCACTCTTCCCTCTCACTCCCGTTCGAAGCTGGGGCCCGAGAGGAACCATGTAGACAAAGATTTGATACGATGTCGTAGCAGTTGTGACATGTCGTGTGGCGGATCCTGTAGACCTGGATATGAAAAGACCTTAACGCGTTATTGCCACAGTATTGCCACACCTATTTGAGCCACTTTGAGCATCAGGGACGATGGTGGCAAGATGGTGGTCCAAAGCTGGTCCAACCAAGGCCCTATATAAAGCCACGACGCTGAGTATCAAGTATCGAATCCCCACCACAAACTTTCCCCTCACTGCACCGCCTTCATAGCATCTGCACACATCTAAACGAATACGAATACGCGACAATGCCAGCGACGAGGCTGGCGCTTAAACGAAAACAACGAGAATTTGATGATGCCGAGTCGAAGGAAGTGGTCGTACGTGCTGACGCGAAGGGCAAGTACAAAGGACGGCCGGGACCTTTACACGACTTAGTATTAGGGGATGAGGGGCCGGTAGGGAGGGCGGAGGCGCTGGGAAATTTGAAGATGGAGGATGTGATTGACCGATTGCATGTGGCGAAAAGGGAGTGGGAGTCTTGCGATATGGGAGACGCCTCTAGCGAAGAGGAACGCGACGCGGAGGCAGAGGACGGCGAACAAGGACAACAAGAACCAGAGAAAAGCCAAGATTTCTTCGACACAAAGGAAAGAGCGTCTGTGTCGGGCTGGCGCGATCCAGTTCTGCGGGATTTTGGGTTCGTTGCGAGCATGCCAGCGCGGCAAAGACTGAAGAAGTCGCTCCGTGCGAAGGATAAGGTAGAGTGGGGTGCAGGAGGAAGCCTTACACGGACACGGGAGCAACAGGGAAAGACCGGAAATGCTGCATTTCGAGAGAGTAGAAGGGAAGCTAAAGCTGGTGCTGGAGATCTCGATGCAGAGCTGATTGAAAAGGGCGATAGTGGGAAGCAAAAACGTTCGGCGGACGCACCAGAGGAGCTAGGTCCAGAATCTGAGGAGGAAGAAGACTACAGTGCTCGTCCCCTTCATGACCATATTTCCACCATATCTCTGGACTCGGACTCCGAACCAAGCGATGGCGACAGCGAAGGAACAGACCTTCTCTGGTTTTATCCAATCGGCCACCGTATCACGGAGCAAACGTATCCCAGCGAGGCCGATTTCGATGTCGATGGGGGTGCCAACTACGAGGATGCCGACGACGAATGGGACTCGGAAGAAGAGGATGCTAAGGTGGTACAAAGGGAACCTCCATCTGAGGAGGAAGTATTGCACAGGTTCAAGGGAAGCCCGCTGAGGCTGGCCGTTTTCAATGCGTCGCGGGAGAACTTGATCAAGCGAATCATCAGAGAAGGTTGGTTTCGGCACGAGGAATCAGTGGGCCTTCTGCGGTGAGTTCGAGTCGCCAAATTGTCCACCTGGATGTCGAGCGTGAGGGTACTGTACTGATAGAAGTCAAATGTCGATGTTTGAAAAAAAAAATTGTGTATCTGATATTGACAGTCTGGTAGTTGTCAGTGAGCGTTTTAAGCGCAGAATAGGCGTAAAAGACGTGGTCGTTTTCCACCGTCTTCATCAGCGCATGGGCGAAACTGAGAAGTAAATGGCATGGAGGTCCGAGAGGGTCCGAGGAAGCGAGGCGTTCTGGTGCGGCGTTGAACAACCCCTGTCACTAATTCGCACGGTCATTGAAACTTCACCGTCCTTGCTTTGACAAGTTGTATTCGTTTTTATTGTGTGCTTTACAAAGGGACCGCCAGAAACCAGCACGCGTAGAGTTCGGACTCTGCATCTTTCGAAGTCCAGCATCGGTGTTTCTGCACGTTCATCCTCTTCCCCCGGCCCGAGCCCCTCCACAACGCGACTAAATCACTACTGTTGCGACGCGTACTGGAGAAGCTATTGGACTTCGCGAAAGGAGGATCAGCACAACTATCCGACATGGGGGCCTTTCATAATATGTAGCGTCTCAGGCTTGGTGCCCAACACATTACAAGGAACCTTGCTGGGCCTTGCCGCTCATGTGTGCTCTATGAATAACGCCGCCGTGGGGCTATAAGATATGTAAGTCGTCTGCCATTACTGCGGCGTCACGGTACTCATTTCAATCTGGTAGCGATTCTCGTTCAGGATGTTTTGCAACTTAAGTATGACTCTCGCCACTGGTGTCATAACATCGTTTATTCCCCTAAACGTCCCGGAGTATTGACGCGTCTCCGCGGGCAATCCGTGGGCGGAAGTATTCGTCTGCCTGCGGAGCTGGAAGGGCAGCAGCAGCCGTCGGGTGGTTCTTCTGGTTCTCGATCCGATATGATCGATATTCTGGGGAAGGTACAATCGCAACAAGATATACAGATATTCCTCCCAAGCTCGGGCTCAAACGCCTCAAAATTCACGTCTCTCTACCTGCTCCGCTGCTTTGTGTGCTTCTTGTTTCTCTTTTGCTGTTTTCCGGAAAGAACGCTTTCGATACTGGGTTCCTGCTTTATCCGACCCGCTGGCTGAGAATCATGATCCCGACGGCTACTGCTCCTCCTCCCTCTCAGTCAGTTGGTCCTCGCCTTGCATATTGCTCGTCCCAAGGGCCTGGTTGCAGCTCGGCGAATCATGGTACCAACGTAGAAACGGGCGCTTAGCAGCAACTACGCTGAAATTTACCTTATAATCTACGACTGTCCAGTGAATATGGCTAAATCTATTTTGGGCACGATATCGTCCTCTTCCTCCCGACGCGCGCTTATTTTGACGTGAAATGTGCGGAAGCTAAATGTGATGTCATTCTGCTCGTATTCCTCGCCGCACAGGCCATAAATCGAATTGCGCCTGGCCTATATAAAGGTGGGCGGACGAAGATCCCTCTCTTCACAACTCTTCCACAAACTATCCCCACAAACTACCCTCACAAACTACCCCCACACTTCACGCACATTATGAAATCTGTTTTTGCCCTCGCTGCGGTCGTCGCCGCCAGCAGTGTCCACGCTCTACCAGAACAGCTCGAGAAACGGGCGGAGGTTAATGGTAGGTCGTTGTCCTCGCTCACGCCCTCCTCGCCTAACCTACTTTGTAGAGACCGACATCCTCAACTTCGCGCTCACTCTCGAACATCTGGAGAACGCGTTTTACACGGGCGGGCTTGCCAAATACAACGAGTCGGCCTTCAGCTCGGCCGGCCTGGTTCATACCGCCCGCGACTATCTTGTGCAAGTCGGCGAGCACGAGAAGACGCACGTCCAGTTCCTCACCGAGGCGCTTGGGTCCAAAGCCACTCAACCGTGCAACTACAGCTTGTGAGTCACCAAGCGAATGCCACCCTATCTCTCCATTGACGCGCATATATACAGCCCGTACACAGATGCAAAGTCATTTGCTGCTCTAAGTCAGATGTTGGAAGGCGTCGGTGAATACATCGACCTGTACGATCGAACAAAATAGCTGACAACTCATACAGGCGTGTCTGCTTACACCGGTGCCGCGTCACTGCTCACTACGAAGGCATATATTACCGCAGCGGCCAGTATCTTGGCCACAGAAGCGCGGCATTCAGCTCTCATCTCCCAAGCGATCAACGGTTATACACCGTGGTCGGGGGCTTTTGACGTACGTGCAGTGTCATACATCTACAGTAGACGTTAATCTCCGCATGAAGGTGCCCCTCGGCGTGAACCAAGTTTACAGTTTGGCTGCAGCTTTCATCACTTCGTGCCCCTCTTCGAACCCAGCGCTCCCTGTGAAAGCTTTCCCTTCCTTAAATGTCACGACATCCAACCCCAAGCCAGGCTCCAACATCACCCTCCAATTCAACGCGACTAGCGCTACTAACGGAAGTAGCGAATTGTACATGGTGTTTTTCACTGGGCTTAACAAGGAGTTCGCCAAAATCATGAACAAGACGGTCACTATCCCCGCTGATTTAAGAGGCACGGTGTACGGCTTGGTGTCGAAGAATGCCACGAACGCGACGGATAACGACATTGTCGCCGGCCCCGCCATTCTGCAGTTCAACTTCGATGCGTCCGGTAACCTCACTTCCGCGTAGAGTAGAATTATCCCCATGTATTTGTTGGCTGGTTAGTGTAGTGCACCTATCTCAAAACCGATGAAAATATTGTGCAAGAAGCCCTCGTTGCGAGATGTCACAAATTCAGGCTACGTTTCGTTCGATCATCACCAATGCTGGCATTCTGTCCAGCAGCAAAGATCAAGATGTGTCTGCGAATGAACGTGGAACCTTACGTGGACACTTGCATAGGGCTATGACTGCCTTTGCGGCCGTAACGAAGAAAAACGCCACTACAGATCAGAATATGCCCTGGATGCAGTCTTGTCATAGATGTTAGCAATATTGCAGTGCATGTTCGCATTGACTTCGAAGTCGTTTAATGCATTCTATACAATGTTGCGCAGGTACGTATTCCTCAAACAGCATTCCAGCGTTTACAACGGCCGCAATATCTCATAATTCCATGGAGTGTCCATCAACTTACATCGCCCTCGAATTATGTAAATACATCTTCACCAATTCTACAGGCTAATACATCGGTAAGAATACACGTCGCTTTCGGCTTTTTGTGGGACTTTAAGGGCCAGCAAAGTGGTGAAAAGTGGTGAAAGGCTATGGACTAGCTCTTTGGAGCGCTTCAGTGGAGCTCGAAGCCCCGTTAAAGTGCCCAAAAGGCGACAAAAGTCAGTTTTGTCATTCTTCTGATGCTCTGATTCAGAGAGGTAGGGTGAAGTGTGAATAAATACTATCCACGACTCTCGCTCAAAGTCAAATTATAATCATGCTTTCAATGGCGCAGGCAGACGGCCGATGGCATTGGTGCCCATTAGGAGTTTCGATGGGTTCGAGCTGTTGTATATTGGGCAAAGATTGTTCCAGGCTTCTGCTCAGGCTGTAAGAGGACGTAACAGGGAAGAATAGGAAGTGAAATATTGCTTACCAGGTACGGGGTTGGCCGCTGCAGTCTGATTTACTCCTTCGGCAAAGACGACAGCGAAGCCACTGAGAATGGACGTTAATCTGCTGTTGCTCACAAGAGGAGGGAGATGGACTTACAGGTCAAGATGCCAGTCGATGTGGCTAATAGGAATGGCACGGTTAGTTCGGTCGCAGGGAAGCGAAGAGAATTATTTACCAATGGAGGAACCATGGACCTGCATTGTCTGCTACAAATCGGATGGTGACGTTGTCCGTTGGGTCATCACCGATGGATACGACATCCCTACGGACGGGGTTTTCGTAGTTGTACGTGCTGCTGCCGGCACTCCGAACTACGGCGAAGGTATGCTACAGGATTGTGAGAAACGCCAAGACGATGCATAGAAAATAGGCTCACCCCGTGTAAATGGATGGGATGCTTCATACACCAATTGCCATAAGTAACTGATTGGAGTGCATGAGGGATGATTTGAGACGTACCGGTCCAGCAAATACGAGGGCAGGCATAGTGATCTCAACGACGTCTCCCAGCTTAATGTCATAGATCGACCCAGCAGGGGCCAGATCATGCGCATCGCGTGTGCCCGACAAGATCTGCAACAACACTGGAACGGTAGGGGGCACAAACGTATGGTTGTTCGCGGTGAACAGCGCGGTGGCAGGATCGAAAGCGAAGTTTAGGTTTATGTTGTGATCGGCGCCGCCGGGGAATGGTTTGCCTGGCGCAGGCTTCTTGATGAGGGGGCGAAGGTTGTATTCGCGGAGGGGGTTGGTAGCGTTCTGCTCGGGCGTTGTGGGGTCGATGCTGCGTGCGCCTTTGTAGCGGAGGATGGCAGAGTTCATCTGGTTTTCGAAGCCGGGGTCGCCGCTGTTGGGGTTTGCGCGAATCCAGTAGTTGCCGACTGCCTGATTCGCGTTGAGGACAAGCGAATAACGTTGGCCTAGAACAAGGGAGGCAGTAAGCTTCCGCGAGAATGGAACTCACGGCGATTAGAACGCACCTGCAAAAATTTGCACTTGATCGACTGTTGTGAATGGAGGTTAGACCGGAGTTCTGCGAACAGTGTCGGAAGACTGATGATATACGTACCCTGCAGAGGCTGAGTATTCTCTCCATCAGCTTCGATAACAGTGAAGGTATGTCCGTCGATAGAGAATTGATAGTTGGAGTCGCAGGAAGTGTTGATGAGCCGAATACGATAGCGCTTGCCTTTGACCACGTTCATGACGTACAGCGGCGAGGCTGGACCGTTGAGAGAACGGCCAAGGCCATTGAACAGTGTCGAGTCGGGATGGGGGACTCCAGTGAGCGACAATGAGGGGGCATGGTACCTTTGATGGATTATCAATTGTCAGTGGCTGAATCAAGTGGTGTTTCACGTACCAGTCACCAACGGTCAGCACGGTGGATTCTGAGGGGATTTATGTCATACGACGGATAGGTGAGGCACAAATTGAGATAGCTCACCATCGTCGACATCGTACAAACGCTTGTGGGGGTCATTCTTCGAGTAGACGACCAATGGCCCCCGCAGTCCATCACAGTATTGTGTCCCAAGATGGGAGTGATACCTAGGCGCCGACGCTATTAATAAAGGCGTATATAAATATCGGGCAATAGACTCTCACCAAAATGTTCCAGCTTGATCAGGGACTTCGAAGTCGTACAAAAACGAGTGGCCCGGAACGATTGGACATTGCGTAACCATGGCAGGGCCTGCAACAGAACGGCACATGAGCGCCGACTTACGCGTTCGAAGCCGCAGCAAGAACTCACCATCTGCCCAATTGTGTCCCTTGACGAAGAGACCGTGCCAGTGCTATGCGAGGGACATCATCAATAAGCGTTCCTCTGACAAGTGCGAAGTCGCTTACGATACTGGTGTCGACCGGCATCGACGTGTCGGCGAGCTTGTTCACGACATTAATTTGGAACCTGTCGCCCTGTTGGAGCGCGTATTAGCTCTACGCCGAATAAAGTTGGGGGTTACACGTACGGTCTTGCCCTTGATCAATGGGCCCGGGTAGGAGCCACCGGCGAGCACGGTTCTAGGGATCGTTAAACGAACGGTATGAAGATTAACCTAGCCATTGTACGCACGAGCGAGAAAATCCATCTGATATGGGGTGAACGTAACGCGTCTGAGTGGATGGCACGATGACAACAGGTAGGCGAGCACATACCTGGTTGGATGACTTTGTTCGCGATGTTCAGCGTTCCGCGGGGCCCAATGCTGGCCTCAACGCGTACGAGTGCTAATGCGAGTGAAACAAGCGCAACGAATGCAACCGCCATGGGGAGATCGGCTGAGGGGATGCGGTATGGAACTGGTGTATGAAGGCCATTCTTATATACTCCATTCTGTGTTCGCTTCCTCCCAAAACGCGATGCATCTCGACCTAAATTTTGATTTTGATGTGACACGCGCTCTCTGCCGGCGCATTCCCAAAACTTAATGTTAGCAGGGTCAACGATACTACGGTTCAGTTGGATCGCACAGGATGACAAGCAAGATCTGACCGGGACAAACAGGAGGACCTCCTCCTCCGACGCTTCGCGGAGTTACAACACCATTCAGCGATTCTGAAACGCATTAGCAAAGAAAGTTCAAGCCCGAGGTATTCTTGTCTGAATACCACTTCTCGTTTCTTTGCGACAGAATCAGTAGCGTAGGTTCTCGATGGACTTTGGTGTGGGTGTTGTCATCTTCCGATTTTGGCTCAACAGAAAACAAATGGCCATCATTCGTTGTAACGTCTTTCACCACCAAATCGTTTTTGACTGATTGATATTCGGATGAATCGGCAGGCGTTGATCAGTCGAGGGCATTGAACCCCGCTGAATTACAGCATACGCTGGACCTCCTCTCGCACCTTAATGGACCTACAAACACTGGGCCTCCAATGGGCAATGTCACAACGCTTCCGAATCGGAGCCAGGACCAACTATGTACGTATCCCAGACGGCTGTATTCATGATGGCCCCGTTGAGCGTTGCTGGTCTGAAACAGACATTCCGAATCCCCGTCCATGGATATCGGCGGATGCCAGCGCCTGATGCCAGTACCCACACAGCGCTAATAGTACGATCAGCGGCAATCATTTGTTCGCCACCGACATCATGGCAAGCCACAAGCCCCCGACGTTGCTGGTCTATGGACTGCAGTCGACGAACCGTTTCTATGGGTCGATATTTGGCCAGATCTCAGGTGCGTCGTTGTTCGTTGCACTCCAGAGCAGGTTGGGCGTCGCCACTCAAACCCCGCCTCACACGACCACATACAATGTATCCAAATCAATCAACGGCCTGCGCCATCTAAACAGACAATCCCGAGGATGCCCACAAGATGGGGTACCTCGAAGGCTGGCCAGACTAACTTAAGACGTGCATGCCGTTAGCTGATATATCCGAAGCACCCCTCCATATGAAGCCACAGAGTGCTGCAAGTGCGCCATTTGTGCTACCCCCTGGGCTGGTATCGCCTGGTTCGCGCCAGAGATACGGTACCCCCGTTTAGGACGAGCGGAGAACCCTCTTCTTGTTCCGCGTCAACCTTGGCCCTCGACGGTATTGATGCGCCTGTCGTTCTATACGTACCATGGCCCGCTCCACGCCCATATTCTTCATTACGCGGGTCATACCCTGAGTCTGGACCTAGACGTGCACGATGACCTACACCACGGATCACTGCCAATTTCATCTTTGTATTGCCAAGTCCCAAAAGCATCTTTGAAGGGCCTCCCATGGATCCCCCGAAGAGCGACACCCCCATTCGCGCGACTGATTTCCTGAGTTCACGGACCTTTGCAGCGGCCGACGTCCTGAGCATGAGCACATGCGCACCACACCTATGTTCCTTGAATGTGCGTCATCTCCCGTGCCTAATTACTTCCCAGATGGGGCACCGAGAAGCAGAAACGTTCAAGCTGTCTGTTCGCGTCGGATAATCAGGTAGAAGCAGCAGCCGACTTAGCCCCCTCAGCATGTCTTCGTTTGCTTGTAACTGGTGCACATTAAGAGGAAGATGATTGCAATCAAAGAACCTCTTAACGTAAATGCAGCGGAGAAGGCGGAAGCCGGATACGCTCCGGAGAGCGATTGATGAAGTTGAATGGTACAATCTAGTACCACAGCTTGTGCGGTCACTGATATACTCACGTACGTGGAAGCCGTGCCTTTGGTAGATGGGCTATCAGTTGCACCGTGCAAACTGCAAGGTCGAGGCGTTGGTCGAGGCTTGATGAGCGGCTGAGACTACCCGAGCTCAGAAACTATCGTTAACCTGAAGAAAGAGGTTCAATGTAGCCCTCGAGCTTGTTTGAAATTGTTGATGGGAAGGTATTCAGGGATAGAACAGGAGGGCGAAAGGGGTCTTCCCACGTGATACTCACGCGGTTCTTTGCCGCCACTGGCAGTGGCCACTCTTCTTGAACTTCAGCTTTACGACCCATTCACGACCTCGTTTCTCGCGAAAATGTACAACCCCACCTTCTCTGTCGCAGGAATGAATGCCAGCGCGAATAACCACCACGGTGGACCGAATTGGGGCAATCCTGGCGCCGGGGGCTTTGCGGATAGTTTGAATCCGCCCAGAGGGCATTATCAGGCGGGGTATATGCTGGTGAGCTGATTTCCCATCCTTTCCGGTTACTTTATCTCATATCGGACGCGAAGTCTGCCTCACAGAATAATGTAAGGCGTCGCAGCTGTTCGAACCTCGAAGAATTCATCTTAGCGCTTCACAGAACTCGCCTCAAGGAAATCAACGGACGGACGACGTGCCGGTTGTGCCCACCAAGGCTAAGCTGTCGAGGGGCCCTACGGCCGACTTTGGCATGTCGTCTATGTTCGAAAGTTCGAGAAAGCGACAGACGATTGCAGATGAAGACGCGCCACCGACAAACTCCGTTAACGACATTCCTACTGAGCTGCATTTCGACTCACCACCACAGTTCAGACAGAATGTAAGCAGAATCCGATAACATTGCTCTTCTGCCTGATTTATCGTTTGTTTAGCAAATCGCGGAAACCTCGTTCAACAGACGCCATGCGCGCACACCTTCAACACCACAAAACAATCAGGCGTCTTACATCGTTGTCTTCGGCTACCCACCAGACAAATACAGCCAGACGGTCGAATATTTCAAATCCCTAGGCGACTCGACCGAGGCTGATAATCATACGGAGGTGACGAATTGCTTTCGCATAGGTTATAACGACCCTGGTGATGCGCTCAGAGCTGTGAGGAAAAATGGGGAAATCTTGGGCGGGAGCTGGATGGTCGGTGCCAAGTGGGCCGTAAGTTCTCATTTGACTTTGCGTAGTATGTACCTTACGTGTTCATCTGAAAGGATCCAGCGCAAGCGGAAGTGATGCTAGGTCAACCAATTACGCCTCGCAATGCCATTATGGGCAATCCAGGCGCCATTGAACCGGCAGCGTCGCCCCAGAATGCGATGGCAGTGGACGAGCCATCAAGTCACCTACCATCGCCGCGGATGACTGTCGGCACACCCCTCAAGTTAGCCCCGTCATCGTCTGCATTTAGGAGACCAGGCAGCGAGAAGGCAACCCCAGTACGACTAGCGGCTGCGGGTACACCTGTTGCTATGCAGACGACCCCGGTGCAATCGTCACCCAGCAAAGGTGTGCTCGGGCAGGTATCGGACTTGATTTTCGGGTGGTAGTTACATTAATTGGGCCTCGTCGTTTGTGATATCGATTGGCTACGTGCCTATTTGGGATACACGCGCTAAGTGCTTTTCCGCTGTGGGATGTTGACTGGCTACTATTTTGATCATTCCAACCCAGTTCCGAGGATGAAAATTCTCGGTATACATATCGGGTTCCCGCCCAGCCATCTTGTTTGGCGGGAAGTATCCTCGGGACGCACTTGTGATGGCGGGCGATAAGTATATGTTGCCTTGGCAGCTACTGCAACGGATCTAGATCTGCTTCTATTGCGACGAATTGAGCGGCTATTTAGCTGAGGCAGGGGTCTTAGCTCGTGGCACGTAGGTATTCCGTCTTCAGAAGCCAATGATCCCTTCCGAGGGCTTCGAAACGGACATGGATCGTGCCCGGACTGTAGGTCAACAATGCGAGAAGCATTTGCACATGATTGACATACTCAGCTGTCTAGGTTCTCCCTTCGAGTTCCACTTGAAAGTGAGCTATTAGGTCCCAGGCGCAAGCCTCCATCCGAATCAGAGTGATTGGCATCGTGTTTCTGGCATCTCTCAGCGAATGGCTTCCCGTGTGCCTCGCCACTTGTCATAGGGATTCGATTCCATGGCTGCCTAGATCTCTTCAGCCCTCCCGATAGTGCGAGTAGATCGTGGGATGATTGCCTTTCAATCAAGCTTTTCACTTGCATAGTATGGATCCATGAGTGACCACGGTCTATGTTCAGACTGGGATATTTATACGGATTACTATTTTATCGCAGCTCTGCATTTTATCGGCCACCTTTGTTCCCTCCTCCTTCACAACATCCATCGCAATGCAAGTGGAAAAGCGGCTGCGAGTAGCGATCTGGTAAGATCACAGGCTTCCTCAGCTCTAGACCACTTGAGCTAATATGAACTTGCAGTGGAGCTGGTATCGGAGGCCTTACATGCGCGTTGGGGCTCGCGAGATATCCCGATATCGAGACCACTGTCTACGAAAGCTCTGCTAATCTTACTGAAGTCGGGGCTGGGATAGGTTTATGGCCTCGTAAGGATCCGAAGAGGCTGTCGAATCAAATTGTTAACATATGGCAGGACCTTGGAAGGTTATCCGGCAACTTGGTCTAGAGCAAGACCTACTCAAAGTCGCTCAGAAAATTCCACCGGACGAGCTGGGTCAGTATTGCTACACCGATCCGCAAACCGCCTGACGAAGATCCTCGCAGTCGCGACCTTCGAACTTCGTAGGGGTGATATCAAGCAAAGCCAATGTCCCTATCGTTTGGTGACAAAAGGTTTGCCAACTTCACTGCAAAGTGTCGACAGATTCCTGACATCCTTTCGTTTTGGCAGGACCACTGAGGACGTTTCACCGTGCAGCCTTCCAGCAGGTCCTTGTCCAGAAATTCGTGAAAACTGGGCAGATACAATACTCGAAACGACTCCGAGGGTACCGTTCCCTCGAGGCGCCGTCTCGCAAAATCGAGCTTGTCTTCGAAGACGGATCCCTTGCGTTCTGCGACGTGCTCATCGGTGCAGATGGGGTGAAGTCAGCAGTGCGTGCGACGATGCTCACGGCAGAGGCTAAGCTCCTTTCGTCGAACGGCCATTCGGCGGAGGCCAATGAACTCCTGGGATGCATTCGACCTTCTTGGAGTGGCCAGATCGTCTACCGTGCTGTCTTTGCAACCGAAGCTCTTCGAATGCGATCACCGCACCACAGAGCAATCCATCAGGCAACAATGGTACGCTATATCTGAATCCTAGCCTGCTTATGACCGCTGATGAATAATTGACCCATTCAGTACTTGGGAAAAGATTCTGTACGTTGGCGCATTACGGCCGCAATGTATCTCACTCATGGGTTTTTCGGCAGTTTATCATCGCCTACCCTCTGGCTCAAAATAAACTCATCAATTTTGGTGCGTTCGTCATGAGGCACGATTTGGAGAACACGGAATACGACGGACCTTGGGTGGAGAAATCAAGCAAAGACGACATTTTGGTTCGCTTTGCAGCGTGGGAGCAAGAGGCTAAAGATTTGATCGATGTGAGTTGACGTCCTGTTCTCTCTCCTGAGCGCGTCACGATGTAATTTTGAAAGTGTATAGATACTTTAAGCAAGTGGGCTATCCACTGCGTGCGGCCTATACCGACGTATGTTGGTGGTCGAGTGGCTTTATTAGGGGACGCAGTGAGTATTTTAACTTGCAGACATAAAGCGTGCTGAACAAAACATCCATAGGCCCATGCAATGACACCACATCAGGGATCCGGAGCCGGTCAAGCAATTGAGGTACGATTACGACTCGTTGTCCCATTCCTGTTGGTTTGTTCACTGGATCCTAACCGTCCAGGATGGGTTCATGTTGTCTTCACTGCTCGGGAGCTCGTACACGACGAGGGAGACGGTATCTGAAGCGCTCCGTATATATGATACCATACGAAGACCGTTCTCGCAAGACGTCGCTCGAAGATCCAGAATTAATGGCCGGTATTTATCTTTCGCGGGTCCTGAAGCTGGCAACTGTGGCGAAGACGAAGTCCTTGAAGTATCGGAGCTAGGTGAAGCGATCACTAAGAACTGGGAATGGGCCTGGATATCCACGGTGGATGATACGGTAGATGATGCTCTCACGATGCTCTTTGAGTCTTGTAGGAAGTAACAAAGTGTACATATGTAATACCAACGAGAGACTGGACATCTATACCTTGAATCAGGTCAGGGCATCGGTTCAGTGTTTCTTGCTCAAACTACCATCTCCCGCGTGCGCTTATCATCGTGACGGTAGGTACGATGCCTAGAATCTGCTCGAGAAGAGCGAAGGAATGATGCACGCGCAACTAAAGGTCTTACGTATGGCCTTCTCCTAGAGAAAGAATCCTTCGTACTATGTGGCTCTGTGCTGGCCGAACTTCTAGTCTCCCAACAGTCCTCGGCTGGTTGACATAGTAGCAGTTCGGTGCCCAATACTATGAGATAGAATCTTCCTTCTTTTGATCAAGCTCCCGAACAATTGACTACAGCACCGTAGTCGATATATTTGGTCACTAGACTCGTCGAAGTCGGTCCGGAAGAGTGCGCTTGTATCCGTACGACACAAGGACATATATTGTGAAGAAAACATTTTCAATCCTCGAGGGCGACAATCCCCTGTCTAAAAGCTATTTGCTACACATAACACCTGCAAGCAATGTCGTCGGCGGGGATGACTGAGGACAGGGTTGGATACTTACCTCTCCGGGGAATAGCAGGTTGCAAGTAGGACCAAGGTTCGGATTGTTTGCCACCAAGGTGGCTACACTGATTCCAGCCGCGTTGGCAATTGAGGTGCACGAATCGCCCGGCGCGACGACGCGGACATTGTTGCAGTTCAAGCACGCTCGTTGTAAACAAATAACCTGGTTAAATATGTGTCAATACCTGGCCGCTGGCTGAGGTCAGATAACTCGCCTGGCCTGGGAAGATGTTCGTGCAATTCGCGTCGATGACGCCAAAGTTGGACGCCGCCAGCTGGAAACTAAGCTCGCGTCAGTATGTGACCGACTCGAATCCGTGAACGCGAATATGTTTACGAGGAAACACCTTGCTCCGCAGAGATTCCATCACAAGTATCCCCCGAGCGCACGGTGAACGGACGTGCACAGGGGATCTGCATTTGCGCAACCGTGCACACTGTGAGAAGAGGTGAGAGCGCGTCGCAGCGGTGGGCAGAACGCTTTACCTGCGGTTATGGCAAGGAATGCAAGACGAAGAATAGAGGAGGACATTGTGTGGAGAGGCTAGAGGCTTTGTTGCAAGCTGGGGTCTACCAAAGCAAAACAGACCTGTTTTTATACGCGAGAGGTCCAGAGGCCGGTGACTAAAGGGACAGCTCTCTGTTGGAAGCAAAATTGAACTCGGACACCACGCGGGGGCCGCGTCGAACGGTCCTGATGACCGAGTCATACTCGCAGGCGCTCTGCGCATTGATGCCTGCCATACGATTTTTTATGCGGTATGAAGGAGAAGCACGAACCCATGAGAGACATTCTGTCATTATCGCCGTTTACCGTGCTTCTCGGTAGCTGAACTTGACTGAATAACGACATGACTAGCAGGAAAGAAATCAGACATTCCCCATGAAAGGATCAGAAATATTTAGCGTATCTTCTGATGGTGGCCGCCATAGAGTTCCGAGTCCAAAAGGCCTGACCATTGGCCCTAGGCGTTGTTCGTGTCCTTTGCGCGTTACGCTCAAGCGAAATCAGGGTCGCATGACATATGTAGAGAGCATCTTCGGAAAGCTAGGCGGGCATATTCAATGGAGGCACATTGTACATTGCGGATAGGAATCTGAGCCTCAGTGTCTAAGGCCTGAATGCACGAGTGGCCATAAGCACATTGACCGACCCTCTATTCGCCGAGACAGAAAGAAACGATCAGGTGGCGTTTAGGCGCTCAACTTGACTGAGTTTGCCGAATTTCATGTCTTCTTGTTGGCGTACACAGCGAGGTCTCGTTCATTGGTTGTCTCTGGTTTCTGGTTTGAATGTGAAAACATATTGCCATCCTCGTCAATTCACTTGCGTAGCTTTTGCGCCATTGCTACCCGTCTCAGTCCTTTTTCCCCTTCATGGTCGTCCTTGGCCGTCGTGGAACCCATCACAGAAAAGGTCATAATGATGGCGCAGTGAGAAGGAAAATGACCTGTACATCGCAGCAATTGTGAGCTTTCCCTCTTCCTTTTGTGCGCCTCATTTCACCAAAAGTGGGACCAGAAATCATGGAATCAGACTCGTCGGCGAGCAAGCTGAAGTGAAGGGAACCCAAACCACGCGCGAGTCTCTTGCAATATGCATGTACTCTGACCCCAAAGACTTATACTTGGTTGCAGACTCGAGATGTACAGTATCCAATATGAGCGTTCCGCGTTGCTCACGCGACCTATGCAAAGGAGTTTTTCATCGATGGCAGATAGTCGGGACGCAACATCTCATTGATTTTCTCCCTTCATACCTCTTTCCAAACGGCGAAAGAATCATCCAGCAGTGGGGCGTCGCCGGGATGAGCCTCGGAGGACATACTGCTTGTTCTTGGCTGATGGTGTGTCCATCATATCTTTCTCCACAGGGAGGGGTAGTTAATCTAGTAGCAGAACCGCGCATCACGTTTGGGGTCGTCATCCTGGGCTGCGCCGATTATTTGGCCCTCATGTCTCGTCGAGCAGAGGAATCCGAGATCGAGCTCACATCACCTACGCTCGTTGGTTTCCCTCGTCCATCGTATGGACCCGGTGTACATCGTCTAGGAATCCGTTCTTGGGTAAGAAGATCCTTGTGCTCCGGGGTGTGACGGATCGACTTGTTTCGTGGTGCGTGAGCGCTCTGTTTGTCCGACGCCTAGAAGTCGGCGAAGGGGTTTTAAACAATAATAGCTCAAGAGGGCGTCGGCCATAAGTGTACGGAGGAAATATCGAAATGGATGGCTGTATTCCTGAGGTACGGATGTTTATCCTCGAAGGTCGCCGCTATGGCAAAGCTATAATACTGGGTGGGGTGTTCTTGGATATTGCGAGGTGCGTTACAGTCAAGTCGATTACTGTTTTCACTCAACTCTTCGGTCGTTAGAATACATTTCTCAGGAACGTGTACATGTAGTCTGTAGATGACCCAAATAAAGGAAGTGGTTGATCTGAATCAGCGTTGTGCTAAGCGCTGAGTGTGAGAACAACATGATCAACCACATACCCGCATTGAACATCGCCCCGGGCCTGATGGTGCTTTCACTGCTCCTGCCATGTCCCTAGCCATACTTCCATCTAGTTCCATTCATTTTAACCGTAGGATTTGACCCGAACGAGCCTGGTCCCAGTTCCTGACTTTCTCCAGGTCCCTTCACGAAGAAACCCCGAAGGTGTCTCCGAACGCTAGTGAATAATAACCAGTACGCAGTGGCCTTCAAAGCAAAGACGAACGCATCACAGGTGCTTTCCACGACCATTTGATGACTACAAATGTGCTGACGGCAAGACAGCTATACAACATTAAACCTAATTCTGGGATCATCGAAGTTGGCAAGACCTTGAATGTTGTGAGTACGTGTCTAAGCGCGTTTCATTTCTTCTCGGAGTCGCTGAGAGCAGCGGTAAATAGTAACGAAGGTGGCTGTAACGGAAGAGCCTCCTCTAGACGTGCCATGCACCGACAAGTTCTTGTTCGAAAGCGCTGGGATCAGCAAGCTATTCGGTGTGTACAAACTCGACGCTGAATTTGTATGTCTTTAAATCGTATTATCTGCCAGCGGCACGCTTACTCGATCTTTGCATTCAATAAGTGGGAGAAACGCAAGAAACAGAAGAGAATACATCACCGGAAGATACCTGTGGAATTCTTACCCGAGATCGAGACTACGGGTGGAGAAATTGTTCATTTGTACCCAAGTCGGGTGCTCAGATTTTGGGGTATGTTTTGCCTATCTACGTTGCCTTTGAGCTGATTCTTATTCAATAGGGTCCGTCACCGATGACTTGGAGACGACGTTGACTATCGACAATGTTTCGACCGAGCCCGTAGCGTACAAAATCATGACCAGTAACATCAATGTAAGGATAATTGTCCAATTGCCCGCGTATCTTAGCTAAACTGCTCAGGACTTCCTTGTTTATCCCAACATGGGCAGAATCGAACCGTTAGAAGAGCACGAAATCATAAGTAAGCACCAGCCACTTCCACGTACTTTGTCCTGTTCCTCGCGTTGATTAAGAGTAGTTGTGCGAAAGAAGGCCAAAGTTGATTTGACGCGGGATGAGATCGAGGGTGTCGGTCGTGCGGATAAGTTTCGAATCCTGACTACTACGATCCCGATAAAACACAACGACTCTTCCATCGATGATGTAGTAAGTGCTTCAATTCGCCATGGTTGTGTAGTTACTAAGGAGACGCAGTTCGCCTGGGCCGACTTGAGGCCAGATCACAAAGTTTATAGCCATAAACTCCCAGTCAGATATCCGGATTACGTTGGTATCGGTGAGAACATCCTCGACGAGACTCATGACCCCAAAGAAGTACATGAGAAGCATTCCGATGGTGAAAAGTCAGCCATGTTCTCGTATCCTCCTTCTATGTCTAATTGTCCACGATAGGGGTGCTGACATTGACAAGGGAGCGCCTAGGTATGCTTGATACGATTTATGCCTTGTCTTTGATTTGACCGATGCGCTTCTCGCTGTGAAGTCGCGATCCTTCTTCGCTTCTTCTGATCTTTTAGGCAACGGCTTCCGCCATAGACATTGTTCAAATAAAGGCTTTCTATTACATCGCCCTCCCGGAGTTGATCTCCTCTCCTTGATCATCCTAGCGCCCTCCCTTACTCTCCTGAGGCCAGCATTTTGGGTCTTCTCCACAGCTCTTCTTCCGCCTTGCACTTTCAACTAGCTTTCTTACAGCACCGATACTCAAGCGATTCTTGTCACACCTGAAGCTGAGACATATAGCGAGGCCGCACTTCGGACTTCAACGATGTAGCGTTGTCGGCCATATCATTGTAACAAAGAATGGCTAAAGTCACTGAGAAGGGTACCAGGACAATACCATGTGAAACTATCCGAATTCGTTGATAAAGCCAATTCCTGACCTGCGAAACCCGTTCATCCCCAGTTCATTCGCCAACTTCACCACTAACATATTATCTTAGTAGATTTCTGGTACTAGGCGGTAAGCGACTCTCGACGCATACTCATCCCACTCCCTCCCAAAGTGACGCCTCAACCCGTCGTCCTCCACTTTCATTCGAGCAGGGACCATAATACCATTAATCAAAACCACCTCCGCGCACCAAATACAGCTGAGCACCACGCCAACCATACTTCTCAAGCCACACTGATAAAGCCAATGATCCTTCGAAAACATTACCATCGACACGCTGATGCGTGCTACGCAAGAGGCGATGCAACGGGGTGTCGAACGAACGAGTAAGGCCCGGTAGTCACAAGCCGATGGGCCTTCTTGATGTTCACTTCGAAGTCGTAGAGATCTCTCATCTCTGCGTAGCACCACAGGCGTATGTTCGCCGACAAAAGTGTCAAGCCGCCACCAAGCATCATCGTGGCCGAGGGTGATGCGAGCGACTCCGAAGAGCCATGCGAAGTGCGGAGGGTGCACATTCCCAGAGAGGAAACAGAGTTGAAGATGTGCATGAAACATGCAGTGCCGACAAAGAGCTACAGCGTATTGTGCATCTCGAAATCAAGGTAAGCTGGAGATAGAATGGGAGGAGTTCGCACCTTGAGGAACATCAGACGGTGTAAGAAGAACCTCTCAACCCAGGTGTTGGTAATTAGTTCCCTCTGATCGACTCGTCGATTGGGTGGTGTCGCTGTCACATAGTAAGATATTACAGTGACAAAAACCACCCAATTGCTGACACTGAGAAAGGCGTCCATGATTGCGCTCCGCACGAATGTAGAAGACCATGACAAGGCCCAACTTCAACAGCTTGAGATAAGGCACAAGAATAGCTCTTCGACGAGCTTTTGAGAACCAATTCCGTCGGCCTGTAGCCTTGCCCCCTGTGGCCGGAGCGAAACCAAATCGAGGGTTGTCTTCATGAACCAAGTTGTCAGTTATAAAAACACCATGCGAACATCACGGTCGTTGAGTTCACCGACAACGTTGCCTCGGCATGGTACGTCGGACAGAATACAGCAGCGCAGAAGAGTCCAAACATAGGTCGGGCACCGGAATACAGGAGGACCGCCGACTGCCGTGGTTCTCTTCTGACGGTTCCCCTGTGCGATAAAACAGGATCTTATGGAAACGAAGTACCTACAAAGACTTGCCCCCTAAATCAGAACTCTGGTCAGGGGCCACGGTTGAGACGCGCTTCGAAGAGTGAGTTGTTTGGAATGCAGATGGTTCTATTTCTTTCGACTTTATCTCTGTAAGTAGGTAGAGATATCCTAAGCTATGCCACCTTTGTCGGAATCGCTCAAAGCATCATAAATCGGACACAAGTCGTCCCACGCGGCTGGAGAAATGAAGGTCAGCGTACACACACAAGCTGCGGTGAATAAATACGAAGAGGCGTACCAGGTGGGGCCGTGATGGACGTCACATCTTCGGCGAAAACGACCGCAAGGCCGCTAAATGCCTGTGAGTCGAGGAATTGAACCAGTAAAGAATGCCACCTACATTTCGAGATGCCAGTCAATGTGGCTAGGGGAAGCCGTCAGTCTATGGCTGTCGTACGAATTGCGTAAAATGCCTACCAATGGAGGAACCATGGGCCTGGATTATCCGTCACAAAGCGGATAGTGACGTTGTCGTTCGCGTCAGTTCCAGTGTTGACAACATCGCGTCGCGCAGGGGTGTCGAAGTTATACGTAGTAGAGCCCGCACTCCTGATGACGTCGAACGTGTGCTATACGATATGGATCAGCTGTTGTAGAGAATTGCGAGCGATGGATAACTCACTCCGTGAAGATGGAAAGGATGCTATTCAGGCGCGGTAGTTATCAGCACATAGTTTCTGGCGTCAGGGGCTTTGGGCTTACCGGTCCTCCAACAGCTAAGGCGGGTATGGAGATCTCGACAACTTTGTTGGCTTCTAGCGAGTATATACTGCCGGAAGGGAGAAGCGAGGCAGCAGTTGTAGCACCCGACAGAATCTGGAGCAGAACAGGAGCTACAGGAGTATCACATCAATTTTTGGTACTTCGCCGGCGAGTTGAGCTTACCAGTCGGCGCTTTGAAGGGGGAACCTAGACATGAGTCTATGAATAACCATCCAGGGCATTGAAAAGAGCTAGACTGCGTACCGTTGATGGTCAGTTCAAAGTTAGTAACGTCGAAGGCCATAGCAAGATTGATGTTGATGTCTGCGCCTCCAGGGACAGCTGGACCAGGAGCACCAGGATTTTCAAGTGGCACAAGATTAGTCTCCTCAAGGGGGGTACTCGTCGACGAAGTCGTGGTAGGGTCATCTTCAGTGGCACCAGCATACCGAAGGATAGCGGAATTGATGCCACCATCGAAGCCTGGCATTACAGGAAGTCAGCAAAGCACACGTGGTGCTTTCAAGATGCCATACCAGTCGATCCCAAGTTGGGATCTGCGCGAATCCAGTAATTGTCGACAGTCTGATTGGCATTCAAGACGAAGGAATAGCGTTGGCCTTGAAACTCGGCTTAGTAAAGATTTGATGAAAGGGTGGGTACAATTTACCTGCGAAGATTTGAATACTATCCACTACAATATTGACCATTCGTAGTCAGCGAATCGAGCCAGTGAGGCCAAGCGCAAAGGACATACCGACGATGGGCACAATATTGACAGCGTCCGCCTCGATGACCTGCAAAGAGTGACCGTCGATCGAGAACGTGAAATTGGGGTCGCAAGACATCGAGATAAGTCTGAAACGATATCGCTTGTTGCTTTCGACGTTGATGACGGCCAAAGCAGAAGTAGGCCCCCCAGCGAAGCGACCTTTGCCATTGATGAGTGTACTATCAGCAGTAGGAAGCACCGCATTCTGAGGAGCCACAACATGGTACTACAGAAAGAGTGAGAACACATTAATTTCCATGAGGGAGTGAGATGTACCCAATCTTCAAGTGTAATGATAGTGTCGGCTGCAAGTGAGACCGTCAGCACGGTGCAGCCGCTGGAATTCGTTCACAGCAGCGCTCACCGTTGTCAACGTCATACAAGGACAGGTGGGGATCGGAAGGGTCGTATCTGTGTGGATGGTTAAGCCTGGCGCGTCTTAGGTTCTTATCGATATGAAACTTACACTATGAATGGTCCTCTAAGACCATCACAATACTGTGTGGAAAGATGCGAATGGTACCCTGGATATACGGTCAGGAGACACAAAATGGATTCATGATCGTCGACTTACAGAACGTTCCAGCTTGGTCGGGGACGTTGAAGTCGTATCTGAGAATATTCGATGAACGAAGGATAAACATGAGGTTAGGACACTCACAGGAAGCTGTTCCCCGAGGCGATGGGGCATTGATTCACGAACGCGGGTCCTTGAAAAAGATTAGCGAGGCATCGCAACACGTATTGAAGGACATACCATCTGCCCACGTAGAACCGGATTGAAAGAAGCCATGCCAATGCTGCGCAGGTAGTTAGTATTTATCTAAAACAACCATTGTCATACATACGATACTAGTGGTCTTCAACATAGTCGTGTCCGACAGTTGATTGAGAACGTTCAGCTGGAAGTTGTCGCCCTAAGAAGAGTGAGCAAAGCGAGCAGCTTCACGAAGGCGGACGGTTACCTTGTTTCCTTGCACGAGGACGCCGGTAAGCGTCTCTGACGTCCCATTTGTGGTGGGGTCAGAGCGAGCGACGACAGCCCTGTAATAAATTAGTGCTGGGCCCGAAAGGACGCCGAGAACCCACTTACGAACGAGTGAAGCCGTCAGGAGAGACGTCCTCGTTGACGATGTACATGTCGCCAGTGGGCCCAATGGCAGCATTAGTCCCATGTAAAAGGTGAAGAGCTAATGTAAGCGTAGCGAGAATCCGTGCGCCTGGAAACATCGTTCGTAGGTGTAGCAGTACGCGCTGGATGAGGTGTTAAGTTGATGATGATATTTTCGGTCGTCCATGCACGTCTTAAATATACCTACAGAACGATATGCATGAGAACGAAAATGAACGGATTAGGAAGCCTCGGTTAGGCGTACCTCATCTCGAGGATCTTGTGCCGAATTGGGCGGTGTTGTTAAAGATCCGTTTGTCGTAAGGGAGCGATGATCGTCCGCAAGTCAGTGCATAACCTGGGTGTATTCGGAGATGGGAAGAAGAGCCCGTGAGGAATGGAAGGCTATTAGAGCGAAATAGACTCAAAGTGCTTCTATTCATAGGGTTGGTATGGGTATCCGGCGGACACAAAAAGGTGTGACCCTGGTATCTATGTTTGTGTCATGGATGCAAATCTACACCGGAAGTCAACAGCTCAAACGGGGAGTCCGAACTTCGGTACTGCGGAGGGCGGGAGCGAGCAGCGCACTAATAAGGGAGAGTTCTTAGGTTCCAGAAATGACCAACATTCCGAAGAGGGACTTACATATAAGCTGTGTGCGATCAATCCAAGGCCCAAAGCACAACCCACACACTTTTACCCTCAAACATGTTCAAGTCGTTCATCATCATCTACGCCATCGCTGCCCTCGCGGTACGTCGAGAAGCCCGTACTTCATCGTCATACTAATGCCACTTTTGATGCAGGGCGCCCAAGACGCTCCCGTCTTTACGGCCGATCGAGTAGTCAACAAGGTCGTTGACGAAGCCCCGTTCCTCACAGTCTCGACGGAATTCATTACTTGGACCCAGAGTCCCAGTATCATCGAATCAGACGTGTCTACGACCTCCGCAACCGTGTCCGTAGGCTTTTGAACGGTGAGAAATGGAATGAACGTCAGATATTGTTACAGGAGTAACTCTTCTCTAGGCATGTAGGCACGTAGGGAGGCAGGCCGGTACCGTAGCCCATGCATTGATCTTCTTCCTGGCTGCTAGGGCTTGCAGACGTTCCGCTTCTATTGAAACTTGTAATACACGAATTGAAATCTATGCCATAATCTTCTATGTCGTGCATCGCAATCAGCCCAGCTTGCATCATGAGAGATACTGAGACGACTCACCGGATTGAAAATCGTTCTACGGAGCCGTTATTCCTTTGGATGGCAGCCCTTGCATGAACTGTAGTGGCAATTGCCAGGAATGGGTGATATTCTCACAATTTATCTAATCTTAGCGCCCTATCGGAGAAAAAAACCAAGACAGACTGTAACTCTCGTTCTACCAACTGATACAATTGATTGCTTCTCATGAACCAGGCAGAATCTATCCAAACTCGCGACCTTTCTCCGCCTCAACGGACAAAGAGAAAAATAACGGTTCGAAATCTAAGGAAATTGATCATTGCAAGCATAGTGATGCTACGCTTCGGCGCTGTGCTAGGACAACGGCGAGGTATCGTTGGGTTGAACGGCTGCGCTGTTCCTCGCTTAATTGCTCGGTTAACGATAGCCGCAGTCGAGGATGTCCCCGGTCGCTCGCAACAAGGTCTGCGTTCATACTCATCTACCCAAAACTAACTAAGCTAACACCGTCCTTGACCTCGCAAAAGAAAGGATCTATGTATAGACTGCGCAGTCGGTGTACATTCCCGATGGATGCCAACCATCAAACATGTCGGATACCGGTGAGCGGTACCAGCATTCCGTCAGAGCCGATGCTACATCCACGATCATCGCACAAGATACCCAAAGCCGCAATATTGGCGCTTTCTTCTTTTCAACGTAATGACGGCACCAGGTTCGTTCATCAATCTAACAGCGATGTTGGCTACGCACTGTGCTGTGCTGTACGTTACGACACCCGTGGGGTGGTTTTTGGTTTGCTTAGAGATCTGGCTGCGTCGACGCACATCCACGATACCCGCGGTGGTTCGGCCACCGGCACACGGAGGAAATGACCACATGGATAGCAAAAATACGGATGCTTGGGCTCCAAGGTTGCGGCTACAGTAGCAAAGCTGCAATACTGGGTTAGGCATTCCCAACTATTGAGGTGCGTCCTAGTCAAGTTGATGACCATTTGCGCTCAATTGTTTAGAAGTTATATCTTTCTTGTGTAGGACATCAAATTTGCCACGAAGGCAGTCGGCCGCGGAAGAGGTTCCTTCAGAATCCACCGACAAGTTCTTGTTCGAAAGTACTAGGATCAGCAAGCTGTCGGGTGTGTATAACCCAACGCCGAATATGCATGTCTTCGGGTCGTATTATCTGTCGGCCTAACCTTTGCCTAACCTCTGCGTTCAGCCAGTAGCAGACACCCAAGAAACAGGAGAGAATATACCGTCGTAACATACCCGTGGACTTCGTGCTCGAAATCGTTCAATTGTAACGAATTCAAGCGCTTAGATTCTGGAGTACGCTTTCATCGCTGTACATATATGATTTCTTTCATTCAGATCTTATACGATAGGCCCCGTCACCGATGACTTGGAAACGACGTTGGCTCTGTTCCGATCGAACCCGCAGCGTACAAAATCGTGACCAGCAACATCAATGTAAGGATGATATTATATTTGCATCCATATGTTGACTAAATTGCCCTAGGACTCGTATATTCTAGCGAATCCCGGTTACGTCGACACTAGCGAGAACATCTCCATGACTTCAAAGATGTGTACGAAGAACATGCCAATGGTGAAGCTTTGAAGTGTCAGCCATTCATATCGGCCGTGTCCCGTTGCTGTCTCGCTGTCTGCGATGGGGATGGTTTTGATAAGGATGCTGACGAGGGGACGACTAGGTATGCTTGATACGGTCTATGTCTTTGACTTAATTGATGCTTTTCTCCCTGAAGGTCTAGAAATGAACCTGAAACAGTATCGTCGGATGCGGAAGAACACGAGGCCCAGTTCTTATTCTCCCGTAACTGTAGCAGTGCCAAGCAGCACAAATCTTGCACCTGTGCTCAACAGTCAGTACTCAAATGATTAGGGATGAGTACTTTTAACGATCCTCCGAGATATAAAATTCCAAGACCTCCGCCTTACTGCTTGGAGAGCCTCACGCGAAACGGCGAGAGTGATTCTGCTAGCAACTTTAGATCCGATTGACAGTTTCGCCGACGATGCATTGGTAGCGGGCGGGTGAATATAACTGGCTCTTGTAGTAGCAAATACCAAGCTTTGGGCAGGGTACTGGATGGCTAAGTAAATCCACGTCGATGAACCTTGGCGTTTGAACTGAACTAATCCTCGGCACTTAGATGTTCTCAATCCTTGCATATCCATGGATAGATCAAAGATTTGGGAGTCTTGCTGCTATAACCTTCGCATCTCAGCATCTCGGTGACGCATTCGCAGGCGCAACACAACGGGGGGTGTGGTGGAGCGCTCAAGCGGGGAATCTACTAATCAGGCCTCGATATCATCTCGCGGATAAACTAGCACGCGACCGAGGAGTTTAAGGCACATACAGCCCCCGGCACTTTCAACGATGATTAGGACTATCTAACGCTTCCACTGCAACAATGAATGAACGCCGAGAAAGAACATGTTTAAGCTGTGCGCGACCGGGAGCTCTTCGGCATCGTGAACCAGGCGTAGAGGCCCTCCGAGCTGATTGCTGCCTTCTCGTCATTGCGCCAGGTATTCTCCGCGATGCAAGTATATAAACGGTCTGCAAGGACGACTATCTACCATCAGTTCTTTCACCAAGTTCTTCTCTAGCCTTGGTTTTTCAGATCCTGAATATCCTCTGTCGACATGTTCCGCACCGCTGCTCTCACCGCTTTCACCTTTGCTGCCGTCGTTCTCGGCCAGCAGGTCGGAACTTTGACCACAGAGAACCACCCAGCTTTGTCCATCCAGCAGTGCACTGCTACTGGTTGCACCACCCAGCAAAAATCAGTCGTCCTCGACTCCAACTGGCGCTGGACTCACTCCACTGCCGGAGCGACTGTAAGTACAACTCTGCTCTCCCAAGCTCGAGCCTGTTTCTCACTTCCCATCACGACTGCTTTTAGAACTGCTACACCGGCAACGCCTGGGACCCTGCTCTCTGCCCCGACCCGGCCACTTGTGCTACCAACTGTGCCATCGACGGTGCTGACTACAGTGGAACGTACGGTATCACCACCTCCGGCAATGCCCTTACCCTCCGCTTCGTCACCAATGGCCAGTACTCCCAGAACATCGGTTCCCGAGTCTACCTTTTGGACGACGCTGATCACTACAAGCTGTTCGACTTGAAGAACCAGGAATTCACATTCGATGTCGATATGTCTGGTCTTCCTTGTGGCCTCAATGGTGCCCTCTACTTCTCCGAGATGGCCGCTGACGGTGGCAAGGCTGCCCATGCCGGTAACAACGTGAGCATCCAACCCCGTCTCTTCACGTCACCCAGTGCTGACAGTAGAATTCTTCAACTAGGCTGGCGCCAAATACGGAACCGGTTATTGTGACGCTCAATGCCCGCACGATATCAAGTGGATCAATGGCGAGGTAAGTTTATATATCTATGAGCGCGCTGGCAATCGAATCTCATCTTATTTCTACCAGGCCAACGTTCTCGACTGGTCCGCTTCTGCGACTGACGACAACGCTGGCAATGGCCGATACGGAGCGTGCTGCGCTGAGATGGACATCTGGGAGGCCAACTCAGAAGCCACTGCCTACACTCCTCACGTCTGCCGTGACGAGGGTCTCTACCGCTGCTCTGGCACCGAGTGTGGTGATGGCGACAACCGCTATGGAGGAGTCTGCGACAAGGATGGCTGCGACTTCAACTCTTACCGCATGGGTGACAAGAACTTCCTCGGCCGCGGCAAGACAATCGACACCACGAAGAAGGTGACTGTCGTGACTCAGTAAGCCCTACCTCAGCACATTTGTCTTCACCGACTGACACTATTTTTAGGTTCATTACTGACAACAACACTCCCACCGGCAACCTTGTCGAGATCCGCCGTGTTTACGTCCAGAATGGCGTTGTCTACCAGAACTCATTCTCCACCTTCCCTTCGTTATCTCAGTACAACTCCATCTCTGATGAGTTCTGTGTCGCCCAGAAGACCCTGTTCGGCGATAACCAGTACTACAACACTCACGGTGGTACGACAAAGATGGGCGACGCCTTCGATAATGGCATGGTCCTCATCATGTCCCTCTGGAGTGATCACGCCGCCCACATGCTCTGGCTTGACTCTGACTACCCACTCGACAAGAGCCCGTCTGAGCCCGGTGTGTCTCGTGGAGCTTGCCCAACTAGCTCCGGAGACCCCGACGATGTTGTTGCCAACCACCCCAACGCGTCCGTCACCTTCTCGAACATCAAGTACGGCCCGATCGGCTCTACCTTCGGTGGCAGCACTCCCCCCGTCTCATCAGGCGGCAGCTCTGTCCCCCCTGTCACCTCGACCACTTCGTCTGGGACGACCACCCCCACAGGACCCACAGGCACCGTTCCCAAGTGGGGACAATGTGGCGGTGAGGAGCATAATCCTGGAATATTTGATATATACTGACCCCCTGCGGCTAGGTATCGGCTACAGCGGACCCACCGCTTGCGTTGCCGGGTCTACCTGCACATACAGCAACGACTGTAAGTTTCTTCTTGCTCTTTCCTGATCATTGTGCTTATGCCATCGATTCAGGGTACTCTCAATGCCTTTAAATTATCCCGTTATGCTAGTCATAGCTCAAAAGTCCATAGTATATATGTCTCATGGTGTATTTATCGCGTACTTTCGCATCGCTGAAATGTTAATCATGCAACACCAATCTGCTCTGCCCAGTCATCTTGTTTCATTCCTCTGTTGAAATAAGCTGGTGAGGTCGCGCGAATTCCGAGTGAGCAAGTAGATATATTGCGTTTGGCTGGGACTCCAGCAAACGCATGAAGAAAATAATACATGAGCGCGACATGATACTACAGTAGTCACGTGCATCCCCTATACCCCTGTACCGCCAAGATTGCTGAAATCCAACATCCTCCATAGCAGTCAAAGGTCCAATCTATCAGTTATGTAGAAATAACCGTTTCTTCGCGGTTACTCGGGCATGTAGAATAGCAGTTGACCCTCGCAAACGCGCGAGGGACTACATAATTCAAACTACCTATTTATCTACGTGTGAACAATCAAATGTATCTACATATAAGGACAGTGTGATTATCTAAACACATGGTGTGATTCGGAGAACACTTGAAACGTGCAACAGTAAATCCAACAAGTTAAGCTGTAGAGCTTTAGCGCCTGATACAGTTTATTGGTATCGTATCTTGAAGTCTTCAACGTAAATCATCATGCTCAATGAGGCCCTCACTCCAAAGACTTGCCGAACGCTGAGCCTTTCTCACTGAAGCAACATCAACTCCCTGTGACGCCTCCTCGATGCCGTCGGCGGGCTTGCGCGTCGAGTCGGCCATGTGTCGGGGTATAAAGCTAGGCTACTAGAATCCTGCCTTCATGCCATCATTCAAACTCGCCGCCTTCACCTCATTTGCTGCTCTCCTCCTCGCGACTCAGATACCTTGGAATATGTCCACCTTGAACGCACTGAAAACTGCACACTCGGCTAGGCCGCTGACTTCCCCTGTTGCTGTGAGTTTCGGATACAACTTTGTCGACGATGTGGAATGGCGATGCTAAGGCGAACTCAGGTATTTGTTGGGGGGACGGCGGGAATTGGTGCTGCACTTGCTGTGAAGACAGCCAAGTACTCGACCAACCCGAACATCCACATCGTCGGTCGTAGCAAGGCTTCAGCTGAGAAGGTACTTGCTGAACTCAAAGCTGCTAATTCAGACGGGCATTACCAGTTCCACCAGTACGCTTCATATTCGTTTGATCCTACCGATTTATTCAATGTTGTGAATAACCAGATGTGATGTCTCCCTCCTATCAAACGCTCGTGCCCTCGCTACCACACTTTCACAACAACTCCCCAAAATCAACCTTCTAGTTCTATCACCCGGGATCTTGTCTTTGAAAGGCCGCACGGAAACTACGGAAGGGAACGATGTCAAGATGGTGTTGCACTACTACAGCCGTGCCCTTTTCATCGAGTCACTTATACCCAACCTGAAGGCCGCAACGGACGCCAAAGAGGACGCACGCGTAATGAGCGTACTGGATAGTGTTAGGGGCGACCATCGCAAGCTATTATGGGACGACTTAGACCTCAAGAAGAGCTTCAGTCTGGGGAACGCAGCTCATCATTGCATATCGATGACAGATGTAGCTATACAGGTAAGCTGATTTTCCGCGACGACAAAACGATCTTGACTCATATGGCTCGGTAGCGATTCGCTCGTCTTTATCCTGCAATCTCGTTCCAACATTCGCATCCGTCGGTGGTAGCCACTGAACTTGGGCGCAATCTCCCATGGTACGCGTCAGGCCCCGCAAATGTCATCGCCAAAGTCTTCGGAAGCACCCCCGAAGACTGCGCAGAGTATCTTTTCGACGCGTTGTGGAATGATTCCATGAAGAGCGGTGCTCATTTCGTCGACTCGAAGGGAAAGGAGATTAATGGGAAGGTGGAAAGCGATGAAGGAGTTCAGGAGAAGATCTGGACGCATACCGAATCAATCATTGGCAAGTCATAACTCGGCGAATGACATCTATACTTACTCCAACTGTCGTGATATTCGTATTAACTTAACCCCATCGTATAAATAGACGATAATAGGGTTTAATAGTTGGTCTCTGGGCCAAAACGCATGAAAACCATTGCTGTAAAATGCAGAAATTGCTATCTAATCCGATCAAACTAACGAGAATCGCTACACTACACACGGAGCGCTTCCTCTAAGCTAAACTGTGAGATGAGCCCTTTCTACTTCAATTGTTTCCAGCAAGCCTTATTGTGCACATCGTGATTAGCATTCAGGGAATAGGTCATGCACGGCACGAAGACCCCCTCACCTTTCCAGCAGAATCTATCAGCGAACTTCCCCACAAGCTGAACGAGCTTATCGACGTTTTGTAGAAGATGATTTTCGGTAACATCAGCCACTGAGTCGCCAGAACGCATTCGTCCTATCTCGGAGATGTACGCCAAGGCGCAAATCGTCCACAGGTGCTAAGTAAGCAACGCGAGAACTCATGTGAGGACGCGGGACCGTGGCATCAATAGAAACTACTTACCCCGAAGATAGGATTTACGAACTCGGCGTCTTGTACGCGGCTTTGGTTAATAACCTCGAGCATCCCTTCCGCAGCCTGCAGAACTTTCTTCCTCGAAGCAACGTCGCACCCGAGAACGCGGGTGCGCTGAAGCTTAATACGAGCGGCGTGTATAATCGTGTGTGCTAGCGTGATATTCATCCTGTCGCTTGGGTTGAACGCTTGATCTAATCTCGGAAGTCCGGATGCAAGATATCCCCCAATAACGTTGTCCAAGATAGGGATGCCGTTCTTCAGGCCAGCGGCTTCGTTCTCCGGTGCATCTACGGTGCGTGATGTCACTTTCACTCTCACGGGCTGACACTTAGGTGTTGACTCACCTGGGCGGTACTGCGAGTGAAGGTAGGACGCTCGCTCCAGAAGCACAGCGGCCTTGGCAAGGAATGCTTTGTTTGACCTGCCTTCTGCAGCGGCCGGCTCGCGCAGGAACTTCTGGATCGTCCCTTCGGACAGAGGAATAGGCTGCAAAGCTATCTACAATGGGTTTCACAATCAGCGTCACCCTACTATGGTTATGAGAGATAGACGCCTTACATCCCCATACGTATCCGAAGGCCATGGTGTATCGATCGTAAACCCAGGCGAATTGAAAGGAATGTCGGATGGGGCAACCAGCGCGGCTGTCCAGGTATTTGTAAGAACGACCGCAGCCCATACAACATCGATTCGCTCTCCATGTTCAATCGGATCCATCGTTGGTGTCCAGATAGTGGCACATATTCCTTCACCTTGCTCCGAGCCACCGTATTTATGCAGCTGCGAGCCAAGGACGAGGCCCACTGCCATACTAGTGTGGTACCTCCCTTCAATGTTGCGTCCTTTGCTGAAGAAGTAATATGCGAGAAGGATCTCGGCTTGGATCTTCTGGAGGACTTTGCGAGGACGGTCCAGTGGGAGGGATTGAGCGGCTTGATCGACGGCGCGTGACAGGTAAAGTCCCTCGTAGTCGTTGAATTCTGCAGAGTCGGACAGGCGAATGCCCCAAAGATATACGGCCACCATGAGAGCGGGTATCGGTCGCGCGTCGGCGTCAGGATGATCCACTGCCTCGAGGAGTCTTGCAGTATCCAAGAAGCCACCTATCTCTGTGGAGTGGTGGGCGAAAGTATGAGCCCTGCAGACGATTAATGTATATACATTCTCCGCAAAGACAGTACTCACAGGGCTTGCATAATGGCTGCAGGTGGTTCCTAAAGAGCATGCGACCAAATCAGCATTTAAACTCAAGTTTTGATACCCATGACGGCCGTTTACCTCCTGCCGAAGACCGACGCAGCTTACACCTCTCGGCTCGTTCGGACCTGCCATATTCAGTCTGCATGGTCCATTCCGCCCCGGAAGAGACAAGCTTACCCATCGAAGCCGGAATCGGGGATGGGAGGGCAACGCCACTCACCGCGTCGTATGCCGGTGGCTGGGCCCATGCCACACTACCCAGAAACATGTCCATATTTATATTCATGCCTGATGATACAGCGGACGTAGAGAGACCTGCAAGCGGGTATGGGTTCTGCAACGTGACTGAGTGGTTTGGGGATTCCGGGCTTTCGAGCTCGCGGATGCGGCTTTCGATCAGGGCGATGGTCTCTTCCATGATCTGGGTCTGAGAGCGGCCCGCTTCTGCGTATTCGCAGTCGGAGAAGGTACCTAGTGACCGGCTGCAAGCACCACAGATAGGTTTCGCGCCGTCGCATTTCTAGGATGAATTCAGTATACATGTGAAAGAATACATACGAGGACACCACTTACTACTTTACGCCTCCTAGGCATTGGGTAGCCTGGTAAGCATCCACCTGAAGTGAAAGACGGAACAACATGCCTGCAGTTGCCACAGGCTTTACCCCGAGGCAAGGTCGGAATCGCACTTTCTTCTTGATTGCTAGGGCTCGACATTGCGTGAATTAGGGCCCAGATTCGTTGAACCGCCGATCATCGACATTATGTTCATTTTATACGACACTCTTACTGTAGAAGGTGTATAACCAGTTGCCCTCCACGGTAAGAGCGTAAAACGATATGTGACAATCAATTCCAATTCGAGGCATAAAACATCCTGCAAAGGTACCGTCGGCTGTCAGACACGAATACCCATCTCAGCACATTCGTCATGGGCTCACCGACATGATGAAGACGACGTTCCTTTCCAGGCAGTGGTTTCACTGAACGGTGGCGCCGACTGAGAACGACCTCCCATATCAGGAAAATCAAGCGGTTAAATGACTGAGTCAGCGACGGCGCTAGCGCATTCTTAGCCGCGTCAGGGCACTGCCAGGTCAAGCACGGGACTACTGACAAACGATGACCTTGCTCAGCAGAGGCAGTCGCCAATGCACCAGGGCAGGCACTGACTAAATCTGTGCAGCGATGTTACAAAGAGCGAAATCGTCGTGGTAGGTTTTAGTCCAAGAGAGGAGATTGACGTGGATAGGGGGCAGGAGTTTCCAAACCGACCTGATTCATGACTTAGAGGACTGGAAAAGCGGAGGTGGAATGATATCGGTGAGTACAAATAAGCATGAGCATCGCCAACATACATCGAATCACCGCTTGCTGAGGATGGACTGTGTATGAGCCCATACCTCCTCCTGAACGTCCTCGCCGCTCTCTACTTTCCCCTCGACCTCCTTACCCCTAGCATCAACGAAATGAGCCCCAGTCCTCATGGTGTCATTCCAAAGCGGGTCAAAGAGATACTCAGCGCAATCCCCCGGGCTAGTTCCGAAGAGCTTTCCGAGGATACTTGCAGGGCCTGAAGGCCTGACGCGTACCACGGCAGCCCGCGATAGAGGTCCCTCGACACTACGGATGGGTAGCAGTGTTGGAACGATATCGAGGGATGGAGACGTGCAAATTCTACACCACAATCATAGGAAATAAGTACATATTGCTGGTGTCTAGAGCTACAGAGAACAAGCACTCACGTGTAAAGCTACATCCGTCATTGAGATGGAATGTATTTTCGCGCTGGCTGGGGTATACGTTTTCTTCAGGTCCAAGTCGTTCCACAAGAGATTGCGATGGTCGCTCTTCATACTGTTAAGCACGCTCATCACACGCGCTGTCCCTTCTCTTCTGTCGGTAGCGACAGCTTGAAGGTTCGGTAAAAGGGCGTCGATGAAGAGCATGCGGGAATAGTAATGCAACACCATCTTGACATCGTGTCCTTCAGAAGTTTCCGTGCGACCCCTAAACGATAGAATTCCAGCCGTCAGGACGAGGAGGTTGATTTTTGGGAGCTGGTGTGCAAGCGTGGTAGCGAGAGTCCGCCCGTTTGAGAGGAGCGAGATGTCACACCTGGTTATCCCACCATTTAGTTGATGAGTTCAGGGGATATGCAAACGTACTCGTGGAAGTGGTAGCTGCCATTGGGATTCGCGGCTCTGAGTTCGGCGAGAACTTTCTCAGCTGAGGCTTTGTTACGGCCGACGATGTGGATATCTGGATTCACCGAATACTTGGCAGTCTTCACGGCGAGGGCAGCGCCGATTCCCGCTGTTCCCCCCACGAATACCTACGTTCCGGTTTCCCATTTCGATTTCCCAGCACCTCCCATCGCCACCAACGACCGCAACGGTCAGAACTTAGGGCATGCACTCACAGCAACAGGCGACTGCAGCGGCCTATCCGCGTGTGCCGCTCGCAGCGCGTGCGAGGTCGAACGCGTTCCAGGGTATTTGCGTCGCGAGGAGCAGAACGGCAAGGGAGGCCACGGCAGTGGTGAGTATGGGTTGTGCCATGGTATGGCACGGAAGGAGAAGACTGACTAAAACCTCCTTGCGAAGGTCATCTCGAGTCTTGAGTAGGATCCGTGGGAGGGAGCTGCCGACTCGACGCGTAAGTCTTGCGCGCCGTGGTGTGGTTGCCACACGATGGAGTACACCAGGCACGCTGGGGGATTGGCTAGCTACGTCTTCCTCATAGGCCCTTCGCATGTCTGAGGGAGAACTGACATAGCGATTTGGAAGGGAAATTATGATTGCGCGCTAACTGGGAAACCTTCACAGGATTCAGATTCCAGAGAGCGGGAGCAGGAGGAATAGTGCTGGCGAGACCGAGAACTGTAGTGAATGAGAACGTAGACGGTCCGCTAATAAATAATAACGCAAAGACAATTACAAGGAGTCTAGGAAAGAAACAGAAGCTCGACACAATAATATACAAACACCGGGATATCCTGAACATAATCCCTCAAGCCATAGTACTCATCCATCTACCCACCTACTGGCCCTCGATAACGCTCTTCGTATGTTCCCAGATCTTCTCCTGCACGTCCTCCGGGCTCTCCGCCTTCTGCACCTCCTTGCCCTTCGAATCCACGAAATGCGGGCCGGTCGCCATCGCGGGGTTGACGAGCGCGTCGTAGAAGAACTCGGCGGTATCCTCGGCGGCGCTGCCGAAGACCTTGGAGAGGGTGGTGAGGGGGCCGGCGGCGTACCACGGGAGGCTGCGCCCGATGTTGGTCGCGACGAGGGAGGGGTAGGAGTGCTGGAATGAGATTGTGGGGTTGAGGCGCGCGAATCGCTGTGATAATAGAGGCGTCAGCTTCGTCGTTTATATCAACGCTTATACGACCTTGCGCATGGAGCACGAAGGTTTAGCGTTTAACGGTTGGAGAGGGACTTACTTGTACAGCGACGTCCGTGAACGCCATGCAGTGCTGCGCCGCGTTGCCCAGGGTGAAGCTCTTCTTGAGCTCCAGGTCGTCCCAGAGCACTTTCTTGTAGTCGCCCCTGAGACTGTCCAGCACACTCATCACCCTTGCATCCTCCTTCGCGTCGGTGGCGGCCTTCAGATTAGGCACCAGCGAGTCAATGAAAAGCGCGCGGGTGTAGTAGTGCAGCACCATCTTGACATCATGCCCCTCTGTGGTATCCGTGCGGCCGTTCATCGAGAGGATACCCGGAGAGAGCACGAGGAGGTTGATTTTTGGGAGTTGTTGGGCGAGTGTGCTAGCCAAAGTGCGGGCGTTTGAGAGGAGGGAGACATCGCATCTATTGACCCGGGTTAATGATAAGAAAATAAGATAATCCCAATACGAAACGTACTCGTGGAACTGATATTGCCCATCTTTGTTCGCTGCCTTGAGTTCGGCGAGCACTTTCTCGGCTGAAGCCTTGCTACGTCCGACGATGTGGATGTTTGGGTTGGTGGAGTACTTGGCCGTCTTCACAGCGAGCGCAGCACCGATTCCCGCTGTCCCCCCAACGAACACCTACATCCCCGTATCCTCTCATCAGCATCACCGTTCCAAATCCTCGACAAAGTTCCATCCGACTCGACACTCACAGCAACAGGCGAATTCAACGGCTTCGCAGAGTGAGCTGCCTTCAGTGCGTTTAGGGCATGCATTGTCCAAGGAATCTGCGTCGCGAGGAGGAGAACGGCGAGTGAGAGGAAGGCGGTGAGTTTGAATGATGGCATGGAGGCGAGCTGGTGGTGGGCTAGCTTTATAGGACCGAGGTGGGTCTGCCGCGGATTCGCGATTCAGCCGGTCTGAAGCCGAGGACGCGCGTAAGTCCACCGCTAGTCCGTTGCGCAGCAGTGATTCTGTGTAAGCCATAGTTGTTGAGGACTACGGCCAAGGGAGCATTCGGAAGGAAGTCGTCGCGTCAATGCTGCAGTGGGTTGGTCCATGTCCTCCCACACGATGAACGAGATAAAGGATATCAGCTGGGCGCTAGCGGGAAATCTGAATCTACGAATAACGACCAAGTCGTTAGCGCCCGAATGATAACCATCTCCCAGTCTCCCTCAGTTGCCCCTCTTCGTTAGCGTCGACTCTTCTATTCGCGACTATGTAAAACACCACGGAAAACATTGACCTTAAACTTGCTCCGTGAAATTAGAATGGACCTATGCACCCCCTTTCTCCCCTCTCGAATGGTCCGCTCCTTCCCATCTGATCTCGCCGGAGAGTTTGGGGAAAGGGTATGCGAAGATATCATCTTGACATCGTGCCCTCCTTGAAGTTCGGCACATTCCGTCAGTTCACTCATGGGAGACGCGCCCTGCAAACTCCCTGTCACGTTTGAACCCACTGCAAGGTTAGGAGAGGGAGAGAAGCGTCGCATCTTGGCGCGGGTAGATAAGATAAAAGTGCAACGAGCAAAGTGATCAGAACCTAGTGCTCGTTCCGCCCATCGAGCATGGGTGGCTTTGCCCAATATCATCGAAGACCCGTGTTGTATAGAGACGGCTGACACTTGGCGGGGGGCAGAATAAATCCGCATCCTAGACGAGCTAGCCCGTGGCGAGGCTTGCTGTCATCCATCGCATCCCCAGCCTGGTCAGTGGGTCCCGACTTTGGCGGCTCCCGCGTTCATGGTCTCGGGCCTGGCTCGCCAGTTAGCAGATGGTAGTACGTCCCAGAGAAATGAACGGTCGCCCGGAATCAGTACGCTGGCAAACCAGAACATAATTTATTGTCAGTTCGATAGACAGTACCTGAGTGACACTGGCCGGTGACTAGGAGTGAGTGCGAGAGAAAAACAGCACATCTTTGAATGCTTGCAAAGAAGAGAGCGATGATCCCGTCGTTCGGCCATTGCCGAGTCGCGTTATTTGGCAGTCGGAATCAGGATAAACAAAAGACTCGGGTCTTGTTCCGCTCGTACTTCTGCACGATCTGCATGTACGGCTTGCCCCCTCTCTCCCGGAACCAAGTAGGAATGAACTTGTGCAGTAGCTTCAGAATCTATCTCCGCGCTCCCTAACCATGTTACACTTGATATGGCGCCATATTCGGGTCGAGTCGTCCTGGTGAGCTTCTCTGATAAGGCGAATTGTCGAAGGATCATGGCGAATAGTTGTACCTGACAATGTATTATGGTCCCTTCCATCAGGCCTCAGAATGTACACCTCATGCTATTCGCCTCAGGGATGCCCCCGCCTCCGCTGGATTCTCGCTTCGAGACTGGTGTGTCCACTCATGTGCGCACCTCAACCCGTTGGGGGTCTCTGCATGCCCGAAGCTGATGGCTGTCGGCCGCTTCTGGCTGCCCGGCTCAAGATAACCGCATCGTCGGTGGCCAACCGATGCCTAGGTGATGAGGCCCGACCGTAGTACCAAGGCCACCAGAAAATCATGGTTACCCCGTTGGTGCATTGGCCGTGCTACCGCTAATCCACGCTAACGCACCAATGCCGAATAAGTGCGCTGCAATTGGCCGGAATGTCCAATGAAGTATGTTTTAATGTCCATATGCTGCTGCCTGATTCACATGCTGCACAGGATGGTCTCCTCATGCCAACCGTCCGCTCGGTCACGCTGTGGTCACACAATGCGTCGTCTTCACATGTTCGTGGTGGACTATACCACCCAAGGTATGGTCACCCGGGCGCATGGGCAGGGCCGTGGCCTCTGGATAGCGTATCCTCTGCCTGGCGAATCTTGTGGCGGCAATATCATGCATCGACGATCCCACCTCGTGGTCCAATCGCTCCACGGATCCATACAAAAGGCTTCCGCTATCGAGGAAGCGAACCCCAGGAAATTGGAATCCCTCCTCCGGCAAACACTTCCATGGCGTCCACGTACTACCAGGAAGATCAGAAGAGCATCCGCTCCTCCTCTGGGGAGAAGGATGCCGAGAAGGGGGTGCCCGACGTGGCCACCGCCGAGGCCATCGCTATAGCTGACTTCGATGATCCCAACATCGACCGCGATGAAGCCATCGCTGGTGTCCTTGGTGCGTTGTTCATCCTTCTTTTTTAGATGATGATTCTCATTGTGCTCGAATCCTGTAGAGGACGACTCTCCATATCCTGAAGTCCGTTCCGCCGTCGCGAACACGGACGACCCTGACATCCCTGTCTCCACCATCCGCGCTTGGTTTATCGGAATCGTTTGGGCCATCCTGATCCCCGGTCTGAATCAATTCTTCTTCTTCCGATATCCTTCGGTCACCGTCGGCGGTGTAAGTACTACATTCGATCTTCTATACATCCCTTTTTAAATCATTCTTGGCAGATCGTTGCTCAACTCCTTTCGTTCCCCATCGGTCGTCTCTGGGCAAGATATGTCCCCAACGTCAGGATCTTCGGCAAGCCGCTCAACCCCGGCCCATTCTCGATCAAGGAGCACGTTTTAGTGACCATCATGGTATGCTCATAGTCCAGATAGGTTGATTACCGATTCTGACCTTACCTTAGGCCACTGTCGGTGCTTATTCCGCCTACGCTACCGACATCGTCGCCGTCCAGCGCGTCTACTACAACCAGAACTACAATTTCGGCTACCAATGGATGATCGTCATGTCGACACAACTTATCGGTTTCTCCATCGGTGGCATCGCGCGTCGGTTCCTCGTCCAACCCCCCTCCATGATCTGGCCCGCCAATCTCGTCACATGCGCCCTTTTCAACACTCTGCACTCGACCGACTATGCTGGTGTTGGTAACCGTGGAGGCATGTCCCGTGAACGCTTCTTCTTCATCTGTTTCGCCGGGTCGGTCGCCTGGTATTTCATCCCCGGCTACCTCTTCACCGCCCTCAGCTACTTCAGCTGGGTCTGCTGGATCGTCCCCGACAACATCATCGTCAACGAGTTGTTCGGTACCACTCATGGGCTCGGTATGGGCCTCCTCACCTTTGATTGGGCCCAGATCGCGTACATCGGATCTCCCCTGGCTACACCTTGGTGGGCCGAGGCCAACATCGCCGTCGGCTTCATGTTCTTCTTCTGGTTCCTCACACCCATTCTCCACTTCTCCAACGTCTGGCAGAGCAAGTACATGCCCATCTCCTCCCGCGGCAGCTTCACAAACACCGGCGCCCGCTACGATGTCCAGAAGATCATCAACGAGGACTCGAGCTTCAACCAGGAGGCGTACAGTGCTTACAGCCCTCTCTACCTGTCCACCACCTTCGCTATTTCCTATGGGTTGTCATTCGCCTCGATCACCGCCACCCTCACGCACGCCTTCCTGTACTTCCGCAAGCAGATTTGGACTCAGTCTAGGAAGGCCATGAACGAGCAACCGGATATCCATGCCCGATTGATGTCAAGATATCCCCAAGGTATATGTGACGCCGCTTGGCATTCCATGGCGATATCTAAATTCTTTTCTCACTAGTGCCCGATTGGTGGTATGCCGTCGTTTTCCGTAAGTATCGAGTTTTGACTCTCAGAGTTCATTTTGCTTATGGCTCTATCCAGTGACTCAATTTGCCCTCGGTGTCATCGCCATTCAATGCTGGCCCGTCGGCTTCCCCGTCCAATGGGTAAGTTCTACACTTGAATTTCCTTTGACTTCTGCTTATAGCAACATTTCTAGTTCATCCTTGCCCTGGTCATTGCCTTCGTCTATGTCATCCCGATTGGAATGATCCAAGCCATCACTAACCAGCAAGTTGGACTCAACGTCATCACGGAGCTCATCATCGGATACGGCCTCCCCGGCCGCCCAGTCGCCATGATGATGTTCAAGACCTGGGGCTACATCACCATGGCCCAAGCCCTCACTTTCACCGCCGACTTCAAACTCGGGCACTACATGAAGATCCCCCCTCGCATCATGTTCACCGCCCAGGTCTTCGCCACCATCCTCGCCGGCACCGTCCAACTCGGCGTGCAGTCGTGGATGTTCACCAACATCCCTGGGATGTGCTCGCACGACCAGAAGGACGGCTTCATCTGCCCGGGGACTGAGGTCTTTGGAACCGCTAGCGTGGTTTGGGGAGTCATCGGCCCGGCAAGACAGTTCTCTTACGGTCAAATCTACTATGGCCTTGTCTACTTCTTCCTAGTCGGTGCCATCTGCCCGACCATCGTCTACTTCGCCACCAAGAAGTGGCCCAACAGCTTCCTCCGCTACATCAAGTCAGTCTTGTCTAGACTCTTTCTACATGGCTCATAAACTGACGATATTGATATCCCTAGCTTCCCCGTCATCTTCTCTGGTACCGGTTCTATCCCACCAGCCACCGCCATCAATTATGTTCCCTGGGCGATTGTCGGGTTCATCTTCCAATACGTCATCCGCCGCCGTCATTTCTCCTGGTGGACCAAGTACAACTATGTCTTGTCTGCCGCCTTGGACGCTGGTGTAGCCATCGCCGCCGTCCTCATCTTCTTTACGTGCGTCCACCATTTCATCCGTATATCCTTCCTTGATCTGACCGCGATTTCTGCAGGCTGCAATATCCTGCAGGCGGCCACATTGGCGAAAATAACATTAATGTTTGGTGGGGAAATACTGGTGCGTGCCTCGTGCCATACATTTCTTCTGATGCTCACCATCCCCCATCAGTCTACACAAAGACCGCCGACGGTCGCGGCACCCCCCTCCTCACAGTCGCAGAAGGCGAATTCTTCGGGTCAGTCATCCCCCCTGTTCGCCCAGCGCGCATACTGACGCTTCCGCTTACCCCCCAACAGCCCCAGGACTTGGGCCTAATTTCTCCATGTATTGTCAGTAAGTATACCCCCCACTGTTGTGTGCGATCCGCTATCCGCACGCGTTTGTATCCCAGTATTTGCATAGTCTTGTAGACGATTCATTTGATAATCATATATGGAATATCCCTCCGTTCATTGAATGTGTTTGACTGTGGTGGTAATTGCAAACGTGTCCGGTGCATTATATCTAGGCGCGTTGAACCCGGATGCCAGTGTAATACAGGGGATGCCAGTGTAATATAGGGTATATACTATATAGGACCCAGGTGTCTTCGTAGGCAAGTACGTAACAACGAGGAGGGGTCTGGATAGGTGGATAGGAAAAATAGCGCATTAGCTTCATTGGCTAGTATATGCGACATGCGCAGTGTGGCTTTCTGTCGGCGACGCTTTAGTCACCCGCGCACCATGTCGAAGAAGGGTCAAATTTTCAAAGCTCAAGAAAGCATCATGATTCATTTACGTCCAAGAACGAGGCGCTTAACCATCCAAATATTCAAGCTCAGGCTCAAGTCCGAAACCACTTCACACGATTCGTCCACAACAAGCCCATAAACTATAATTTCTGATACCCGCACCATGTGGGGCGGTCTACATCTTTGTCCCGACAAGAAGTTGGTATATAGGAGGAAGGCCATATATCGTTAATTGTGCCGAGGCCGAAAGAGGATCAAAAGCTTTGAGTGGATCAATGATGTGATTTGGCAACCGAATGGACGTACTGTCCACTGTCAAGCTCGAGTCCTGGAAAAAGAAAATCACAACCAACACTTTCCTGTACCGCACATCAACGCATACAGCCACTCAAGCCAGTATCAACACGTATTATATATTTTATTCCGAAATTCCTAACCCTAACAAGTGTCCATCGTCAACATTACGAGAAGAGGCAGTCCACGGCGTACGGCACTCTGAGACAAATCCACGCATACAAGACGTCGAAACCCCAAGGATACCAAAACAACCGTAGCGACCGAAACAAAAAAGAGTGTCCGTGCGATGCAGGAAGAAAAGATGCTACTGCTACGTGTCCATGCATATAGAAATACGATGATCGTGATGTGCTGAGCAAGCGGCGGGGTGGGAGACGTTCACAAAGCGGGTGCCTCGACGGCCTCTGGGGCGGGAGCCGCAGAGACGATGGAGAATGGGGGGCTGAAGTTGCCCGAGTCGCCGAAAACTACCCCAGATATTAGTCGATCGCATATATGAATGACAATGCTGAATGAGTACTTACGGACAAGCTGGTATTGATCGCTGGGGACGACATCAGGAACTGTGAAGGTTACTGAGCCCTTGAGGATGGAGAACCCGCGAGCCAGGTAGACTACACCGAACAAAATTCAGCGATGTCATAGAAAATCCAAGAAACTACATTACGTACAAGGGAAGGTGACCGGGCCTTGCCTGAGCATAACGCGGCCCTCGGTGTTGGTGATGTTCTCGGGCGCGTTTGACGTGTCCCTGCATTACCTGGACGTCAGCAACCACGGGCGATTCGAGACTAGACTAGACACTTACCAAGTAACGGTCAGGGAATCGCCGACAACGAGCACATCGCCCAGCTTGGGCGACTCGATGTGTGGCACAAAGACATCTTGGGCGGCGCGAGCGACGTTGAGAACGGCGGCGTTGGCGACGGAAGCGAGGGCAGCAACGAGAGCGAAAGAGAACTTCATTATGAACGGGCTATTAGGAAGTAAAGAGCGACTGGTAATGAAGCGGAAGTCTTGAGAACGCCTTGGCGAAGCGGAGGAGGGCGTGAGGAGGAGGAGGAGGTGGTGGTGGTAAGAGAAAGAAGAGTAAAGGAAGACAGCGGAAATGGAATCCTTTTGAACGTCGAGCTAAACATTTGGGGTCGTCACGCTTCCCGAATAAATCAAGTTTAGTGCAACATTCCGTGCTTCTTTCTCATTAAATCATGGAAGCAATGTCGGCTAATTATACTTGGAGCACGTGGGAGGAGAAATATTGACGTAAATGGGTTAAGCGCCCAATTCACTGCACCCCGAAAGTGCTGCTGTCGTGATTGTAACAACGCGCTTTGTTAGCTTCTTTGATGAGAGTGGAGCGAGGATGAAAGACACATGAACGAACAATGATGAACAGTGAACAGTGATGAACACGGTCTGCACTGGTATTCACGCGTTCTTACCTGTTTGTCCGCGGAAGCAATCACGAACTTATTACCTGGAGCGATCCGACGGGAGGACTCCATACGTCTGATCCATGATATAATTATTGCCAGGGATACAGATGGTCATTCAGATGTTATTTTGCCTACTGAACATTAGATCTCAGAGGAGCGCCTCCTTGAGAATTTCTACGATGCGCTGCACCTCCGCGACGGTGTTATAATGCACGAGCGAGATCCTCACTACACCGTCGGCCGTATCAAGTTTCGGCTCCAGGTCGTCGATGAGGGTATACGCGTAGAAGTGGCCCCAGCGGATGCCGACCTATCAACACGCACGAAACGAAGCGCTCATTCAGAATTCAGACATCCACAAAGCAGAAACAGCCCGCAACTCACCCCGCCTTTTCTATCAAACACCTCCACGATATCTCGACTGCGCTTCGCCTGCGGGCCGACGACGACGAAGCTGACGGTGGGCACGCGGTGTAAGCCGCTGTGCTCGGTGCCTACGATCCGGACGCCGCGCGCGACTTGCTCGGGGGCAGTCAGGAAGCCGAGGAGGGGTTTGAGGAGCTCTTGCTCGTGGGCGGCGATGGCAGCGAACGCGGCGTCCAAGTGCGCGATGGTGGGATCGTCCGAGGATGCGACGTTTGCTGGGGGTGGCACGAGGGAGAGGAGGTAAGGCAGGACGCCGGTGGTGCCGTATACAAGTTCGTAGCCGGGTCCACCGGGTTGAAGTTTGTAGGCAGTCGAGCCGACGGAGAGGAAGTGATGTGCGATGGAGGTGACAGAGGACTGAAGAGCCTTGGAACGAACGTACATGGCCGAGCAATGGGGTCCGTACACCTACCGCCTTCGGTCAACAAGATACGAGGCATACAAAGGATACCAGAAAGCGCACCTTGTACCACGAGAACACGCAATAATCCACATCCCACTCTTTCACGTCTATCCTCCGGTGGGGCGCATACGCCACGCAATCGACGGACACCTCCACATTCGCCGCGCCCTTCGCCGCCGCCTCCCTGCGCACAGCCTGCACCACGTCCTTCACCGGCACGATCGACCCCAGGATATTCGAGCACGCCGAGATCGCGACGATGCGCGTGCGCGCGGTGATCAGGGGGAGCAGGTCCTCGATGCGGGTCGCGACGGAATAGGGGTTGTCAGGAGACGTCGGGACTGCGTGCCAGAACTTGACCACGCCACCGCGACGGGCGGCGAGTTTCTTCCATGGGCCAGTGTTGGCTGAGGGAGGGTGGTTAGTCTCGGGTGGGCAGGTTTGGTGGAGACAAGAAGAGACGGACCCTCGTGCTCGCCGGTGACGATGAACTCATCGCCTGCTTCGATGGTCGGCTCCAAGCCCCGCGCGAGGTTCTCCAAGTTCAGCGTCGAACTCGATCCGTAGACGATCTCAGAGGGCGAGGATGCGTTGAAGAGCTTGACCGCGATGTCCGGGCCGCTAGCGACCCTGTCGGTGCTCAGCACCGAAACAGAGTAGTCTGCGCCGAGTTGCACATTGCTATCCAACGAAGCAGATGTTAGAGATACAGGAGATCGATGGAAAGGGAAAATTGGCGGGGGCTCACGTATTGAGGAGGTAATCGGATATGCGATCGACGACGCCCCGGACCGCCTGCGACCCGCCTGCGTTATCGGCGAAGATGAACCCTGATTGCAGAGCAGGGAAGTTGGCGCGGGCTTTGGTGATGTTGAGGGAAGCCATGGTTTGTTACGGTTAAACAAGCAGAGATAACGAGAGCAGGGGATGATATCGATAGTACTGCGGCCTGAGAAAGCGCTGACTACAGCTATGCTCTCATGGCGTGATGTGCTGGGCCGGTGAAGATGTGAGAAGAAGAGGACCTATACGGATGAACGATATAGGACGGCCGGTAAGGTAAAGTGCACTGGGAGCCACATGATCAAGAATAGATATGTAGGTAGTGTCCCAATGGAAATCAAGAAACCACCAGGATCGGGATCAACGTAGGGCGAAACTGGCGTTGAGGCGATGCGCATCGATGGCAAAGAGGGTTGCTTCTCAACTCGGCGTGTGTTCCGGTGAATGCAAGTGCTTGGGGGTTGGCTTAGAAGCGAGTGAGAGGAGAACAAGGGACGCTGAAGCCGAAAGTGGGGCATTGACTGGCTCAGAGGTGGAACCGGTAAGTGATGCATGATGGGTTGGAGGACTACTTTGGCGGAAGGGGGCTGAGCTGGCTAGTGCTGGTACTAAGACCAGAAGCTCGTTTAGTAGGAGAAGTGGGGAAGGCGCTAAGTCTAGCTCATCTGGCATCGCCGTATATAAGAGACCATCGAGTAGCGGCATGCCCCCCCCACCATCAACTTGGAACGGAACCCTCTCCTGGATCACGTCGGTGATGCGCTCCTCGACGAGTTCGACGATCACGATCCCTGACGATCACACCGCCCGCCGAGATCACACCGCCCGCCGATCGTTCAGCCGTCCAATCCAGTCTCGGGCATACGCAATTTTGACTCTGAGGCACGCAGCACCGTCACGAGCCTTGAAAGTTGACACGAACGGATGAATGAGCCGGTCAAAGCTAAAGTAGCTCAAGGCGTAAACTAGTGCGACAGCAAGATGTGTCAGTCACACGTCACACATGGCTTGTGATGCTTGTCGCCCGTGAGAGATTGGTCGCACCGCGATGAAAGGATGCATGCACAAAAATGCCGCAACGGGTTGTGACGAGGCGGTACTAGGCGGTCGTCAATGAATTGACATGTATGGAAGAGAAATCGCACTAGTGACGACTCGACGTAGCCGTCTGGCTAGCACTGGGCGCGTCTGCTAGCCAGTACTTAAACTCGGGCTACCCGCTCCTGACTTTACCATTTCCATTCACTTCGTTTCGAGCTTCTTTTCCTCCTATGATTGCGCCTGTACTCTCATTTGGCCTCACTGTCCTTTCGTTACTTTCTCCAACAAATGCCGCAATAGGACCAGTAGCAGAGCTCGACATAGTCAACAGACATATCGCCCCGGATGGATACAGTCGCCAGTAAGCAATCACTCGGGATTTGCGAGATATACAGCTCACTGACCTATCATCTAGGGCTATACTTGCCAACGGCATCTTCCCAGGTCCCCTAATTGTGGGCCAGAAGGGCGACACCTTCAGATTGAACGTAAAGGACTCTTTGAACGATCCAACAATGAAGACCAGTACCAGCATAGTAAGTCGTAAGCCATCGTACAGTGCCCGAGTGGCTGATCCGTATGCTGTTAGCATTGGCACGGTCTCTACCAAGAAAAAACCACGTGGGCAGACGGTAAGATACCCACTTTCTCCGGCGACTGTCGGCTCTGACGCGTGGTGTCTTCACAGGTCCCGCTTTCGTGACGCAATGCCCAATCGTTCCGGGACATTCTTTCGAGTACAACTTCCACGTCCCCGAACAAGCCGGTACCTTTTGGTACCACGCCCACTACGGCACGCAATACTGTGACGGTCTTCGCGGCCCTTTCGTTATTTACGATGACTGCGACCCGCACAAAGGTCCGTGCCGTCTTCTAACCACGAAGCCGACCGCGTTCTTACCATATGCTACACACAGATCTCTATGACGTTGATGATGGTAAGCACAACTAGTACATATTCCGGGGGACAAACGACTTACAAGAGGCTGCAGAATCCACGGTCCTCACAATCGGGGATTGGTATCACCCAACTGCAGAGGAACTCGTAGCTAGAGGCGGCCCACCCCAGCCCGACCTGACTGTCTTCAACGGTATCGGTCGCTCGGTAGACGGTCCCCCAGTCCCACTGTACGTCTTGAATGTCGAGCAGGGCAAGAGGTACCGCATTCGACTCATCAACATCGCTTGCGAACCCAATTACAACTTCACCATCGACGGCCACCAAATGACCATTATTGAAACCGACGGCGAGAACACGGTACCCCTTGATGTAGACGCTATCGATATCTTCGCTTGTGAGTCGTTCGCCGTTGCTCACTGGCTATCGGTCGTCTGACAGGACTCTTACCAGCTCAACGCTACTCCTTTGTTCTCCACGCCAATCAGCCCATTGGCAACTACTGGATTCGTGGCAACCCCAGCGCCGGTCCCACAGGCTTCCAGAACGGTATCAACTCTGCTATCTTGCGCTACAAGGGAGCACCCCTTGTCGAGCCCAGCACGCCCTATATCAACGCTACGAATCCTATGCGAGAAGTCGATCTCCACGCCTTAGAGAACCCAGCCGCGCCTGGCCTACCCTTCCCCGGCGGCGCTGATATCCTCCTCAACTTTGCTTTCTCCTTCGACCCCATGACGTCGAGATTCGCTACGAACGGCGTCTCATTCCAGTCCCCCACTGTTCCCGTCCTCCTTCAGATCCTCAGCGGTGCCCAGAGCGCGCAGAGCATGCTCACCGAGGGCGGCGTTTACACTCTCCCACCGAACAAGGTGATCGAAATCTCGATGCCCGGAGGCGTCAACGGCGGACCCGTAAGTTCCCTCAGCCCTCGAAATGGCTTAATCTCACCCGCCCCTTTGTCTTGTAGCATCCTTTCCATCTCCACGGTGTACGTATATCCAACATCCCTGCGCGGAGTTTCAGAGCTGACCAGTCTCTCCAGCACACCTTCTCGGTCGTTCGGAGCGCCGGAAGCTCGGTGTATAACTACGAGAATCCCGTCCGCCGCGACGTCGTCTCCATCGGCGATAGAGGCGACAACGTCACCATTCGCTTTGTCACTGACAACAACGGCCCGTGGTTCTTGCACTGGTGCGCATCCGCCAGCGTGTTGACGTCTGTCTTGATGCTGACTGTACACGTAGCCACGTCGACTGGCACTTGGACCTCGGCCTTGCTGTCGTTTTGGCTGAGAACCCCCGTGACGTGCCATACGACGAGCCCATTCCTCGTGCGTCCTGCTCTGCACTTCTTCGCTTGCTATGTACTCACGTACATCGTACATTTACAGAGGCTTGGTATGATCTGTGCCCCATCTACGACGACTATAACCGCACGCATCCTTCGACCTAAACAATCAAACTCACACTTCTAGCACAAACTCAGCACGTTCGCTTCGAACCTACAACAATCTTATTCGTAATTCGTAATTCGCTTCGCATCTCGATCACGGACTTCTCGTCATTCTGGCTTCTTCTCTCGCTACGTTCCTAATCGTTCGCATTTGCATGGACAAAAATCTGGTTGATACCTATTCATTCATACCCCACTTCACTCATTCATTAAGGACATCTTCCATACGTTCAGCAGAATCATACTTGTATCATGTTATCGATTTATCCCCTACGTTTGTACCGCTACTTTTCTGCCACGAACTTCCCACTCTCTTTTACGTTTGTAGCTATATCACACAAGTAACGGTCGTGTTGCGGCTGTTCTGTATCTTTTAAAAAATCTATTAGTTTTACAACTCATCGATGCGTTTGGTAGAAGTGCTGACTTGGCTTGAATACCCGTCGAATTTCCAGTCACTGTCCACATCTGCGGCAAATTGTTTGCCTGTCTATTAGTCATTCACGCGCGTGACAAACAGAAATGGAAAGATTATTATTGTGTTGATGATAAGTGTAGATTGTGCCAATAACACCGGTCTTGATAAATAGCTAATACATGACGAGAAAGGTTCAATTACTTAGTCCTATGATATGAGAGATCCCGGGGTAGACCAATATTAGGTTGTTATGGAGGTGGAGGGGGGAAGAAAGGATGGTCGTTCAGCGCCGCAAATGAACTGGGAGGATCCTATGACTTGGGCTCTTCGCAAGCGTCTTCAACAGTGCAGGGGTCCGAGATTGCGTTGCGTTGTACAACGGGCAGAGATCAGACCATTCAGCTAGGGGTTAAAGGGGTTAAAAGTTGAGGATAAATAGGGGCGAAGGAGCTTCAACTACTCACGCGTAACGGGATTAGCTGCCGCCGTGCCTAGAGGGTCTTCGGCGAATACTGCTGCAAAGCCACTTCGAGATGGACACCAGTCAGTGTTATGCTCAACTAATATAAGACGTAGACTATTAGGACCTACATTTCAAGGTGCCAGTCGATGTGGCTGATTGCGGTAGAGTGCTCAATGAATTGTAGTCAACGAGTCTGGACGACAACTTACCAATGAAGGAACCTGTGATGAGTGTACCGTTAGTCGACGAGCGCTGAAGAAAATGCGATAACGTGCCATGGTCCAGGATTATCTGTGACGAAACGGATGACTACGTTGTCGCCGTCTTCTACTCCGAGCATCACGGTATCCCTGCGCACCGGATTGTGCCAGTTCCATGAATTGCTCCCAGCGCTTTTCACGACTGAGAAAGTATGCTGCGAAATCGTTGGGTGAGATATTGTCCCAGCCAGAACGTCAGGTAACTCACGCCGTGGAGATGGATGGGGTGCTAGATGCAACGTCATTCGTCAGCGGGGATGAGAGCAGAAGCTTAGGGTACGAACGGGGCCGCCAAGTGCCAGCGGTGTCAAGGTTAATTCGACAACCTTGTTTGGTTCCAAGGTGAAGACAGAGCCTGGTGGAAGGATGTCCTGAGCTGTTTGGGCGCCAGACAATATCTGCAGCAGCACCGGCACATCTGTCAAAATATTCGTTAGCCTCGTAGGAACCGCTCAAGGAAGCAAGATTCAATGGACCTGGAGATGCAAACGGCAGTCCATTCACGGTGAAGACACCGTTCGCGAAGTCTAAGCCGAAGTCGAGTTGGATGTTGATGTCGGCAGCCCCTGGGACGTGGATTCCAGGCGCGCTTGGGTTTTCCAAAGCGTGTAGACGGGTCTCGTGGAGAGGTTTAGCGGGCACGACTTCGCCTTGCGTTGGTTCAGCATCTGGAGCTCCCTGATAGCGCAAGATCGCCGAGTTTATCCCATCAACGAAGCCAGGAATCCCAGAGTCTGGATTGGGATTGGCGCGGATCCAGTAGTTGTCGATTTCCTGGTTAGCGTCAAGAATAATGGAATAGCGCTGGCCTAGGTCCGGGGTCGTGAACAACGCGAACAAGAGTATTCGGGGTATTCGTAACTCACCAGCAAGGATTTGGATGAAATCGACTTTATGAGGTCTAGTATTTTCTCCGTCTGCTTCAATGATTGTGAAATTGTGGCCAGCAATGGTGAAGTTGTAGTAAGGGTCGCATCCGATGTTGATGAGGCGAAGTCGGTAGCGTTTACCGAATTCGACGTTGAAAACATAGAGCGGTACCTGAGGGCCACCAGCATAGCGACCGATACCATTGAAGAGAGTAGAATCGGCTACGGGTACGCCTTGAATCTGTAGTTCCGATCAGACCTGAGTACCCATGTCAGAAGCGGAGGGTATACTTGCTTCAGTCGAAGGAGTATGGTACCAGTCACCAATGGTGAGGATGGTGGATTCTGATGACAAGAGATACACATTAGTCAACGTGTGGCTCGGGATGTTGTTGAAATACACACCGTCATCGACATCATACAAGTCCTACAAGAATTAAAAGACTGAGGTATGACTAGGCACTACAATACGCACCTTGTGAGGATCTTCCGGATCGTAGACAATGAAGGGCCCACGTAATCCATCACAATACTGGGCGTGAAGGTGCGAGTGGTACCTAGAACAGTGTAAGCGTCTGTTGCCAGTTCACTAGCTCTGCGACTTACCAATATGTACCGGCTTGGTCCGGAACGTGGAAGTCATACCTAGCGGGGCGTCACCATTTACCGACGCCGAGAACTGGTAATGAAACTTACAAAAAGGACTCGTTTGGCACGATAGGACACTGTGTGACCATGGCCGCTCCTATTGGGATAGAGATTAGATACGCATTGGCGGAGGTTGGCCATGGGCTAACCATCTGCGTAGTTTGTTGAGTGGTGGAGAATGCCGTGCCAATGCTAATCGAAAAGCGTCTGCATGGATTGTATACAAGAAATGGTGGTTGAGCGGACATACAATACTCGTGTCGGTATTCATGGTCGTGTCGTACAATTCATTGATGACGTTGAGTTGGAAATGATCACCCTGAGAGAAGCGTGAGTGCCGACCAGGATGAGTAACTGTCCGGCTAACCTTATTTCCTGCGATCAGAGGCGCGGGGTAGGTCCCCTCGACAAGTACGGCCCTAAGGACAATCTGAGGGCGCTCGAACTTGATTCATGCGATTGATACTTACGGTCGTTGGAAGCCATCTGTTGTACCAGAAGTTTGTAAGAAGCTGCTGATATGAACAAGGTAAATACCTACCTGGGGCGATGTCGCTGTTCACTACATGGATATCAGCGATGGGGCCGAAGGCAGCGTTTGCAAGGATGGGCAACGTCAGCCAAGCCAGGGAGGAGAGTGAGCTCATGATGAGTGTGGCTCCAAGAGGTCGTTCTGAAGTACTGACCTTCCAAGGGAAGTAGGCGTATCTTTTATACTTGAGCCATTAGAGCGACTTTGATCCATTCGCCGACGAGATCGAAGATATGAACGTTCGAGGCATCTCTACATATTGCCTGGAAGGGCGGAGGGGTGTCACGACAGATGGTATCAGTTTGGAATAGGCCTTGCCGTCGCCAAAATGGCACCACGAGTTCCTGATAAGGCAAAGGATGAAAGGCGCATCAGGCTGAGCAAGAACCGACACAACCGACATCTTTAAGCGAGGCGTCGCACGACACCAAGAGATGACTACCACAAATGAAGATATCTAGAGCTCCTCATCAGGAACAGCGCCGGCTGGTAAGCGGTTGATGTCCTCGGTACCGCAGCCTCGGGCACTATGAGTAGCGTTTAATCGTGTGACGACATACATACCTTTCCTACTCTAGTCCTCTTGTTGACCTCAGTGAAGTCCCGAGTCTTGTTCCGACACCTTCCCGACAGTAGCTCGGGGAGGGTGAGGTTATGGGCAAAAGAGAGCTTGGCATGATGAGCAGAGCCACGTCCTCCACAATTTGCCGGACCAGAGCGTATCAAGCCACAATCTCACGCGAAATTATAAGATAAAGGTCTTGACGAACCAAAACTCCAAAACTCTTTCTCTCCGCGCAAGCGTCGAGCCGGTCCTGACATTGTATTGTCGAGGTAGGGAGCCGTTTGCATTTCTATGGACTAGGTTCGAGACTGAGTCAGTACAGATAAACACTCAGAGATTTGGAGTACTTGCTCGAATTCATGCCGTCAATATCCGCAAGGGTGTCAGCGATGGAGGACGCATTGACCTTCCTCTTAAATTTGGATGGGACTTGCTGTCAGGATGTCGCCGTGGTAGGGTACGACAGTGTCTTGCAGAACGAGGTACATTTACATCGATTGCAGGCAATCGGTTGCTGAGCGTTCCACAGGATCCAGAAATGAACGCCGAGTCATCAAAGAATTGTGCAGAGACCACGGGCGTGCCTACGCGTATTGCTACGATTCCCGCTGAGACTCAAGGCGTCAAGCGTCGACTCGTCGACCGGGAGAACGACGGACTCGAAGATGAAGGTGAATCAAGAAGATGCAAGGCTACCAAGCGGCCGAGGCTTCGGGCAATAGAAAAAGTGATACAAGAGTCGCGCAGTGATACCGCCACGAAACTCAAGCACCCATACAGAATCAGACTCACTAAGATGCGGGTGATGCTCGACAATGGGGTCGGCGGTTGCTTCGACCAAATGAACCACCGGCCTCTTGAATCAAGATGGAGAGGGAAAGCGTGTCTCGTCCATCCACATACCAGACCTAAGGCGAACTTGGGGAAGGGAACAAGTGGATTTTCAGGTGAGAAACTAGTCGTCTTTTTGTTACAATCGCCCCGAAGCTGAAGCCGTTGAAGAACTCAAGCTCGCTGAGAGTCGTTGAGTACTTGGAATCTGTACGGCCTTGCTACCTCGTCCAACTCTTTAGTCAGTCCTGAATTGTAATCTATTACCTGCTTGCTTGCCAGTCATCTTATCCGATATATTGTGTATAGATAGATGCTTACCTCTTAACGCATTTTTCAGTTCTGCCCCTCAAGGTTGTTAATCCAGTCTCAGATGACCGTTGCGGCGAAGTCGCGAAAATCTCCTAATCGGGGAAGCTACCTTCAATTGATCCCGAAACTCAAATTCGTCCGATGCGCCTTTCTCCACACTCACTCGATGGTGACGCATTCTCATCATGATCCAACGCTATACGACGAAGAATGAAAGCAGCCCATCGTCCCCTAACAATGCCTGTACGAACGCACGGCAATGGCCACATGAAACATAGAGAAGAAAAAAAAAAGAACCCTGGCAAGTTGCAGTCGCATTGGACGAACTCCGCACGAACTCGTCAGTAGCATCCCAGCGCATCATGAAGATATATAGCAGGCGTATCTGGTCAGCAGCAGCCGTTATTAATTGATAGAGGAGGCCCAGCGGTAATTGATGCTTGATCTTTTCATTTCTCGGACAATATCACATTTTCACATTTTCACCCTCCACGGTTGGACAGGACTGGGGATCCCGCCAGGTACATGAGTATAATGACCTGTCTATTTTGTTTTGACGTTTTGCCCATGTTCGTCTTAGATAAAAGATGGGAGGCGATGAGGGTACAAATAAACTGCCACCACGCCGGAAGATAGCGACCTACATCTCCCAGAGCTCTCAGAGCCCGAGATTCGTGAATAAAGCTGGTACCGTCCTCTCGTCTATCCCTTCCTCCAGGGGAGCTCGCGTTCGTTGATGCACGATGGAGGGCGCCTTCGCTTTTAGAGTTGGTCGTTTCTCAAGTTGAGATGTACCGCTATGACGGTAAACCCAAGTCAAAGAGGTCTGAAATTTTTGATCCAGCGCCCCGTTATAAGCTCCGTTCATTATTTTCTAGTGCTGTGCGTCTGACTGCGACTGTCTGTCACGAGATGCAACGGCAACTCACCATACTACTTTTACTTCCTGGACATCATGACGAGGCTGGGGAAGCTACTGTGGAGAACCATAGTCTCCGGTAGCTAGGTACAGTGTGCCTCGATCACTATATCTCCTACCAACAAGATGTAGAACTGTTTCCCGAGAAGCCAATATCAGTCTACGTGATCTAAAGCTTTAGATCCTCCATTTCCTTCAAGAAGATCACTCCGTCATGCGCAACACATTCAGCCAGGGAAATCAGGGACTGTCGAGTTTAAGGATAAGTGTGATAGGCTGCAATAGGATAACACTACGATCGGTCCTCCGGCGAAACGAGTCGAACGACACTTTAGACAGGCGTTATTTTTTGAGTTGCCGCCGCCACCAGGGATTTGCTGATGGTATTGGTACCCGCGCTCACAGCGAAAACATCACCATTCCTTCATGAAAACTACATATGTTTGCGAGTTTCATGATTATCTCTACCTCCTCCCACCTCTCCTGAACATCCCTAAGGAATAAGGCCCGCCATGACATTCGAGTTCACCCATGAGATGGCCGTGATCTCGTGCGTCTCAAACCTCCTATTGATCGAATCGTGGTATTCATGATCTCTTCGTGTCATGTAGGAATCGCCTATGGGCTGTCCCCTCTGCTGTCGGTGCCGGTCTTTGCTTCCTCGTCCTCTTGGTGATCGCAGTCGTCGCAATACACCCGAAGTCGCGATCACACCTCGATCGTGTTAGTTTTCGGATCGTGGTATATGCCCTTACCGCCAAGTACGACAGAGCCTCAGATAGTTCCTCTCGACGACACTAATCAACCTTGTTCACAGCATGATCTTCGGGATTGCCAGTGCAGTTGGTGGAACTGAAACTGGTCCGGGCTTCATATGTGGATTCTCAGTCTTTGTTCTACAGGTGAGTTCTGGTTTTGGATTTGCGACGATCTCTAACGCGCCGTGATGCAGTTGACTCTGCAATTCTCGAGCTGTCTTCTGTTTGCCATTGCCCTTAATCTTCAGTGAGATTTGCGCCCCTATTTCCCTCTGTCGTGCTAAAGACGACCACAGACTCGTCGTTGTCCATGGCTTCAATGGGCTAAAGTTGGAGAGATACTACCTCATCATATCTACTTTCATCGCGATCATCCTGGCTGTGCCACCATACGCTGCTGGACAATACGGGTGAGTTTACAAAGACGATCGCCTCGTACTACCATTCACTCCGACATGTTCGCCGTAGGTGGGATCCCTTGGAACGAGTTTGTTGGTACACGAATGACAACAGACACGACCGGATAATCTGGCAGGTGCGTAGTCCACGCTATGGACTATCGGTCTTCCATGATTAACTGGTTCGCAGGCCACCACACAAATGGGGATGACCTTCCTCACCGTCGTTGGCGAAGTCGTCTGCTCGTCTATCGTTCTTATATTTATGATGAAACACAACGTGAGATACAGCCTTGCTTCGATCAGCCACATGCTCATATCGCGGGTTTTTTTGCGTAGGCTCGTACCAAGAAGCTATTCGTCCCAGTTCGCACATTCTCGGAGACGACCTCAGCATCGGCCGTTGTTTATGCTAATAGACATCGAAGTATCATTATTCGCGTTGGTGAGCTTCAAATCTTCGCGTAGAAATTCCCTGCGAGTCTCATCGGAATTTGCCTCTGTAGCACTCTATCCCGTAGCATCCTGTTGTGTCAATCTTCTGAGTATTGTCACTGCGTTGCATTCGACCATCTCCCATGGTATTCACGATCGAACTGTAAGCCAAATCTATCGTTCATATCTTATCCCGCCGGTCCTGATGCTTCATCTTTGCTCAGGATTACAATGTTCTTCTACTCAGTGAGTTTCAAAGGTGATGGTTCCGAATGTCCATCTGACGCATTGTGTTAGGCGATCTTCTATATGGCGGGCGAGCTATAGTCTACGCGTTACTAGCGGCTTCTGATCCGGTGAATATTTCCCTCTTGTTCATTCTTATACCGAAACTGATCATCGTCAATGTTTCTAGGCTCTTGTACGAGGCGCTAAAGCCCTCATCTCACACGTCTTATATGGTACAGACGGAACGTCAACCTCATCAGACGGGAAGACTGGAACCACAATATCTGGACACGGAATCAGGCCAAGTGAAGTCTTCGTGGAGTTGTCGACAATAACGGCTACCGACAAGATGCCGCAGTCATCTTCCGGCGAAGTCGACGACAACAACGCTACGACCGACATCAAGATGGACCATCCCGACCACCAGCGCCATCACATCGAGAATTTCCTGTCTCAAGGCGAGGGCGGGGATCAATCAAAAGAGCAGCCCGGCAATAGCTATGATGAGGAAGCAGGGAGGGCGCGTGCTGCTGGGATCCAAAGGCGGCGGAGAGAGGCGCAGAAGAAGGACAAGGAGGAACTGGAGGCCTTCACAAGGCAAATTTGACGGGTGGATGCCTCTTTGTATTCGGTTGTATGTATTATTTTTATTTGATACCCCAGGGCGAGAGCGGTGTTCGGATGGCAGCGACGCTATGTTGCCCCGAAGAGACGATGTACTGTAGTTTGTTAGATAGTTATATTCGTATATTCGTACGTTACACTACTACACACAATCATTGTGTTTACGCTTGTGCTAGGTTAGGTTATCATTGTACCTCTAACGTCAATGTTAGTTCTGGAATTGATTTTCGCAGTAACAGTGGAGGCGAAACAACACTTGGGTTGTGATTAATGGCAGTGTCAGACTGCCCTAGTCCGAGTGACATAAGCCCGCTGATGTGGTATCCCTTGGAGCGGCATACTGTCACCTTGACAGTGGCTACCACTGAGAATTCTATCATCGAGCCTGAGTGCACCTATATTTTGAGACCTGGGCCCACCAGTAATACACGACCACCGTGACTGTGGTTATCAGATACATTTCCCATGGTAATAGGGCTCGTGGCCGCCTTAGAGAGAAATTCGTCGGAGACTATGGACTTCCAGATGTTGGTGAGGGCACGTTGCGTTTTCCGTCGAGGGCTATTCCGTAATGGGTTAAAGGAACCATTAAGTAACTCCTAGCTCCTATATATTTATTTCCACAGTCAGAGAAACATTCTCACAGTCAAAAATGGAAGCTCTCGAAATAGAGGCCGTGGTTCTGCAAGCAACAAGCTCAACCCCCACCTTGCCTAGAAAAGCCTCTGCGGCGATTGTACCGTAGATTCTTAGAAATCTAATTCCAGCAAACTCCCCTCTCGCTTGCCCAGAGGCTACCAACATGGCCGCGACTGCGCAATGGGGACCGCTGCGTTCATTATTGACAATTTTCCCCGTGTTATTGGGTTCAATGCTTTTGGCACTCAAGCATCACTACAGTGAGTTTTGCGTTGCTCCTGGGAGAGCCGAAGCTCACTGGCTGGCGACAGACTTACCAACACCAATCCATGACCTTCATGACCCCCTCACTAATTTACCCCAAATCTCTGAAACTCGTATTCTAAGTTATGCTCAGCATCTATCAGAGGACATTGGCTATAGGACAGTTGGCACGTACGAACATGCGCTGGCGGACGAATGGATGTGGCAACAAGCGAACCGAATGAAGGAATTATGCGAGCAAGTAGTTAGGGAAGAGGGACACCGGAAGCTGGAGTGCGAGGTCTGGCGCCAGCAGGGTAGCGGCAGTCATAGGTTCGTAAATCACGTAAATCAGAAGTCCAGGTACCTCGTTTCGTGCTCATCGATGGCCTATAGGTTTGATATGATGGCGAAGCGACTGTACAAGACATACGTCAACCTGACAAACATTGTTGTTCGAGTTTCAGACGGGACACCGGAAGGGAAAGAACACGCGGTCTTGGTAAATTCTCACTTGGATAGTACGCTTCCCAGTCCAGGAGCTGCGGACGATGCCCTTTCTGTCGGTGTTATGCTGGAATGCATCCGTGTCCTCGTAAGTTCACCCGGCTGGTCACCTAAGCATGCCATCGTATTCTGTACGTGCGGCGACTGCCTCGCTGCGATATCCGCTGACAATTTCAAGTGTTCAACAACGCCGAAGAATCTCTTCAGGACGGGTCCCACCTGTATTCTACCCAACACTCCACAGCACCTACCGTACGCGCTGCCATCAATTTGGAAGGTACGTTCGGCCGTTTGTTATGTTTGGATGTGGCTGAAGATCGTACATAGCCGCGGGCTCGACGGGACGGGAGATGCTCTTTCAGGCGACATCGGAGGAAATGATTCAAGCCTATTCTCACGTCCCAAGACCATTCGGTACTATTCTTGCCAATGATATCTTCAGCTCGGGAGTACTTCTCTCGGAGTAAGTGTTATTTCCATGCTCAATGAACGGGCCTTGAACGCGTTGCTCTAGCACTGACTTCCGGCAGTTCGAGGAATATCTTAACGTTGCAGGGCTGGACGTGAGTATTTCGTCTTCGAGCCAGATGCAGTATTGACAAGGACTGTATAGATGGCGGTGGTTGGTAACAGCTATCTGTACCATATGCGAAAGGTGAGCACCCTATACTTTTGGTTGTCCCCATCGCTGACACCTTGACAGGATCTAGTCGAAAACATTCAAGCAGGGGTAGCCCAGGTAAGTAGTAGTTATGCTTGAGCGACGTACCCCTATAACGTCGTCCTAGCACATGGGCGAAAACGCTTTGGCCCTCTTGCAACACTTATCCTCTCCCGATTCGCCCTTGCCTTCACTTACATCGGGATATACAGCCCCATCGACCGTCTTCATCTCCCATACTGGGTTCTTCTTCAGTTGGTCATTTGCGACTGCGAAGGTTTTATATGTTAGCTTCTTCTTGGTACTCATCTACACCGTCCCTTCGTCTTCGAAGGCGAAGTCCGGCGGGCTGGTGCCAGGAATTATTTCCTTAGTTTATGCCGGTATAGGCGCAGTAGTAGTGCCAAACATCGTCGCCGCCATCATGCAATACGGACTCGGGAAGGGGATGAGCTGGTTCTCCAGAGAGTTCTCCACCGTCGTCTTGTTCGGACCCCCGGCGTTTTTAGGTATGCTTCATTAATAACTCCTATGTGTTCGGAGCCTCAATCCTCCTCTTTTCTAAGGCGCTGTGGCTTCACAGCTACTCCTTGCTCCTGTTGATGAGCATGACGCCTTAGCCGCCGTGCTCCTTACACAGTCTTTCTTAGCTGTGGTGATCCAGATGCTGAATGTTGGATCGGCGGTCATGCTCTTCATGAGTGCACTACCGCTCTATTTGACTCTACTCCTCAACCGTCTGATCACTGGCCAAAGGCGAGGCGAGATATCCCTGTGGACATACTCGTTAGGACAATTCCTCCCTCTGCTCAGCAACGTGCAGGCTATGGCTCCAACGCTCGAAGTGTTCGTGCCCTTGGTATGCTGCAACCCGCCTCCATTACAAGCGATCGAAGCTGAAACTTGTGTAACTAGACTGGTCGTCTTGGGGGCCATGTCCCTGCCGACAATGTGATTGCTACGCTCGTTTCGGTCATGGGTGCCCAGCTGGTCCCTCTTGCCCTTCCTTTCTTCCACAGATTCGGCCGTCCGTTCTTGGTCCGCGCGACAGGCCTGTTTTTCACCGTGACCGTTGTGACCATGGCCGTTTTCGCTATGCGTAAACCGTTCGACGAGATGCACCAGAAGCGTATTTTTGTCTTACATTTGGAGAATGTGAGAGTCTGAATGGTCAGCGCCCGCACAAGTACTAATGCTCAATTTGAAGATCACCTCCCAAGAACAACACTTACATATTGCTACCGCTGATGGCGCCCCAGGGTTTGACTTGCTTGCAAATAGTATAGCTGGGTTGTTCACTGGGAAGGAGGAAGCATTGTCGTTGGAGGCCATGCATGATCACAATCCGAATTGGGATCCGTTATTCCCTTTCTCCGCCGTGAGTCCTTTCTGCCCTCCTTTGTTGCAGATGATCTGACTTCTTCCCGCAGTTTCTGACCCCGTATAAGGTCGACCTCGTTGTCGACCCTACTTACGTCTCCCCTTGGGCCTCTGGAAACACTTTCACGGTGTCCGCCATCAACGACGTAACAGACTTCGCCCAGGGCACCAGAAGTTTCACACTCCGAATATACCACCCAGGTGTCATTTGGACTGGTAATTGCGCCATCCTAGTATCAGTTCCCGTCACTAATATTTGTCGTTCGTAGTCATTGCTTTCGACGCTCATGTATTGAAGTGGACACTTGATGACAACCCACCCGACGAATTTGCCCGTCACCACGTCAAGGAAGCTTCATTCTACGGGATCGACACGTGGTCTGTGGACATGGTCATTAAGCTACCTGACTCCTCGTCCTCATCCAGTCCGCCAAGCGGTGCACTGAAGGTCGATTTCAACGGGATCCTTGAGAAGGGAATGTGGCCCGGGAAGAAGAGTGTTAAGGAGCAAGGCGGCGCCGCGATGAAGGTATTCGAACGACTTGATGGGTGGTTGGACCAAGAGACAGGAGGGACTGTCGATGCTACTCTTCTTGGATGCGTCGCCGGTGTCATTGTCGTCTAATATCCGTCGGTGGTATATAATATGGAACAATCTACTGTTGGGTATCTCCCTGTGAATAGCATCAGATTCCGCAATGAATAATGGACACTGCACTAGCCCGACACAGGTTAGGAGTCGCCCCCTCTGGGTTCACTGGACAAATTGAAAACACGATATCTCTCGGAGAAGGTCATCATTGTCCGTTGAGTGCCTTCAAGAAGTCTGACCGAACAGTGGCAACCAATCCTAGTACGCTGGAAGATGCATCACACCCACGGCTCCCGGTAGTCGTGTGTTGACCCCTGGTAGACCCTACGTCCTAAAAGCTCAAGTGCATCGTTGATTGCGCTACGGCCAAGGCGACGACGTCTATTTCAGGGGATATCGCATCGGCGGGTTTATGGTACTCAGGCTAGGACAGTCTGAGTTCATAGACGCCACTGCCAACAATTACAGCCCAATTGTCGTTTCGCCTCTGCTGGCGCGACATTGTACTCTTTTGGGGAATAGTGACTACCCGACAATGACATCACCCCATGCACTTCACTCAGGGTAACTGAGCAGCCCTGGAATCGATGCACAAAGCCATTGTCTTGGGCATAGGGACGTAAGTAAAATAGGAGGACGACAAAACATTGCACCTGTCCTTCGGCCTGAACCGAGTAACGCGGTCGTTGTGTTCTGAGATCAAGCTGGCCAATCGTTGTTCTCAAATCAGACGCCCCGAGGGAATATTGGCGCACTCACCTGATCAACTTATCCCCACTAAGTCGTCGACGTCGTGGCTGAGCCTGGGGGACGGACGGATCAGACGCTGAACGAGTACAGCCTCGAGTGAGCCTGAGTGAAACCTAATCGCTCACTCCCGTGGACGCCCTTGGAAAAAAGTAGCGAACAAGCCAAGCCGCTTTGAATTCAGCACGACTAATGAATTCTTTGCCTCGCGGTTGATAGTGCCTTGGTGGGCTACATCGAAGATGTGTAGACTTTATTCTCTTCGATGCTTTCTCGAGAGCCTCCAAGTCTGAGGAACATGGTCGTCAACACCGAGCACAACGCAAAGTCAAAAGAATGCTAGAGAGGTAAGTTACCACCGGATCAGCGTATCCGATTCCATTCAGTCGCCGTCATTGGTGCGGACTCAATACTGATGAAGTACTACGTAGGTGGTTTAGTGGGCGACAACGTAAGTCATTTGTATAGACGATGGAATCAATTGTTTTGCACTCACGATCCCGAGACTAACCCCAACGCCGGGGGTGTGTACCCACGATTGCGCGGACGTTCAGCCGCCAAGTCCACCAGACATCAGCAAGACGTCTTGTTGTGCCTTTGAGACTGCATGCATGGAGACATTATGAATCGTGTCACTAAGCCGAGTACACATAGTGCCTGAATCATGGCCGCGAATGCCTCGGCTGACGCGTACGCAGGATCTGTGCACGGCAAGTTGTTGTCCATGGTTAGCTGATTAAATCTGATTAGCGGTGTTGTACATACAAAGGTCTAGATCAAGTGGCATCCGCCGACCACCGACCGCGATTACGAATCCATTTGGCCATCTTTACGGATGAAAAAGATAGTACCTTGATAGTAGAAGGAATCTGTAGAGGGATGAGGGATTAATGCCTTTAATGTAGCGGAGTGTCGGCGGTTGCCCACAAGCCGAGTCCTTGGAGCTTCCCGAGCTGATGAAGAAATTTGCCTGACAGAGAGAACTGTCAAAGACACGCCTACTTCTCAACGTTGTAGCTGAATCTCTGGTACCTTAGAAGTGGCAAGTCCTAGTTGACTCATGGTGCAGACTTGGTCCAAGTTCGTGGGAAATGCCTGTTACTGCGGCTTAGGGCGTGATCGCGCGACGGTTCCGATTGTATCAAACATTCTTTCGTTCATATTTGTAAGGTTCATATCTTTTACAAAATTCCTTCATCCTAATACATTTCAGAGTAATTGCAGCGTCCGAACGAAAATGTGGCTCGCTTCCTTGGACCTGACGCCCTGCGTGTGTTCGTGTCACGGTCCTTGTAAGGCTTGTAAAGGTCAATACACCGCACGGTCGAACGGAGTCGCCGATACCAACTTACCAGCTAGAATCCAATGGATTTCGCGTACGAAGTAGTGGTCACTGTATCAGGTACAATGATGCTTGGACTCTGGGTCCAAACCACTTCGACCGTTCGGGTGACGATGAATGGGGACTCGCTGATAATTTCATTGACCAAGCGCTGTGCGGTGAGCACAGGAAGATCTTGAGAAACCTATGTGAATATGTGGGTGAGTATGTGCTCGCTGCTGAGGTACACTACTTACGGCGAACCCAGCAAGAGCGCAGATGACAATAGAGAGAACCTTGATCATTGTATGACAGAAGATGGCGATGGCGACGTCTCTTGGGAATGGATTTATGGGGTGCTCTTATTTGTATTGTTTCTCTCCTTATTTTCTCTCTTTTAATTTAGTCGTTTAACTGTCTACAGGAGATCCGAAGGCGAAATTCATCTCAGATAGATATCTGAGCAGTTATCGCCCGCTCTCATGCCACTGTTTCCCGCAGTACCGAAGCTCGGACGTCCTGCATTCTCTCAGATCGACGTTCAGGACAGGCCTTGGTTCAGGGACAGTCCATCCTGGTGACCCTAACCGCGTCAAATGGAACGGGTTTCAGTTACTACCCTTCACGTCTATTTTGCCTTCCGCCTTTTCGTACCCCCGGGTTCTGTTCCTTGTACTTAGTTTCTGGTGTGGCACCGGTGCTCAGCCGCCTTCCTCTCGCGACTGTCAAAGATTGGTCAGTTCGATGATGTTATCGTTTACGGAAATCTTTCTGTTCCACCCGGGCATGCTCTCATCGATTATTGCCCTGTAGACATAAATACGCGGCTCAATTGCGAGGTAGAAACCCATCGACTTCGAGTCGAGTCACTCACGCCATGCGCACATTCTCCCGCTTTCTCGCCTCGCTGACGCTCTTCCTCTGGCTTCAGTCGGGGGCCAATGCTGTCGAGACCATAGGGCCTACGGGCAATATGCGCATTGTGAACAAAGTGGTCTCCCCCGATGGCTTCAGCCGCTCGTAAGTACTTTAGCTCAACGATCGGTGCCCGTACTTAGCATCATAAACTAGCGCCGTCGTTGCTGGCAAGACTACTGCCGGAGCAACCAATCCAGGTGTCCTTATTCGCGGCTGGAAGGTGCACGGCATTCTACACCTATGGCGCTCGTTGCTAACGCCCCCTAGGGCAACAACTTCAAGCTGAACGTTGTCAATGAGCTCACCGATACAACAATGTTGAAGACTACGAGTATTGTATGATTCCGCATGTATACCATATTGCCACACATTTGACTAGCTCTGATCTATAGCACTGGCATGGCTTCTTCCAAGCCGGTACGTCGTGGGCTGATGGTATGTCACTGTGTATGCTACGAAGGTGATACCTTGCTCACACTCTGTTGTCAGGACCCGCCTTCGTCACCCAGTGCCCAATCGCTGCTGGAAATAGTTTCCTGTATGGATAAATTACACGGCGATGCAGATTTTATCTCACTCTTGCTTACCCCAGGTACGACTTCAAGGTTCCCGATCAAGCTGGTACATTTTGTGAGTTGATTTTGGTTTCATCTCGGATTATGGGTTTTCACAACGTTTCGTTTTGTAGGGTACCATTCGCATCTTTCGACTCAATATTGTGATGGACTCAGAGGCGCTTTCGTAGTGTAAGAAACATCGCAAGGGCGTGGACATATCACTGATTTTATAATTTGATAGATACGATCTATTCGATCCGCACAGGCTCCGCTATGATATAGACAATGGTGAATATAGTGCAGTTGTATTTAATTCTCCGCTAACACTCCCAAAATAGCGGATACTGTCATTACACTCGAAGACTGGGTAGGTTAGCCTCCGTACCGCAATGAATGCCTACTGATGAAACTTAGTATCATGTCGTGGCCCCACAAAATGGACCAATCCCTACTCCCGACAGCACGCTTATCAATGGATTGGGCCGCTATGCTGGTGGACCCACGTCTCCACTAGCTGTAGTCCGTGTACTTTGGGGTTTGAGATATCGCTTCCGATTAGTATCTTTATCGTGCGACCCCAACTGGACGTTCTCGATCGACGGCCACAAGCTCCTGGTTATTGAAGCTGATGCAGTCAATGTCCAACCTGTTGAAGGTATGTTTCATATACTGACAACACAAACACATTCTGAATCATCTTGATGTAGTGGATAGCATACAAATATTCGCAGGTAAGTTGCATGCCCGTTGGCTCTAAGATTCGGATCCCTGAATACCTCACAATAGGTCAAAGATACTCGTTCGTGTTGAAGGCAAACCAGCAGATCGGGAATTACTGGATTCGTGCTCAGCCGAACCTGGGGACAGTTGGTAAGTCCTTTCAATGCTCGACAACGTGCAATCTTTAATCTCCATCAGGCTACGTTGGTGGAGTCAATTCTGCTATATTACGGTACATCTTAGCACCCAATGCCGACCCAACGACAACCGAACCAGCGAGCCCTGTCCCCCTCTTGGAAACTGATCTCGTCCCTCTTTCAAATCCTGGTGCACCCGGACCCCCTGTGCCTGGTGGAGCAGACGTTAACATCAATCTTGCCTTAAACTTCGACTTTACTACTTTCGAGATGACCATTAACGGTAAGCCATGTCTGTCCTTGTCTTTGTCTCGCGTTTGTTTATAGATGGCCATCAAGGTAATCCCTTCCACCCTCCCACCGGTAAGTGTAACGATCCTTGTTTCACCTTCCGTTGTTCTGAACCTGTTTTCATAGCGCCCGTCCTCCTCCAGATCCTTTCTGGCGCGGTCACTGCAGCTTCTCTTCTACCCGCTGGGGGCGTTTACGAGTTACCACCAAACAAAGTCATCGAACTTTCGATGCCTGCGTTAGCTGTTGGTGGCCCCGTAAGTCAAGCCCATTCGCGCCAAGTACGGTTTACTCAACAAATTTTTACTTAGCACCCTTTCCATCTTCACGGTGTAAGTGCGTTTGTTGGAGCTTCTGGACGTCTATATTGAGACCTCGTGCAGCACACTTTCGACGTCATTAGGAGTGCCGGGATGACTACCTATAACTTCGACACTCCGGCACGACGCGATGTCGTCAATACTGGTGTCAGCACAGATGATAATGTCACTATTCGATTTGTAACTGACAACCCAGGACCTTGGTTCCTCCACTGGTAAGTCTTGAGGTTATCTCCCAATGACCGCTTTCTCACCATGCACGCGTAGCCATATTGACTGGCATCTTGAGATGTACGTCTCTCTCTTTCCAATCTCAGAGATGTATTAATGTTTGTTGCAGTGGTCTTGCTGTCGTGTTCGCGGAGGACGCGCCATCCGTTAACACCGAGAACCCTCCAGGTAAGCTAAGCTTTACTCGTTGATGGTTTTTTGCTAAGCCTAGCTTGGCAGCATCTTGGGATGCACTGTGTCCTATCTATGATGCACTCACCGACGAGGAAAAAGGCGGTTTGCTCCCAACCTAGGTATCTGAGTACGAAAGGCATGAATGGGATCAATTCGGGACGATCGCTTTCGTTGGTTTTCACAAAGAATGTAACTGAACTTATCTGTATGAATACGTAGCACGATGATTCACAGCGAATATTTATGATATGTCTTGTTGCCAAAGTCACCAGAAAGACCATTCCTGCGGGTGCTAGAGGGATGCCAACCCAAGGCGAGGTGCGCGTCGGTGGAGGGCCGACAGTAGACATATGATTGCCTTCTTGATGAGTCCATATGTATATCACACACGGCTTTTGTTAAACCGTCGTAGGAAGTTACAACAGGAAGTTAATTCCAATAGCTTATTTAGTACACGAGTAATGTAATATTATACAAGTAATATTATACGAAAGGTCCGCCATTAAATTTGCCGCGTAAATGCCTCAAGCTCTTCCTTGTCCTTCTTCCGTGCTTCTCTCATCCGGTTCCGAAGACCTCCAGAGCGCACTCTGGCTACCTCCACATCGTAGTTATTGTTATTGGACGTGGCATCGGGGTCAGCATCCGATAAATACTTCTCATGATGTGGTTGGCGATCGCGATGATCTTCGTCTTTGTGGTCGCCCATAGCACGACTTGTATCGGCCTCCTCGTTCGGTAGTTTGTCTGTTGCCGTAATCGTTGAGAGTTCGACGAATACCTCGTTCGGGCGTAGATCTGGCTCGGTATATGTGGTTGATCCACCCTTCATGCCTGAGCTTGTTGTTCCTTGCGTATCGCCAGTTACATGTGAAACCAACGCTCGGACGCCACGAATAAGGGCCTATTTGAGGACGAGGTCAAGCAAAGCTGGGGAGGGCCGCAAAGGGAAAAATAGGGGGTTAAACGCACTGGATCGGAAGCCGCAAGTAGGGCGTACACTATAGCGCGTCCACCGTAGAGGGTATCACCTGTAAATCTAGTGTTAGACGTACATGTTAGGGTGCTAGTGCCGCGTTACGTACTGAGTAAAAGAATGTTATAGTCCTGCGGGAGAAGCGGGAAAGCATGAGTGTCAGCGTACGCGAATCAGTGAGGGGTTTGGATTTACTTACGGTTCGATCGTGTATACCGTTGGATAATGTTGAATGCAATGCAGTTGCGACGCTGAGAAGATTTACGCAACACGACGCAATTGGGTAGAGTCCTGACGAATAGATTGTTGAGAACTACGATGCAACGAAGAGCCACCAAGCCGAACTCACCAATACGGAAGATAATGTTCCTGTGTCTGTTTGCGATAACGACACCTGACGCAGTCGTTGTCTCCGTGAACGTACGAACGGGAACGAATATCTTCCTTGTGCGGGCCTACCCGGAAACACGTCGTCAGTGTGAAGACAACAAACATGATGTTTGAGCTTACGTTGTGTCTCATCATGAATACGAGAACGACAATGGAGCATGTTACTTCGCCAATAACGGTGATAGCAGTCCATCCCATTTGCGTGGTCGCCTATTCAGCAGAGTTAACGGACAAGGGTATAAAGACAATGTAGGCCACGCACCTGCCAAAGAACTCGCTCGTGTCTGTTATCGCTGGTGTACCAACAGACGCGTTCCAAAGGATCCCATCTGAGAAACCAGTTGAAGAGTCTTGATACACTTTGAAGTAGTTGGTGGCACTTACCCATATTGCCCAGTAGCATATGGTGGTACCGCTAAAACGATCGCAATTACAGCGGAAACGATGAGGTAATATTTCTCCAATTTCTGCCCGTTGAGTCTATGAACGATGACGAGCCTGTAATAGTCTTCAGCGGGGCGCAAGAACCAAAGGTACTGAATCTCACTGAAGGTTGAGGGCAATGGCAAAGAGAAGGCAGCTCGAAAAATGCAGAGTCAACTGCACAATAAGTCAACAATTACAGGTATACTCCGGGTGGGGCTTACCTGTAGGATGAAGACGGAGAATCCGCAGATGAAGCCCGGGCCAGTCTCGCTTCCCCCAACCGCACTGGAGATTCCGAATATCATACTATTGACCAGGGCAGTCAGCGTCGTATGGTGAGATCATTCGAGGTTCCGAGTCAGGCGTACTTGGCGATAAGGGTGTATACGACGATCCGAAAGCTTACACGATCAAGGTATGATCGCGACCTTGGATGTATCCCCACAGCTGCGATCACCAAGAGGACGAGAAAGCAAAGACCTGCGCCGACGGCGGAGGGGACAGCCCAGAGCCGGTTCCTGACCAGCGTTAGTCAGGTTCCTGTAATCTATTGAAAAGAGTTTGTCAAGGTTTACTTACGAGACCATGGCCATCTCATGGGTGAACTCGAATGTCATGGCGAGTTCTGACGCGGGGTTCGGGGGTGATGGACGGTGCAGAGGTACATGCGTAGACTTGTGAACATATGTAGTAGGTTTGGGCGTTGTTATTTTCACCACAAGTGTGGAGTACCACTGCCATCAGGAAATTCCCTGGTGGCGCAAGTCGCCCACGGGGGCGGCGGACTAAAAATCGTCGCTCAGAATCATGCCTGTCAGAGTTGTCCGACTTGTTTCGCCTTTCGGCGCAACGACGGTTGCGTTATCGTAGCTTATCGTATGTGTCTTGAATCACATTCCCCGTGGCTGCGCAATTTGACGGATTATAGATTGAGAAATCTACAAGAAACATTGGAGGAAAATAAAGCGAAACATACCTTTATCGCTACTTCATGTTACTAATACTTGTAATGGTTAATACCTTGCCGACGCGTATGACCACTTGGCGGGACCTGTTACCAGCGGAATCCTGGCTCCTGTAGACCCGGTGGTACAACGGTACTCGGTAGTTATACGTACTACGTCTTCTGAGCGTAACGGAAGATACCGTACGACTAGGCGCCTTGCCGGGTTGCTATTTATAAGTCCTTGACATGACACTGAACGTACGGTACCTGTGTTCAAAATTCAAGCAGTGAGCATTTCGACAGTTCGACATCCCCTTCATGGAGCATTCGCCGTCAACGTTGTTACTACAATCAAATTGCTGGTTGTAAGTATCTCGAATTGGGGTCACTACCATGTATCAACGAATAAATTTATCGACACAGCTTCTTCAAGCTTCAAACTTCTTCACCTGTAGGAGTCACTTGTGCCAGCGTTAAAATGGGTTTGTCGAGAAGTTTGGAAATTGGATGGCAGCCTGAAGGCCCCTGTTCGCTCCCATTTTCCTCGATAGGGACTCGTCAATCCGGCGTAACTGCCTTTGTTCTGGGACTCGGCAACACCGTACATGACTATAATAGACGACATCACACCATCAATGTCCCGCAACGAATTGGCACTGCAAGCTCGCGCTAACAGGGAATCACGGCTTGGAAGCTCGAGGGTGCATGCATGGATCAGTGTGGGTCCACTGCGGTGTGCTCGTGCGTCGATAAATTTCTAGGTTCGGACTACTAGAGAAGCTAAGCCATCTTGTATCTTGAATCTATCTTACTGACTTAGATTCGGTTGATTATTGAAGTCTATAGGCATATGAGTCATTGTATTAGCTGATGGTTCGCTATAAGCTAGCCTCAAGAATTATCCTTGCGTAAATACTTACATCGTATCGGTCCAACGATTAGGTTCACATGGATGAAGACTGGGTTGAACAAAGTCGACGCTCCTATTCCCCAATGCATCACGTGGGTCTTTCTTGTTCACAGGCAAAATTTCAGTCTCTCACCCCGATTGCTCGACGCTAGTAAGTGTATCGTGTTCCACACATCACCAGCAATCGCGGCAACTCACACTGTACTCAATAAGAGGGCCACATGCTTGCTATGCCAGTCATTGTGTATGTTTTTACTCCCCCAGTTTTACGATCGCCACTGATGTATAATCATTTTACAGAATTTCGTCTATTTACTGCGGGGTGAATAGATTGAGGGTTGACGTTGTGCTTGCAGCGAATGTACCGACTTGCTCGAACATTGCTAGGTATCCTGAGGACCGACCAGAACGACAACAGCTAATAGAAGGCAGAAGGTTCAGAACCCCAACTTCGTGTCCTATTGCGAGACAAACCATCGACGCATAAGGTATATATGATTCATATGGTCTACTTCGGTACTGATGTTTTCTGAGTATAATGATCCATAGACGTATTCCAAATACTCTCAAGACAATGTGGATCTATCGTTCTATCACTTCTTAGGTTCTCCAAAGTCAATTTGGCAGGCTTCCCTCCAGCTGATACCTTGAGCCGAACACTCCCTCTTCGATCGCTTTAATCTCTGCGTAAACAGTCAGCCACAACTCGTAGCGTCCTAAAAAAAAATAGGAAGTATACTCACGAAGGGCAAGATGCTTGGAGTGGAAGCGACACAATGCCAGATTCCCTGTACGAATGGAGTGATTGAAGTAAGGCTCCTCGACGAAGGACGGAACTTACCGGTCATAAACCACATGTTTTGAACACCCACGTCCCGCCAGGCTCCGTATATCTCCCCCTCCGGGTCCAGTCCCCATACTCTTCCTACCTTCCTCGACACCTCTTCGTCACACACCGACCTCATAATACTTCTACTATCACCTAGGCTAGACGCGATTCAATGTTAACATCTTGTCCGTGTCTTGGTAGGCTATGCATCGTACCCCGTGGCGAACAAGACGACATCGGCATTCAACTCACTACCATCGTCGAACTTGAGGCCTGTCTTGGTGAAACACTCGATATGAGGTCCGCTTTTGAGCTTGATCTTTCCGTCGATGATCAGCTGAGAGGTGCCGACATCTAGCCCCCGGTTGCACCGTCATCACTAGAATGTCTGTAGTAATCGGTGCTGAACAGACCTAGATAGTACCCTCCTGCTTTATCCCAAGCTAATAAACCGGAGCCTGCATTCTTATATCCAAGGTTAGTTCGAAACCCAACTCTCTTCAAACCATCTAATAATTCCCTTGACACGCCCAATTAGCAGACGGCAGTCAAAGCCACGAGCGGGAGTGCTTACTTGTCGGCCGCAGCGATTTGTTGTACCTGACGCCTTGATATATCAACTACGAGGGAGTTCGGGAACGACGCGTTTAATCTGTCGGCGACGTCTACAGGTGGAGCGTCCTCTGAGTACAACGCTACGGTTTCCACTAAGCTAGGTGTATCTTTCATTAGAGGTACCAGTGGTCTCACCGTCCATTAGATACTTCCAGCCATTCGCGATGCTCATAATGTAGGTCGAACTTCTCTGGAACATCGTCACGTCTAGGCTACGCATCAGCAGGAGCCCAAACTCAATATCTCGGAAGCATTCAGGCTCACCAACGCCTTTCTCGTAGTAATTAGCGCAGATATCGTGTGCTGCAACGAGAATGTACTTTAGGCGTAACAAACGCCCGACACGAGTACGGACCTGAACTGCCCGACCCGATAACGACGACCTTCTTCCCAGTGTGATCGGTGGCTGTATTGTGTTGCGTCGAATGCAGGGTTTGTCCTTGGAAGACATCCTACAAACTCCCATTAGGCAGGACTCGCCATAAGGACACTCGCCAGACATACCATGCCAGGATACACCGGGAGGTTGCCCTTACCGCCTCCTATCCCTGTCGCAAAGATCACATGGTTGACCTTGAAGGTTCTATCGCCGTTTGCTCGCCGAACTGTCACCATCCACTTCCCGGACGATTTGTCTTGAACCACCTTTTCTACTGAAGCCGACGTCCAGACGTTCAGCTCCATGATTTCTGCGTAGCCTTCAAGCCAATTGGCCAACTACAAAAGGATGAGTAACACGTGGAGCTAAGTGGTGCGTAACGACCGACTTTCTTTGACGGGGCGTACACAGGCCAAGTCGACGGGAAACTAGGTTGGCCTCGATCAGCGTTGCTCAGGCATATCAAAGCTCGCGATAACGTACGGCAGATATGGCATGTGGTCGTACCCTGCACGTACGTTCAGGTTCGCGATCCATGAGACGGAAGACACACGCACAGACGGGATCATGCAGACACAACGCCTCGTATCTCTGCCTCCAATTGTCCCCAATCCTCGGATTCCGCTCGACGACCAGGGCACTCACCCCCAGGCACTTCAGTCGGGCCGCGACCTCCAGCCCACTTTGTCCGCCTCCTACGATCAGGACCGTCGGCTCCCCATCTTCGAACGCGACTTCCCGCCGGCGGTCGGCTTCCCATTTGCCATGGTTCGGAGCCGGGTTGCGTAGCGGGCCTATTTTCTCGGGGAAACCCTTCAGGTCTTCGAGGTTGGTGAACATCGCATGCGCCTTCCACCCCTCGCTCGCTGTGGGGACCAAGCGAACGATGCCGGAGCATATGCCTACGCCGGTATCGAAGCTAAAGAAAGCTTGTATCCATGCTAAATCCGGGTACGGGGTCTGCAGCCCGACAGAGGATGCGTCGAGCTTGAAGCTGTGGGGTTTCGCGACAGACAGACGGTCGTTGAGGAATGTCCTGATCTTCTCCCTTCCCGCGAAGGTGCGAAAGTCCCAGGTGAGTGATAAGATGTCCCTCCAGGCAGAATGGTCCAGGAATAGATTAGCGACGGCGTCAGCGTCTCCTGACTCTACCAACGAGGCGAACGATCTGAACCATTCGGTAGCGACGTGTTTCGCGTCGAGGTCAGCGGGGACGGCGGCTCCTAGCGTGTCCAAGGTGGGGAGAGGTATCTCGACTTCAAGAGGCATCTGGGGTGTGTGGAGTCCGGGTATCGAGCTGCACCATCAATTTAAGTACGTGCATATTTGCCCCTGGCGTCAGGGCTATTAAAAGTTGGGACAAGGTTTGGGTTCGGCACAAGAAAGGACGGGCCCTCTCACGTGTCGTCCCTACCTGCTTCCGGGCACTGTAGGTTCTCCGTTTATCCTTCTCTCCCCGTGGTGCCCTGACAGACACCTACGTGAACGCTGCATCAGAACATCGAAAACACCCATTGTTACGGAAACTAGTTTAAATCCAAGTTATCACCCCTCGCTTTCAACGTGCGTCGGCGGTTTCGTTGCTATCTTTGCATGTTCGAGTTCACAGCAGGACCCCAATGCCGACAGGCCGTTCTAGAAGGAGACCATGGGACGTGGGTTTCGTTACAGGGCGATAGATAAGTGCATCCTACAAATACACTCTTACTACCCCCCGGAGAGTTGCATGACGTGCCTCCATTGGTGGTTAACGCGATGCGAGCATGTGTCATTGGATGAGCGTGCATGCCTCTCTGTTGCGGTACGACAGGCATAGATGCTGCGGCAGCAAGTACAGCAACGGGAATCGGATCGGGCTGGGGAAACATCGCAAAAGTCGGGTCTGTCGAACAATCTACTTGGGCTTTGTCGATTAAAGCGGTCCCCTATTTCACTCTTCTCTTCTTAGAATACGTTTGTCATCACGTATGCCGGACAGTTCTTCTCGGTTCCGGGGCCAGAAGTACAGGGCCAGCCACCGAACCTCGCGAAGTCTGTTCGTGTACTAAGTACACCATCGTCACTGAGTACACCATCGTCACTGAGTACACCACCGTCGCTGAGCACTGAGCGCTGAGTGTTCGCTGGCATGTAAAAACGTCTTCTCATGCCCAAACCCAACATTCACATTCATTCCACCCGGGGTGCTGGGTGCTGAGCGCTGAACGTTGAGCGCTGAACACCAGACAGCCCGATCTAAGCACCTGATCATCCAAATATTCATGCCTCCACTTCCCTTCCCCTTGGGCATACTCCGAGGTTCCTCGCCACTTGCATGATTGCATCACCATTCACGCCCGATGAGACACTAGAAGCCGCCTTCTGAGTCCGAGATGCTTTCTCCGTCCCGATAGGTAGATAGGGATCCCGGTATACATTGTAGGCGCAGCGGACAACCTGAGTCACGCATCGGAGAAAGAACATTGGAGAAAGTACGAGCGATTTACACCAGTCGTCCACGGAAATCGAGAATGGCACACATAACATAAGCCATGAGCTGAAGCGTACAAGTTGCCAACGCGCGTCCAAACGCGCTTTTGGGCCGGGTCTTAGTCCCAGTTCCGGCCATTGTGAGGTGCAGCAACGATGCACTAGGTACATAGCCCTTCGATCCAACGGGGAGGACAGAAAATGCTAGTCCTTTAATTTAACGTGTCTCGCGTTGGCGCAAACGGCGGGACGCCCCTAATCCCTCCTAAACGACTCCTGATGTACTTCGTTTCTTCCTTCCGTCTCCCCATCTCCCAGTCGTCCCATTGATATTCCCAGAGTTTGAGCGCAAAAAAAGGGGACAGCGTTGAAACGTTGACCATTCAATATTAAATATTCAATACTCAATATTCAATATACCAGTACTCATTTTCTTTGTTCCGATTGTCACCATGGAGGTTATGCCAGAGCCCGTCTAATGGGGTCGTGCTTCTCCACTCCACTCTCGAAGTTCTGGAAGGGACTAAAGACCATTAAAGTATGCTATCTCACAAATTCCACCCTCCTGATTACTCCTAAATCATTGCTGATGCCAGACTGAGGTGCAACGTCTCGCGCGTTCACTTGCCGTTCGCTGTACCCTCTCAATCTCCACAGCTTCTCATTAATAATTGATCACTGAACAGACGCAGCAGTGAAGAAGACTACTGTATCAACGCGCGAAGGGCGCGTGCGATCCACAACTCCCCTGCGAAGTCTGCGTAACGACATATAGTTTCGCCCGCTGCGTTAATTAGATCAAGGCGCTCGCGATCCTTCTCAATCTTCGCCTTGCATTACCTTGAAAGCATTCTGTGACTGCGTACTTCGCTTTTACTTCAACATCTCAGGCCTCAAGGCCTCAAGGTGCAAGGTACAGAACAAGTACGTGTCCGTGTCTAGATGGCGGCATATGTTAACATTAACATTATCTACTGCATAGGTAGCGGATATATGAATCGTGATTCGTGGGGGGAGCAAGAACGCAGAGTCCGGGGTAATACAGGTGCGTACTCGTATACAGTCGTGAGTTCAAGAAACATAACTCGCTTTGCACGTCGTGCTAGTCGCTTTAGCTGTGACGGAATCCACCGACGAAGCTCTCGTCTTTTCCCTAAGATGATTATCATGAGCGATAGAGGAGCTCGTGATGTATATGCTAGGGCTTACGGTGGTATGCGCTGCAGCAGGAGCGGTAGGAGGTGGGCCAGGGGGCTACATCGAGAGTTAGCCATGCTGTTCAATACCCCGTAGAAGGGGGGGGCTCACAGGAGCGAATTCAGTGTACTGCGGGGCGACCTCCTTATCGGGGCCACCAGGCGCACCATGAGGCTACGAAGTATATCCCAGTGAATATCATGGCTCCATCTCACATATACACACTGAAGCTACTCACCGGCTGATATTGCTGGTAATTCGAGCCAACGCCTGGGGCGCCTGGGGGCGGCGGGTACGGGCCGTGCGGCTGATACGGCCCTTGGGTGTGGTTCATCGTCGTCGGGAGAGGGGTGTTCTGTTGCCGACCTGGCCGACCGAACGGCATGACGGCGAGCCCGCGTCGACGGCGGCGTGTCATCATACACAACAGCACGAAGAGCAGTATCCCAGCTACCACCCCTATAGATCCAAATACCGTCAAGTCATGACTTCACTTGAAGAGAAGACGGTGCTCACCGACGACGATCCCCGCTATCACGCGCCCCGTTGTAGTTCGCCGTCTAGGATAGTAGTACTGCGCGTTCGCCGATAGGAACGTCTCGCTCAAGGCGAGGGCAAAGGCGAGGCCGAACGGTGAGGTTATGGATTTTGGCATAGTGGTACTGAGGATATCGTAGATGCATCGCCCGCCAGCCTGTCGAGGTCTATATACTCGATTGTGGGGCTGGAATAGCCCCTACGTCACGACGTTACGCTTATCATTCGGGTCACGCGTCGGTCACGTTTCCAGTGGCAGCGCCTCTCGACATGACTTCGACTCCAAGCTTGATGTTTGCTCCGAATTGCATCGCCATGCTCGCTGCGCGTGAATCAGCCGGCGCGCAGTGAAGGCTATGCGTGTATGTTACATCGTATATGGTATGTTTCTGTTCATGTTATTCGTGTTATGCACATGTAGCAAATCTGAATGTCGTTTCCAAGTTCGAACTTCGAGCAAGGCAAAGAAAACTAAGCGCGGAATCCTCCAACAAAATTTGGGTCATTATTTCCCTGATTTTGAATATTTCAGTCAGCTTCGCCGCTGTGATGCTAGGCGGAGATCAAGCTTACCGCCATGTGGGCTTGCGGTGGTTGGCCAATAGGCTGAAGATTCGACGGTAAGCTCTACGTCCTGCCTTTCATATGTGTTCACTCATCGCTCCGTAGCTCTGATTGTTATTGGTGTGCTGCGACGTAGTTCGATACCCAATACTACCGGAAGACGAAGAAGGTTCACTCACAAGACCCCCGATGGCATGGCCGGCTTGGTACATGGGTTGTTGCTGCACGCCCGCGTTTCTGCCTTTCCTACCAAAGAATCCGCCGCCTCCCATGGGACCGCCCGCTATGGGTGCACCGGTGGACCCAGCGCGGCTTTTTCGCCGCCTCCGTACGCACAAGCACACAAGGAGACAGCAGAGGAGCAGTCCCACTACGATGGCTGTGAATCGATCGTGTCAGGGCTGGTCGTTCGATAGCAATACAGATCGATCACGATCTCTGGGGGAGTTGACGCACCGACGACAATTCCTGCGATGACTCCACCCGCGATCCTCCTGCCCCGACTGCGTCCCGTCACAGGACGCTGCGCCTCGACACAGAGCGCGAGGACTACCGGGAGCAATATCGATAAGAGTGTCATTTAGACGGATCGGTGATAACGACAACTGATAAGTGGTGGTTGGTGTGGAGGAGTTTAGAGGATCGCATGTGGAAGAATGATTTTATACTCGTCGTTGGTGCAGCGATGACGGTGCGCCGAGGTCGGTGACGCGTGCGAGGGTAACTCTAAATTTTGGAGCGGGGTGATGATGATGGTGCGTGCCGTGCGTATTGGCTTCCCCTTCCGCTTTATACGAGAAGATAGATGCTTAACTGAGTTGAAGGACCGGGTAGAAGAGCAGATGACTGCTTCCCATGCACGATGTCTCCATTCCCCACACGAAGTCGCATGTCTCCAGCGGTGCAGTGGTAGGAGGCGTCCGCGCCTCGAAACAGTCGCCTTTCCTTCGAGTGGTTTAACCGATGTAGGTTGGGAAGCGGTGCCGGCATATACTCCTTGTAAGTATGTGTAATATCTATCTCCCGTTTGTTGTGTGGTACATTGACAGTGAATGTGTCTAGCATCGCTCTATCTACCCCGAGTCCTACACTGGCTTCCGCGAAGTTCTTTCGTTGTGCATGCGTGCGGGTGAAAGACCTAGACATCGTATTTCGAATAGCCGTCCTTGAATCAGAGCAAGAGCGTATATCAGCTCCTCTCGATATCCACGTCGCCAGGTCGATGCTCTTACCTTCGTGTACGCCGGTGGTGGAGGAGGCGGAGTCTTCGGATCCGGGACGAGTACGAGGAACCCTTAAATATGCCGCGCTATCAACGGTGAAAAGCTCGACTCACCAGAGGGTATCCATAAGGCGGAGGCGCGATCGGCGTAGCAGCCGGCTGATCCAGGCGAGGTGAATACGCAGTCCCATCCAGAGCTCGTACATCGAAATACACACCATCGAAGGCGGCCTAAACCCCTGGTACCAGTATCGCGAACCTACATCGTCCTCGGCGCCGCCGTGGCGCGCGGAGAGCTGCGATGATAGCACCACCCGCGGGCGCGGTGGCCCTCCCCATCCCGGGGAGACGTATACGGGCGGGGCGGGCGATGCCAGGCGCTGCCGCCGCTTTCGGCGGATGGCGAAGCACATGCCGAGCGCGAGGATGAAGCACAGCCCGAGGATGGCTGAAGATGTCGATTAGCTCGCGGATGCCCGGCATCCCACGAAGAGGCCCACCTAGAAGAATGCCAGACGCTGCCCGCGTGCTGAGATGCGACCCGCTCCGCTCGTCGTTGTCGACGGTTTGCGCAGCCGCTCGGAAGGTATTCTGGGATACGACGAGCGCTAGGAAGAGACGGAAAGGCAAGGCTTGTCTCGACGCTGAAGCTGAAGGCTTTAGATCTATTTTCTTGGAAAACATCACTGTGAGCACGAACGAAGATGGTTGTCTCCTCAAAGGCGTATGTGGGGCTGATGGGAGAAGACGGCTTATATGTAAGCCTGACATGGCCCATGACATGCGCAGGCGTATATTTAGAGCGATAAGAATAGGACGCTGCAGGGATCCGGGTGCCCATGCTGACGTCATGCTCCAGGGCGCACGCGACGGGCGCGCCAGCGTCTACCGCCAAGTCCACGTACGTCCACTATCGTTCATTCCCAAATACGAAATACGAAGCTCGAGCTCCTGCAATGCAATTCGTGGCAATCGACTACAAGGAAGCGAGCACTAGTAGAAACAATCGTTGGTATGCTAAGCTGATGGGGATGTAGGACCCGGGAAACGGGCTCTTGGGAGACGTTAGTAGTTGGTGGGCTGGTATGCCGGGCCACTGGAGAAGTTGGCACCCTGTAAGTAGTGGTCCAGATTAGTGGTCCGTGGATGCAGGCATTGTAGGGGGTGTATGGCGGCAAAAACTCACGGTTACGTTCCCGTCTGGAGGCTGTAAGAGGTCGAGGTGGGTGATCCTGGTACAGAAATGATAAAAACTTACTGGAGGAGGGGCCGTCTAAAGCAAGCGTGCCAGGGAGGTTAACAGCGTGACGAGTGTCGAGAAACATGAGGTCCTCACCGAGTGGTGCATGCCATGCATATGGTTCGTGTGCGCCATTGACGGGCCCGAATTGAAACCTGTCCCGCCGCCCGGGAAAGCCATCAACGGGACGTTTCTACGAGCCCGTCGCCGACGAATGATGACGAAGATGAGGAAGCCAACGAGGGCCCAGAATACAACGATGCCTACACCGTATCCAGTCGACTGAGCGGACGCAGTTGCGAGGCGGTGGGGGACTGACCGACGACAATTCCTATTATTGCTCCGACGGCGAGTCTGAAAGGCCTGTCGATGCTGCTCCGGTTGGGTGCCCCGAAGGGCTGTGCTGAAGCGCGGAGGAAGGCGTCGTGTGCCAGCGCTAGATACAATGCACGGATGAATAGGGTAGAGCGTCCTGAGCGACTTGCCGCCGCCGAAAATCGAGTGAACATGATAATGGTGGGGATGATGGTGGGTCTGTTATCCGAATGGTTCGCCGAATCCGCGATAGTTATACGTACGCCGCCCCAGGCAGCATCACTGTTTGGGGGGAAACATATAACGTGAAATGCTGTCCGGTTGGTGGAGCTGTATTGTGGACTTGGAGCCAAGGTCTGCAATTTGTATATGCACTCTCCAACTGCGGTGCAGCGCCTTGGATGCCGAAATCGGGGCCGGGCAACGTCCAATTGCTGTTGAAGCTCGATGTCGCGGCGGCAGGTCTCAGTGAGGACATCTTTGGTGTGGTGATTCTTAGGCATCCTCACTATCTCTGCCATGCGCGTAATGAAAACGCAAAGTATACCTTGGTTGCATTTGCATTTGTGTTGTCTGAGGTGAGCACTCATCCATCTGGCAGTAGGTATATTTTATGAAAAATAGATTGACGATAGGGAACGAGGGCTGGTTCCATCATCCATGCGACTCAGAGCTAAGAGTACAAGACGGAAGGTACACATGGAGTAAACGTATATATCTACATCTACAACTAGTTTCGTGATAATGTAGGACTCAGAGAGTGAGTACGATTTAACTATTGGCCGCGACGTGTGCTGTATGCGCGTATACTACCGCGGGACCCCGGTAATGCTGGATCCCAACAGAAGCACAGGACGTATGGCGGCCAAGCCTCCGGTCGCACTTGCGACGGGAGACTGCTAGAGATCGCGGTGAGTATCACTCGCACGAGAAGAAGGGTATACCAGCCCCCACCGAGTGACGAGTACCGTGCATATGGTTCGTCCGTCCACGTCCGGACGACTCGGGCATCATTGCATAGTCTCTGCTCTTACGCCGGCGCCGACGAACAACCAGGAAGACGAGCGTAGCAACGACGGTAAGAAATACGGCGATGCCTTGAGTAGTTGAGTGAGTTTATGAAAATGGGGGCGCATTCGACGCATCCGACTGACCGATGCCGATCCCTATTATAGCGCCTGCCGCGAGTTTGGGCGAACTGGAAGCCTCTTGTTGTACCGAACCCGACGGCGCGGACGGCCGTTGTGCACCAGCGCAGAGAAGAGCCCCGTTTGCTAGTGCGAGGCGAAGGATATGGGCGAAGAGCGTAGAGCGTTCTGAGGGACTCAGTAGCACTGAACGAGCGAGCATGATGCTAATATACAGGCGACGATCGCAGACGCCTTCTGCACATGCAGAGGTTCGCTTTCGTTCTCACTTATATGCACATGAATGTGCTGTTGAACTACATCAGCGGTCGAGGAATCTTTCTTTTTTCAAATTCGAAGGGACATGCCGTGCTCGGGGTGGGGCGTATCATGCGCTGTGGTGTTGGTGTTGGAGGAGGCTACGTTGAAAGCTTAATACCGGGGCGCGCGCGCCGTAAGCCTCGAGTATCGGAAGCAACAGCAATTGGCGTAGCCAAGACAATTCTGGGGGTGATGCAGCCCTCTGATACGTCTAGCCGTGTCTCAATGTCTCAATGAATTGTCCTGCTGGTTTGGTCAGTTGTTGTTATACCAAAGTGCAAAGTGCATTGCCGTTTACCTCGCTCTCGTCGTCTGTGGTGGGTGTTCGTCCACCTGCGGCACCTTGGGATCACTCTCGATGTCGCCTGGATGGAGTGCAAAGCACCACTGGCGCTACCGCGTTGACCCATTAGGTGCAATCGCCGAATCGTGGGTTCTAGAGCAAGTCAATGATCAGTGAATGGTCTTTCAGCTCAATCCCGACTCCCGTACATTTCCTCGCCGAACATGGCCATCAAGGGACGTGTTATTCCAAGCCGCCGGCGTCGAATGTGCCGACTACTTATGAATGACCATTATGGGTTTGAGAAGTAATGGCTCCACGAGTGCACGCCTTCTCACCATGAGTCCATATCTTCGCTCCACGAGTGCACATCTTCGCTGACATCGTCGCCCATGGAGTTGGTCCTTAAACTTTGACCCCGTTCCTCGAACGAAGTTGTTGATCGAATGTCAGGATAAGAGGACTGGAATGTTGCAGGCACCACCCGACTATCGTCCTTTGCCTTCCGAGCAGCCGTGGGTATCGCTGAGAGATGTGCCTCAGAGAAGGAGGTAGAATGAATGTGCCCGCTTCCAGCAGATGTGAGGATGCAGCGTGCATGTGCATCGACACAGCCAACCCTCTAAGCAAAGTAAAAACGACCCCACGAGCGTTGAAAATGTACATACCGACACTGCACACATGTCGCATAGCCCATGTTGTGGGTAAATAGATAATCCGATGCCGTCATTGCGTTGAAAAGAAGAGATGCGCCAATATTGCGGCTTTGGGTGTCCTGTGCGATGATCGTCAACGTAGCATCAGCTTAGACAAAATGTTGGTACCGCTCACCGGGGTCCGACATGATTGATGGTTGGCATGCATCGGAAGTGTACAGCTACTGCGCAGTCTATACATAGATCCTTTCGTCGAGCTTATGCGACGTCAAGGACAGTGTTAGCTTCGACAGTTTGGGGTAGATGGGCATGAGTATGTGCGCGAACCTTGTTGCAAGCGACTGGGGGGTCACCAACCACCTACTCGATACCTCGTATCTGACTACGCTCTCATTTGATGGTGATACTGACTCAGTACTCAACGCTTGTTCCCGGATAAGATGATACAGTGGTACCTTAGCTCGGAGTAGAACTCGTATGTGAGATAGTCCGACTAATCTCATGCACGGTACATTTCTTTCTTTTTGTCTCAGGGATGGTCATCTGTGAGGAAAGCCCTTCAATATCTATACCGGATCCGCGGGAGTTTCAGCGAAAGACGTACTATGGGTCGGTACAAGAGGAAACACGGACACAGAACGCGGAGACAATGCCCTCATGACGCGTCATATCGCGATGTCGAGCCTGTGGCTCTCGGTGGCGTCTCGCTCAGTTTTCGTGAATTTGATGACGCAGGTCTTCGGAGGATGAATCAGTGATGTTCGAGACTTACGAAGCAGAAGGACCTGGCACGGCTTATGTCAAAGCTGATTCTACTAAGCGCAATATGATGGGCGGGGACAAGGAGGGGACCCAAGGCGAACCTACTGAATACTTCCCGGAAGCAAACGGCTTAGCTGAGAGTACCTTGGCGCGTCTTTTTGGCTGTTGGCTCCTCATGTGACGATGCCGTTCATTGTCGAGGCAGGAGGCCGAAGCTCATTCTGATGTCAATAAAACAAGTGAGCATGTGGCGCAAAAGTGCCGCTCCACAGTAGAGGATGTCGGGACTCAAAGACTCACCGACTCTCACTGTATCCCCGCACGGAGACAACATTTGTTAGCAAATCAGAAGTCTGATCCAGTCAGACCGACAAGCGGACTCGTGTAGTTCGCATGCTCCGGAGGCCAGATCTCTCTCGATGGCGGTCATCGTTAACCGAGGGGCCAAGCTAGGTACGGCGCAGTCATTCGACTCAACGATACCTCGCCGTTATCCTTAGCACAGCGCCCGAAGCGTACCGTCACAGTGCTTGCATCAATTTGCCAAAATTTCCCATCACTCAACACAAACCAGACGCGAGTTGCTAACAACCTCTGAGTAATCCGGCGCTGAATACAGTGACTTCCCTCAACCTGTACATTCGCTGTGCCTACTTGGCATCGAGACCGTTTCTCATATGGGTTTGTAACTTGTAACATAACTCCAAGTGGGATGTGGTAGCATGCCGTTGGCCCAGTCGAATAATTAAACTGTAGCCAGCTGATTAGAAAATGGCATGATCAGAATTCCGAGTCATTGACGTACAAAAGGGTCGTCGTAAATGTCTCGTCTAAGGAACCTCCATCCGAGTGTCCTTCTGCAGGCCCGAGTGAGGAATACGGAGAAGTGTCCCCACCGAGACTTGAAGACGAAACGCGCAGCCTTCAAGTGATGTTCCCACGGTTTATCTGATTGAGAAGAATTTAGCGCCTTGTCCAAGTTCCTGAGGCCAGTTACATCTGCCGACTGTCGCTCTCGACCGACGACAACCAACTGATGTAACTGATTGTTTCTCATGAACCAGGCCCAATTTCTCCAAATTGCTCCAAATCTGTAACCTTTCTCCGTCTCAGCGGACAAAGAGAAAAATAGTCATCTGTTGGTCTGACACTGACCCATTTGCACTAGCGCTAGCGCGGTGTTCACTTCACTTGGTAGTTTGCCAATATCTCGATATTTGCGAGAATACCGGCATCAAGTGAACTAACAGCGTTGATGCACCGATTTTCAGGCTTTGACGGATGAAAGGAAGGACCGGGGTGAGGCACGGAACGGAGACCAGACACCAACAATCATAAAGATCCTGACAGAGACATTCAACGACATAGAGGAACATGGACTGCTAGAGGGATCGAAGTTCGCAGAAGGGTGGATGTGCCCCATATACAAGAAGGGAAATAAGGACGACATCGCGAACTACAGGCCGGTTACCCTCCTAAACACAGACTATAAGATCCTGACGAAAACCTTGTCCATAAGACTAGCAGTGGTGACGGGGTACCTCCTACATGAAAGCCAGGCAGGATTCGTCAAAGGAAGGAAGATTGCGGACCAAACGAACCTGATAAAAATGGTCATAAGCCACTCTGAAGCGAAAGAAGTAAACGGCACAATCATTGCCCTTGACCAAGAGAAGGCGTACGATAAGATTGAACATGACTATCTGTGGAGGACACTGAAAAAGTTCAACGTCCCAAACAGATTCATAAATACGGTCAAGACCCTGTATGGACAGGCTGAAACAAGGGTCATGATCAACGGGCACCTAAGCAGCACCTTCCGGGTGACAAGAGAGTTCGAATCGTAGTCCATTTCTGCTGTTTTTAGAATCTGCATGAGTTAACTTGCTATGGCTCAGTACTGCGTATCAGCTCACAAAACAAGCCATCAAAGGTTAACAAGTCGTCTAAAGACGCCCGAGTCGTACGAGAATAATTCAGTAAGCGGTCTCATTATTTCTCATGGTGGGGGCTTGGCTGATTGCAATGCGCGGCGTAAGAGATTATATCATAGATTCCAATTTATGTATTACAAGTTTAAACAGAAGAGGAACGCTTGCAAGCCCTAGCGGGGCAGACCGATGCTTGGGCTCGTACTAGCTTGTCTCCCCTTCATGTCTACATAACTCAGGTGAGTAACTCCTTCACCAATATGCCGTGCGAAATAAATTTCTCACCGTTCAAAAGCCTATAGACACGGTTGCGGAGGTCGTAGAGACATCCGACTCAGTGATACTAGGACTCTGGGTCCAGGTAACGAATTCCGTCGAAACCGTGAGGAACGGCGCTTCATTGACGACCTTGTTGACCACTCGCTTTGCCGTAAACACGGGAGCATCTTGGGCGCCCTGCATCAATATCGGCGTTAGTGTAGCGACGAAGCATGGCCTTCTCGACTTACGACGAAGGCAGCGATGGCGCAGATGGTGATGAAAAGTGACTTAAACATGTTTGCAGGTAAAAGTGCGTGGGTTGTGCTTTGGGGTTTGAATTGATTTCACACAGCTTATATGCAGTTCCTCCTCGATGCGTTTGTCATTTCTGGATTCTAAAGACTCCGCACATTAATGCATCATTCCCCCCCGCCCTCCGCAGTACCGAACTTCGGAGTCCCCGTTTTAGCTATTACTTTTCGGCATAGATCTGCATCCATCACGCAAACACAAGATATCAGGGTTACGCCTTCCTGTGTCCGCCGGATATCCATACCAACGCCATGAAAAGAAGCACTTTGAGTCTATTTCGCTCTAGTAGCCTTCCATTGTTCACGGAGTCTTCTTCGTATCCCCGAATACATCCAGGCACTGCACTCCCTCGCAGACGATCATCGCTCCCTCATGACAAACAGATTTCTAACAACACCGCCCGATTCGTTTCAAGATACTCGAGATGAGGTACGCCTAACCGAAGCTTCCTAATCCATTCGGCTTCGTTCTCATGCGTATCGACTTATAGATATATTTAAGACCTGTACTGACGATTGCAAACAGCATCGACTTCCAGTTGCTTAACACCTCATCCAGCGCGTACTGCTACACCTACCAACGATGTTTCCAGGCGCACGGATTCTTGCTACGCTTACCTTGGCCCTTCATCTTTTGCATGGGGCTCATGCTGCCATTGGGCCCGCTGGCAACATGTATATCGTCAACGAGGACGTCTCTCCTGATGGTTTCGCTCGTTCGTAAGTCTCTTTACTCCAAGTGTTTTGAAGACCTCAGTCCTAATTCCGTGATATAGGGCTGTTGTCGCTCGCTCAGTGCCCGCCACAGATCCGACGCCTGCGACAGCATCTATTCCTGGCGTTCTCGTTCAAGGAAACAAGGTAACTCTTGTTCGCCTCGTTGGAGCCGATCTTTCGCTCACCCCACGTAGGGCGATAACTTCCAGCTGAATGTTGTTAATCAACTGTCAGACACGACTATGTTGAAGACGACTAGTATCGTACGTACATCTGTGGATATTCTGGATAAACATTTATCGCCTTCGCAGCATTGGCACGGTTTCTTCCAAGCCGGATCTTCGTGGGCAGATGGTAGGTTCATCACTGCGCGTTTATCATCCCTCGCTAACGGCATTTCGTAGGCCCCGCTTTCGTGACCCAATGCCCCGTCGCCTCTGGGGATAGTTTCCTGTAGGTCTCACTGGCTTCATTGCCGTCCTTGATTAAACCCAGTATCCGTAGGTACAATTTCAATGTCCCGGACCAAGCTGGAACGTTTTGTAAGTTGATCATCTTGATATCCTTTCTGCATCGTCTGACCACTTCCGCAGGGTATCACTCGCATCTTTCCACCCAATATTGCGACGGCCTCAGAGGGCCATTTGTGGTGTAAGCAATGTCAAATCTATATGACAGAGGTAGTCTGGATGCTAACTCGCCTGCAGATACGATCCCTCGGATCCGCACTTAAGTTTATATGACATTGACAACGGTGAGCTCCGAACTTATCTCGTCATCAACTGCACTTTACTCAGGTTTTCGCAGCTGACACGGTCATTACGCTTGAGGATTGGGTACGTCGTCTTTTGCGAGGCCCGCCAACATCTTCTGATGTTCTCCTTAGTACCATATCGTGGCCCCTCAAAACGCGGCGATCCCCACCCCAGATAGTACCCTCATCAATGGTAAAGGTCGTTACGCCGGGGGCCCTACTTCCCCTTTGGCTATCATCAACGTCGAAAGCAACAAGCGCTATCGTTTCAGACTTGTCTCAATGTCTTGTGACCCCAATTTCACGTTCTCGATCGACGGTCACTCTTTGCTCGTCATTGAAGCAGATGCTGTCAACATTGTACCCATCACCGGTTTGTCCTTTCTATGGCCTCACTCTCGCACTCCGCTGATCGATGGCCGTCGATATCATAGTGGATAGTATTCAGATCTTCGCTGGTGAGTCGCACTTACCCTTTCATTGAAACCAGTGCTAAGCGTAGTCAAGGCCAACGCTACTCCTTTGTCTTGACTGCTAATCAAGCCGTTGACAACTACTGGATTCGCGCGAACCCTAACTTGGGATCAACTGGTATAGCAATCGACAAGTGGCACTTGCGTCTTTCGCTGACTCCTCATCGCGTTAGGCTTCGTTGGTGGTATCAATTCCGCCATTCTTCGATATGCTGGTGCCACTGAGGATGACCCCACCACAACATCGTCGACGAGCACCCCGTTGCTGGAGACCAACCTTGTTCCGCTTGAGAATCCTGGCGCTCCTGGCCCACCTGTGCCTGGTGGAGCAGATATCAACATCAATCTCGCTATGGCCTTCGACTTCACTACCTTCGAATTAACTATCAACGGTACGCAACATCTGACTTATTTTCGTTTTGAATGATTGTGTTTATATCAAGGCCCATAGGTGTTCCTTTCCTTCCACCGACTGGTGAGTGCAACTTGAATGATGCCAGCGAAGGGAATCACTGATGATACTCCTGAAGCCCCTGTCCTTCTCCAAATTCTTTCAGGAGCGTCAACTGCTGCCTCGCTTCTTCCTTCTGGTAGCATTTACGAGCTGGAGGCCAACAAAGTTGTCGAAATCTCGATGCCTGCGCTGGCTGTTGGGGGACCCGTAAGTTCCACCCCGCTCCGCAACCGTCTATTTGCTAATACTCGATGTATGCGACTAGCATCCATTCCATCTTCACGGCGTGAGTGATGCAGCCACTGGGACTTCCATTTGGCTAATCGACTTCGTGTAGCACACTTTCGACGTTATCAGGAGTGCCGGTTCTACGACGTACAACTTTGACACTCCTGCGCGCCGCGACGTCGTCAACACTGGCACTGGCGCGAACGATAACGTCACTATTCGCTTCGTGACCGACAACCCAGGCCCGTGGTTCCTCCACTGGTGAGCATTCCACCCAATGTATACGATATGCAAATGCTAACAGTCCCCCCACCCAGTCACATTGATTGGCATCTCGAAATGTAAGTGGTGATCTTTACCAGCTCGTACTTGATACTAAACGCCGCGTAGTGGTCTTGCTGTCGTTTTCGCCGAAGACGTGACATCCATTTCGGCCCCACCTGGTATGCATACTTCCCCCTGCGGCCCGTATTGCTGCTAACCTGCATTTCTCCAGCCGCGTGGGACGACTTGTGCCCCATCTATAACGCTTTGAGCGACAACGACAAAGGAGGTATCGTTCCGTCCTAAGAGCAGCCTCTGATTATTCTTACTTCTTAAATCAATTGGAAATCATGTCGAAAGCTTTTCGTTTCATACAATAAATTTATCTGTATTATAAACAACCCCATCTCCGACAAATGGCGTCTCAGTTCATTCACCTTCATTCCCGGATTCTGTCGTCCCTGAAGCGAGTCCGAACAGAAAATAGCATGAAGGAAGTTCTGCTTCGTGTCCATGAAAAGGTTCGGAAGTACGGAAGTAGGTGGACCTCCTGATGTAATATTCCCCGGCCCGAACTATGTTGGACTCTTCGTTTCCCTGCTGCACTGTCTGATGAGTATGTCATGCCGAAGCTCCACGCTGTTGTCGACGAACTCGACGCATATGTCACTCTTAGAGTACTTCGTTGAACTCTCAAACCGTTACTCATGAAGACGACCTTCGTTTTGGCTTCGTCAGCCGAAAAGCACAAGGCGACGGACCGAGCCAATTGGTTCCCAAAGGCTCACTGATCATGAAGAGCTATTTCCGTGTCTTATCTTATGTTATAAAGCTGTTCAAGTTGGGCATTGTGATGGGTCTTCTGTGCTGGCACTTCGCGCAATCATGGGCACCTTTCTCAATGCTAGCAATTGGGTGGTTCTTGCTACTGGATTGTCTTACTATGTGACGGCGACACCACCCAATCGACGAGTCAATCGAAGCGAACTCCTTATCAACACATGGGTTGAGAGGTTCCTTTTAACCCGTCTTATGTTCCTCAAGGTGCGAAGTGTTCCGATTATATGCCCATCTTATCTTACTTCCGAGATGAACTATACGGTGCAGATCTTCGTCGGCTCTGCATGCCTCATGCACATCTTGAGCTCTGTTTTCTCGATGGGAATATGCACAACACGCACCTCCAGCAGCTCTTCGGAGTCACCCACATCACTCTCCACGACGATGATACTTGGTGGCGGTTTGGCCCTTTTGTCGGCTAGTATCCGCCTATGGTGTTACGCAGAGATGAAAGATCTCTACGACTTCGAAGTGAATATCAAGCAGGCCCATCGACTTGTGACCAGCGGGCCTTACTCATTCGTTCGACATCCCGGCTACATCGCCTCATGCGGGACACGCATCGGCGTGACGATGGTGATGTTCTCGAAGGATCATTGGCTTTATCAGTGTGGCTTACGGAGCACGGTTGGCGCCGTGCTGAGCTGTATCTGGTGTGCGGAAGTTGTTATGATTAACGGGGTTTTGATCCCTGCACGGATGACAGTGGAGGACGACAGGCTGAGGCGTCACTTTGGGAGGGAGTGGGATGACTACGCGTCGAGAGTGGCTTACCGCCTGGTACCTGGTGTCTACTAGACATGCAGCGCTCGCTTCCATATCAATCCATACGCTAGAATGCTAAATGCTTGAAGTGGCATTAGTGACCTCAGCGCTTTCTGTCTCGCAGCAAGCCTACGCACGCGAAAACAATCATGCACGTACGTAGTTTACCTCCATATCCTTAGTATCTTTGTTGAGGTGGTGTATGATCACGAGAAGAAGCGACGTTGTCAGACTCCCAGTTGTGGTATTTCGTGCTCCGAACCGATTCTCGTTCCTGATAGTGGCTTATCGAACAATGCAGCCGCGAGCGTTGCATGAGCGTTAAGCTTTGAGAGGGTACTCATCTACACTAGCAGGGCCTAGTTTATGCCAAGCCATGTGCTGTGAACTCAAAAATGAACTTTAATTATCAAGGAGGCGAAGCTTCGTTGACCAAAGAGCCCGGAAGGAGAGCCTAACAAAGTTCGAAAGCTACGCTAGAGCCATTTGCATATCCTATCCAACACTATAAAACCGCGAACGTTACGCCTTAATGAACTCTCATAGCAATACCTGCCAAAATCATGGACGCCTTTCTCAATGCTAGCAATTGGATGGTTCTTGTCACCGGAATATGCTATTATGTGACGGTGACAGCACCCAATCCGCGAATCAATCAAAGCGAACGCCTGATCAATACTTGGATTGAGAGGTTCTTGTTCTACCATGTTATGTTACTCAAGGTGAGGAGCAAAGCCACGCAATGGGCATCTTATCTTACCTCTTCGATGGCTTTGTAGGTTTTCGTCTGCTCTATCAGCTTCATGCACATCCTCAGTTCTGCTACATCGGTCGAGCTATGCCCCGCACCCCATTCCGGCAATCCCTCGAACCCACACCCATCACCCTCCACAATGATGAAACTTGGCGGTGGATTGGCACTTTTGTCAGCTAGCACACGCCTATGGTGCTATAGAGAGCTGGGAGATCTCTTCGATTTCGAAGTGAATATCAAAAAGACACACCGGCTTGTAACAACGGGCCCTTACTCCTTCGTTCGCCACCCTAGCTACATCGCCTCTATAGGGGCACACCTCGGCGTGTCGATGGTGTTGTTCTCAAGCCCTTGTTGGTTTTACCGGTGCGGGCTGATGAGCACGCTGGGTGTGGTGCTCGGATGCATATGGTGTACCGAGGTGTGCGTGCTTCATGGAGTATTAGTTCCGGCACGGATAAAGGTGGAGGATGAAAGGCTGAAACGTCACTTCGGGAGGGAGTGGGATGAGTACGCAGGGAGAGTCGCTTATCGCCTGTTACCCGGCGTGTACTAAAGATGCAGTGCTGCCATAATCCCTATGCCTTTTATTTTCGACGCGCCAATCCCTTATAGAACGAATGAGAAATAATTACCCCTAATAAAATCCCCTGTCCATCACATCATGTGACTTGGTCGCGGGCGCCCCCTTCCGAGTCATTCTGTCCTACGAAGACGATAACTCGCCTCGAACTACGACATGATGTATGCATTTTGTGCGAATTATGAACTCTTCCCCCACGTTCTGTAGTTTTCGTGTGGCTTCCCTCTTGCTTCTCTGAAATGGAACCCAACGCGTCGCCATCATCCCTTCGTTCACCTCAACAAAGCCATAAAAATAGTGTGAGCGCCGTCTCAGATGTACTGAACGCCTGCCATAGTTCAATTCCCTCCGAAGACCAATCTACAAAGGGCGGGTGCGTGTAGACGGCTGGTCGCGGGCCTTCGGGGTACGAAGGAACGTACTCGACTCCCCACAATGCTGGTATTTGGCGATTGCATACGCCGGATCCCCATCGCAAAGGTTGTACCGTATACGAAGGGAGTAAACGCCGCCACAGCATATGGACAGCGTGTTTTCTTTGTGTCAGGATACACAACGACAGCGTCGTCTCCAAATAGTGCCATAAGGCCTGATATCAATATTAGCGCGATGGTTTCGTGACGTGGGAGCATCCAGCCAACGCCTGGTTTCGAGGCATCCAATGACCTGTAGATTTTGCAGCCTGACTGATAGTAGACTTTAGCTGTAACAGACAGAAGAAGAGTTGTAGCGAGGGGTCGCGCTCATGAAACCATGATAGGGGAAACGGCAGGGATTCATTTGATTGGTGCTAGGCTGGAGTTAAATAAGTCTCGGAGAAAGATATGATGGAAACCAAATATTTCTTTCTTTGTACCATCGTGTAGATTGATTGTACTGGTATCCTATGCAGAGAGTGTGGTCCACCTACCTGGACCATGCTGCCCATTCGCGAGCCCGTTCAGCTGGCACAGCAAGTACGGCACCATCCGCTTCCAGGGCCCATTTGGTATGTTGGTTAGTGTTGCGGAAAATTGGCGGCCGAACTTTGCAAGGGCTAATTTGCACTGCAAATTTGCTGCAAATTTGCACATGGGGAAACAGAGGCCTAAATAGGGCTGCAAAATAGGCACAAATTTGCAAGGTTCCGGGGGGGGACGGTACAGTAGCTTGCTATTAGTGTTTCGTACAGGTGATAGAAGTACATTGCAGCATACTACCTACAATTCCGATAGATATTCCCTAAAAGGCCCCTATATACTTAGTTGCGCAATCAGCTTTTGTCGCATTTTTTGAATTTGCAATACCGAGCTCCCTAATGAACCCTACTCAACAGGCAAAATTGAAAGACCTCGCATTCCGCCTACAAATCCTCCCATCGCAGCTACCACTTCCAGCCGCCGAGGACAATATCAACCAATTGCTCCATTTCACGCCATGTCCGGAATTGCTCAATGACGAGGGACCTGAGGCTGCTGCAAATCGTTCACTTGAAGTTGCACTTGGGCCGAGAAACAGCAGCGGAGCATTTGATCTCCCTTTCCGAGGACCAGCTGTGGAAGCACTGGCCAAGGTGCTCAAGCTCCAGCTTCAAAGCCTGCCGAATTCGGTCCTTTTGAATAAATGGCTGGATGATTCCCTAACGACATCTTGTCAAGTCCTGCAAACGTACGGAGTGACAGTAAGTATAAAATACCCTATTAAATGAAATCCCTTAACATGTATGACCAAATGTTAGGTGCCGATGAGTCAAAACATTGGCCCACTAGCCGGAGGGTCGACAGCATCCGAAACATATGTCGATGGAGATGATGAAGTGGATGCCGCGGTATTTGAGTGGAACGACATCACTGGGACATCAGATCGTCCAACGGGGTCGCAAAGCACTCAACCTACGCATCGAAACAAAGTCAAAAAGCCAGACACGAAGTCAGTTAAAGGAACCGATGATCCATTATATAGTGATGACGAGGAAGATCTTGATAGTCGAAACGGTGGAACGAAATTATGCCCGACTCTTCCGAAGGTTACCCGGCCATGTTTTGCAAAGGACGATGTCGATAGGACGAAGAAGATGGTGCGCTGCCTGTACAGTGCACACTGTAAGCAGGTGTGGAAAACCTGGCCACGAGACAAGACACGAGTCCTCCGTCATGCGTCAAAATGTGGGTTCTTGGCACATCATGAGGATAAAGGACTTGCGCAAGAGGTGCTTCGAGAGTTAGCTGTCGTCGATCCAAAATTCACTGCGCAGCTAAAGCTTAACTTCCCGCCCCCTGGGGGAAGCAAGAGAAGTCGGAGTGTTGACAAGGAAGAATCCCACACAGTGTCCGCCATTACACCGCTGAAGCGTTCTCGAACAGAGCCCACAATTGGATCGAAGCATGGTAGTGGAGTCCAGGCGGCAGACAAGAAGTTGAAGCCAACCAATCCGACAATGATCTACAAAGCGGAAGGGCAGAAACAATTGGAAAATCGCGTAAATCACACACTAGTGAAGCTGTTTGTCTGTTGTGGAATCCCCCCCAATATTCTCAGCTCCACCGAGTTCAAGGAGTTCTGTGGTGCCATGAACGCACGCTACGCCGTTCCAAGTCGTTCCCGTCTTGAGGAGTCATTGATTCCACTGTTTGCTGCGCAGGTTCGTCTCTCGGTAATGGAACGGCTTCAAAGATCACGTAACTTGACAATATCGTTTGATGGTGGGAAGTTGTCGAAGAAGAAATTCTTCAGTGTTCACGTTACGGAGGAAAGCCGGGAATCTGTCTGCTTGGAATTGGATGATTCGTCTCGATTAAGCATGACTGGGGATTATATTGTTGAGTTGCTTTGCAAGGTAGGTGGCTACATGATCCTGATCGTTGTAAATTAGTAACCCCCAGCAGTGGGTAGATCAAATTGGCCCACATCGGTTCTGTTGTGTAACGTCTGATGATGCCGCCAATACACGGAAGGCTCGGCACTTACTTGTGTCGAAATATCCATGGATCTTGGATATCCCGGATGCATGCCACAACCTTCACAACACGATTAAAGATATTTGCAACCTAGAAGTATTCAAGCCGGTCAGTCGTTCTCCCATTAACTTCATATCTCAATCTCAATCAAGATTTTGACCTCTAGACCATTACTTCTCTGTGCGATGTCCTTGCTTTCATGAGTCTTTCAACCTATACTCTAGACCACTTTGATGATGCTCGTAAGGAGCTTGGAATCGGTCGTGGACTGGAGGGTGTCGGGGAGACCCGATTCGGAACAGTATATTGGTCTCTCGAATCTTTAATTCGTGGCATGGATGCTCTCAAAAAAGTTGTTCGTAACAAGAAGCTCGCAATTGAGAGTGAGGTAAGCAGTCAACAATGCCGAGGTTTCGGTACTCAGTGCTTAGTATGCTTACGATCCACACTGTTGCTAGGTTTTGCACAAGATATTTGACGACGACGATGATGTATATGAGTTCACCAAGGATGCAAAACGTTTGGCAGCAGTGCTTATGCCTTTCGCACGTGCTATACAATGTCTTGAATCCAAGGAAACAACCACAGCGGACGTCTATGTCTATTGGCTTGCCGTTGTTGCGCAGCTAAAAGATCTGATGTCCCGCCAAACATCGAAGCTCTCAAACACAATCACCGAATCCATTCGCAAGATTGTTAACTACCGGTTCAACCAACTAATTAACAACGAACGAGCATCAAATGTCTATTTAGTTGCCTTTGCTCTGGACCTGGATCACCGTGACGCCGCTGTCCTGAACAACCCTAATCCGCTTGCGGTGCCGACAGTCACCATTCATCGTGCTGCAAACACACCATCGGTGACAGAGAGACCCAGGATTTTCAAAAAGATTGGCAAGAGTCTGGCACTGATACTCAAGGCAGAATACGACGAAATCTATAAAGCAGCAGGCGGACGAACAGTAAGCGAGGCGAAGAAGCTAATGGAGGAACGAAATCCATACCTTGCGCCGTACACACCTCAACAAGCCCTTCTCCTCCTGCACGCCCAATTCTCAAAGTTCTCCGCCAAGGCCGTACCGTTCCATCGCTTACGGCGGAGCACCGAATCAAATTTGGAGTACTGGCAAGCCTTCATCGTTTCGAATGACCCGGATACAACAATTATTGCTCCTCTTGCGGTCAAGATCTTCGCTGCTGTACCAGTCTCGATGGTTGACGAACGCGCCATGTCAGTCGTAACGTGGCTTAATGGCCCAAAACGGCGCCGACAACAGGTTAGCACAGTTTCCGACCATCTAATCATCCGCGGCTTCCTACGAAATGAGAGCAAGGAAAGGGTAAGATATACTTAGAAGACTCACTACATGGCCCTTACTGATTTCAATTTGCAGCCCAAGCGCAAACCCATCACTGTCAACTGGCGTGATATTAGCAAAGATATCGCAGGAAGCGACGAAGTTCAGCTACCTGATTCAAGTCCATCATCAGACGAGTCTGAGCTGCGCTGCGAAAATCATCCTGATGGATTAGCGTGGTTGGATGGTGGGCTACCGAGCCTTCGAAGCGATGTGCTGGTCAATGTTCGAGGTGTCCGATTTGATCTCGAAGACGAATTTGATGTCAGCAAGTACCTTCATGTACTTGCTGATAGCGTGTTGCAGTCGGAAACGTCGGATGAGTCCTCGCAAGTATTAGAGTCCATGGAACGAGCTCTAGATGAGGCAGGCCCCGCATATAATGTCGTCCCAGATGATGATGCATGGCTAAGGGTGTGGGCGTAGTGAACAACCTGTACTTCGCAACTACGTGTACCCAATTTCACACCAACTTTGCAATTTCACAGGTGCTAAATTGAGCAAATTTGCTGCAAATTTGCCAAATTTTCGCCCGGCGCTACGCGCCGCAAATTTGCAGAAAATTTCCCCGCAAATCTCAGGCCCTTTGCAGGCTTTCTATTTCCCGCCCTGCGAAACAGACCACGGACCAATTTTCCGCAACACTAATGTTGGTCATACAGCAACTCCAGGCGCCCATCACTTCTTTTCGCCTCCCCCCAATTCCCGCAGCACTGATTTGTTTCACTGTTTCGTAGATGTCTGATAACTCGTACGAACACCCAAATTGATGTCTGGGTCTCATTCACTTCCTCAACCTAATACAAGCCCTTCTAGACGGGACTCCGTTGCTTCACACGCAAATTCCACGGCCTCGACAAGGCATATGCTGGGCGACATGAACGCTCCTCTCGACCGCCCAAACCCTCCTTTCCTAGCTGCTGGCGGCTCCCAGTCGTCGTTGTCAGGGGGCCATTCGCCTGTGCGCGACAGCAGCAGCGTCTCACTTAGCGTCAACTACCTTCCTTCAAAATTCTCCACAGCGCTGGTGTCGCCGGGCGGCAGAAGGCGCAAGGGCAAAGGCGGTGCCGCACTCCCGAAGATGGGCGGAGGCGTCGAGGCATTTAGAAGCGGCGAGGCTCGTATGCCTGGTGAGAACGACGAAGACTACGATGGAGTGACTAGCGGCTGGTTCGGCAAGGAGGGCGGGCGCACTCGACCCAAAGGGCGATGGAACAGATTCAAGTGGCTGCTCTTCGTTGCCAACGTCCTCGTGCGTGAAATTCCTCATACCATCTTACCCGCTTTGTTGACCCCCCATAGCTCTCTGCTTATTCGCTCATCGGACTGATCTTCTGCTTGCTCACCTGGTTCAACATCTGGACCAACGCCGACGTCGTTCGCGTCGGGAATGTCCCCGAGCTAGTTACCTCCACCATCGCCGCCTCCCTCGGCATCGCCACCTCCCTGATCGGGTGGGCGGGCATCCTCCTCAACAACCGCATGTTCCTCGCCGTCTACTCCTTCCTGCTCTGGATCTGCTTCGCCTTCCTCGTCGTGCCCGGGTACATCACCTACAAGAAGCACACCTTCAACCTCGAGGGCAAGATCAACGCGCAATGGAGCAGGGACCTCGGGGCGCAAGGGCGGATGCGCATCCAGACGCAGCTCGGGTGCTGCGGGTACTTCAGCCCGTTCGTCGAGGCGACCGTGACGGCGACGTGCTACGCGCGCAGCATCCTCCCGGGGTGCAAGCGGCCGTACATCGAGTTCGAGCGCGTGGTGCTGCAGCGGTGGTACGTCGTGGCGTTTGCGCTGGTGCCGCTCCACTTGGCGGTGATGATCATCGGGCTTCTGTGCTCGAACCACGTCACGTACCGCTTCGGCAAGGGCATGATGCCCAAGGCATACCGTCTGAGCATGAACAGCATGGCTGTGATCATGGATAACTATGCCAACCAACTCGCCGAGCAGTTCGGGTCCGACGTCGCGTCGGAAGTCCTCGCGCGTTCGCGAAGCAACCTGAAGCTGGATGCAATGCCGACGATGGGATACGGCGCAGCGCAGTCCTCGGCGTACAGCAGCCATTACGAGCCAATTACCCACAGAAATCACCACGAAGGCCACTCGGCATCTTCATCCCCATAATACATCCCACCTACTGCATATCTACTCTCGTAGGCTCTTACACGTATAGCTCTCGCTGTCATATGTATGGAATATATGAATGTCTGGTGTCGTAAAGAAGTGTCAGATCTCTTTGGGAGCGCTCGCCGGCTTGTCGATAGTGGGGTTCTGGAGGTTTTATTACATTTATCGGTATAGGATAATGACCACGGTGGACGCGCTGTTTAGCTGCTTACTGTGCGAGGAAGTGGACTTGTTGCGTGAGATATTGACTCGCGTGTGGGTGGTAGTGGAGGACGACACCTGAAGGCCTGAAGCACTGCCTCGGGCGTATGCGCGGCTACAGTCGCCCACTCGGCGCTCATGATCAGTATTGTAGGGTTGGCGATCCAACCAACGTCGGATATACGGTCTATTGTCAACGAAAGCACTGTACGTTTACTTCCCATTACGACGGCCGGAGCACTCGACACGAGCTGCTGCGCGCCGGCTAGATAAGTATCTGGGTGTCTTTCTTATGTATCCCTTACCTTACATTTACTTACTGAGGAATGCTGATTCCTCGTTTTAAATTACTACTAGCCTCGTGTATTGTTGTATATAAAGCTACGGTACTACGATCATAATAACACAGTTACCTCTCTGCGAGTCCGATTCCGAGTCCACCAAGCGCACGCGGCGTTAGTAGGCCTTGTGTCTTCCCGTCCTCTCACGCCTCTCCTCCTCTACGACCTAACGACCTCGTTCCGTCTTTCGGAGCATCTCCCTCCACCCTCGCTTCCACGCTCGTAACCGGCGGCGTACCTACAATTTTGGAGCCCACCGCGAGGGATCCAAAAAGACATCAATTCCATAGGTCAAGAAGGTCACCATTGAGCAAAATCGAGACAGCAGCCCCCGTCTTCGACCAGCGGAGTGGACTTACGACTTTCACGACTATCGCGACGCTACCACACGTTCATCAAGTACGGGATCGGTCGGCCAGATAGCCAGTCCAATTGGATCACCAGCCTCGCCGCACCAGTTCATACCCCTCCCAGAAAGTCCCGGACCCCGCCTTTTCCTTCCCTCTCGATCGCGTACCTTATCTCCGGAACCCCACAACTCCTTCAATCGATCTTTAGAGCCAAATAGATCACTCACCTTCTCTCCACAGCGCGCCTCAACACCAGTAGTCAAGATGCCAGAGTATACGATGCCAGACCCGGGCCAGAGCAGGGCGCCGAGCTACACCGGAGATCCTGAAACCCTGGAAAGGTTCTTTGACGAACTAGACCGCCATGCAGAAAGGATACCGGACATAGATGACCGAGCAAAGGTAATGTATGCGTGCTGATACGTTGGAACCACTGAGTATAGGACATGGGCCCGCATCGCAAAGGAGCACCTCGACAACTGGAACGAATTCAAGAATGCCATCTATGAGCAATACCCTGGTTCGCGGGACAGCGAAACAGCAGACCTCTCAGAACTCCTCCAACTCATCGAAGAAACATCCAAGATCGCAGTCATGACGGTCCCGAAGCTAGGTCAATATCAGCGCAAGTTTACTAACCTCGTGGTAACATTACAGGAATCGGAAACCGTTAGCACCCGCCAAGCGGTCGACTACTTCCTCAGTCCGTTTCCAGAAGACATCATCGCGAAGGTAGACAACATCCTTCTCGCCTGGGAGCCCAAGAAGGCGCGAAAAGAGGTATACACGCTGCAGAACGTCTACAAGGCGTTACTTTTCATCTACAACGGCGGACTAGGCCTCACGAAAGCATCAACCGTCCGCTCAGGCAGCACACCGCCACCAGCGACAGCCGTCAAAACCGAACCTGATTTCCAGCTCATGATGCGAACTGCAGTCCAAGAAGCGATGTCCCAGTTCGTCTCTCAACTCTCTCAGCAACGAGTAGCGGCGGCACCAGCGACTCCATCGACTTCACAGGCTCCGCAACAAACGGCGACCACGGCACCAGCGTTACGACCCCCACGACCATCAGGATGCCTCTTTTGCGGCGGACAAGACCACTATCTGCGATTCTGCAATGAGGCGCGTCGGTACGAAAGCGAAGGTCTGATGAAACGAAACGAGAACAATAAGTATGCGACGCCGACAGGAATAGAAATCAACCGCGCCATGCGAGGAACATTCCTCAAAGAACAGATCGACAATTGGCACATCGACAACCCTGGTCACCGAACAACTTCTACGGCAACGGCGTCATCTAATATTGTTACTGTCAGCCACGTACAAACAGCGGATTCGGACACTGACGCAAAAGTAGCGGAACTAACAAATGCGTACCAGTTATCTAGCTCCGAGGTAGCAAATCTACGGCAAATACTTGCGAACGGCGTCAATCGCACCAAGAAAGAGCCGCGAAACCCGACAGCATCGGCAACAATCACGCAAGACACGGCTACTAACCCTCGTACCTCCCACAGATATCAGTCAAGTATTGAAGACCCAAAGATTGTAGATGCGGTTATTCAACGAGCGCTGCAAGGAACGGTGCAGATGAACATGAAGGAGTTGCTAGCCATAGCCCCCGACGTACGCAAGGGCATTCGAGAGCAACTGCAGCCCAAGCGAGTCCCCCAGGAGGCAACGGTCACCATTCACACCTGCGAACACTGTAAAGCGCCAGAAACGCAAGACGAAGACGATGACGCCGGCATCGCATCACTCTATCAAGTCGATGACAATGTCAAGGTCCCCGTCGTCCAGTCCTTTCACAACGCTATTGCCTCGGCCCGCTCAATCGAACCCTTGCGAGTAATCTATCCGGTCATCGAAGAAAAGCTGCGCGTAGAGGCCATTGTTGACTCAGGATCTGAGATAGTTGCGATGCGGCGCGGCGTCTGGGAACTCCTTAACATGGGGGTTTCTTTAGACGAAGGATGTACTATGGAATCAGCTAACAGCTCTCGGGATAAGACTTTAGGTTTATTCAAGAATGTTCGGTTCGATGTCGCCGGCATACGGATATACGTACATTTCCAGATCGTCGAAAACGCGCCATACGACATCCTCCTCGGACGACCATTTCACTGTGTATTGTCGGCTATCACCCAGGATTACCCAGACGGACGTAGCGACATCACATTACGAGATTCAACGACAGGACACCGGCAGATGATTCCGACAGGCTTACGACTGAGACGACCCCCAGAGCCAGTTGAACAGTGCGAAGCTTTTCACAAGTCGATGAGCCTTTAAGGGGAGACAACGCACTTCACCAGGTTTCGCAACAGGCAACAGGTAACTTCGCAACGGACTTAAATCCACCACCACCTACCACTCCTTCTGTACATACATTCATTCCATCCACTACCATGACATCCCCTGTCCAATTCCTTTTCCCCGCGCATGACGATAAAGCCCCTACTCAGACGGCCGTATCTGAAGGATATGTGCTGATCACCGAGAATGGTGTTACTCGGAGCGGATTTTATACCGAGTTCTCATGGAATGATGTCGATGCGCTAGCTAACCTTTTTAGTTCTATCTCCACCGAAACCAACGCAGCGACTTTCATTTCGGCAAAGAAGATCTATAAACCGGCAGCCAGACGTGTCAAACCGGTCGCCACGACACTACCTGAAGAATTCCGAATCGTACGCAAGGAACCACCCAACATTCTCGACGATTTCCGACCGCCGCCAAAGAATCCACCAAGGTTCGAGCCAGGATCACGGTATACTCAAGAACGGCACGATAAACAGAATATCGATCCAGAAGGCTGGCTATGGCCAGACGAAGTCAATCTCATCCATTACATCATCCGCGCAAACGAGATGGCGTTCGCTTGGGATGAATCCGAGAAAGGAGCTCTCAAGGATGAATACTTACCCCCCGTACTAATGCCAGTTATAGAACACGTACCATGGGTGTTGAAGAACATGCCCATTCCCCCCGGTCTTTACGAAGAATTCATACGAATCATCAAGGCGAAAATGGCAAGCGGCGTATACGAACCATCAAGTTCATCATATCGGTCGCGGTGGTTTTGCGTTCTCAAGAAGGACGGCAAATCTCTGCGGCTCGTACACGATCTCCAGCCGCTCAACGCAGTAGCTATCAAGGATTCGGCGTCTCTACCACGAGTCGAGCCCTTTGCTGAGTCCTTCGGCGGACGAGGATGCTACGGTCTGTATGATCTATTTGTTGGGTATGACCAACAAAAGCTCGATGAGCGATCACGCGACATGACTACGTTTCAGACGCCGTTAGGTGCATTACGACTGACGAAGATGCCAATGGGATATACTAACTCCCCACAGGTTCAGCAAGGCGACATCACCTTCATCCTCCGCGACGAAATCCCTCACGTTACGGACCCATTCATGGACGACATTCCAGTCAAAGGCCCCAAGACACGATACGAGTTACCTACCGGCGGATACGAGGTTCTTCCCGAGAACCCAGGCATTCGACGGTTTGTATACGAGCACCTCACGAACATGGCTCGAATAGCTCATCGGTTGCTCAAGTTCGGTGCCACTATCAGCGGCATCAAGCTTCGAATGTGTTTGCAACGCGCTGACATTGTAGGGCACATATGCACATATAATGGCAGAGAACCGGACGAAACTCGCGTCCAAAAGATTAAGGACTGGCCCCCGTGTACTACGCTAACAGAAGTTCGTGGTTTTCTAGGAACCTTAGGCGTCATCCGCATCTTCATCAAGAACTTTGCGTCATATGCGAAGCCCCTCGTACAGCTCACCAAGAAGGATACGGAGTTCGTATGGGGTCCTGAACAGCAGAACGCGATGGACACGCTGAAGCGACTGGCAATCACCTCCCCCGCAATCCGTGCGATCAATTACAAGAGCGACAACGAAGTCATCCTTGCGGTCGACTCATCAAACATTGCGGTTGGCTACATCCTTTCGCAAATGGGCGACGACGGCCGACGATATCCCTCACGGTTCGGCAGCATCACCTGGAACGATCGCGAAGCTCGTTACTCTCAAGCGAAGCTCGAACTTTATGGACTCTTCCGTGCCCTGAATGCGGTCAAGTTATGGATCATTGGCGTTAAGAATCTTACGGTTGAGGTCGACGCTAAGTATATCAAGGGGATGATCAATAACCCTGACATCCACCCTAACGCGACACTCAATCGCTGGATAGCAGGCATACTGAACTTTGATTTCAAGCTACGCCACGTACCGGCTAAAGATCATGCACCAGCAGATGGACTATCACGACGACCACGAGCTAAAGAAGATCCACCAGCAGATGTAGAAGGGTATATTAGCGAAGCTGACGGTTTTATGTTCGTCATACAGGATCAATCTCTTCCGCCGCCACAATCATCGCGGCAAAACCTCGATATCCCAACCCCTTCGATCTTTTCAACGACACTCCCAGCCGACACGACAACCATTCCCCGAATAAAGCAAGACCTTGAACAGGACCAAAGGATGATCGACGTCGAAGAATTCCTGCGAACTCACCAGTTACCCAAGAAGATATCGACTCCAGTACTCAAGACACGGTTCCTCCGAACGGTCCTCGACTTTTTCATTCGCGAAGGCAAACTCTGGAAGAAGTCAATAGACGGCAAGCATCGGATCTACGTACCTTATGGACGACGACTCGAACTCTTACGGCAAGTACATGACGAGCTAGGGCACAAAGGAAAGTTCGTAGTCCGAACGCGGTTACTGGAACGATTCTGGTGGCCAGGACTCGACAGAGACGTGAAATGGTACCTCAATACCTGCCACGAATGCCAAGTGCGCTCCATGGCCAAGTACTTTATTCCACCAACACCAACAATCCCCGCCGGCCTATTCCACCGCGTCCACATCGATACCATGCGCCTCCCCAAGTACAATCAGTATGAACACCTCGTACATGCACGCTGTTCGCTTACGGGATGGCCTGAATGGCGGCCTCTTCGAAAGGAGACGGCGAGAGCAATAGGGTCGTTCATATTCGAGGAAATCCTCTGCAGATGGGGAGCTATCTCCGAGATCGTTACTGACAATGGCACACCTTATGTCGCAGCTCTCGACTGGCTCGCCAAACGCTACGGCATCAACCACATTCGGATATCGCCATACAACTCCAAATCGAACGGCCTCGTCGAACGAAGACATCGGGATGTACGGGAAGCGTTAGCTAAGATGACGAAGCACAACGAACGGAAATGGCTGGACGTCGCACCAGCGGTATTTTGGGCAGAACGAGTAACGATCAACAAAGCAACAGGCTACTCGCCGTACTACATGGTTCATGGGACGGAACCGATCCTCCCACTAGATGTACACGAAGCTACTCACCTTGTTCCTTTACCCTCGCAGGATCTTACTACCAACGAACTCCTTGCTCACCGGGCACGACAGCTACAAAAACGACCCGCCGACATCGAATTAATGAAGCAACGAGTCCTCAAAGCTCGCCTTCGAAGCGTCCAAGAATTCGAGAAGAAGTACGCCGAAGTAATCCGGACATTCAAGTTCAAACCAGGCGATCTCGTCCTCGTCCGAGACGCCGCGCGCGACAAGGACTTGTCGGGAAAATATCGCGCTAGATACTTCGGACCATTGCGCGTCGTTCGCCAAAAAGCAGCCGGCACCTACGAGCTCATGGAACTAGATGGCACCGTTTCCAAACATCGCTACTCCACCAATCGCCTCGTCCCCTACTTTCCACGCAACCCAGATCAATTACCTACCCCCATTCCATCCACCGACGAACTTGATTAATTCGTAAAACCCCTCTTCCCCTTTCTTTTTCTTCGCTCCCCTGTTCTCTCTCATCTACGTACTACATCATCCATCCACCTTTTCTCGCAATCTCTTTGTCTCTTCTCTCCAAACCCCACCTCATTACTTACAAATCAAAAACACCAAAACAATCATAATCTACATAACATAGATATAGTTGTATATGTGTTTCTCCTTTGTTCGTACTGGATCCCTTTCTTAATCCTGCCCCCCCTCTTACCTTACATCCATCCTCTTACCCTTCCCTTCTCTTCCTAGGTCACCCCCGTGCCTTGACAGCAGGTATTACACCACGTCAAGACTCCTCTCGCACAAGATCGCGGTCCTTTCAAAACTATGGTCAGGCGCGACTCCGGGAATAACACCACCACCAGTTCACGATGAAGCTAGCCAGCTAGGCTTACGCATCAACGTCGAACGTTCCCAGCCCTCTTACTCGCCTCCACAACGACCGTACTCTTTTTCCGAAAGCGACTGCAGCGCAGATCGAACCGACTGCAACCATCACGAGCAGTACCCGAGACGACGGTACTCCGGCTACCACCAAGGACCAGCACGTCGAAAACTGTAGACGTTACTGGTACAGTACCGCTGCCGTCGTCTTCAAACATCATATCCCTCCCTCCCTCCCTCTCACATCACTCGCGGCTCGCATCGCATCATCATATCACGCGAACGCGGTTAACGGGACAACAATGGGATGTTCACGGTATTACACGCTCACGACCACATCACGCATCGGTTCTATACGCGCACACTCCAAACGAGATGGAAGCTCGAACGCTGGTTGAACCTGGTGTTGACCACGGAGGGTCAACTTCTAAAGGACCCCGGGAGATGTAGGGTTGGCGATCCAACCAACGTCGGATATACGGTCTATTGTCAACGAAAGCACTGTACGTTTACTTCCCATTACGACGGCCGGAGCACTCGACACGAGCTGCTGCGCGCCGGCTAGATAAGTATCTGGGTGTCTTTCTTATGTATCCCTTACCTTACATTTACTTACTGAGGAATGCTGATTCCTCGTTTTAAATTACTACTAGCCTCGTGTATTGTTGTATATAAAGCTACGGTACTACGATCATAATAACACAGTTACCTCTCTGCGAGTCCGATTCCGAGTCCACCAAGCGCACGCGGCGTTAGTAGGCCTTGTGTCTTCCCGTCCTCTCACGCCTCTCCTCCTCTACGACCTAACGACCTCGTTCCGTCTTTCGGAGCATCTCCCTCCACCCTCGCTTCCACGCTCGTAACCGGCGGCGTACCTACAGTATCGGAATTTTCTACGTATACCGCTGGGTCTGGTACGACGCCTGTATTTCGAACAACGGACATGAAGGAGGAATAAAGTAATGGATGGCTCCTGGCCCCTGTGCATCTCGGTCATGTGATATGGTGAACGGCCAGTAGGAGCTGAACTCGAGCTGAATTGCGACAATGCGCTGTCATTCGAACGATAAATCTCCTCAAAACAAGACCGGTCCTACTCAGAGGCCAAGATTTTGGAGATCTGAATAGGTGCAAAGCAGCTGGACTCATCATAGATTCGTAGACCTACTGATTGAGGTTGCTTGCACCTCCGCCTTATGTACGTATATATGTCAGCTTTAACTCGCAGTTTTTGATTCATCTTCCAGCCCCAACGGTGGATGCCGTAGGATACTACGAAAGGCGTGGTATTTGTCGCTAAGGCGTGAGTAGTAGGTACTGCTGGGTTGGCCTCCCAGCATTTCACATCGGAGAGAAGACATAAATGAATTGATACGAAGTTTGAATGGAATGTAGCTGCGGTGCTGCGCACTGCGTAACGCCTGACCATCCCTTGAAATTCTTCTAGGTGGATATCACTGGTGCGTTTGATCGCTTTGTGAAGCTGTGTGTGTGGACTCAGAAGATCCCCATCGCCTCTCCAGAATATGATTGATTGTCCTTTCTTCGAGCAATAGTGAGATCAGTCTTTCCTAGCCCGATCTGATTTTGGATCCTCACGTCCTGTAGTTTGACTGCGGCTTCTCTCTGAAACGGGACTCGGCGCGTCGCTTGGGCAAGTCGACAGCTTCTCAAGCGACCACAAGTTCAAGACCAACGCTTCGTTCATCACAATGAGTTGTACGAATAGAGTAAGCGTCTCGTGTGCCGTATCCTACTTGTATGTACTGATATGATAGTTCCTCTCCCTGAAGGACGAATTACGTGCAAACGACGGCTGTCTGCGGCGGTTGAGTCGTGCCTGTTGACGTTGCCACGACCGGAAGGCACTGCGAGTACCACTGGTTATGCTCATGGCAATATGCACCGGGGATGCACACAGTTTGGCCCGCGTAGCCTTCGCCTGTCAAATTCAAGGTCTCGAGATTTAGTGGGACAATAACCAGAAAAGCGACGAGCTTGACTTACCGCCGCATTGCTGGTACTATTCGGGCGACGGTGGTCAGAATGAGGTGCGTGAAGATCTATGGCGCATGACGACGACAACTCACCAATGGCACGGCGTCTGGGATAGGAAGGACGTATGTTGGGGTAGCCGTCGGGGTTATCGTCACCGTCCAACACGTCGCTGTCCCCGTTGAACCCAGGGGAGGGGATGAAGATGGCGTGGCAGTCGAGTTGCTCGATTCCGTACACTGGGGAGGGACAAAGAATAGGTTCGTCGACTTTCGTCAAGCACCGTCGACAAAGACTTACTGCAAACGATGCTTTCAGAAGCGACAACACGACGAGAGACGTCTGGATCAGTTTCATGTTTTAGAATGGGAGGTATGCTTAGTGTTCAACGCGATGCAGTGAGTGCAGCTAGTTTATATCTTTACAAGCCGTCTGAGACTTAGAGGAGGATTATCGGCTCGAGGACATATTTGTCCGATTATCCTTCAGGCACAGCCGTCAGCCACCGTCAGCCAGGTCAGTATCGCCACGTCTCTCGCATCTTCATATATAGTAGTCCATATATCTTATCTTCGATCTAGACAACCGGTTTACGACGTATATAGTGTCTCCTTCGAGGACGCGACGTCTCACGACACTCTCTCAAGAGCAGATGACAATGCCTGTAGGAGATACCGTGGGCGGAGTCGTCGTAGTACTGGCCGAACTGTAGAGACACTGCGAGTACCACTGCACGGGGTGAGTCAGTGATTACCTGCATCCCGTCACGGGTACTTACCTCGTTGTACTCGTGACAATATAGACCGGGCTGACAGACTGTCGGGCCCGCGTAATTGACACCTAGATGTGGTTTACTTCGCAGTGAGTACTTATATCGCTCTCAAGGGAGATTGACACGCTTAGCAGACTTACCGCCGCATTGAGCCCACTACCCAAGGTGCGTTATGGTCAGCATTGGACTGCGTACTGGATGGTATATTCGAACATACCACTGGCTGAGCATCCGGGATAGGCGATGGCGATGGCGTTGAACTCGTGGAAACGGGCGGGAAGGTCCAGCAGGATGCTGTTCCTCCGGGGGCGGGTGTATACTTCCGCAAGTTAAGGATGATACAACCGTCTCAAAGGGTGGTTAAGCTTACGGCAAGAGCGATACCCAGGAACGATAACGCGGACAAAGTCTTGAACATCATCTTGAATAAATCGCCTCAGTGTGGATGTGGAAGAAAGCGAAGGTGTTAAGAGCAAAGATTGTGCACCTACTCCATGTCCTTTCCGCAAGGCTTTTATCTTTGGTCGGCGCCAGAGACGAGGCGTACCTTGCTAGACGAATTCAATTATGGGAAGAACATCGGTACACGCGCATGTTGAACGGCCCTGTCGCGTCTCAGATCAGATGGCTTGGAGCGGTCAGCAATGCCCTGTTGATTGCCCTTGGCGCAAGAGCTATCTGGCCGACGACTGCCAACTCATATCTTCCTTCTTCACACCAATGAGACGTCGTGTCCATGCTTGGAGGCCAAGTAAGGTACCGAACGGCCAACTTTTCCCTCCGTCAAGTCTGCAGATATACTTTGGTGAGAGTCGTGATCGCTATAGCAACAAATGTTATGCAAACACTGACCGTAAATACCCCCTAGAGTAGGACGGCGAAAAGCTGTGGACCCTAGACTAGAGTCGATATGAAGGAATTCCACGTAGAGGATGGCGATTGGACCAACGGTGTCTGTGCTGTAGGTGCGAAGATGAATTCGCGCTTGCGTGAGGACTGGGAAGGGTGTGTTCCCAACCAAAAGACGAAGTAGGAAGGAAAGACGTAAACTGAACGCCACGTGACGAACGGAACGGAGGACGGAGGACGTACCAAGCAGTGCCGCGTGCAACTGCTTGGGCTCGCTTTCGCAACGCAACGGAGGGAGGAGGAAACTTGCGTCTTCTTAGGTAGGTATGTAGGTACTATATGTACTGTAGGATAGGTAAATAAGCACACGGTCCATGCATGTATAATCTAGTAAGCTAGTACCTAACAAACAACGCGGCCGCAGGTGATAACGGACCTAAGCAAGAAGTAAATGAAACAATAATATACGTACGATATATCATGTATCCAAGTTCGAACAGGAACACTGCAGTGCACTTCATAAGTTCTATGCAGCGTTAATGTTTACGGTTGACAAAAATATGTGAAGATGCAACGACGCCAGCAGGATTTGAACCTGCGCCCGGAAACCGGAAGAGATATTTACTTGACGAACGGAAAACGTTCTAATCTCTCGCCTTAACCACTCGGCCATAGCGCCTTGAAGATGAGTCTCTCTAAGTAAATACATATACCCATGAAATATCAGCTTTAGCGGCGAACTTAGGCGTGGTCTTCATGTCTCCTGCTGCAGTGGAAGCAGCAGAACTTCGATTCCTCTTCAGGATAACGCGACATCACAACCTATAAGCCGACTTATCTTCAACGTACTGATAGGAATTTTCCTTGGGAATTGTCTGGACTCGATTAACGTGCGGTGGAGTCATGCACCATTAATAACCTTCCTAAACTCATTAAACTTCCTACTGCGTAGGGACATTTTCTCAGCGATCCTTGGGCAATGGACATGTGATGCACCCTCTATCGCTAGATATGTCGGACGAGACCTCATCTACTTTCCACGGCTGGATACAAGGGCTTCCGTTCCTTTTTGTGATCCTCGGCCATGTATGCTCTATTGTTGGACATATCATGAGGCCCTTTCCGACTGCCATGGCTGGTATATAAGGGGGCTTGATTGCAGTGCAACCCGCGTAGGTTCAGTCGAAACCTTGCAACGAGTAAGTCATTTTCACCGTATACCTTATAGCAAGCAACTGAAACTGTTCTGCTCTCAAAAGTATGTCCTCCCTGCAGTACACCCTCGTCAACTCTAAGGATGCCCTTGCCGAGGCGATGACCCATCTGCAGGAAGCGAACCACGTCGTCCTTGACCTAGAAGGACTTGATCTCGGAGAAGTAGGCGGAGCGTTATCCATCATAATCTTGCGCCCCATTGGAAGCAAGCCGCCGTCGAACACTTATATCGTCGACATAATGCAGCTCCCTGTCGACGATCTTACTCCCCTCTTCAACCTTCTCAGAGCTGACACGCCAGTCAAGGTCGTCTTCGACGGCCGCAAGGACTTCTGTGAGCTGCACTACACCTATGGTGTTGACCTGGGGAAAACCTTGGACATGCAAATCGCGGAAATACGGATGAGGGTCCTTCAAGGACAGACCCCTTTGGAGCAAGTACGGCTTTATCCAACTTGGTTGCGTTCGCGGGCCGTTTCTCGCCCTTCGGACTATACTCTTGTCCACAACATCATCTCGCTCGATCATTGCGCCAAGAAGTTACTAGTCAGCTACAACGACAAAGCGAAAGGTTCTGATTTTCTCGCCCATACACCGCCAGAATCATCTAATCCAGTGTACATTATAGTCAACCATAGCTTGTGGCTTCGACGACCACTTGATGTTCAACTCCTTCAGTATGCTGCTTACGACGCCTACCTCATTGAGCTGGTATACGCGGCGTTCGAGCGTCGAGGTATTCTCGACCGTGAATTAGAAGAAATCAGCCAACGATACATCTCGATCTGGAGCGACCAAAAGCCTGAGCGATCCGACGTTTACAGACAGCATTCATTGCTCCCGCTGAACATCTTGACGCATTCACCGCCCAGTCCTTTTGATCGTCAATGCGCCGGGTGTCGAAGGCTTCTTCCTTCGAACTGCTTCACTTCGACCAGCTTGAAGCAAAGTAAGTGTCTGGTGTGTTACGTTCTGCGATGGAAACCCGTATACCGGTTCTAGACTTCTCGCAACGATCCTAGTAAATTCTTATCAGCTCTTGTCATCGTCGTTGGAGAGCATCTGTAACAGTGTACCCGAAGCCATGAATTCTAAACTCTTCTACGAAATCTGGAGTCCTCCACTCCCTCAAGTAAGATCGCCTATAAAACGCGAGTTCGACCTTTTAAAGCGTTCTTTGGGTTCATAGTACATACGAGTAGCGTAAAATAATTCCACACGACTACCGTACGCAGTATTGTAGTTTTAGTCTGTCCGTAGCATTACTACTAACCAATCGAGTCCGTAGTAGAGTAGAGAATGAGACAGTTGACTTAACAACTCCTCAAATGGTACGATGTCCAATAATGCGCGAGCGGCTGACCCGCTCAGCGCGACGTTCAAGATCTTCAGCCAAGGCGAGCTCGGCATCCTCGATCGAGATATCCTCGACCTCTTCGCCTTCGCGGCGCTCGAGGTCTTCAGCAAGTGCAAGTTCAGCTTCCTCAATAGAAATGTCTGGGATGGCCTCTTCGCCAATGGCACGCACAACAACGGCTGGGGCAACAGTTCCTGTTGTGGCGGCGGTGTTGTCAACGGGGGCAGCGGCGACGGGAACGGCGAGTGTGTTTGTAACGGTGGGAGTAGTGACGGCGGCACCTGCGGCGGCGTTGGCGGCAGCGCCTGCGTTTGCGGCGACGGCAGGAGAATTGACAGCAATGCCGATCGCAGAGCCATTGGCAGCGGCTCCTGCGTTAGCGGCAACGGCAGGGGTGGCCGTGGCAGCTCCTGCAGCGGCGTTCGCGGCGGCGTTCGCAGCAGCTGCTGCATCTACGGCGACTACAGGAGTGGCAACTGCTGCAGCACTAGCATTTGCGGCGGCAGCAGCATTGGCGTTGGCGTTGGCGTTGGCGTTGGCTGCCGCTGCTGCGTTGGCAGTAGCATTAGCGGCAGCGGCAGCTGCAGCATTCCCGCTATTCGCAGTGGTGACTATGAAAGATCCGGTAAGTGGCCAATGTGAGGGCTCGTAAAGTTTCGACTCACCAGCAACGCAGCCACCGAATGGCCCTGCTCGGGCTGCATTACGACAGCGGACAAGGCATGCGTCTCCATTGGGACCGCCAGTGCAAGCCATTCCAGCGGGCATCTCTGAATACATATATGAGATTTTGTACGTTAAATTGATAGTGACCAAGGGCACTCACGTGCAACGAGGGGGAACGCTGTGGCAGTGGTCCTGCTGCGAGAGTTTGTGCCTGGGACTTGAGTTGTCACGGTCATCGCAACAAAGTTCTGTCCCGAGGCGTCCGCTGACACCTGGCAAGTATATGGGCTGTAAGGCAAGAATTAGTACGTAGCTGGGATGGGAGCCAACGTGAGCACTAACCCAGCACCGTCGCCGTTAACTTGATGAAGAGTCATAGTGACCGAGCCGTCAGCGGCAGCCATAGGCAGACCGGCGGATGCAGCAGCTAATGTCATATATCAGATCGATCGATCGAGACAGGAGCAGATATTGACGTCAAACGTACTGGCTAGCATGGTCTGAACATTGTTGTTTCCGCCCGCGAGTGTTCGTCCGCAGGCACCTGTTGTTCCTCGTTGGATCTCGCGATCACGGATGATGCTGGAGTCCTGCTGGAAGGGGTTGCGACGCGACCCAGTACGAGGTGTAGTAGCGACGACGCCGAAGCCTTGAGCCGTGATCCCGTTGACACCAGTAACAGCGGTAAGAACACCGTGAGCGTTAACCTGGATGGCCGCAGCAAGGAGAACGAGTTGGTAGAAGCCCTTCATGTTGTTAAAATAGAAGAAAAGAAGTAAATGTTTGTAAAAGGGAGTGTTGGGGTCGGATGCAAAGGCACTGCCTAAGATGGGGGTGGGACTCGGGTCAAGAGTGGTGGAGAAGTGAAGTAAAGATGTGCAGGTGAAAGATTAAGGATGAAAGAAAGTGTGCGCTGCACTGACGAAGATGTGAAGACAGTTGCTGAAGGAGGAAGCGAGGCACTGCTGGAGAACAAATGCCTCACCCCGACGAGTTTATATAGACGGCTCCGGGGTTCATTAACCTGCGAGGCGATGTCAGGTTTTGCGAGATCAGTCAAGCAGAAACTGTACAATGTATTCACATGAACATGATCTATCCAGCAACGGATGACAGGATAGTTGGTAGTGAGCGACCGAGGTTCTGGAGACGAAGTCGGCAGGGTCCTAAGTCTTCAAAATTCACGTGCCATGCCCTGCGTCGTCGCGAAAAGAGGGTAGACGCTGATAGACAAAGGCGCGAATTCATCGTTGAGGCTGAAGGAGTGCTTGCTATGGTGTGTGTACAATGGGACTTGTACGTGGTCTGCACCACATTGCCCAACATTAAAACTGCTGACCGGGATGGCCGAGGCGTCAATGGAATATTAAAACATGCGCGAATATTGCCCATACTGTATGCCAACGTTCGGCGCGTCGTCTCTCCACCACAGCGTTTACCACATGCAACGGAAAGGAAGCTACAGGGAAAGGATCTTGTTTAGTCACGCGTTGCCCTCTGTCGCGAAGCAGGAGACCACTTACTCGGCCATGGAAAACCAGAAAATGATGAGATAGGGTTTTCCAATTTCACTTGAAACGTCTACGAGTTCCCTGTCAAATAAAGCGCCGAAGGAGTGTTGTATCGAGCGACAGAGTGCCGGAGAACAAATCCGAAGACGCAGCGGAGCAAGAGACAGTACTGTATCTAGCGCAACGGCCTGCGAGGTAATTTCACCAGTTTCAACGGTGGAAACGCGAACGCATGGTAGCTATTGGGGGAAAAGACGTTGGAGTCGGAAGCAAAATCTGCGTTGTCCATTTTGAAATCAGACACTCGTACACACTGTCGAAGCTGATGATAGTCTCCGTCCGCGCTTCGGGAATTCCCTGTGGACAACTCGATCAGGATGAGACCGTGGCAGACGGAGGGATATGGGTAGCATCGACAAAACGGTGCTTTCTCCGTCCATTCACGATATCGGGCGATGTTCTCGCAATTTTCTCCATGCTGGACGGGCAATTCTACACGCCTAACCCCAATCCAAAGCATAGAGGAGTTTGCCAGAAACTTCATGCCTGCCCATCAACCAAGAGAGCCAATGCCACGTCCGAGACGAGAAATGGAGGAGGTCTGTTCGTCGGCGTGCCCCTGATGCTGTAGCCTTTCGATATCCTCGAGTCGGGCTGTAGGATATTGCTCACCTTCGTAGGCAAAAAAAAAAAAAACGGTGAGTCCAGCGCGCATTCAGTGAGTGACCACTGGACTTTAACCCGACGCCTCAACACCGGCTTGCGACTCGCGTACCAATCTATATCTAGCGCCTTCAGCCTTGAACTACCACGGTGCGGAGTCATGGGAGTTACTCACGAAACGGTGCACGGGCTGTCCCTCGACAGTGAAGCGGGAGCCCATCGGACGAAACTACACCCGCGCTAATGGTCGCAATCGGAGGTAGTACGAAGATGATTGTTCCATGTTGACAATGGACTAAGACCAAGCGGGGCCATACCACTAGTGTCTTTCTTTCTCGTTGAACCCGGAAATTAGCCGCTTACGCTGGATGCGGCGATGCGAACGAAGTCGCGCCCTGGGATTTGGGAAAAGCCATCATAATCTTAGGCGATCGCTCAATCACCTCGAGTCCTTGTCGTGCTGTTACGCCGTTGTTGGAAACCCCAGTCTCGCCTACCCGGATTCGAATGCAAAGGCAAAGGGGTTTCGACAAGGAAGTCTGATTCGTGCTGCCCCCAGGACCGACTTTGTGCAGGGACCCCGTGCGTATACAATTTGACGGCATTGGAACCTGCAGGTGAGTCCAAGATCGTCCGTTCGAGACTATTAACAGCAAAGCGAAAACGCGCTACGACAGTGCAACTAGCGGCCAGGGCTGGCAATCCCTCGCGCAAGAGGCGGTGAGCCCTGTTGTGTAGTCCTAGACACCAGTTACACTGCGACTTCGTTGCTGATATTTGAGATTATGAAAACTCGAAGATAGAAATCGAATAAACTTCGACGAATTGGGACACAAGTAACGGGTTACGACAAGTTCGCAAGTACGGCGCCTAAGGAAGCGCCAATGATTATTTACCACGTTGTCATTGTGGCGTTCTTGAACACTATTCTCTAAGCTCATACTGTACTGGCGTCGGCCGTTCTTCCAATCCGCGGGGCCTTGTGTTGGAATAAATCAGAGCGCCGTGACGCAACCGTGGCGTGTAGAAGTAGTTAGCGTCCTCCAGTGTTTGGTTCCGGCGCTGGCTAACACCGTCTAACTCGAGTAGACTCTACTCAAGTCAACGCAACCCTTCAACTCAGGCTGTCAGACGAGACGGATGGTAGAGTAAGCCCTGAATCAATTCAAAACCCCAGAGACCATCCTGACGCTCCACCAGGTCGAATTTTTTACTTGACATTCTGAGCTCGATGTCCTAACCCGCCGACCTGCTGGAGTCAAGGCGTACCAAGTCTCGATGGTCCAATATTCAAGGAGATCGTAGCTGACTGCTGGGTCTTTCAACGAATTTGCCAAACAACGCCTCATACATTACTGTGCGCGGTTCGGTCTCGTTTGGTTGGTGTCTATGCTTAAGAATGAGCCTACGCGACTTGGCCGACCTTGGCCCCGCATTTCTTTCGAGATTCGACCGACTGGATTTGGTAATTGATTTGTCGACGATCGACACTCTAGTACTGTGGTACGTCTACGCCGTAGACCCATATTTCGGAGCGTGGACTTACTAGACAATCCTGCCCTAGCTATATATCATATTCCTCGACATCTGATGGCACCTGATCCTCGTTAATGCCTCGATTACAAGTCCCGCTGGCGTTGGATGACGTCGATTAACTGTCGATGCGTCGATTTTCGGGACAGATTGGGTAGGTGGTCGACGGAACAGAATTCTGAGCGAACAACTGTCAAATGCTCGCCACCACTTCCTGGATTCCGGCGATCATCCTTGGAAAACAAAGGACGAGGAAGCAAGGGCTGCATGAAAGAGACCCCTCCGTCCAATTTGTCAGGGCCAACATCGTTGAACGTTCCAACTTCGAGGGCCGCGCAAGGGTACGTCTCCAGTTTGCTCCAATGCACGACTTACTTGCCCAGTCTTGTCAATTCAATTCATTCAATTAATCTATCCGTTTGAGAGGGCACCACAACTTTTCCTATAAAACGAGGCCCGTTCTCGATATTGGAGACTCACTCGAACACTCTCAGTCGTTCAAGTACCTACACCAGCAGTTCCACTGTCCACCAGCCGAAAAGCCAGCCATGTTCTTCAACGCCGCCACTTTTGCCACCGTTGCTCTCGCTACCTACGCTGCTGCCACCCCCGCCGTCGTAGCACGCACCGAGCCCCACCCTTCCAGCAGCAACTGCGGCACCACCACCATCGAGTGCTGCAAAGACGTGGGGACTGCTACCTCCCTCGAGAGCCCCCTCAAGTCTGCCTTCATCCAGCACGGCTTGGTCTCGAGCCTGCTCGTTGCGCTCGGCGTCGTTAAAGTCGTCGACGTGGTTTTGGGCGTCGTTGTTGACCCGAACGTCGTCCTGGGCTTGACCTGCTCCACGGTCGCCGTCGGAGGATCCTGGTACGCCATTCATCTAATCAGGCGTATGAAGCCTCGTTGTTGACATGTCTGCCTCCCTACAGTAATGCGCAGCAAGTCTGCTGTGAAAATGTTGCATTCAGTAAGTTCGCTATTGGAGCACGAAGCATCCTCGCGCAATTTATATACGGTCGCTAACACGACGTCACTCTTTTCTAGATGGCTTGGTCAACGTTGGCTGCACTGCCATCGATATCTTGTAATTCATAACACAACAGTAGCGCTACCTTGCTATTAAATTCGTATTCGTTCATGTACCTCGAGCTTCTGAAATTGGAATATCAGCACTTCCCTCCTTCCATGCTACCGAGGCGACCCGAGTCGTGCCCCAACGAGGAGAGGCCGATCGACAACTCATTCAGATGCAGCCTTGTACATACCACCCACACCAACACTGACCATTCCTTCTGTCCTTGTAGTGTAGTTTGCCCGCTGGCCGACTAATACGGTCGCTGTCGCCGCCGGCCCAATGTCGCCTGTTTAGACGATTATTATCATTGAAAGAGCAAGCGTAGTATGATACCTCGGCCACACGGCTAGTACAAGGGTGCGTACTACGGAGCGAGAATTGTGCTAAGGCGGTCTGACGACGTCAAGCGCAATGATTGAGTAACTGTGCGTGCGATCTTTCTACATTCACTTGATGATTTGCATGAACATTGCCTGCTGAGTAGTGAAGGCATATGCCCAAGTGGCGAAGAAACTTGTCCTGGCCGTACCACCGTGCTGACACCGTGTGGAAGCAAGGATGTGACAAGGGAAGCAAAGTAAAGTTCGGTCTCCGGTGTCTGCATAGACACTGGCTCACCGACCATTTCAGAGAGCGCGACATAAGGTCACTTATTTAATGTGTCCAAGCCGCATGCGCGCGACTGTATAATCTATTCTATTCACGGATGATCCTCGGTTGGTCTGTGGATTACCCCGCCGTCGCGTTGAGTCCCGACATGCACGAAACGAGTAGAGCGAGCAGCAAAGTCATGGTCTATTAGGCATTACATATGCTTGACAAACATCCCACTACTCTACTTGTCGACATCATCGTCCTCGTACAAGGACTCCGTAGTATGGAACGGGATGATAGTCGAGCTACATCGGCTGAGGACTGATCAACGTAGTAATCGCCGTCAGAACAAGGAGGTTAAGTCAAGAGATGTATCACCTTCTAGGCTTAAGCAGCAGGGGCATCGCCTCCATCGACAGGAGCGGGCTCCTCAGCGGGAACAGCAGGAGCAGCAGCAGCAGCAGCCTTGGGCTTCCTGGACTTCTTCTTGTCGCCACTGGGGCTGGCGAGGACGAACACAGCGGCGAAAGCGAGGACGAAGAGGGCGACGCGCATTGTGATTGGTGGCTGACGATAAAGCCTATTGAGGACGCCTCAGCTGGAGCGGTCAACAGTAATGAGGGAAGCGACTTACTACTGATGAGTGGCTAAAAGTTTGCTGAAGAAATGGGGGCGTTCGACGGTGGTTTATATAGCATTTCGACGTGTTTTGGCGGCTTGGAGTAGTATGGCGTGGATCGGCCCTGCCGAGCATCCCGTCACGCTTCCTGCCTACTACTCCCACTACTTTCGCCGCCGTCGGAATCCAGTATTGGGAGCGAGTTGAAATCATTCTGAATGTCGCCTAAAGAAGTGTGTCGTGTGATGATGTGATGGTGCTACGGGGCACGTTGCGGAGGGTCTTCAAAACATAACACCCTGTTCATTCAAGACGCTAGGTCGACAAACCAAGTCATAATTCAACGTCACAACGTCAAGTATTGGTAGCGTCGGTACGTGCGGACTAGCAACAGAAAAGAGTAGTGTGCGACTCCATAGTACACTTACCTTCGTTTTGACGCGGGATCAGACATATGGCGTGGTACGTCCCTATGCAGGTCCTGGGACTTGCGGAGTAATTTAGCCAACCCAAATAAATTGTTGAGCGAGGTTAGGATAACACACCAGACAAAGAAAATGAAGGAAACAATACGAAACTAAAAGAGAATAACACCTCAACGTAACGGTCACATAATTCGACAGAGTTAGTCGCCCCCTGCTCAGACTACCCAGGCTCCGGTCAGATCCGCCGAACATACGTCGTCTGCTACGGATGTGACAGATGGCCGAATAGTACGCGGGGAACAAACAGGGTATCTTCGAGGCCTGATGAGGGCAATTTGGGGCCGAATCGGACGTATTCCTGGTATTTCTGGTATTCAAGGAATACTGGTGTGCGACGTGAGTCAGCGTGGGCCACGAGGCGGCTCAGCATGGTGAACACTGTCGGACCTGGTTCGTTATCATCGCTGCGAGACAACAACCGTGTCAATTGGCCAGGAACCTAGGGTGTAAGGATGCCAGAAGGGGATTGTCAGAGGAAATGAAGAAACAAACGTTCACTCTGTTTCCCAAACGAGCATGTTCCGCGCCAATTGAACTTCATCGTCGAGAAAACATCGTTGTATCAATATCAGCCGCATCATATGGACGCCAGAACGGACCTACGAAAGGCCTGGAATAGGAAGCAACTGGCTCCATCAAGTCATATCGATTCTCCACCAGTACCTAGAAGAAGCGAGAAGAGATGTCGTGAACCGAGAAGCAGAATTGAGTGTGACAGGTCTTCGAACATGCGGGATGCAATGCGACAGCCTTACACAGCCGGCGGTACATGTCACATCCTCCCGAAGATCAGGCTCTGCTGATGTGGTTCAATTGGTATATTTTTCTACGGAATATGGGGACATACCACGGAAATCAGAAGCCATGAATGTGAATGCGCACGGGCGTTGCAGTCAACGTAATCTAAAAAAAGTGTATCGGTTCGAAGGAAGACATACACCGGAGCACCTGACACGTACATTGGCTCAGAAAGGAGGTTGGCAGAGAGTTCCAGGAGTTCCAGGAAGACAGATCGAAACAACGCCAACAGAAGAGTCGATTGATGGAGGACAGGGGGTTCACATCGCGGGTGTGTTTCATTCCCCTCGGTCATTAAACTGGACCGCGACAACAACGAGCCTTGTAGCTAGTTTGACGTCGAGGTTCGCGACGAGCGACGAGCGAGCCGAGCTGGCGTGATCCCAAAGCTTCTTTTCCAGTTTGCAAACCACTCGCCCCACGCTGAGAACCGTGTCGAAATCAAGTTGACTCTACAGAGTTTGAATGATATCCAGTAATCCGAACGAATAGGAATATGGAATCAGAACGTGAAGAATACATATGTTCGATGAACTCACCTACAGCGTTGCTGACTGGCTCAAGCGCTCCGACATGGCCGTTGCTTTTTGCGCGTTTATCAAGACGCCAAGAAGCGATATTCCTACAGGATATCAAGCCATCGAAACAGCACACACCATACAATGGAGCACATCCGAATACCGCTCTAAACAGGGCGCTTCGACTTGCAAATAGGAAGCCTTGAGGGGCCTCGAGCTTAGTTTCGTTGCTCAAAAGATTGGCGCCTGGCTGCATGGAATCTATAAGTGAAATCCGCTATATCTCCCTGACGAAGCCTTAAGATTCGAGCGATTTGACGAATGAATAGGTTTCTATTCATGCTAAGAGAGACCTTGGAAGTTACGGAACTCGACATATGGGAGAAATAGAGATATCTCGTGGGAGATCGATAACTGCTGTGTCAGCTTGCTTGAGGTTCTAATATGTTACGGAAATTGACGCGTAAAGAGGTGCGTCGAGAATGTGATGGTAAGCATGCTCATCTCATCGCAGGCCCTCTATCGAAGTATCCCCACAGGAGTTCCCTGGTGATGAGCACAAGGTATGGATCCCGAGCACCATACGGTTTGGTTGGGGTGGTCCCAATACTCACGCACGATGATGTGGCATACACAAAGAATGGCTAGTGGCCAGTTCGGTCGTGCAAAAACGAACTGCAGTAAGCCACGAGATCTTCCATTGCGCCCCCGCCCAACTGGTCCAGTCCGTCGTTACACCGTGGAAAGATGAAGGGCGGTTTCCTCCACGAATTAAGATGGTGTCCTAGCGGCGAATAATGCCTTAGGATCAGCAACTTCGACGCTGAGGAATCGGCCTCACAAACCAACTTAGAGTCTATATGAGCATATGAGACTGAGGGACGATGTCTAGATTCTACGCGATTTGTGTGCAGAGACTAGACTGTGAGAAAGAAACACGTAAGCAGTGTTGCCTTCGAACTTGGTTTCGTTACTCTCACTTCTAGAAATTGACATAGATTGCTTCGGCCGCTCTGTCTCCAACATTCGACATTCAAATACTGTACTCAACCGTGAGCCGCTTTCCTGCACATATACACCCCCACCTTCGTGCATACTGTGTCGGCCATATCAGATTCGACGTACACATTATCCGCACGTTCGATGGGGCCGTCTAGCTCAATCCCGTGTCCCGTGGCCTTTCCCCTGCTGCGGCCACTTCGATTGACCTTGCTGCAAGTTACCAGCTGTGAGTGGAGTAGGGTTGCGCATTATTGCGATTAGCGCCCACGCTACTGGTAGACGCCAGGTTAGTTCCAACCTAGAACGCGGCTACGCTTTACTAACCTTCGATCCCCTTGTATGATCTAACGCCTCAAGTTAGCTGTATTCAACCTGTCTGCGATATAAGGATACTAAACGAGGAGACATGTGTCTCTTTCTCTATTTCTCCCCCCATCGATGTCGGCTCGCATCATTGGGTTTCTTCTCGCTTTTTCCGGTTTTGTGATCTTGCAAGCGCATGCAGCCACGGACAACCACCATGCTACTCACCATCCACATGCAACCCACACTGCGAAGCAGTACGCGGCTCATCAAACCGGACATCACTCCAGCGTAGCGCACAAGGGAAAACAGTTCCTCAAACTAGTTTTGGGCATTGTTATCGGTAACGTATTCGCTCTGATCATGCAGAGTTCTCTCCTTACGTTCATATGCATCCAACAGGATGTGTTGTCGGGACGTTGCTACTTTGCGTCTGTTGTTGCCTCATCTTTAGGCACCGAAAGAAAAGATCGACTCGGGATGCAACACAAATGGAGTCGAATATGCCTACGATCTCCGCACCGATCTCCGCTCAAATGCAAGACCCTCCTCTACCTCAAACAGGCGAGGCAGCGAGTTATTATCATGGCGGCGAGGCTCCTAAATACGGGTATTCGGTACGTCTTTCCTACCAGGTTTTTGTCTAAGCTTAATCTCCGTCATCTCAGGGAGACCAACAGAATGTCGGTTATCAAGGCTATCAAGGCTACCAGAACTATGAAGGAGCGGTTAGTAGCCTCGACCCTCCCAACTATCTCCTCATTAACGTGATCGATTCATGTAGCCGCCCCCAGGCCCCCCTCCCCAGGCTCACATGGGATTCCGCCAATAGAATGGACGAACTAAAAAATCAGAAGTCGAATGCATACACACCCACTGTTCTTCTACGCATACTTCGTAAAGCGCTCTTGTATACCCTAATATCTTGTCGCTATGCCATCAAGGCATCGAATAGTCATCTACATCTTACCCGAAACGTACCCATGAATATAAATCGAGTCTCTACTCTAATGAGAACCAATTATGGTGTTGGCGTGGCTTGCGATTCTCGGTGTGCAGCTCGGAGCCCCAAAAGGAAGTGGATAATTTCGGACGTCAAACGACGGCTGTGCACATGTTTGGCTACAAGTGCTGGGATAAATACACTCCCCTTGGACCCTTACGCGGGTTGGAAAAAAGGTGGAACATTCGACAAGGTTTAGTACGTCAAGATTGCGAACGCAGGCGACTCACGCCCCGGAATGCAGACGTTATTCGCCCATTGATTCGAATTTTAAGCGGGCTTAGCTGGCTTTCTCTTGAACGTCACACGGCTCTCCTGACGAACTGCGCAGTCAAACTTTGGTCAAACTATAGGTCATACGGTGTCAGGCAAGCTGGCCAACAATCGGCTCGCACCAACAAGGGTTGAAATTTTGTTCCATGCAAGTCCACGCACTCATTTACTCTATCTGCCGGGGCAACCCTCTTCTATCTCCTCTATCGTACGCCAAGCTTTGCAAAAGTTGCTTCAACAGGAGTACCTACTCTTGCATAATTGGACCATCTTCATCCGGACTATTACGGCGGTTTGATGCAACTTTGGAATTCCTGGAATACTTAGGGGACGGAACGCGAGGTTTCTCCGCTGATAAATTGCAAGTTAGCTTCCTGCTTCCTATATTCCCTGCTGGTTTCCGTGCGCCACCTCGACGATTGCGACTCGAATTGAACCCACGCAAGGCCTCTTGACGAGTCTCACCACCAATGTAGGCGGCGGTACGTGCGTTCCCGAACGAGTCGAACCCCTTTCTAAAATATCTAAACTACAATACAGCGCAATAATGGTACGAGCTGCGATAATTGGTCCATGATGATACAAATTAAGGGCAACATTTCTTCGTGACTATAGCGCGTCATCTTTGCTCTCTCGTTCTCTCTCTAGCCTACTTATCTCTCCGCATATTTGACGATGCTTGTACCAATTGGTAGCACGATATCTTCCTCTAGTATCTAGAGCAAACGTGCGGTTGCAAGCCACACAGTCCACACTGTGGGGTTGTACATTCTTCGCCCATTTGTCAGCCTCGAGCATTTCCTTGCGTTCTTGTTCGTTCAATAACTTCCCCTTCTTCTCTCTAGCCCGCGCTGGGCGCTTGGATCCAATCCTACCGGTGTCCGCTTCGTCTCTTCTTGACGTTGCTATGCTACTCTCGGCGACTGACGACGCGGCTTCCGTCTCTAATCGCCTTCCTTTGCCCTTTGCCGGCAAGGAGGCCTCCGCCTTCTCCGCCGGCTTACTATATGGGGCGTAGGCTAATGCGACTGGTGAGTGGTGATCAAATTTGGGCACTCTTTCACGCCTACCATTGCCAAACGTTCGGTGGTCTCGAGGCTCCCGTATAGCGGGAGTAATCTGTACGCTGGGTAACGTTGGAGAGGCGTTATCATCTTCGTCTTCACTGCCCGCCCACATCCTCTTCCTTCTTCTTCCACTGGTTCCTATGCTAGCACGACTTTCGCTCATGCCCACGCTCGTACCCCGACCCTCAGGTGATGCCGTCGCTTGCCAGCGCTCCCTGTCTGGATTCCCTCTAGGCGCAGCGCCGTGACCTTGCTCTAGCGGCCGCGTATGCTCTGGCCATACTTGCCGGTCCCACGGGCGAACACCCCTTTCGGCCTCTCCCCTGGGTGTTCTTGAGGAACTCCCGCTTCCCATTCGAGTCTCTGCGTGGTCATCGCTAGCTGGGGACTTCGTCATACTTGGTCCCGGATTCTGGGCTGAGAATCTGTACCGCAATCTTGAGACCGCACGTAGAGTGTACTGGGTCTTCTATCTGCCTTCCTTGATATGCTGGTCTCGGGCAGATTGCGTTGGCTATCACACTGTTGGCGCCAACTAATTCTTGATGCCATTGCCTCACCGCCAGTGTCGGATTCCGAAGTTTCAATCTGTGCCGCGGCAATCCGGCGCGAACGGGCTTCCTGGACCCTTTCCATGTGTCGCTTCTAAATTCGCCGGCCGTATGGGAAATACGTATAGAAGTAGTCACGCACCGTATGCTCTCTGGACATGCGTACCAGTGTTGGTTCACTATCTGGGATACCCCTCCCCAATCCTCTTCGTCGGGGTATTCGTACGGTCGTCCGCAGTGGTGGCAAGGTCTCGTGAACGGTGCAGGTCTGTTCGACCGCCAATCCCCGGATAAGGTGCGACTAGGCCACCAAGCGCTATCAATCATGGTAGCAGATAGAGGAGCTGATTGTGGGCAGGAGGCACCCTGTGATGAGGCCAAGATCAAAATGATATTGCTCGTTCGTTCTCCGGAAGATGCAAAGAATACGGTCACTTGTGTCCATCACGTGTCGTCCAGTTGGCGCGTCTTCTTTGTGTCCTTGCGAATTTTGAGCGTATGCGCATACGCTGTGTCAATATGGGTGTGGCCTGATCCCCCGTTAGTCCCTGCTTATCATGACACGTATTTTAACCGATGCCAGCCATAACCTTTCTCCCGAATTCCCTCAGCATCGATCCCCACATTTCAAAATTAACTTTTGCTGAGGCGACTTCGGTATGCGGGGTCGATGTTCTATGATCTCGACAGGCCAAGACTCTGCTCCATCGGTCACATACGAGATTTAGAAGCTGCCCTATGCCCGACTACAGATATCCAACGCCTCGGGTAGACTCCAAGATTAAACGGGTCCTTTAGCCGGTGTACCATTCGTCATCCCTCGTCGAGACGAATAAAATCAAGCGATGTTGTTGTACTGCAAGTCGTACCTCAGGAGGATGCGGCCTCAAGGCTACTTCCATAATTCCAAATACGATGCTAGTAGCTTGTTTCCATTGAGGAATGGCGTCGAACTATATCATCGGTTTTACCTTGGCAGTATTTACGGAGAAGGCCTTCTTGACCTTTGCCACCGATTCAGCCCCCGAATCCCTCATCTATATCTTCGTAAATCGTTTTCTGTGATAGCGGCCGCATGATCTCCACTCGACTGGTATTCTAGGTGCGTTATGTCCTTTTTGATATACTATACTATACGTACTTACCAACTAGGATATCCGTCGGAACATCCTTCAGCTTCATCATAAGATCACGATTACCTGGCCTCGAGTCAGACGACCTCCTGTATTCGCCCGCTTCCGAACACCGACCCCACACAGCAGCAATGTCGCCCATAATGGCAGGAGAGTAGTTGAAGAAGACGAACGAGTTCGTAACCCTTCGACCTCATACTGTTATCCGGGTGGATCATGACAGCCATTTCGCCCGTGTATTACGATCTCTCCCCATCTGGTGGCGAGCTGTGCGTCATGCTGCAAAAGACAAAATAATGAATCACCGAAGCTTTATGCCAGCTCTCTCGCCGTCATGCGATGCGTCAGGGTTATGCGTGCGTGGCGCTTCTTCCCCGACATCCAATTCATTGACACGAATCAGTAGCTGCGGTTCATTGAATAGGCGTGCGGAAGGCTTGAGCAGTCTTGCTGGCTTCCTGTCTTTTTGGCACCGATATAATCTTCCCGGATGCCGGCCAAAATTCCTGAAGCGGTCGAGGGAAAGCTTTTGTCTACGTGGCCATCAAACGGAAACGGAAAGTGACTGTCGTTTATTTACGACATTCCAGCATTTGAATTTGATGCTAACGAAGGTCGTATGTACTTTACCCTTGGTGATTGGTCGGATTATATTTGACGTTGAGACCGCTAGACCTTCCCCAACCTTCTTAAACGGGGGCTTCTGAGGCCTATTGTCGCAAGTTGCCTCGTGGACCTGACGCACGCCTGTCAGCCATCACTATTTTGATATGTCACGCGAATTGTCGGCTTTTTCTCGCTTTCTCACCACCGACGCAATGGGACCTACGTTTGACAAGCCAAGGTCGCTGAGGGACAATCTGAGTTTCCACAAGCTTACTACCAGCAACCATTGACGAAGTCCGGCGTCCACTTACGATATCAAATCAACTTGATCAGTGGTATGTAGCCTTTGTCGCCTATCTTCAGGCGGCGATATTCTTCCCATGAAGACTCAATGGCGAAGACAGATGTCTGTCCCGGGAGAGTGGCCCGATACTGCGTTAGCTTCGACCTACCATGTGTAGCTATGCCAGATATAGGCGAGCTGCCGTAAATTGCCACATTCGAGCACGGATCCCTGATTCACCATCTCCACCGTTGTTGCGACATCTAGAAAGATTGGTAGATCATCATCTCCCACAGCGCATTAGGTGCGTGAGACTGCCAAATGGTCCACAGCCCCTGTTTCGAGCTCTTCGCTTATCTCTACTTCCTGGATTCGATAGGGTTCTCCTTAAGCCCCAACGGCAACATCACATCGGGGCCCGAAGTTCGCCATGAACCTGACATATAATAGGAATGTTACATGTGTTTCTGTACTCAAATTCCTACTCAAACATTTCCCTTTATCTACCCATCAACCTGGTGGTATCTATGTCCTCTTATGTTGTTGCTCGGAGAGGGGATCCGAGACAATGTCACTAGGTATGTCGTCACCATGAACTGAAAGCATATACGCCTCGACCTCGTATCACATACTCTTCACAGAACATTCCATCGGATTGAAACCTCCAGTCGTATCCGTACCTCATCGTACACTTGGGATGTACTGCCGTCACGGTGTTGATAAACTACAACTGTTATTCGCACTTCGTAGCTTCACCGTTATCTCGTCGTCGATATTGCTAGCTTCGCACGAGAAGTGCCTGCGGGCCGTTCTCGTATCGGTGCTGCGCAGAAAGTACGGTATTTTTGGTCACAACCAACGATCAACGGGGTCATAGACGCCAGCAGGTTCCTTGAGGGTATCCGCGGCAATCTGGCCTCTCCCCGTCGAACTACGAGTCACTCGCTTTTGAACACAGTCTCTGAACATCGGTGTGTCGCGTACAGCGGACAAACTTCAGGAACTCGAAGAAGATCGCTGTCCAGCGGTCTGGTTGGTGTGCTATATATGTATGAATCGAATTATAGGCCTCACCGCCCTCATAATGGGGCATTGGACCCACTTCTCGGGTCCCTAAACTTTGGGTAGCCTTCTCACAGATTGGATACCGCTGTGTGGCATTCATTTATCTTAGATGGTTGTCAGAACACCCACTGACGAATCCACACTATCATTGTAAAAACAAGTCTCTGGGATGGCGGCCAAATTTTGCTTCCGTCGTCGACTGGGTTTGCAACAAATTGACTAACACATGACACCACGGAGCTATTGGTAATTGATAATTAGTCGTCAGGCTAGCTTGCGCTTCTGCTGCGATGTCTAAGTATACACCTCTAGCACAGGCAGCACAGCGAATGCCAGTGTCTCCGTATGCGTGGCTGTTGTTCGCGCACTGCTCCTGGATATACGTTGCAGATTTTCCTCATCAACGAAGATTACTTGCGCAGTCGCGCGCAGGCTAAATGGTTGCGGAGCCGAGGCGCTTTCGGTACCGGGATGATATTCCCGCGGTGGTGAGAGTGGTCGTCCCTGTCGACCGCTTCGCGCCTTCCCCCAGATGGCATTGTCTTCAACAGTGGATCAAAGCTGACAAGTAGAGTTATTGACGGAAGTTAGAGTCCTTTGGTAGTACTCAGGAAAAGGATGTTAAACGATGTTTATTCCGCCACGGTAGCTCTATGTATGAGCTATCATACAGATGGGTGTCGAGGATGGTCTGATCGAACAGAGGGTTGGTCGCGAGGGTGATGGGAGACTGAGTACCAAATAAGTCAATTTGGAAGGCGGCCGCCTTGTGATGAAAGTTTTCCCACCCACGATTCTCGATTGGGCCGTTGCTGGCTCATCATGAAGCTTATGTACAGCAATGTGTGCGGAATAAGAACCTCTTTCTGCCCTCCCGACTTTACAACGACATTGTCGAAATGCCGGTCGACCCCTCCACGAAGTCCAAGCTGAAGAGACGCTCGAGTCGTAGGGATATCGATGAGTTCAAATTTGATGGCACCCACGCGAGGGAGCTTGAAATGAAAAGAAACAGAGGTGCGTCGTCTGCGCCTACGAAGAACATGAAGATCGCTGAGAAGGTGGCTGGCACATCATGGAATAGGGGAGGTATGTTCGAACATCCGATTCGGTGCCACCACCATCTGACGGTTTATATAGGTTAGTTGTGCCGAATGCAGGAGGTGCGATCATCGCTCCTTCATTGCAACGAGGTCCTAATTGACGCATGATCACGGCTATAGACTCAAGATAAAGTGCGATAAGCAAATTCCGTGTCAGTCGTGCCAGGTATGTTTGTTTTCGGCGTTTCTTCATCAACACATGCCGACATTCTTGGTGTCCGTAGCGGAGGGGTTGTGCGGCATTATGTCCAAATGGTGAGTTCTCCTCTTTCATACGCCATTTCGCCCTTGCCAAAACTCTTCCTTTAGGTAGTCTTGCTACGGGTCAAGGAACCAGGTATAGTTCCCGCGTTCCCGTCGTATTACTCACTCTCAGTATCGTGCTCAGATTTGTTTTGGCCGCGACCGAGCACCTTCATCGGCGGATTAGTAGGCTGAGGGATCGAGTACGACAACTCGAAGATGCCCTCGCTGCGCTGCAAGCAAAACAGTCTTCCGAGCCTCATCCGCTTCTCAGGGAAGATCTATTGAGTACAGGTGGTGACGATGCAGAAGACTCTTTGGGGATACCGGAGGATGGTGGGGCGCCCACGACCGGCATGAGCAGCGATACATTGGACGCGTTCGGGACGTTGTCCATTTCAGACCACGGGATTTCAAGATTCTTCGGTCCTACTGGTGGTTCGGAGGTGCGTAGCTTTCTACCCTGTCGGTACACTAGCGTTAACTCCAGAGGCTGTGCTTGTAGAGTCTTCTGATGGTGCGTACCGGTATTCTTCTTAGTCTTCTCACACTGAATATCGGCCAGGGTAGTACGGACACTTCTCCAGCGAGCTCACACTCTCCCGCTTCAGTGCAGCGAACTGGGAGCCCGCCAACCTCCGCGCCTTTGAACCTTTTTTCTCGGTCATTCCCCTTCACACCGCTGGGACCCGTTGGCGACGTTCGCGTTCTGATTGAAGAAAAACTTCCTACATGGACTCGAGCTATCTCACTTTGTAACACGTACTTCGAACAGGCAGGGTGGCTATTCCATGGCGTCACCAAGGAGCAGGTGTACGAAGATATGCTCCCTGCGATATATCGACAGAAACGCGCAACGTCCTCCCCTTCTTCGTCGTCCTCTTATCCTGGTAGCGAAGAATATACTGGCCCTCACGACCTTGCCTTGCTATTCATCATGCTCGCAGTCGGGGCGCTCGTTGAATCTGATCCCAAAGTTGAGGAAGCCGAGCACCTCCACCAAATCAGTATGGCGGCCCTTGGTTTACAGTCAGTTCTTGAGAAACCCTCTATCGTAACTGTACAGGCTCTGCATCTCATGAGCATCTATAACGCCATGAGCGGCTCAGATCTGACCAGCGATACCAGTATGGAAATGACGTGGTCGTTAATCTACCTGGCGGCGCACCTTTCCCAGTCGGTGAGTCAATCCCCGTAGCACGCCTTGCAATATTGATTGATCCTATTCGCGCCTTGTAGATTGGCCTACGTTCGTTGTTACGCTCATGTACATTTCACGAGCTGATGTCCTTGCAGATCGCGATAGTGCTCGATGGGGTCTCTCTCCGAAGATGGTCCAGCGTCGTCGTATCCTATTCTGGGATCTTTTCGTCGCCGACTCCTGGACTGTGAGTGCGCTTTTCTTGGCTCGACCAATCACATTGTTTAGTCGTGTTTCTGCCAGAGCCTCAACACTGGGCGACCTCCGTCTTTTTCTTTGGCTTATATCGACTGCGAGTTCCCAGATTACAAGGATGGCCGAGGGGAAAGCGGCGGCGATATTAACACAAGTTGTGAGTTCACTTCGTCTATTGACATCGTCCGCTAATTATTGGGTCCCAGTCGAATCGTGGGGATTCCGCTTTGCAGCTGAGTGTGTCGCCGATGTAGCATCAAGGACTCTCACTGCTGAAGCGCCCAGCTATGCGACCATCATGGAGTTAGACAAGAAAGTGCGGGATTTCTCACTCCCACCTCTTCCCGTATCATCGTCAGGGGATCAGCGGGAATCGTTCGCGGCAGAATTCACACGCTGCGTCCTGGATCATACACGTGAAACAAGTACGTCCATCTCATCTCGTCTAGCTGAGCTGCCCATCACACATTGCCGTTCCCTCAGTTTTACTATATATCCACCGGAGCTTCTTTGCACAAGCAATCATAGAGCAACCCGTAAATCCTCTCAAAAGTGCATACGCATATTCATTTCTTGCAGCATACCGAGCTTCTTCAACAATCCTCAAATCCGTCAAAGAGCAGTTCCGCACATGGCCAGCTGCCAGTGCTTGCTTCTGGAGCATGTGGACCTTTGCGTTCTCAGCAGCGGTGCGTGTTATTGCAGCTATTGGACTTTATTTTCGGTCTTTCTGCCCCATATTACGTCTATCATTTTATCATATGAGGCAAATTCATTACGCGGCTCACTCATGCAACACCTTCTCGCCCATTACATAGGTTGTATTTGGCACGGTGGTCACACGAGGGCCCCGATCTCCGTTAGCCTCGTCGGCTATGGCTGAATTGGACCAGGCGTGTATCTTGTTCTCTAAGGCTGCACAGTACAGCAATAGAGCGAGGAAAGCATTGGTACGTTATCTGCATTCTTCCAGCATTTCCGACTAGATCATCTGATGGACAATCAGCCGATACTGACCCGATTGAGCGAGAAGGCACGCCTGGCACTTGCCGCCGCTCAATGTGAAGAAGCAGGTGCGGGTGCAGGCTCAGAAGGCGGAGGAGGCTTACTGTGGAGTATCAAACAAGAAGACACGGGTGATGATGAACTCGATATATTCGCTGGTCGCACACGCTTCGTCTCTGCGAAGCAGCCGTCTGTTGCATTAGCTCCGCCTAATGGGTCTTCCTGGCCAAAACAGTACCAAGATTCGGGTCAACCTGTCTACGCCCACGACCCACATACTCCACTCATTCATCCTCCTTTCACGCGTCACCCTAATCAGCCCCGGAATCATCCACAAGGCCATCTGCACCAACCCCAGCATTCGGGAGAACCACAACAATCAACGCAGAACCCAGCGACTCTCAGCTATACACCTGAGACCGTACGTCCCATGCTGGAGCCATGGGCACCTGAACGTCGCCAATCGGATGTCTATTCCCATGCTACAGCATCCGTCCCTATTGCTCGAACTCGTCTCGGCACCACACAGTTCCAAAGTCTAACTGTTGATCAATACCCGCCGCAAGAAACCCGCTCTGTCTTCATGGAATCTCCCTCAAACTCGTATCCGTGGCCAGATGCTCCTCCCCATAAGCAGTATTCTTCGTCCGCGAGCCCGCATTATGATCAGGGGCAATACTCAGGTGCTCATTCGCACCAAGGTGCGTCGCCCATGCACACACACCATCAACATGCGTACACTACACCAGCGTTTCACGGAACTAACATTCATCCTGCCCATCCTGAGCTTGCCGCCCTCGGCCTTGCTGCTCGCGACTCTCGGCTTGACGCACGTTGGAGCGCATTCATGCAAGATTCTGGTCTATTAGAGGACCCCAGTAATATAAATGGTTGAATTTCTCCCTCATATCTTTAGATATTGTTTTCTTGCTTTCGTTATGGTCACAATGTAGCTTACCACACCTCCAAATAGCTCGTATGCGCCAATAATTCTCTTCGTTTCCTCCGCACCGACATCCACTGTACTATAGTCTAACATGTACACAGCTTGATATCCTGACGCGAATTAATTCTTGGTTCGTTCGAGTAGTGTCTGTTTGTAGAAGTACGCCATAAACCCTCCGCTATGAGTTAGCGTAAGGTTGAACACAGGATGCGTGGCGTTCTAAAACCTCGTTATTATACCTCGGTAGTGGCACTCGCAAGGAAGTAGAACAGACCACCCGATTGGCATCGCCACCAACGACTTTCGAGGCCCCCTCCGAATCCACCATCGGGACGTTGCCAGGTTAAGATGCTATCGGTCGCTCTAAAGAGAAAGCCATCCAATCGTTAGTGTAAGTGGTCGAGACATAGGAACGAGGCATACCTCTCCTTATGTACCGGATCCAACCCTACCTGCACTACGCTGAAACTCTGCAATGTCCAGAACATGAGCTGGCATCCTGGCTTGTGTATCTCACAGGGAAGCCTCGGATGAAGCTGCGTGCTAGGACTTGGACGTGAGCGTTCTTATCATGTTTGGCTAGTGGCTGATCAGAGATGAGTTCAAGAAAGATGACTTCAGTGTCAGCTTGCATGTGCGATGTGGGAGTCGGGAACGCGTCGTCAGGTCGTGGACGAAGGTTGAGAGGCCTTGTGATTGATGGTGATAACAAGAAGGCGAAAGAAGAAATTAGAAGCGAGATCAGCAAGAGATATTCGTACATACATCGCTATGGTACTTATTTCTACATTCGAGAGAGACCACTCGTTAAGCCCAAGAATGATAGCTAATACAACAATAATGAAGACCGAGTATATGAACAGCGTACTACTACTAGCAAACGCGAGCTCTCACAGTGGCATCTGATGTTGCCCGCCACCGGGACCGTTATATTCCATGATGCCGGCATTATGCATGAAGGACATCCAGCCAGCATCCATCCCAGATTCCGTCGACAATCCCATCTCAACCATATCTTCGCGAGGATCAACAGCCATCATTCCGCTTCCATTCGGCGCACGCTCGTGGACGCCAAATGCGGGGCGACCCATCTGTGTTTCGGCGTACATATTACCGAATATACTTGCATCAATACGGCCATTGAATCCGGGGAATCCTGGAGTTGGCTGGGTCTGCCGGGCTGGTTGTTGCGGTTGGCGATGTGTGGATCCGAGAGAACCAGCATAGCCCAGCAACTCGCTGCGCATATAGTTGGGGCTGACCATTCCTTGGAGTACAGCAGGCGACGCTGGGACGCTGGTGTCATGCGTTTGAGCCCACATGGGCGAACTCAGCGCTGTGGACGGACTGCTAGTGTTGATAGTAGACAACGCCGAGATAACAGACCACGGAGTCCCTGGAGAACTCAGGGTGGAACCCGGAGCAGACGGGGACTGGCTAGGCCTCCTAGACTGAAGAGCGGACGAGGGCTGAGAGGGCGTAAAATGCTGATGATGGGGTTGCTGCTGAACGTGCTCCACCGGGCGAGGAAGCGGAGGCGATAGTTGCCCACTCAGGGCGTTCCCTCCGAATGAACGATTGGCGAGATACGACATGACGCTTTGGTACATTTCACCCATCCCTCCGTTGACGTGCGAACTGTTTCCCGTTGATACCTCCTGCAGGGGATCCATCATGGTGAGGGGAGGCGCAGACGGCACGCCTCTGGCCGAGCCCATCTCAACCCCTTGCATGACCGAAGCGCTACTACTGGCATGGGAAGGTCCTCCGCCCATACTGAGGCTAGCGTTGGGCCCCGCAAATGGGTTTCCGCGGTTACTACCATGTGCTCCTCCCATCGATTCCAAGCCGAACATATTTGTATCGGAGAGATACTCCATCAATGAGGGATGGACATTCGTGGGCTGAGAATCGCTGAGAGAGACTGTCGCTGCTTCACCGTGCGTTGTTGTCGCAGATGACGGAGACGCGGCACTAGTGCTGGGTGGGCTAGGCGAGTTGTTATACGATGCTAACCGAGGGCTATTCTTGTCGCTAGGAATCGATGGGGAGGCTGAACTGGTGCTGTGCGCGTGTCGGTGTTTCCTCGTTAAGACCCTCTTCTGGCCACCGAAGATCGCGAGTTCATCTCCACCGTCGTCATCGCTTCCCTCAGCGTGAGGGGACTTGAAGGCGCTGGGAGGGCTACCGAATACGCCCAATGGACTCACATAGCCACTTGGTGTAGCTGAACCAGCTGGGCCGGGGGTCGTCGTCGAGGACGAGAACTGTGCATATGCACGCTCAGCTTTATCCTTCAACTTTCGGAGAACGATCTAGAAGAATATTGTCAACGGAGAGAGATAGAATTTGATATGTGCCACTTGCCAGAGCGATTCTTGCTCGTCTTGACACTGCTGACGCCTTGTCAAATAATTCAACAGCTAGGTCGAGATCTTGAAGTGCGCTCGTTGCCATCGGGGAGTTCGGAGAATGCGTCACAACAGTGCCGACAATCACCTAACCCCGAATGTATGTTGTTAGCCAAGACACTAATCGCTCCAGGCAGTTTACTCACGGCGGCAGAAAAGGTGTGATAAAGCAAGAACCACACCCTCATGGCCATCCTTGCACATCTATCGTACTGATGGGCCGTCGCCTTGATGATAATAGATGCACACCGATAGGCAGTTAGGAAAGACGGTGCAAACGGGCTGAGAAGTGGATTAGAGGGGTGATCCAGCATGGCCTGCGCAAAGAAACTTCTGTGAAGATACAACATGGCTGTCATAAAAAGTTAGCATATGAGATAAAGAAACTGATAGACGAGGTGAACAGAGAAGCATGATCAGCGCAGATTCGGAGGCATTATCAGCACACGCCGAGACCCGTGCGCGATCCCATCGCTCGCGAATTAGCGCCCGGGTGGTGGCCCCAGGGTATATGGGAGCAATGTGAATGCTCTGCCGATTCTGCCTCTTCATCCCTCCCCCCACCGCCCCCTCCCACTAATCAAGGAAAACGCGCAAACAGTTCAAACTCACTAACGGTCCTGTGCTGGCTGGCGTAGAATCCCCTCAGGCTCAGTGAGCTGCTATAGTACTCTTCTTCACCGTCCTCCTTGCTGACGTATGGTTTGAACGCCGCAGGGAAGGATAGCTCCCGTACTTTGCGATCGAGGTCGAGAACCGTCGAGTAGGATGGAGACTTCGCGGTTAACGTCGCCTCCGCCACGGCATTGAAAATATCTCGGGCGAAGGTGTGTTTCATGCGCCAAACTGGGACGGGAGCAAGGTGAGCTATCAGATCAACAGCTATATGCGTGCCAAAGGGGACGTACATCCATATTGCACCTCTTGCGCATCGCTGAGCGTAGCTTCTTCGTCGATGGGAAACTCGCAGTCTACGTACGAGAGGTGGATGGCTGGTGGGCGACCAAGGGCAAGGCTCTGTTGGGCCAAAGTGAGCACTCGTCACCATTCGCAGTTGGAACGGAGCTGGTACGGGGACCGTACGTGCCGAGACGGCCACGTATGCGAGATATGTTTTATCGAGGGCGAAAGACAATGACTTACATGGGATACATCGGCGGCAAATATCTCCCAGAAGAGGGCACGTCTACGTTGGACGGTGGTGGGGTCGAAGTTCCACCTTGCGCTGTCTCGATCTAAGAGTTGGACGTATCAGCGACGGGCAGGCCATGGGGGAAAGCGTAAGCGAGTATGGATGAGTAGTCTGGGTGGGTGATAAGTGAAAGATGCTCACGCAAACCGAGGCTCTGCGACAACTTCGCTGCCAAACTCATTAGCCCCCATGCGCTATCTCTCGTATATTTCTTGCCAGCCATAGAATGGTACGTAGCCATCAACCCGACTGCCTGTACAGTCCGGATATGAGGGAAGTCAAAGATGGTGCGAAGGGAGAGGGCTGCTTTGCCTGTTGAGGGAGAAAGGTGAGTGTGTCATTCGGAGAGTAGATAGTTCAACGGACCGAGCGTATAATATCTCTCGGCTTCAGCATTGTATGGCGGCTTGTTGATGTCTAGGAGAGCCCCAAGAGCGAGGATCATGAATATAGTAGCTAGATTATGAGGCGCGGATGGATCGGGGTCGGGATCCAATGTTGGGTGTGCTGCTGGGGTACTTGTCCCGGCAGCCCCTTGGTGTCCTTGTTGGGAGGAGGGATATGGAGGAATGGCGAAGGAGGTAAGAGGCGTCTGCGATTGAATATAGGTGGGCGAGTTTTCTTCTCCGCCATCCCCATTGCTACTTCCCGGGGAGCCAGCATCGGCATAGTAGGTATGCAGCTGGCGCAGCTGACGCTTCGAAGCTGCATCATACACTTGTTTCAAGAACGCTGGAGGCGTGGGCGCCGTTTCCTGAGAGTCGGCAGACATGCCAGGTAATGTAGTCGCCTCGCCCAAAAGCTCATCTCGTTTGATCGGCCGGAAGAAGTAGGTAGCGTGCTGTAGGTAGCTTTCCGACAGCTCATGAGCGCGGGGATAGGCCGGTAGGTAAGCGTACAAAAGATCCAAGAGATGTTGGCGCTCGTATAGCTTACGGAGGGTGCCGGGGGAGGGCTTATATCCTCCGGCTGGGGACGTAGACGATGGCGGGATGGGCGACGTAAACGGGAATAGGTTAGCGAGACGTGAAATCGGCGGAAGGCTGGCCGACGCCGATGCTGTACCTGACCCTGTTGATGGAGAAGCGGGGTCCGGGGATGAAGTCACGGAGGGGTTGAATGGAGGGAATAAATTGTCTGTCTCGTTGACGTCCTCGTCGTCGAATGCATCGCCGTCTTCCGCAGATGGTGCAGACCATTCTTCGTTCGCCTATCATCACTATCAGTCACCGAACACGGAACCAGGTCATTAAGCGCACCATAAGCAGCGTCTCGCTGCCCGCCGAGCGACCAAAGTACTTCACTTCACCGGATTTGTCATCGAGAGTGAGTGTCCCTAGAGCGTCTATGTTTTCTTGTTCTTCTGTCTTGACTGTCGCCTGCTGCCCGCTCTGATCCGATTTACAGCCGTTTGCAATCCCCCCTCCACCGCCGCCCTGCCCATTGGGTTTCTGGGTGCTGTCACTCCTGAGGGCCTCTGCCCCGAACTTGATCTTGAGCAAGTCGTCAGAGAGTAGAGGATGTCGTTCTGACGAAGTAGTTCCATGCATGATCGCTAAAGCGTCTTCGAGCGCGCGGATTCGGTTCGACATCTCTGAAATTTTGCGGTGGAGTTGCTGCGTATCTGCAAGTATGAAACGGGTCCCCTGTCCCGCAGAGAGAATGCCACAAGGGCAGATGGATTCACATCCTCTGCGGACGCAAGAGGAACAAGGGACCTTCTTGTCGCATCGCAGTTTGAGACGTCGACACTCAGCACAAGATAGTTCGCCTGAAGAAGTGCATTTGATGGGATGACTATCAAAAGGTCTGAGCTCAGCGACGAAAGATACGCACCACGTATGCGTTTAAGTTCGATGTCTCTCAACTCCTCCTCCGTGATCTTGCGTTGGGGGCGCCTCGACGGAGTTGGTTTTGTAGGATCGACGGGCATCGGAATTTAAGTCTGTGGCGTCTGCGATTGCGCGAGAGGAGCGGGTGTGGAAGTAAAGAGAGGAGACAGGCGAGAGTAAGAGCAGATATGGAGAAAGAGGTGGGTGTGAACTCATTTGATGCGAAGAAGGTTATGACGGAGGCTTATCACACAATTGGGCCAAGCGCCTAAAACGAGAAGGGGTGTATGTTTGCGAAGCCTATTTCCATGGACTTCAATGTCTTCATCTCCGTGGACGATGAGGTTCGCGGCGACAATCAGCTCAAATCAGTGGAATACCACTGTTTGTTTCTGTTTCGCATTGCCTTTGTTAGCCCAGTACGCCTCATAGGAGTCGACTACGAGCGACGACCAAACGACGACCATCAGAACATATATAGCATCTCGCCTTCACATAGACTCTTGCTTGGCTGTTCTTGCGCCCATCTGCACTCGTTTCTTTCCCGTCCTTTCTCCATACATGTCAAGCCCAGATGCATTCCATTCCTTTCTGCCAACACTTGCGGCATGCTCACCTTTCCCTCGACACGGGGAATACATGTTGGCCGGTAATTCGGCCCTCCGTTACGAAGTTGGCCATCGCCACTCACGAGTTTCAGTTGAATTGAATTACTGCGCCGATGCGCCCACTCCAAGGGGATGCTCCAGTAAAACAGGTGCGAGCAATAGCAATCGATTCCTCCAAAATAGGTTCTACCTCATGGCCCCACAGTCTAACTCTACTTTCCTGCAAGAGTGTTGGTTATCGCATTGACCTAATTGGGCTCGGTAAGTCTCTTCAACCCGCCATTTTACCGCCGGATCAGCTGGGTCATCCCTTTCGATGCCATCCAGGGTATATGGATACCGACGGCATTGAACCGGACCCCTTGGTCGTTCATGAACGCCGTACAATCCCAATAATTAAGTCCACCGTCGATGTACGAAGGCAGCCGGGCCGAGGTATCTGTTCCCTCTCGACGGTTGACCGGATTCATGACATCGCTACCCAGGACTTCTCCCTTTAATCAGCACGGCCATCACTGCCTATTTTCGGACCTACCTGTCTGGCGATTTCTAATCACTTTGTTGAGGCCGCCAACCCCCCTCCGAGGTGGTGTTTCAACCTTAGCGTCTGGACCACCGAACTCGGGGTGTTTGAATACCACCGCTCCGACGTCTACCGCCGTAGCTCTCATTACCCCATTCCGAGTATATCACAGGACCTCGATGTCTTACGCGAGCTTGTCGTTAGCTTTCCAACGATTTTATCCCTTTGTTCGAAACAGGCTAGTCTTGGCTAACGTCAAGGATGACCCCGTCCATGTCATGTCGTATCACAGGTACAAAGCGGTCGCCCCATTGACATAGAATTACTATACATGGCTGGGGCTGCTTTACGACACCGTACATGTACCCCATGCATTCCATGATACTAAAACAAAGCAGGGACTCACCTGTTCGCCGCTGCGCCAGCGCTGCCTGCTCTTCCAAGAACCTCTCTCTCACTGCGAGTTAATGTCGCACCATTCTCTGTGCCCACTCTGAACGACGGGGGCGATCAACGGCTGTAAAGAAAAACTAGCAGTGGTGGTTGGCGGTGTAGTGGGTAACTAGTGTAGACGAGGCGAATACGCGTCAAGATCCAATTCACGAGGCATGGCGGGGGCGTGTGCCATACTCGTCCATGCCGCACGCCGCTAGCTTCTACATCGTCCCAAAAACTGATGGGGGCCAGCGCACACTCGACAAGGCGAAGGGAAGGCCGTACCACGTCTCTACGATAGCTATGGTTTATGTCGACTACAACGAGAGATGAACGAGGGATGAGAAGCAGCGTGAAAAAGTGAGCATGTGCCTCAGGATTGTACAGTCTGCGAGGCGACTCACCAGAGCGACAGCCTCCATCTACTGGGCGCTCCGCCTTCACCCTCGCAATCGAAGGCCAGGCAGCGGGGGGATGAATGAGGGGGCACGGCGGCGAGACGCGATCGCGCCGGCGGGATCGTCGACTAGACAACGAGGAGAAGGCTGGGGGTGACATAAAACGGCGGGAGATGGTGAGTAGAGAAGGCGCGAAGGGCGGGACCCATTCTACGGAGCCTATCCCATGCCTCCTCGAATTATCTTTAAACAGAACACGTTGGGTGCATCCCACGGCGAGTCTTCTAAGCCCCATGGACGACCCGCTGAAGAACCGGGAGAGCGCCGCTGCCAGGTCATCTACACGGGGATGCAACAGTTACAAAGCCGCAGCATTAACTAAGGCCCTGCTTCTCCAGGACACGAAGAGTAGAGTAGAGGATAGATGCGGAAAGGAAAGAGAGACGAGCCGGGGTCAGACAACGAGTGGTGAACGTATCGCAGGGAGTACCCGGCGTATGCTTGGGGAAGACGCCACTCACCAGCTTGATTCTTCACCAGGCCGCCCCCAGTGAAGTCTAGCCCATCTCCTGCATCCTCTTTCGATCCCGCTGCGCCATTGGCTACATAAACACATCATCATGTCCCGTCGGCGGCTCTCAAGACCCAAAGGTGACCTCTGGCCGATCGGTTACTCCGGAAGCAGTAAGACGACGAGAGGAGTGGGTGGTACAGGAGGGAGGGTTTCTGGAGATGTTGCCGAAGCTGCGAGCGAGCAAGGGCCACAATAACGAAGATGCAAGTAAGCATCCCGCTCACTCGCATGTTGGAACTACTCACCGACGTGCTACGTCCCCAAGACCGCCAGATGACGTCCACACCTTCTACATCGAGCATGCTACCTTTAACCCACCAACTAGCGTCGCCCTCCCTCTATCATGGCCGATATTGGAATACGTAGATAGGATGGAACTGTCGTCGTGTAGCTTGAACGCCCCAGTCTCATGCTGATAGTGAGCAGGGAGGGCAGTCACGCATCCACCCGCTGATACGTCGCCCAAACTCTCTGTAGTCACACGCAGCCTCGGTAAAACCCCCGCGCAGCCCTAGATCGGCCGAAATATGTCGGATCGCGACGTATATCCCAAAGAGCAGAGGCAGGAAGGAAGGCACAAGTGATGGGAGACGTACGAAGAGAGCCGCGCCCAACTCCCACAACGACATTCCGCTTTAACGGCGCGCCAGCCCCCCGCCCATCGACACCGATGATATAGGCTAGCCATACGTGTCTGCGAAGGGGAATATGCTAGCAGCAGCACGACAACGGGGGGAGGCGTCGATAGGGTCCTTTTCATGGAATGGAGCGGAAAACGCACCGAGTAACGGAATGCATCACACCAATGGGACGATCTACTCTAGACCAGCCGTGGTGTAGCGTGTAGCATGCGGCGGGCGGACCTTCTGTATGGGAGGCGAGCTTATCGCATCATATCCACGGAATGAGGAATCCGAGAACGGAAATCTATTATATTAAGTCTCGATCCGTGTGAACTTTGGACTTAGGTAATCTTAGGTAAGCAGCAAATGGCCAACTGTTGCGCGCGCTTCTTCTGTGTGAGGATAGAGGAATAGGAGATAGGAGAGGATGTCTTACAAGTAACATTCTGTTGAGAAGGGGGGAATATATAAGCCATAGAGTATAAATATGGGTAGTCCCTTACACAATCCTCTGAATAAGCTGAACAGGGTCTGTGAAGGCTTGAGGTTTGTCTGATGGGTGCTATATAGAATGATAGTACAGATGTAAATCTCATCATGAAATGAATTCAGTGTATGTAGATCAATATGTGCTTCAGAACTAATTACATGAGATGTAGTATGGTATATTCAATTGATTACCACAATAATGAAGCTCAAATAATGGAGTAAAGGTTGGGGCAAGCAGAGAGGGTAGCTAAAGCTACTCAACTTCCATGCCCTAAGTGCTGAGTTTGGCTTTGGGCTCAGCATAGCATAGACACTATGAGATTGCATGATTATAGCTGTAGCAGAATAAAATTTCATTTGTCAGGCTTGAATGACAAATTCATAAACCAAAGCATTCCAAGTTCAGGGTGGCAGGGGATACACAGTAGGAGATAGGAGGCACAGTAACTAAACTCAGTTGTTGTGGGACAAATGGGGGGTACTTGGACATAGAATGTTAAATAGAATGGGGGCTGTAAGCAACTACATTGAGCACTTTGACAAGTGTTGATGTCAATAGCCAAGACTCCTCAGCACAAATTAAGAGGGAATGATGGTGGGAAGTGGTATATAATGATGGCCAAATCCTTCAAGAGTCAATCCAAGTGAGTGGTTAGCAGACTGAGTGCACAGCAATGGTGAAGCAATAAGTAAACTGTACTCTAATGACTTCTAAGCACCATATTTTCCATGAGATACACTTATCTGTTAAGAGCCACACTCGCAGAGGGGCCCAGGGATACACGGACCTGCAGGTGTGCGGTTCCACATAGAGGCGCGGAGGGAAACAAGGGAGTGAGGACGTACGGGCTTGGCTTCAGCCATGTGTATGTGTGGCCCGAGTCCGTAGCCAGAACACACGTTAGTAGCCCCTAAGGGGCCTCCTGTAAGGGCAACCTTAAGATGGCCGCACAGTGCAAGCCTAGCAGAGGGAGAATCTAGCAGAGGGAGAATCCAAAGAGAACAGGATAAGGATTCTCCATGCTAGGAAGCAAAGTATATACTGTAGTAGCGTGGGAGGAATGAAGGGTAACTGTACAGTACACCAGCCACAGGTCCGAACGAATATCACAAGGTACGAGGGGGCATGTGATAATGAAGTGGAAGGGGAATGTACAGGAGTCGTGCCGGCGACCTGGGGAAGTGGGAACAAGGAATAACGAAGTGGGAGAGGAGGACAGAGGTAGCCCGGACGAGCCCCGAAGTGTATCTACGAGTCCGAGCGAGTCCGAAGCGTCCGAGCGAGTCCGAGGCGAGTCCGAAGTGCGGGAAGACTTCGGAGTCACTGGACGAAGCTCGGATGCGAAAGGAGTGAGTGGAAAGGAAGTGGAAAGGAAAGGGGACAAAGGGGAGGTATGTAAGAGTCTGTGGGATGAAGGAAGGGAGAAAGAAATGAGGAGGAAGGGAGGGGG